AAGGTTAGATGAGGCAGAGGATCAAATCACCAATTAGGAAGACAAGTCAGCAAAAAACACCCCATTAGAGCAGCAAAAGAAAAAAAATTCAAAAAACTGAGTACAGTTTAAGGGACCTCTGAGACATCAAGCATAGCAACTCTCTCACCGTGGGGTACCCAAAAGAGAAGAGCGAGAGCAAGGGATTGAAAACCTATTTGAAGATGTAATGACTAAAAACTCCCCTAACCTGGTCAAGGAGATGGATATGCAAGTCCAGGAAGTGCAGAGTTCCAAACAATATGAATCCAAAGAGGCCCACACCAAGACACATCATGATTAAAATGGCAAAGGTTAAAGACAAAGAGAATCATCCAGCTGGTGTGGCTCATTGGTTAAGTGTCGACCCATGCACCAAGAGGTAGCCAGTTCAATTCTTGGTCAGAACACATGCCCAGGTTGTGGGCCTGGTCCTCAGTGCGGAGTGTGCAGGAGGCGGCCAATTGATGTTCTCTCTCACCAATATTTCTATCTCTCTCTCTCCCTCTTCCTTCCTCTCTCTAAAATCAATAAAGAAAAAAAAAAAAAAAGACAAAAAGAATCTTAAAAGCAGCAAGAGAAAAGCAATTACCTACAAGGGAGCTCCCATTAGCCTGTCAGCTGATTTTGCAACAGAAACTGGAGCAGAAGGAAGCAAAGTGAGAAGATAACTCTCGTGGGATGCAGAGCCAGGTCTGCCAATGCAAGGCCAGTGGACGTCCCAGACCTGCTGCCATGCCCTGGTGTACAACCCTAACTCAGCTCAATGCATGCAAATGCAAATGAAGTTTTTGTGTGATCATATTTGGGCAGAACACAACCCAGTATAACACAGGGCAAGGGCATAGGTGGGAACCCATGTCTCATCAATCGTTATGACTACCCACAGAGATTTGTCTGAAGCCATGTTCCAGTTCTTCATGAACAAAATCAGAAAGTTAATATACAACCACAGTTTGGTAACATACAATTCAGCAGCACAAAGCCATACCCATGGGACAGAAGGGCCGTGGAAAAATGGTACACAGAATGTCGCCTTTTATTTGCAAAAAAGATAAGCTTCTGAGATTTTTAGACATGTTTTCTTTAACCAGTGAATTTTTCTAGGTTAGAGATGTGTGTTTAACTTAGTAGGCCTCATTTTTTAAAATACTTTAATGTAAAGAAAAATGGGATGAACTCACTGATGAGGTAGTGAAATGTCGCCTTTGCCATGACAAGCATAGCATAATTAAGAAAAGAAGCTTCTGATTTCTTCAGCAATTTAAAACCTTTTCCAGCAGGAAAATGTTTATCCATTAAAGCTCTCAATAGGAATCCTCAATGTGAGAAAATGACTATTTATTTCACCAAAATGGAAAATAGTCAGAAAATTCATGCTTCTCCTTGAATCTATTGCTCTCAATTTGATAATGATGTTTAGAAATACAAACAGTCTTGCCTGGCCGATGTGGCTCAGTGGATTGTGCATTGTCTCATGGACAGAGAGGTCCCAGTTTGATTCCCGGTCAGGGCACTTGCCTGGGTTGTCCCAGTAGGGGGCATGCATGAGGCAGCCAATCGATGTTTCTCTCTCTCCCTTCCTCTCGCTAAAATATCAATAAAAAAGTATTTTAAAAAGAAAAAAAATACAAATGGTCTCTGACCAACAGATCTGAATATGCTGCTTTTGTCTTGAAAATGGTAATAGTTTTAGAACCTGGGTTGCCCAAAGATAGCCATGCAATTTGACATGGCCTAGTTTATACAACATGTTAAATTGATTTAATTCTGTTTCCAGGCAAAATGGCCACATAACCTGTTATGTGTTCCCATCTGTCCAGCATGTTTCCTTCTTCTTGTGTGGAGGCAGAACCCCCATTTCACTGCACACTAACATAGCACTGTCCAGACATTCTTGCAGCCGAGTTATTGGCTGTGTGAATATTTCTGGTTGATATCATAGAAGCCTAAGTATGTAGAAAAGACTGCCAGGCAACCTTCCAAATGCCACACCCTTTTCCCATTCATCCAATTCCTCATTTTGCTGCTTCAAATACTGCGATTGCTGGAGCTCCAACAGCAGCCACTTTGGAACGTCAGGGAAATTCTACAAGTGGCAGAGCTAGGTGCTTGATGTCCGTGCGACTGCTCCATTCACTCTCCTCGAGAAACAGGAAATACCCAATTCTCATGGAACATTGATGCCATGATAGTGCCCTCTCCCTCAAATGTCCTTTCCACTTTCTCCAGTGGTCAAGGCCCACCCAGGGGTAACTATTTCATGAAGGTGGTTCCCCCTCCCTTTGTTAGAAGCATCACATTTATAATCACTGTGGCCCCAGAGCAGGAAGTGCATGTGGCCTGAGGATCTCACCTCACCTTCCCCACTGTGTGCATCTCAAGGACAAAGCACGTGGCTTTCCCACGTCCTTGTCCACCACCCCGTGTTCTTAGTATCTGCCATTGACTGATGTACACACCACGGGCTCGGTGGTACTGACTGAAAGGTGTGTGTGTGTGTGTGTGTGTGTGTGTGTGTGTGTGCATGTGTGCTTACATGACTGGAAGGGTTTGAATCATTCTGTATGTGGCATTCTGTATGTGTCACTGTTTATAAAATGTACCATAAACAGGCTGTCACTGAGCTGAAACCACGCATACCAACAAAAATCCAAAGGTGAAAACATGGTCAAACCCCCTTGAAAATGTTCAATGTCTATATCCTCCATCAGGGCAGGAAAATGTGATTTAAGTATCTGTGTCACAGTCACACATGCTAAATGGTGGGGTGGGGTGGGGTGTGCACATCTTGTGAGATGTTTGAGGTGATCATAATGAGCTGTTTTTCAACTTAGCATCCACTAAAACAAGCTGTGATCTTCACCCCCTTCTTTATTATCATAAACTATAATTCTTATTTGCTTTTTACAGTCTTGAGTTTGCAGGATGGCTTTAAGACATCCTGTTTAAATATCCGGATAAAGAGCAACTTTGTACTGAAAGCTACAGAACTGGAACCGGAGAATCATTGTTATCTCTGCCTCACGAAGCCATCCACGCAGACTGCTTTCAGAAAGGGGAGTTTGTTTAAGTCTCGGTTGCGTGACCTTAAGCCCAAAGGTCTTCAGACAAATGTTTAACTCCAAAGGCATAAAATATCTGCCTAATTTACAAATGCAGCAACATTTTTGACATTAACACAGGATTTGCCCTTTCGTGGTCAGTCTTCCGGGACCCGGCATTTCAGCGGGCGGGGCTCCCTTCCTTCCTGTTGTTCAAGGGTGTAACCAGGAGCAGACTTCTAGACACAGAGACTAGGAAAAATTCCCTCGGAGCAGAACACAGTGGAGTAAGACTCAATTAAATGCTAGCCTTTTCAAACTGGGAGATTTCCAGAAAGTTTGCCTTTTCTCTTTGACTCCACGCAGCGGCTCCCTGAATGCGAAAGGACGCGTGGCGCACACCCACCCCGTCCGAGTGGGTGGATCACGGCACAGCTGGTTTGTTCACAGCAGTGTTAGCGGGGGCGTGTTTCACAATTTCATTTATTGATTCAGCAACAGTAACAAAAGATTACATCTTCCATTCGACAACGAGCCAACGTGGGAAGTGGGGGAAAGAATCATAAATCTCTGAACTGTAACTTCTTTAAGAAAGCATGATTCATATGAATCAAATCATTCAATCAAAACTATCCCTGATTGTCTTCATCTTCACCATGTAAAAATGTCCCTAGCATGAAACAATAATCAGGAGAGACTAATTTTAATGAAATCTCGCCTCCATAAAGAAATGTCACAAGGAAGTGTTTTCCTTTGATCACGAGCTACTGTTGCTCAGAACGTCACTGGCTGTGGTTACATTTTGAAATGAGAGCAGTACCATCCACACTGAGGAGAAGATGGTTGAGGAGTATCTCAGAAACATCTGACCGGACACTGCCTTCGGCCGTGGGCAGGTCGAGCTGATGGATTTGCTAGCAGAGCAGGTGCACAGCCCTGCAGAGCCACTCAGCACTTTGCATCTGGCTTGTACCTGGAGGACAGTGATTCTGAGATGGCTAGAAAAATTCTTAAATTTTTGTAATGAATATTCCTATAATATACAGCATGCTCATTGTGTTTATATGATTAGCATGTATGTTGGAATAACGGGGGGCTCTTTAGGGTTCAGGCCAAAGTGCTGCCGCCCCAGCATTTCAGACCTGCAGGCCTGGGGACCTGCAGTCTCGTGGCCCCACAGCTGCTAATGTGGCTGAAAACTACTGACTCAAATAGTTTGTAAATGCTGATGACTAATCCAAATTAAGAAAAAGAAGATCTAGTCACACCCTTTCATTCTGTACTCCCTTAAAATTATAACCTGTGAAAGTCTGGTAAAACTTTTATAAATGACAGATTACCAAGTTCAATTTATTTAATTTTGCTAAAATGCTGACAGATTACCAAGTTCAATTTATTTAATTTTGCTAAAATGCTGACTAAAAAGATCTTTAATTCATATTTTTAAAGCATCTTTTAGATGGAAAAAAAGGCCATTTTTTAATGTCATACCATGTAATGTCATCCAGTGTAAGGAGAATTGCATGTAAATCAATGATCCTATTTAGACACCTGTAAGCCATCTAGTAAGAAGATGAGACAGAGCGAGCCCTGGGCACCGTCTCCTGCAATGACGGGACATTGGCCCGGGGCCTCAGAAGTAAAATGCAGTGTTGATGTGGACCATCCCCAGGGCCTCGCCAGCCCCAAGCTGCTGGGTTGGACTTGAAACTCACTCCCCACCTGGGCTCGCAAAGGGGGTGAGTGTGTGGGAGGGACCGTGAAGTCTGCGGGGAAGAGGCCATCTGTGTGCTGGGTATTAACTAACAGAGTCTGGAGAGGAGACGAAGGAGATGGTGAAATCCGGCCGCCTGGGGCTCGGCCACTCCGCACGGCCTCTCTGATCTCCGGGGACTGACGGAGGGACGCGGCTTCCCCTCCACAGCCCATTCTCCGGGCTCAGACGGGCAGGCCGTGTGGCCGGTGGCTGCTGGTGGCCGGACCCGGAGCGGCCCGTGGAGTCGGCTGGGGCTCAGCAGCAAAATCAATAAATACCTGAAATAAAGAGCGAAAGTGATTGTTAACCAGAATGCCTGACCTTGTTCTTAAATATTATAAGAAGAAAATCCTCCCAGAACACTGCCCAACTTCTTCCGGAAAACCAGCACCCGCTCACACCACCCTCCTAAACCCCAGAAACGGGGGAGTCACTGAACCCAAACTCCAGGACTGACCAACGTTCTGGACCAGGAAGGAGTGCCCGGGGGGCCCCAGCGCCTCACGCCTTTAGAAAGAGCTGCCACTTAAGCCTACACTCTGATGCCCTTGGTAAACCAGGCGCCTGTCCTCCCAAAGTCAGCGCCCCTCAGCCCCAGCCGCAGGCACATGAGATCCCTGGGGTGGGGGCGGGGCGGGTGGGCAGGCAAGGTAGGGGCTGTGATGCACCTACGGAATGGCCAGGGTACCCGTGAGCACACGGACGCCGTGCCACACATGCACGCTGAGTGAGAGCAGACCATGAGCACCTCCCGCCACGCGCCCTCACCAGCTGCGTGAAACCCGACGGCACTCCCTTAAAAGCCCCGGCGCCCCCCGAGCACAGCCCGCTGCACCTCCAACTCCCCAAGGCGCCCACCTGCTCCAGGGTGGGCTGCTGGATGGAGTAGTGTCTGATGCTCAACGCGGTCTTGTTGTCCGCCAGGACTCTGAACAGGTCGGCTAAGCAATCCCGTCTCCTTGGCACGTGATATTCCAGCACATTGAGGCGCTGCCCCTGCAAGTCCAGACGGGAAGTGTCTCCTAAGCAATCGTCACACAGGATCGATCGTGCTAACCACACGCAGGTGCAGCGGTGAGCGGGTCCCCAGGGGGCAGTTAGCACCGACCGCTGGCCACGAGTTGTACTCGACCAGCAGCAGGTGACCCCGGCTCGGCGACCCCTGGGAGATACGGGGCTGCTCTAAGCGACATTTTGAAACGTGAAGTGGGGACAGCGGCGATGTCTTACAGGGTCCTCTCGTGTCCTCAACCGGAGGTCCCTGTCCTGCACAGCCTGCCCTGACCCGGCAGGGTTCCATCTCTGTCACAGCTGCGGCGGGGACACCACCTCCTGGACATTATGAAGAACTGGGACCACACCAGCCCTCACTGCGCCCCAGGGACCTGGGGCTGCTGCTCCTCAAAGGTCATGTGCAAGCGAGGCTCCAGATCAGCAGGCTGAGGCCTGACACCCTGAGTTGTGACCTGCTCCCTGGTGGGGGGGGGGGGTGCGGATAGGAAGATGCTGCTGGGGCCTGACACCCTGAGTTCTGACCTGCTCCCTGGGCGGGGGGTGCGGATAAGAAGATGCTGCTGGGGCCTGAGACCCTGAGTTCTGACCTGCTCCCGGGGGGGGGGTGCGGATAAGAAGATGCTGCTGGGGCCTGAGACCCTGAGTTCTGACCTGCTCCCTGGGCGGGGGGTGCGGATAGGAAGATGCTGCTGGGGCCTGAAACCCTGAGTTCTGACCTGCTCCCTGGGCGGGGGGTGCGGATAAGAAGATGCTGCTGGGGCCTGAGACCCTGAGTTCTGACCTGCTCCCTGGGGGGGGGGGCGGGTAGGAAGATGCTGCTGGGGCTTGACACCCTGAGTTCTGACCTGTTCCCTGGTGGGGGAAGGGAGATGCTGCTGGGGCTGAGACCTTGCAGGTCTGACCTGCTCCCTGGGGGGGGGGGCGGGTAGGAAGATGCTGCTGGGGCTTGACACCCTGAGTTCTGACCTGTTCCCTGGGGGGGGAAGGGAGATGCTGCTGGGGCCTGAGACCTTGCAGGTCTGACCTGCTCCCTGGGGGGGGGGGGGCGGGTAGGAAGATGCTGCTGGGGCCTGACACCCTGAGTTCTGACCTGCTCCCTGGGGGGGGGGGCGGGTAGGAAGATGCTGCTGGGGCCTGAGACCCTGAGTTCTGACCTGCTCCCTGGGCGGGGGGTGCGGATAAGAAGATGCTGCTGGGTCCTGAGACCCTGAGTTCTGACCTGCTCCCTGAGGGGTGAAGATACTGGTGCCCGAGACCCTGCAGGTCCAGCCAGCTCCTGGGGGAAGAGGTTGCTGGTTCGGGGACCACACTTTGCATCACCTTGGTGGAGGATCATGACCTCAAGCACAGGTGCTTCTTGGGAACAATGCTGAAATCCTCAAGCCCATAACCAACCACAAATGTATGAGAGGAATTAACTTTGGCAATTATCTGTGCTGAACCAATGGAGTGCGCCCGAAGATAAGGGGTGTGTGACGGCAGTCCCCTTGGGCCACCCACCCGCGGACCTGCAGGCGAGGCGTCCTCCCGGCGGTCGGCGGGGACCCAGTGCCCGGCTGGGTCTGAGGAGCGGAGGCCCGGCTCTGCCGTGAGGCCGGGACACCGCGTGTCGTCTCGAAGCAGCACAGACGCGGGCGGGGGCAGGGCCCTGACAGCAGTTGTACTGGGGACACAGCCGGGACGGCAGCCCTACCTGCAGCCGGACGTCCGGGAAGTGGAGCCCGAGGCAGTCGGAGACGGCGCGGGCCGCGCTTCCTTCCTCACAGGCCACCCGGACCACGTAACCAGCACCGAACCTGGGGGCGGACGGGCGAGCGGTCACTGCTCTGCGGACCCGAGGTGGGTGCCCTCGGTCCACACCCACGGGGCAGTACAAGGAAGACGCCAGCCCAACTGCAGGGGGATCTCGGGTTCTCAGAAACGGTTCAGGAGGAAATCAGAGCTCAGCTGTGCAGTTCGTCTGGTTCCGCTTGCACGGCACAGACACTGACTTATCTTTTTTTAAACCATCAAATCCTGGAATCGACACCGTTTGCTAAAGGGAAGGTGAACACGCTCACTGACAGCAGGTGCGGGAGGGCAGCGAGAGCCGGGGGGCCCGCCCCCAGCTGGGGAAGGACAAGGGGTGCCTGAGCTGCCAGCCAGCAGGACTCTCCTGGGAGCAACTCCCCAGGCTGCAGGGGGCGCTGCGGCCTGAGAGCAGCAGAGGCTGACACTGCAGCGGCAGGCGGTGCCGGTGCAGACCGGCCACACCCGAGGAGTCACACTGTGACCTCCCAGGACGCATGGGCTTCCCGATGCTGTTCTGCTGCCGTGGCCAGTGCTGGGCCCGCACACGACCGCGTCTCTACACATCTCTGACTGCGAAGCAGAACTCGGCGGCGGCGCGGTCTAAGCTCAAGGACACCCTGGTGGGAGCCCGCATCCCCCACACACGGGGAACCGAGAACCCAGCGGCAGATGGCCCAGTGCCCAGGCCCGGGCTGGGACCTTCCCACTGAGGCCAGGGTGTGAAATCCTACTTCCCTCTCGACCACACCTACTACGGGGAGCAGACCACATGCTGAGAACAGTCCCGGGTAGGCTCACCGGCAGGACTGGCCCTGAGCAGGAGGCAGCAGGGAGCCTGACCACCCCCCGCCACAGCACCAGGCCACCAGAAACCCACCTGTGCCCCCCAGGACGGCGTCACAGTCCCAACATCCAACAGTGGTTTTCTCCACAAAATTAACGTACTTTAACCTGACACCTGTGACTTTCACAAATCTCTGCTCGCCAATTCTAATGCTAAAAACATTGATCAGATGAAAACAGCGATTTATCAACATAAGTAAATCTAGATTTTAAAAAAAGATTAAACAACAAATTAAAAAGAAATTAGAAATTCTGAAAACAGTTTAGGCAACACCAAATATTTTAAGAGTTCTACTGGGACATAAGAGCCATCATAGAAATTGATGACAAAATCGCCAGGATTCCAAACAGTAAATGGAGAAAGGACGTGAGAGCCAGCGAGCCAGGAAGAGCCTACGGCCGGAGGGGCCTGTGGTCTCTCATTCAAACGCCTCCTCTCCTCCTGGCCAAGGGCGGCCCTTCCGACCACACCCAGTACACCGACGAGGACCCTGACTCGCTCGGTGAGGGACACAGGCACCGACTGCTCAGAAGGGGTCTGAGAGAGCCAAGAGCGTTTTAAAGGGTAAAGGTAAACACTTGCAAAAGGTGGAAACTGAAAAAATGTGTTGCTTGCAGGGCCTTGGCTCAGCCTTCTGCTGAGTGAGGATTGTCGGATTATCTGAAAGACAATGAACCACCCAGCAGATGCAGGACGAGGTACCAGACCAGTCCACCTGCAAAGTGGACAACGGGCCAGGCAGAGCGCGTCATGCCGGAAGCTAGAAGCAGAGTATATAACCTACACCCCAACTGTTGTTCAAGGTTGACTCCTTTCTTGGGTTTAGCCCGCCTGCACCCAGGCGCATGCAATAATATCGTTTTTGCTCTACACTGGCCTTGCGCCGTGGATGTGATCTCCTGCCGGCTCAGGACTCTTAGGGTCTTGTGCCAGTGAGGGCCCGCTGTCCTGTCCTCATCTGGACTCTGCAACAGCCCTGCCAGCTTCCCCGGGTCCCACGTGAGCCCTGTGCCCTGGGACAGACAGACAGGCGGTCGGGAAAGGCTGGGCTCAGAGCTGCGGTCGGCCCATGACCTCTCCCCCTCGGGCCTCATCGCCGGCCTCTGAGGAGCTACCTGGCCGGGCTGTCGGTGGAGCACCCACCCACAACCCCGTCTCGCTGTGCGCACCAGGGAGAGAATGCACGCACCTGTCCCTGAGGTGCTGGGGGGAGCCGAGACACCGGAAGCTGCCGTTGACCATGATGGTGAGTCTCGTGCAGAGGGCCTCACACTCCTCCATGCTGCGGGGACAGGAGACAGGTGAGCGTCCGGGGCCGGGCCCACATCAAACAGCAACACCACAGGACAGCGAGACACCTGTGCTGCCAGCTGGTCCGCTCTCCGCGCAGAAACACGGTCACACAGCCGCCGGCCGGGCACTGCCGGCCTCTCCGTCCCCAGGACGAGCAGGGGGTCGAGGAGGAAAGTCCACGCTGCCACCAGCCCTGCGAGCCGCACCCGCCCTTCACTGCAGCCCACTGGGAGTGACCGCGGGGGGCCACCTGCACTCCGCCCGAGGAGGGGTCCGGCTCGCTCAGGACCACAGACTGGGCAAGGGTGGGAGGGACACCTGTGGTGCGGGCTGTGGCTGTGTCTACCTGACCCCCCACCTGTGGGCAGTGCCCGTCTCGACACGCAGGGAGAAATGCCGCCGCAGAGCTGCTGTGGGCACGAGGACCCGGGGGCCAGCCCGCCTGGACGCCCAGCCCCTGCTGCCCCGTGGCTCACCTGTGGGAGGTCAGCACCACGGCACAGCCTTCCAGAACCTCCTCCGTTAGCACCCTCCACAGGAACCGCTTGGAGCAGGGGTCCATCCCCGAGCTGGGCTCGTCCTGGTGACAGAGCCCAGTGACAGGCGGGGCCCGGCCCGCAGGAGCCCCCACTCCGGCTCCGGGCAGCTGTCCGCGCCGCCTGGCTCCGGGCCCACACACGGGCACCTCCAGCCCAGCTGGGCTCCATGTGGGGTCCGGGTGGTGAGCCCGTGTTTCCAAACTGCACCCTCAGCCGCTGACACGCGTCAGAAAGAGCGGCAGCAGGAGAGGGTGTATTCACCACCTCAGTCCAGGGTGCTTCCGGCACCTGCCCTGCTCCTGCAGTGACGCCCTCCCCCAACCGTGTCTGCGAGAGGTGCTCACGGGTGCGGTGTGGACTGAGCTGCTGCCGCCGGGAGCCCTGAACACGTGTCCTTAGGGGCTCAAGGCGGCACCTGTCACCCAGGGCCGCGAGCGCGTCTGCCCCCGGGACACCCGGTGGTTAGGGCGTCGAATCAGAAAACGGCCACAGCCAGCCCAGTGGCCGTCTGGTGTGAACAAATCAAAATTATACCTTTTCGTTTTGTGTTTTGGTCAGATAGGGGAAAACGTTTTTTGGGTGTGCCGCAGAATTTTAGTCACTAGCCTGCGTGCCGTGAGAGAGGCTGGAAATCACTGGGCTTGAGGACAAACAGACGTGGTTTTTAGGTTACAGGTAAACTCTGATTTTTTTTGAATTCTGTTCTTCATGTTATGGTTTTTTGGGATCTTCAATTTGATAAGTAAATGACTATCAAAAAATAAATGTTAATTCTGTGACATTCCAGTGATGCGTCAGGTTGTGTTTTGGGGTGCTGGCTCGGGCTGGGGAGCGTGAGATTCCGGGGAACCCACCCTGAGGCCCAGCGAGGTGGGAGCACCTCCCCGACGCCCGCTGCTCACCAGCAAGAGAAGGTCGGGCCTCCCCAGCAGGGCCAGGGCTGTGGACAGCTTCCGCTTGGTGCCGCCGCTGTAGGTGGCCACGGGCTGGTTCGCATGGGCTCCCAGCTGTAAGCGCCTCACCAGGTCCCCGGCGACCTGAAGGGAGAGCTCAGTGTGCACACAGCGCCCCCGAGGCTCATCCCCCTCCCCTCTGCCCCGCCCCCACAGTCCCTTCACTACTCGGCACAACTGAGGACGAGCAGACGGCTCCCCCAGCAGCATGGTTCTGGAAACATCGTTTGGGGGCAGTTCTGTGCTACGGCTCCTCCTCGTGGGCTGGGAGAGCTGCACCCGGCCCAGAGTGCTGGCCCAGCACCCCTCCAGGCTCCCTCCGCTGGAGCCCTGAGGGGCCGCACCTCTGGGATGTGTTGCTTTGGGATCCCACATAGGCTGCAGTAGTACCGGAGGTGCTCCCAGCCGGTCAGGAGCTCGTCCAGGGCGTCCTGCTGCGGACAGTAGCCAATGCGGACACCTGCCGCTCCGGCGGAAAACAGCGCCACGTCCTCCCTGCGGAGAGGCAGAGCACGGTCCAGGAGCCCGCCCGCAGGCCGCGCCCCGTGCTGAACGCCGAGAAGTGCGCGGCGTGTCCAGAGCGGACACTAGTTCGGCATCGCGGCTTCCGTGCACGAGGAGCAGCCGCGTGTCCAGTAGAACAGTCTGGACCCAGCAGTCAAGGCTGCTCCGTGTGTTAAAGAAAACCTGTGTGAAGCCCAGAGCTCGGTGGTTGCACAGGGGCGGTCAGGTCAGCGCTGGTGTCTCCCCCTCCAGACACTTCACGTGAACCCTAGAGAATCGTGACTAAACTATGTTCGGGATCAGGTTTTAGAAACATAACTTACAAAAAATTATGTGCAACCTGCCACTGAGCACACGGAAAACAGAGGGGAAGGAGAACGTCTGGCCCAGCCCTCGGTGGTTTCTAAGACGCAGCCGCCCTCCTGGCGCGGGCGAGGCTGCAGCTTCCAGACGGGCGCAGAGGAAGCACAGGCAACAGAGAGACAGTCTGTATAACCTAGACGCACACACATGGGCGCACACACGTGCACACATGTGTGTAAACAAGCACACACGTGCACACAAACATGCACACACATACACAAGCACACGCATGCACACAAACATGCACACACATACACAAGCACATGCATGCACACACACACAAGCGCATACACATACACAAGCATATGCATGCACACCAACATGCACACATATACACATGCACACACATACACAAGCGCACACACATGCTCCACCCCTTTCTGGACGTCTGCCTCTAGGACACCACTTCATCCTCCGAACCTTGGATTCCAGCCCCCAAGGCTGTCACAATGATTAGACGAGATCAAGGATGCTGAGCCCCAACGTAACGCAGGGGAACCGCAGTCACAACTCAGGACCATGTTATGAGCGTGCATTTCATTTGGGGGCTACAAGCCCACAAGCTTTCGGAATCCAGCATGAATGCCTGACAGTGTCAGCAGTGAGGCAGTGTGGAGCAGGGGGCCGGGCCCTACTGGGCATCCGTGTCCTGAGCTCGTCCACTGAGTTCAAACCCTGTGCTGAGCAAACACACTCACAGTGCCGGGTCGCGGACTTCAGTCGTCCAGCTGGAGGCCACTGTCCCCACACGAGGAGCTCAGCACGTAAACCCGCGGTGAGGGTCCGCTCTGAGGCACAGACCTCGTTCTCAAGGGGAGGACATGCACGCGTACAGCGAGTGACACAGGAAGAGTGCCGCTCCCTGTGACGTGACCTTCAAGGACAGGCAGGTCGAGGCAGTAAACACACGAATCGGTGTTTCAACTCAGAGGAACACGCCAGGGGCCGCACGGCCGGGAAGGTGGGCGCTGACCCTCTGCGTGGCCGAAGCTCCACGTGTGCCCACTGCCATTCAGTGCCTTGAACACAATGTGCAGCTCACACTGCAAACCGTCAAGGTTAGAGATATGATTAATGCCAGTGTGGTTTAGTCGTAATTAAGCTAATTACACAGACGCAGACCCTGCTGTGGGGCGCAGACCATCACGTACATTCACCCCGCTTTCCAGAGCAGCTTCTGGAAATTCATTTTCCGATTGTTTTAGAAATGGCGGGAAAAGACTACAAAGGAGACAGCCAGCCTCCCAGAGAGGAGAAAATAAAGCATATTTCTGTTTCCTTTTGAATTCTGATGATTGTATCCTTTTGGACTTGTAAATAGGGAAGTTACACTAAAACCACCACCCAATCAACAAAAACGCCTTCTTGCGTGGACACCTGCAGGGAGAGCCGCAGACACAACCCAGAGCGAGCTGCGGCCACACAGCCCGGCTCCCCTCCAGCACGCCCGCAGGACCTGTGCCCCACTCACAGCCCCCAAACACCCCCTCCGCGGGCCCCCTCTCTGCTGCCGGTCCTCCGACACATCGGCCTGAGACACTGACTGTGCCGCTGACACAGACCGACCCTCGCGTGTGCGCGCTCTGCCCGCGGACGGTGCGGAGGTTAAACATGGGGCGCTGGGAGCAAGGAGACAAGGTTTCAAGTCTCCACTTAAGTCAGGACAGGGAACAGTTCTTCACCGGGGGCAGCGAGCACACAGACCCCCAGCCGGCCTGCTGCCTCCACAGGACACACCTGCGACCCTCATCCCACCTGCCCCCACCCTCAGCTCGGTCCTGACACTCCTCTCACACCTGGGGTGCTGCCCCCCGAGGACAGGCGCTAGGTGGAGGGCCTTCGGAGGGAGGTGACGTTCCCCCCAGACCGAGGGCGTCGAGGTCCCCCGGGCTGGGTGACGAGCTCTCAGTTGTCGGCAGAAGGAGGATTAAAGTGGGTTTACCCTGAGGAGGTCCTGACGACAGCGTGTCCTGCGGTGGGCGCGATGTCCCCGCTCAGCATCTTGAATGTGGTGCTCTTCCCGGCCCCGCTGGCCCCCAGGAGCCCGAAGCACTGAGGGGAGAAAACTTAAACAAATCGGGGTGTCAGAAACAGCGCTTGCTTTCAGCCCCCTCTCGGGGGCCTGTGATATCTGTAGACTTTTAAAGTCAAACTTGTGTATAAAGCAGCTGCCGAGTGCGGAGCTTCTGAAATGACTGGCGTCCACGCGGAGCCTGTTAGAGCAGAAACCGACCGACGGGGGAGTCCACGCATGAAAACTCCAGAGGGTGACCACTGAGGCCAGCGGCCACGGGCACGCCCAGCTCCCATCCACGTGGCCGTACCAAAGCGTCCTCACTAGCTCCCTTTGGCGACGGTAATGTTTGTTGTAAGTCACGCCATCAGAATCGTCACGGTCCCCTTGATGTCGCTGTACATTTAAAGTACTTTCTAAAAAGATTCCCCGGTCTCCCTCCCTGGCCCAGCTCAGACCCCGCCGATGCTGCGGCACAAGGGGGCGGACCAGCTCTGTTCTCTGGACGCAGCATCACAAGCTCTGCTCGGCCCTGTCTGAGGCCCACGGGAAAACACCTCTCTTCGCTGGACCCCGGCTTCACCAGGTATCTGAGCTGGTACCCGACACAGCCCAGCTGGAGGTACCTGGGGCTCAGTGCCTGGGTCTCGCCCACCTCCCAAGGCATCTGATGGCGACTTTCCCCCGTGGCTGGGCGGGCTGCTGGCTCCGTGAACCTGGAGAACAGCCCTGGGTTTGTGCCGCATGCCCACTGGCTAGCACAGGGCCCCCCGCACCCCTCTGGTGACAGCGCTGCCCCGAGCTCCCACCTGCTTCGGCTGCCACACTGCCCGCCCCACGGGTCTCTGCCCCCTCCTGGGACCCTGCTCCACCTGTCCTGCCCCCCTGGCCCCGGCAGACACAGCACACACCGCTGCCTGTCCCCCAAGGCCCAGACAGGTTCATGCAAACCGAGGCTCCCCACACTGTGCCCAACCCCACACCCCCACCTGCCTCTGACTTGCGGCTGGGGCAGCCCCCTGTGCCTGCAGCGATGCCCCTGGGTGATGTGGGCCGTGCCCATCTCCCATTCTGCCAATCATGGGTCCCAGAGGGACAGGACCCTCCGCCGGCCCCGCCCCCACGGGCCTCACGGGGCTCTGCGGCTGCGCAGACAGTGCTGCGCCCCGAGAGCCTGGAGAGCAGGCCCCGCGCAGTGCGGTGCAGGGCGGCAGCTCCTCCTCTGCAGCGCCAGGCTCCCCGTTTCCCCGGGCTCCCCGTTTCCCCGGGCTCCCCGTTTCCCCGGGCTCCCCGTTTCCCCGGGCTCCCCGTTTCTCCGGCTCCCCGTTTCCCCGGGCTCCCCGTTTCCCCGGGCTCCCCGTTTCTCCGGCTCCCCGTTTCCCCGGGCTCCCCGTTTCCCCGGCTCCCCGTTTCCCCGGGCTCCCCGTTTCTCCGGGCTCCCCGTTTCCCCGGGCTCCCCGTTTCCCCGGGCTCCCCGTTTCCCCGCCGGCTGCTCGGCTCCCGGAGGCAGTGACACCGGGGCCGGTCCCAACACGGGCGGAGTCGTTCGGAAACGTGGCGGGGGCGGCGGGGCTCGTCTCAGCGAGGAGCAGACACGGTCACGGGCGCTTCGCGGTCGCACGTCCTGTTCGAGCACGTGCGTGGGCCGCTCCGCCCGCCTGCGCGCCTCGGGGACCCGCGCTCCGCTGGCCACGGCCGCCCGGCCGCCGGTGTGGCCCCTGCGGCTTCCCGGGGGCCGTGCAGGGTCCTCCCTGACTTAGCCAGGGCGGGGGATCATGTCCGGGGCCATCGCCCTTCGCGGACTCAGCACCGGTCGGGACATCACCGGGCGTGTCCTGCGTGGGCTCAGGACCTGGACTCCGCACCTCTCTGCACGGGGGCCTGAGCGCCGCCAAAATCAAAGCTCCTACATCTCAGACCTCGTGCATTAGGGACGGGTGACCCGTCCACCGGGCGGCACCGACTCACTGGGGACACAGCCAGCCGCCGGCCTGTCGGCCACGGCCTCAGACCCCAGGGCGGCAGGAGGGGAGCCGGGGGGCCCCAGCCGGGGGGAGCCGAGCCGGGGGGGCCCGAGCGGGGGGCCCCAGCCGGGGGAGCCCAGCCGGGGGGGCGGAGCCGGGGGAGCCCAGCCCAGGGAGCCGAGCAGGGGGGACCCAGCCTGGGGGGGGCTGAACCGGGGCGGGGGGTCCAGCCGGGGGAGCCCAGCTCCTGGGGCCGAGCCGGGGAACCGAGCCAAGAAGCCGAGCCGGAGAGGGAGCCGAGCCGGAGGGGGGACAGCGGGGGAGGGGTCCAGCCGGGGGGCCTCCCCACAGGACACAGCAGCCTCACCTCCCCTCTGCGCACGCCCAGGCTCACGTCGCGCACGGCCTCGGCCCCCCGGCGGCCCCCGTAGCTCTTGCGGAGGTTGCACAGCACCAGGAGGTCTCCGCCCGTCCTTCCTTTCAGCACCCGCATCTGCTCGCTCTCCACGTCCGAGTCCCCGCAAGGGGTGACGGTGCCTTGGAAGGCAGAGCGACCCCTGGGAAGAGAAGGCAGTTAATTCCCTGGGACAGACGGGCTGGGGCGCCCCAGAGGGGCGGTCAGGTCCGGACACCACGGGTCCGCCCTGGTCCGCACCGGCTCAGACGGGGCCGTGTCCCCTGGAGGCAGGGGTGGCTGCCCCTGGAAGACGGCCCGCGCCCTCTGGGGCTCCTTCCCACTGGGGGAGATAAGCCCCGCAGGGGCTGGGTGGGGAAGGAAGTCACCCTAAGTTATGCTCGGGGTGCTGAGCAAGCCCAGCACTCCGTCATGGAAGCACCGGGGCTGCACGTAACAGCCCCGCACGTGACAGTCCCGGGGAGCTGGGCCCAGGAGAGGGGGCAGCAGCTCTGCGCCGGCCCGGGTCCTGTGACGCTGGGGGTCGCGGAGGGACGGGGCCCAGTGCCGGCTCCACCGCCCTGCCCGGCACGCGCCCGGCTCTGCCCTCCGCTGGCGACTGCTGACCCGGTGCAGTCACTTCCCGGCGGCCTGTGGTTCCCCGAACCGGAACCGCACGGAGCCAGCGTCTGCCTGGGTGCGGGCAGGCCTGGTCGTGTGCGGCTCCACCCTGGGCCCCCCTAAACTACTTTACAATGAACAGGTATTTAAAATAAAATAGAATAGGCCCTGGCAGGGTTGCCTCGCATTTAAAGCCTCAGCCAGTCCCGGGTTTGGTTCCTGCCAAGGCAGGTACCTCGGCTGCAGTTTGTCCCCTGTCCGGTTGGGGTCGTGTGGGTGGCAGCCAGTCCACGTGTCTCTCTCCCTTCCCCACCCCCACTCTATCAGAAGATGAATGCAAAAATGTCCTCGGGTGGGGGAGGGGAGGGGAGGGGGAAGGAAGAAAAAGGAGGAAGGAAGGAAGGAAGGAAGGAAGGAAGGAAGGAAGGAAGGAAGGAAGGAAGGAAGAGAAGGAAGGAAGGAAAAAGGAGGAAGGAAAAAGGAGGAAGGAAAGGAAGGAAGGAAGGAAGGAAAGGAAGGAAGAAGGAGGAAGGAAAGGAAGGAAGGAAGGAAGGAAAAAGGAGGAAGGAAGGAAGGAAGGAAGGAAGGAAGGAAGAAAGGAAGGAAGAAAGGGAAAAAGGAGGAAGGAAAAAGGAGGAAGGAAGGAAGGAAAGGAAGGAAGGAAGGAAGGGGAGGAAGGAAGGAGGAAAAAGAAGGAAGGAAAAAGGAGGAAGGAAAGGAAGGAAGGGAGGAGGAAAGAAGGAAAAAGGAGTAAAGGAGGAAGGAAGGAAGGGAAGGAAGGAAGGAAGGAAGGAAGGAAGGAAGGAAGGAAGGAAGGGGAGGAAAGGAAGGAGGAAAAAGAAGGAAGGAAAAAGGAGGAAGGAAAGGAAGGAAGGGAGGAGGAAAGAAGGAAAAGGAGTAAAGGAGGAAGGAAGGAAGGAGGAAGGAAGGAAGGAAGGAAGGAAGGAAGGAAGGAAGGAAGGAAGGAAGGAAGGGGAGGAAGGAAGGAGGAAAAAGAAGGAAGGAAAAAGGAGGAAGGAAAGGAAGGAAGGGAGGAGGAAAGAAGGAAAAAGGAGTAAAGGAGGAAGGAAGGAAGGAAGGAAGGGGAGGAAGGAAGGAAGGAAGGAAGGAAGGATCCACATCCAGCCCCCAGTGGCCTGAGGTCCTTCCTTGCACTATTTCTCTGTACCTGACATGATCGATGGGGAAGTAATAATTTATTCAACAGACAGAGGATGAGAACATACTCTGGGTCCTCAGGAGCATATATTCCACAATCACTAACAATCAAAAGCATGAGAAACAAATTGGCAGAGACAGAAGGAGCAGCAGGTGGGGAGGGACAGCGAGGGCCGTCGCCTGCAGAGCCGGGGGCCTGGGGGCCTGAGACCCCACAGCACTGGGCCTTCGGGGAGAAGGCCGCACAGAGCTTGTGAGATCTCCTCAAATTCTACACCCCTGTCCGCGGGCTCTCCCGTTCCCGCCCGGCCGTCCAGGGCCTCTTCTCTCCCCCACAGGAGCCTGTCCCCTTCCTCCCCTCCTGTGCTCAGACCCACCCCCGAGGGGCCCACACCAGCCGTGCTGGCCGTTGTCAGAATTACCGAGGAGCTTTGCAAACACCTGTCCCCCGACACCCCTCCCTCCGACACCTGACACCCGTCCCCACAGACGCCTGCCCCCCCAACGAAGAGAAGACACGGCATTCACAGCAACAGGGTCTGCAAAGGGCAGTGGACAGCGGGAATCTCACACACGCCCGCTGGGAGTCAAGCCGCTTCGCCACAGAATAAACCGCTACGTCCAAATCCACTCAGGGCTGGGACCTTGCAGGCGCCGGGGCTCTGCAGAGGGATCGCCTCCCTGAGACCCTCAGCTCGCGTCCTTCCTCCTGCCCCTGACGGCACAGACAGCAGCCCAGGGAACGGCAGCCTGGCTCACTAGGGCCCTGGGGTCAGGCGAGTGGCCCTGCAGCCTCCGGGACGGGCCCCGCGGACATACCTGGCCCTCTGCACCAGGTCCCAGTGCACGAGGACCCTGAGCAGGAGGAGCACGGTGCCTTGTGAGGCCAGGAGGGGCCCCGCGGACGTACCTGGCCCTCTGCACCAGGTCCCAGTGCACGAGGACCCTGAGCAGGAGGAGCACGGTGCCTTGTGAGGCCAGGAGGGGCCCCGCGGACGTACCTGGCCCTCTGCACCAGGTCCCAGTGCACGAGGACCCTGAGCAGGAGGAACACCGTGCCTTGTGAGGCCAGGAGGGACCCCGTGGACGTACCTGGCCCTCTGTACCAGGTCCCAGTGCACGAGGACCCTGAGCAGGAGGAGCACGGTGCCTTGTGAGGCCAGGAGGACCCCGCGGACGTACCTGGCCCTCTGCACCAGGTCCCAGTGCACGAGGACCCTGAGCAGGAGGAGCACGGTGCCTTGTGAGGCCAGAAGGGGCCCCGCGGACGTACCTGGCCCTCTGCACCAGGTCCCAGTGCACGAGGACCCTGAGCAGGAGGAGCACGGTGCCTTGTGAGGCCAGGAGGACCCCGCGGACGTACCTGGCCCTCTGCACCAGGTCCCAGTGCACGAGGACCCTGAGCAGGAGGAGCACGGTGCCTTGTGAGGCCAGGAGGACCCCGCGGACGTACCTGGCCCTCTGCACCAGGTCCCAGTGCACGAGGACCCTGAGCAGGAGGAGCACGGTGCCTTGTGAGGCCAGGAGGACCCCGCGGACGTACCTGGCCCTCTGCACCAGGTCCCAGTGCACGAGGACCCTGAGCAGGAGGAGCACGGTGCCTTGTGAGGCCAGGAGGGCCCCGCGGACGTACCTCGCCCTCTGCACCAGGTCCCAGTGCACGAGGACCCTGAGCAGGAGGAGCACGGTGCCTTGTGAGGCCAGGAGGGGCCCCGCGGACGTACCTGGCCCTCTGCACCAGGTCCCAGTGCACGAGGACCCTGAGCAGGAGGAGCACGGTGCCTTGTGAGGCCAGCTGCATGAGACCCAGCCCAGGAAGCTCATGGCGAAGGGGCTCTCGTAGGCATCGATGCCGAAGCTGCGGGTCAGGTCCTGCCTGATCTGATTGTAGCAGAGCTCAACCAGCCCTTGGCCCAGGCAGAACTGAGGGAAAATTGTGAAGGTCCACTTGAGGACCTCGTAGATGTTCTGCAGATGCTGCGCAGGGAAAGAGAGAGAACAGACGAGAGTTACGAGCTCGTCACGGCATCTGACCTGGGCGGGCCCTGCGCCCACCCTCCCAGCCGGCTGGGACCCGCCGGGCCCAACGTCTCCTCAGAATGGAATGTCTGTCCCACGCCCGCCCCACCCGTGTTTCTGGAAGCAGACTCGTGTCTGTTTCCCAGGCTCAGGCCGGAGGGGAACTTTGCCTCGGGACAAACGCCCTCCATCACCTGCCCCTGACTGAGGGAGGACTTTAGACGTCAGTGGTGCTGAGCTGGGCTGACTGGGCGTCTGTTGACTGATACAGGTGTTATTCTTCCCGTCAGAATTTGGGGGAGTTAGGGGTGGAACATTATGGACCGAGGGTGTGTGGCCCCAAACTCCACACGTGGAAGCCCGACCCTGGGCTGACACTGGGAGGCGGGGCCTTGGAGAGGGGGCTGGGTTAGAAACCGCGAGAGGGAGGAGCCCCAGGGCGGGGGCAGGGTCTTTTCTAGGACCAGGGGGTCGGCAGAGCTCCAGGCCCCCTGTTGCCTGAGGACCTAGAGGGGGCCATGTGCGAGCCACAAAGAGGGGCTTCTCCTGAGTCCCCAGAACCGTGAGGCGCGCGTGCCGCTCCGCCCCCCCAGGTGACACGGGCTGCGTCAGCAGGCGCAGGTGACACCAGTGTGTCAGAGCGGGGCTGACCGCCTGCCCCTCTCCGCGGACCCAGCCCGTCCTGAGGGCTCATTGCCCCCTCCCCTAACGCCGTGTCCCCGTCAGTGATGCACCACACGGAAGGACTGTCTCTCACTAGTGATGGGGGGACAGTGGGTGGTCACGACTGTTAGCTCAGGACCTGGTAACCAAGGAAACGCCACAGTCACCGCCATGGCTGCAGACGGTCAGGACCAGATGACTCCACTCCAGGGTGTTGGCGTGGAGTCGGCTGACCCGGACACCTGCCAAGTCCATTCCCCGCACTGCCCACTGGAGCGGTCCCAGGGACCCCAGGGAGGGGCAGGGACCCCAGGTGCCAGGACTGCCTGGGGCTCCTCACCCCACAGAGAGCCCGGGACACTCAGGCAACCCCCGCGCCCCCTCTTCCAGCCACGAGCCAGTCCTCCACCAACACACAGGGACATGCCGCGAGCGTTCGTGGGTCTGCCCCTGAGGAACGGCAGCTCCATCGCCGCCCGGCCACGGCTCTCGTGTGGCACAGAGGTCTGTTAACCAGACTCAGTTTCTCTCTCTGGAGGCTAAAGACGGTGGACACCAGCCCACTCCCGTCCAGTTCCGGCTGGGAAAGCAACCGGACGGGCATGAGTCCACCTTCTCCTCCACCAGAGGCCGGGGAGCCAGGCGGGCGCCCACTCACCTGCGCTTTGGAGACAATGGCCAGCAGCCGGGGCATGGTGGTCATGAGCATGGTGCAGAGCCCGAAGATGAAATTCAGCGCGACGTAGGAGATGAAAGCGACGTCCGAGCTGGAGAAGGCTCTGGACATCAGGTACATCCACGGGAGGGTCGCATACCTGAGGTGGAGACGCACGTTTATTCCCAGGACCTTCGTGTGCAGAGAAGACGGAGGGCGAGGAGGTTTCCCTGGCCCGGCCGGTCTTCCTCACTCAGTGAGGCGTCTTCCTGGGCTTCAGACGACCCGGCCCTTGAGGAGGGGCCAGAGCGGGGTGACGTGTGGGCCTGGACTTGCAGCTGGTGTTCCCCCGTGCCCCCCAAAGGGGCATGCCTGCGCCCTGCTCTGAGCTCAGTCGCACCAGCAAAGCAGGAATAACGCGTCTGTCACAGGGAGAGCTAAACACGCCAGTGTGGCTCAGGGGCTGAGCATCAACCCTGCACCAAGAGGCGCCGGTTCGATTCCCGGTCAGGGCACATGTCCAGGTTGTGGGCCCATCCCCAGTGGGGGGCGTGCAGGAGGCGGCCAGTCAATGTCACACTGTCACATCGAAGTTCCTAGACTCTCTTTCTCTCTTTCCCTTCTTCTATCTCTAAAAATCAATTTTACACAAAAAAGAAAGAAAAACCAAGACTAGGAAAGCTGCATTATATACAACAACTTTACCGTGGACTGGACACTGGCACGCGGTCCAGGGTTACTCTGGAATGGACGAGGTCCCTCTCCCTGTGAACGTGGCCCGGCCCCCGCGTGTGGGCGTTCAGAGACCGGAGAGGTTCTGTGACCTCACCCCCAACCCTCTGGCATGAAAGACGCACCGATGTGTCCACAGGTTTCTTTACATGACTAGAGTCTCCTTTCCTTCTGACATTTTTTGGTGTTCTTGTGTTATTTTTTATGCAAATTCTCCCCACCCTGCACCCCGCTTCCCAGCTTAGAGATCAGATTCTCCCGGCTAGAAAGAGAGAGAGGAAAACTACAAGTATTCCTGGGCATTTTTTCTATTGTCTCTTAGAAGATTCTATTCACTTAGAGCCCTAATTTTTTCCAGATTCCAAACCGTTAAAACCCCCATTTGATGCCTGACCCTGTTGTGGGGTTTCGGCTCATTCTGGGATTCAGCTCCCTGAGCTTCCTCCTGGGCCCCTGAACCCCTGGTCCACGTGGGGACAGAGGAGTCAGGTGACAGGACGGCTCCCCGGGCGTGGCCGCCGATCCCGCGTCAACACCCAGCTCCACGAAGGAGGAACCGAACCAACTGGCAGCCCCTCGGACGTCACCCTGCGGCTTATCCCCGGAAGTGGTCTGAGGCGTCTGGCCCGACGCCCCCCGTCCCTCTCACCTACGAGCTCCCCGCCCGAGGTGGGCACCGCTGCGGGCCCAGGAAGCCCTCGAGCGGCCTGTGTCTCCCGAACGGGCACCGCTGCGGGCCCAGGCGGAGGGGTCCCGGCGGAGGGGTCCCGGCGGAGGGGTCCCGGCGGAGGGGCCCCGGCGGAGGGGCCCAGGCGGAGGGGTCCCGGCGGAGGGGTCCCGGCGGAGGGGTCCCGGCGGAGGGGTCCCGGCGGAGGGGCCCCGGCGGAGGGGCCCAGGCGGAGGGGTCCCGGCGGAGGGGTCCCGGCGGAGGGGTCCCGGCGGAGGGGCCCAGGCGGAGGGGTCCCGGCGGAGGGGTCCCGGCGGAGGGGTCCCGGCGGAGGGGTCCCGGCGGAGGGGTCCCGGCGGAGGGGCCCAGGCGGAGGGGTCCCGGCGGAGGGGTCCCGGCGGAGGGGTCCCGGCGGAGGGGCCCAGGCGGAGGGGTCCCGGCGGAGGGGTCCCGGCGGAGGGGTCCCGGCGCACTTCCCGCTCTTGGGAAGGAGCTTGAAAGCGACACAAGGTCAACGAACGCGGAGCCTGTTTCTTCGGTTTCTGCCCATTGGGTGCTGTGTCACCTTAGTCTTTGAAGCCTGCTCTCCTGAAGTTCCAGTGAGTTGTCGCAAAGCCTATTTGACTCACACCCCACGGAGCCACGACAACTCCACCCGGTCGCCCGGGTCCGTGAGCCGAAGCCACTCCCCTGCCCGAGAGCTGGGTCCCCAGGGACGGTCCACAGGCTGGGGCAGCGGTCAGGCAGCACGAGCCGGCTCCACGGGGCGGCTTTAGTGCTTCCCACGACGCCCTCTGACACTGCGGTCATCCGCCGGTAACAGTGACGAGCCAGGGTAGGGACTAGGGCCTGTCACCAGCCACAGCTGAGGCCTACGGGACTATCTAACCATCTCGGGGACAGAACCGGAGGATGGGGGGGCCTCGTAGCTTCAGGCCTGTGGTGCGAGAGCGGCAACACCCGTGTTCTCAGGGAGAGGTCTGTCTGTCTGTCCTCCCCTCCACCCACCGATGCATCCATCTCACAGAGACGCACACTTGTTTCAGTTCAGCCGCGTCCCCGAATGATCTGAACAAGCCCGGGTCACAGACACGCTGATCTGTGTAAAACCCATTTCTGTGTCATCTTTGGCTTCGATAAAAGCAGACCCCTGGGCTAAAAAACAGCCTTGAACGATGGCACGTTGGTCTGTTAGTTCTTTTCCTAGCACTAGCGAGTCTCACACATGCAGCCTGGGTGTAGACACACACGCGCAGCACAAGAAAACACAATTTGGGGACCCCTGCCAAGACCCTAACTACTGTGTATCGATGAGAAATTGATAAAATGACTTTCCTGCCTTTACGTGTTCCTTTGAGAAAACGGTGGGAAAAGTCGGACAAAACACTTCCAACCACGACTGTCGTCGGTGAGGGGACGTGGACCAGACGCAGGGCTTCTGGGGAAACCGCCCCAAGGGCAATCCCAGAGGCCGCTGGGCGAGCCCCGGTCAGTGTCAGAGTGAGGAGAACAGAGTCGTCCCCGAGGGCACGTCCACCCGCAGCTCGAGGGCCCCCCTGAGCCGGCCGGGGCACCTGCACCCCTCGAGCCGCCCGCCCCCTCCCCGGGGCACCCGGCTCCTCATCCGCGTGACGTCCCCCACGGAAGCATCATAACTGCGTGAGGAGAGGAGGGCACACGGCCCCGCGGGCTCAGAGCCGCAGCACCTACCCGAACAGCACCAGCAGGAGAGCCGTGGCCGCCAGGTTCTCTCGGAACGTGAACGCCGGCAACCGGAAGGCCGCGATGACGGCGACACACAGGCCGACGGACACCAAGTAAAAGAGCTGAGGAAACACGGGGAGCAGGGCCTGAGGCACGGAAGGACACGTGTGTCCGTTTCCACTGACCAGGTTCCCATGCCGACCCCTCCCCGGGCAGATTCACTCTGCACATCGCAGGCCTGCGCAGTGGAACCGGCCCTGGAGAGTCACAGCTGGGGGTACACTGTCCCCGGAGTCACATGCCGAAGCCCGGTGCCTACGGATGCCCCTGGAGACGTACCTGGAGGTGGGGCTCGTAAAGGGGGTGACGGTAAATGAGAACACGGGCTGTACCCCAACCCGGCCTGACTGGTGTGCTCTGAACAAGCACCGAGGGCCGGCCACGGGCACGGGGAGAGCGCAGCCATCCACGGGCAAGGACAGAGGCCCACGTGTCCTGGAAGAGCACCCCCTCCCGCAGGCTCGTACCCTCGCTTCCCTTCTCTCTCTCGGGAAGCAGGGGCCGCCCGCGTGCTTCGCTGGCGGACGGCACTGGGGACAGACGGGACCCGGACTCGGGGTGGCCTGCACCACGTGGACCTGGGATTGGGCGCCAGCCAGTGGCTTCCTGTCCTGACTCAAGCACGTCCTTCAGTCAGGACGCGGGCTGAGCCCCAGCCTTCCTTCGTCCGGGCTGCGGTTGTCGGCCTCCTCGGGTGCTGAGCACAGTGCAGGCTCGGCCCCGCCCACGGGGGAGACAGGTCTGGGGCGTCCCTGTCATGAGCCCCAGTGGCCCCGCGCACCGGGCGGGTTTGGAAGAACCTGAGCAGAGTAAAGGACTGAAAGGTTCAGACCACGGAGGTGCGGCCCGTGGAGACTGCAGAGACCCCGTTACAGGGTCACAGACGCAGCCAGCGCAGTTCTAAGGCACGTGGAAGGAAGCCCAGCACGAGGCTCTGGCACGGGTGCCCCTGGCGTGCGGCAGGTGCTGGTGGACGGCAGGCCCTCCCCCCGCTGAAGGCACAGCCTAGGACACAGGACGGGCATGTTTGTGGGGACAGGATGCCACTGTCCTGCAGAAGGGACAGCCGCAGGTGCCAGCGGACCGGGCGCTGAGCACGGAGCGTGTCTGCTGCCAGCTGCCGGTCCCCCGAGAACACACTGGGGCGTCCTCTGAAGGACCGGGTGGGCTTGGACTCTCCCGCCACAGCTGGGCCCTGCAGCCCACTCCGAGGCCGGGCACACAGCAGAGTCACAGGCGTGGCTTTCGGTGAGCAGAAGATAGGTCACTTCCAATGACCACAGCGCCCATCAAAGCTGGTTGTCTAACCCTGGCCGGTTTGGCTCAGCGGTTAGAGCATCAGCCTGCAGTCCCGAGAGACCCGGGTTCGGTTCCCGCTAAGGGCATGTACCTCGGTTGCAGTTTGTCCCCGGCCCTGGTTGGTCGTGCGGGTGGCAGCCACTCGATGTGCCCCTTTCACATCAATGTTTCTCTCTCTCTCTCTCTCTCTCTCTCTCTCTCTCTCTCTCTCCCCCTCCCCCTCTGTCTGAACAAAATATCGAAAAATGTCCTCGGGTGGGGATAAAAAAAAAAAAAAGCTGGTTGTCTACTCTCTGGTCTTCGGGACAAGAAGGTGCCCTTGTGCCTGGCCCCTTCCCAGAGCTGCAGCCCGAGGCCGTCAGCGCCCCCTCAGGAGGCCGCCCGCGTGTCTGCTCGTGACACGTGACGGGGACTCCACCTGAAACACGCCTGCCAATGAAATGACCCTTCTTGTGCTCCTAGCCTCAGGTGGCCAGCCCCCAAAATAACACCACACACACACATTCACACACATAGATGCACATGTACACATTCACATGCATACACACACGTGTGCACACATATACATGCAAAATACACACCTGCACACATGCACGTGGACACACACACACAAACACATAGATGCACATGTACACATTCACACACACACACATACACGTGTGCACACATATACATACACAAATGCACACACGGGCACACACACACAGAGGACATCCCTCCCACATCCTACCATGTCGCACAGGAAGTGGGTGAGCCAGTAGGTCCCGTAGCCCAGGCCGCTTATGTGCTGCAGCCTCTTGGCGCCGCTCAGCCGGTCCCTGACCACGGAGCCCCCGAGGGACGCGGACAGGACGGAGCAGCCCAGCAGGACACAGAGGGCCACGCCGCACTGCCGGATACTCTCCAGGCTGCAGGAGACAGAGCAGCTCGTCAGCTGGGGGCAGGCACAGCCCGTCTGCCGCTCGGAGCCGGCGGTGAGTCCCCGCGGGGAGTGTCTGGCTGAGGCGCAGACCACCGTCGACCTTTCGAACAGGGATCACTGCCCCCCATTTACAGGGGCACAGCTGAGGAGTGCAAAGGTGAGGACGTGTCCAAGTCTGCCCGTCTCCCAGACCACTGAACCCGACCCCCAGTTAAAGTGAAAGACGTCCCAGCGTGGCCTCTGCGGTGGACGGTGGCCTTCGCCCAGGGGGGACCCTGGCAGCCAGCAGCCCATCAGGGGGAGGGGCAGGCACTCGCTACGGCCCACACCCGCTGGCCCATCTTTGAATTCAATCTCTCAAAATACCCAAATGGTCTGCGCTAGCCCGAGCTGTTTGCAGTAACATCCACCGTGCACCTCCGAACATGTCTTCACCGGACACACCGATCCCCAGCCTACCCCGCCCCTCAGGACGGTCAGTGCTCGGCCTCTGGTCCTCCAGGACATTGGTTTCACAACCAATGTCAGCCAGCTGCACCCAGAATTCTGAGCAGGTGGCAGGCCTGTGACAGGGGGAGCCTGGAGGTCAGCGAGGCCTGAGGACGGACTGCGGGCTTCCTGCCCCCCGACGGCTCGGTGCACAACCAGCGATGCACTAACAGCTGTCTTTACACTCCGCACTCGAACGGACAGCCAGTCTACTGCAGGGCGGGAGGGGAGGGGACAGAGAAAGGGCTGCCCCCAGGCCTGCACATGGGCCACACCAACATCTTGTACAGGTCCTTTGTAAGGAGGCATTACTAGGTGTCCCTGGGTGAGTGCTGTCTTTAGTGCTTTCACCGGGAAGGTGTGGGGTCCTGTGAGCTTCAGGAGAAATCATCCCCTGGAACTTCCTTCCCTTAGAAATGCAGCCACATGGCGCTCACTGCTGTAAGCTGGGTCGGGCACCTTCTCATTTAACACTCTGGTCCCCACACGGTGAAAAGCGCCCCAGCCCTGGGCTAACTCTGTGCCAACCCCCTCAGGGCAAGTGCAGAAGCAGCATCCACCCCCCACGTGACCCACAGGTCTCCTTCCATAGTCGCCCCCTCTCCTTTGACTCACATCTTGTCCTCATTCAGCAGGACCCCTCCGTACGGGTGGCTGTACAGTGTCATTCCTGTGGAAGGCAGATGGAGAGGTGAGCCCACCGCCTGTCCCTGCACGGGCCGCACAAGCCCCCCTCCAGCCCCCGGACCTCTGCCCGCCGGGCTCTCCTGTTTGCTCCACCCGGGTCTGTGGCTGGCGCCCGGGAACGGGGACCCCCAGAACCGGTGTGCGCAAGAGTCCTGACAACAGGCAGTACGGGACTGTTTGGTCAGGGGCCCTGACCTCTGCTCCCTTCGACTGTCGAATAGGAATGACGGCGGCCAACACATCAGTAGCTGCTGGGTGCAAATGCCCGTCGTGACCCATAAATATACAGGTCGTATCACAGCTGCGGGTACTGGTCACGCGCACAGTAAGACTGTGTTTTGCTGGTAAATTCTTGGTACCAGAAATCCTATTTATATACAAACAGAGGCACCTGATTTTTTTTTTAAGTCTATCTCGATCCATAAGGGTAGGTAATTACTACCATTATTTTTAAATCAATCGAAATCATACGTATTTCTTGTCAAATCGGCAAAGACTGTATCTTGGTGCGCGAGAGAATTCAGTGGTTAGTTTCTGTGCCCCGAGATGAAACGGTGGAAAACAGCTGGGCTAAGGAACATCACCCGCATTTTCCGGTGAGAAAACAGACTCCGAGCAGCCACGTAACCATATGCAAAGGGGATCACTCGACGGAAACCAGGTCAGCCCTCGGACGTCCACCCGGAGACCGACCGAGTCTGGACGAAGGGGGCGGACGTGCTCCACTGGCCCGTCCTGTTCCGCCGGCCACTTCGCTGTGTCCGCCTTTGAGCGCGTGGTCGGAGGAGAAGCCGCCGCATTTTCACTGAGGAGGATTCCCCATGGGGGCTGCCCTCTCCGCACCCCAGGAGCCCCAGCCAAGGTCGGGGCCAGAACACCTCGCTTCAAGCAGCGGCCGGAAGTCTCCGGTCAGCGGTGAGGCCGCTGGACTTCCTCTTTCCTGCCCGGTCGTGTCCAGGGCTGGCCCGGGTGTGGGCCTGGAGGGGCGTCAGGCCAGCACCCCGAGCTCCCCTGCACACGACTCCGTCTTGCTGCTCCGTGGCTCCTTCCCTCAGCCTCTCGTCTGTGTCCTGCAGTCCCCGTTGAGGGCGCACTGAGTCCTCACAGACGCCCAGCGGGTGCACGTAGATGTAAGTGAAGGCAGGAGTTGGAGCCAGCAGGAGGACTCCAAACACCCGAGTTTTGCCACCAGGCCCCTGCGTCACCTTCTGCAGCCCCGCCCAGCTCCTGCAGAAGCAAAGACTCCGCCTGGGGGAGGCACCGAGAAGGCTTGTCCACCTGGTCTGGCAGGGCCAGCTTCCAGCGGTTCCCCAAATGACTCCCTTCGAATGGGCCACACTGGAACCCTACTTCACATGGAGTCTTAGGCTTAAAACGGGGGTTCGACAAGCAGCCAAGTTGCTGGGGCTCAGCCAGGGGCCAGCCTGGGTCCTCCCATCGCGTAGCCTGCGTCAGGCTCAGAAAGTCCCTTCGTCGCCAGACCAGGGCTGTCCAGGTGCACGGAGCCCCTCGGTGAGCGGCCGTGACGGCAGGACGCCGTGTGCGTGGCACACAGGTCACGTGCTCAGCTACCGCTGGCCGGATGCCGCAGCCGGTCCAAGTCAGCAGGACATGGGCTCAGCTCTCAAGGGCGTGCCACGTGCCACGCGCCACGTCTCTGAGCTGCTTCCTCGTGACGGTTCGTAGCTCCCGCCCCGCCCGTTCCCAGGGGGACAGGAAGCATCGGGGATGCCAGGAGAGGTGTGGCGGGAGCCCCGCTCACAGGAGCCCTTCGCCAACACTGGGGTGACCACTCGGCTCTCCCCCGCGCTGCTGTGGTTTCTACGCGCCCAGTTTACCGCACCGACCTGCCCTTCCCAGGAGGACCACACACGCAGTCAAACTGGAGTCAAAATGTTGACATAAACAAATAAAATACGGTTCAAGTTTCCAGTAATTGAGATAAATGTATCTTTCAAGTCAACAAACTTTTCAGCCAAGGAACGGCAAGGTCTCTCATTCCAGCAGGTGCTTCCGAGCTCGGTGTTGGGACCCCGAGCACACGGGGAGCAGTGCGGGGACCACAGACCCCTGCCGGCCGCCCGGGTGCACTCAGGGCCCAGGCCCGGCCCAGGGCTCCCGGCACACAGCAGGCCTGGGACTGTGGCTCACGCCCGAGCCACATGTAAGGCGCCTGTGGCTGAGGCAAGAAAACACACCGCCCGAGGGCTCCGTCCCGTCACCGCGGAGGCAGCTCTCTGCCAGCACTTGGGACGTGGCGTCTCACCGACGTCTGGCCCACCAGGCTTTCCAGGGACCACACTGAGGACCTCGTTGCTTTCAGACTCTCTTTGCTTTGGTCACCATGGTCATTGGCTTTTATCTCACAGGCCATGGGCTTCTGCCTCACCCCTCTGATTCCTCATCCCTCTCCTCCCACCTGTTTAGGGAGCATACCAGCTACACAGTGGCTTCTTAGACCCCGTCGCAATGCCAACTTCCCCTCAACGGCAAACACGTCTCTGTTCACATGGTGGATGTCACACGGCATATCTCTCCTTGTCACGGCCCCAGGAACACAGACTTAGGTGGAATGCTTTTGCATTTAAGTCTGGTAGAGCAGAAAGTGGGCACGATACAATGATGCAGTTTTTATATCTGTGCACGTATTTGCCTTTTCCAGAAGACTTCTATTCTGCATAAACTCAAGTTACGGTGTGGTGCCCTCTGCCAGCAGAAGGACTTCTGTCGGCCTCCTTGCAGGGCAGGCCCAGTGGTCGTGAGCTCCGTGGCTTTTGTTCATCTGGACATGACCATTTTCTCCTTCGTTGTTGAAGGTCAGTTTTGCCAGGTATGGAATTCTTGGCTGACAGTGTTTTCTCCCAGTACTTGAAATGTGATCTTACTGCCTCCTGGTGATGGGACTGAGCATGCTTGCTGCTTTCTGGGTTCTCTCATTGGTTTGGTCATGCTTTCCGTTCTTGAAATTCTGCTGATGCCAACCTCTGAGCCAAGGTCTTCCTGCCTCGGGGGCCACAGCACCTCCATTGGTCCCAGAATCCCAGGCACAGCCCTCTTGTCCTCTGCGTCTTCACTCCAGCTTGGGATCCCGCTCAGGGGCCAGCTTTATCTGTCATCTTCACGAAGGTGGAGACTAACTGGTTTTTCCTCATGACCACTGATCAAGATTGTCTCCCCAGTGTTCTGGATCCTGCTGCCCATTTTCATCTGCAGTGTGACTCGGGACCAGCCTCTGCCCATGACAATCACTTCACCCTCCTTGAAATGTCCTTCCTCCTCCTGTCCTCAGCACTGACCAATGTCGCTCATCCGTGATAGCTCGGACTTAGACCTCCTCCAGGAAGGTCTTCCTCTACCCGTGTCCATTGTCCTCCTCTCTTAGGATCATCCTCCCCGATTTCAACAGCTCCGCTGTTCCTCCCGCCGGTCTGAACTGTGTCAGTTTCCTCCAGAGTCATCTGAGCCTTGCCTGGGTTAGCTCTACACTGTGGCACATCCTTGTAATAGGTCACCTCATTGCCACTGGCCCCCTCCCCTACTACATGCTTCCAGGTTATTCCTCCTAATGCACAACTTGGGTCATGGCATTCTCATTCCCAAATATAAACACAGGCGGTCTACTGCCTGCTAAGTGAAGGTTACACTCCTCACGCCATTGGTCAATCTCTCAGAGAGAACCATGGTCCTCTGCACTGGGAACAGACGCCAGGATTGCTCTCGTGTCACTGATCCCTGCAGCAGTGTCTCAGCTTCAGCCTTGGCCTTGTTCCCACCCTGTGCGAGTGACCCCTCCATGCAGGGACCCACAGGCAGTGACCATGGAGCTCAATCCAGGAGAAGGGCACAGGCTTTGTCGTCAGCCAGACTCAAGTCAAACCCTGGGGCCAGGACATGCTGTCAAAGCCAGTGCCAGTAGCTGAGCTCTCAGCCTCGGTTTTAACCAGAGAAGCAGGAACTGAGATGGCAAAGAGATGGGCCAAGGAGGCTGAGCACCAGATAACATCCCTCCCCGTTCCAGACACCTGCCAGCCTTGGCTGCCCCCGGCTGCAGGACCTCACACGCTCATGCTTTCCTTAGGCGTCTGCTTCTTAACTTTTGCCTTTACTACCATTATTCCAAAATACAGAGTCACAACATAATTAAATCTGGTTCGTTTGAGGACTCGGTGGTGAGGGAAAGTAAACATGGAAGAACAGACACAGTTGGGGCAGTCGCCCAGCGTTCATTTCTGCAGAGCTAACGCATCAACACGTGTGTTCTGTGAGCAAACGGGGCTGGAGAGGGTCTATCGGTGCATGTACACCTGCTTTCTTCCCCTCCCTCAAAGAAAACAAAATGAATTCAGTAAATTACAACTTAGCCCACCCACTGGAAACATGTGACATCTCCCTACACCAACAGACTCATTCTGGTTCCAAGACGAACTGTGTCATTTACCAAAACAAGCACAGGAAGTGAGCCACGATCAATCCACAAATATGATGGGCTGGGGCCCAGCCTGAAGCCCACTCTGACCTCCACCTTCCCCACAGTCCAGGTAGTCCACCGAGTCCACCACAGACCCCCTGGCCATGCCCTCAGAGGGGCAAGTGGCCCTGCTTCTGTAAGACACCAGGGCCACCGGGAGAAGGCTCATGGCCCCGCTCCCTCCACTGCACAGCTGAGGCCAGAGTTCCAAGAAGGCAGAAAGCTTTAATGACACCAGTAAAGACCAGCGGGGCCCCGACTGCCTGGCGTCAGACATGGGCTGACCACTCCCAGGCCAAGTTGTTTCTGCGTCATCCCTTGCAAAGCACTGTCTCCGGAAAGGAGTGAGAAATGCCTACCGTACTGTCTCCAGTCCACAGCAGGGGGCAGGAGCCGCCACAGAATGAGGTTATTTAGATGATTCAAGTAGGAGGGGAGGGAATGGAAGCCCTTCTGCTCATACGACACCTGAAAAAGAAAGACAACCCAATGGCTCCCAAGAACAGAGCTCTCCTGTCCACTCCTCAGCTCCTCAGACTCCAGGTGCCCGTCAGTCAGCTCCCACTGCACCTGAGTGTGGCCTCAGGGTGCTGCCCCCACATGGCTGACCATGAGCAGTGACCACAGACTGCTCATCTCACATTTATCTCCAGCATATAATTCACAGCTAAAAGTAGATTAATTTTCCCCAGAACAAATGTAAATGTTGCTCTATGATTATATTCTCACAGTGAAAAAAAAAAAAAAAAAAAACCTAAACCTAGCATGATTTTTCTTTTTCAGTTGGTAAGCTAATGAAATTTAACCTGCAAATTAAAAGTAAGGAGAGACATTAAAATAAGAGATTACTTTCAAATTAATAACTGAACGTGAAACATTATTTCTCAAAATGAACGGAACTGCGCATTTGCTGAGCGTGGAGAATGAAATGGTGTGCCAGCCGGCGAGCAGGCCGGAGAAGGACGGAGTGGCAGGCAGACAGCACGACAAAAGCTGAGCTCATAAGTAGCTAAAAAGGACTAATTGAAAGAACGTATGCATCCCTATGTTCATAGCAGCACTATTTACAATAGCTGAGATCTGGAAACAGCCCAAGTGTCGTTCAGTAGATGAGTGGATAAAAAAGCTGTGGTACATGTACACAATGGAACACTATGCAACTGTAAGAAAGATAGATCTCTTGTCCTTTTAGACAACATGGGCGGACCTGGAGAGTATTATGTTAAGTGAAATAAGCCAGTCAGAGAAAGACAAGTACATATGATCTCACTTATTTGTGGTATATAATGAACAAAACAAGCTGATGAACAAAATAGACTCAGAGACATAGAAAGGAGTATGATTCAGACTGACAGACCTCAGAGGAGGGAATTAGGGTAGGGAAGTGACAGACCACAAAACTTATATGCATGTATGCGTAACCAATGGACATAGACAACAATGCTAGAGGTGATGGGGAGGGATCAGGAGGAGGGTGTCAATGGGAGAAAAAGGAGAAACATCTGTAACAAAAATAAATTAATAAAAATTGCAAAAATAAATAAATAAAAACAACAGCAAGGAGAAAAATGTACTAATTGAACCATCAATGTCCATATTTCAAAATGTTAATATTTTAAGGATAATTTTTTTTTAATATTCTCCATGTGGAAGGCTGGCAAGTGTCTTGAAGAAGTTAGTGAGTCAACCAGCAAGTCCTGGTCTTCACTCTGTTGACAGACAGCCCGCCCCTGGGGCAACACCATCTTGGCCATGTCCGGCCTCTGCAGAAGCACAGCTGCGCCCAGAGAGCACGTGCCCGGGGAACCGGGTAGGGTGGTTGCCATTCATGTGCCGTCAAGACCGGGTCTGAGTCCCTGGCCTTCCAGCCCATGTTTGTGAACCTCATCATACGGTGACTGATTGACTTCTCACCAGAGTCCGTTTAGGGAACAGCTAAGTTAAAGTTGTTCGTGTAGTTAAAAAAAGACACCGAGCCCACAGGACATGTTCCTGGCTCTGTCTCAGGTCCCCCGCTTCCTCAAGCAGCTCGGGAGACAGGCCCTTGTCCCACTTATAGAGACCACTGCCACTCACTCCCTCGGGCATCTTCTTCAGGCCAAGTCCAGTGTGGCTCTGAGATACTCTGTGATGATGCTGAGAGAGGGGTGGTGCTGCGGGACCCTCCCTGGGCACAAAGGGCTTCTGGGACCTGAGAGCATGACCCATAAAACAAGGATTGGCATCGTGGACAGCACATGGCTCCACGGGATGGTGAGCCTGGCGGACAAACCCCGATTAGATGACAGACCTCAAGTGCCGCATGGGGGCTGCAGCAGGACGGTTCCCCCAGACCACCTATGAGAGGGGCAGAGCCAGGAGCTCCGCTCTCCACAGGCAGGAAGCCAGATGAGAAGGGGTTCACAAGGCACGTTTCCAAACTGCTCTTCACACATGGCCACCGCCAGTGACGGAAGACATCCTTGGAGGATGGCAGGGATGAGGACCCCGGGGAACGTGCATGTGACCGACACTCCCTGGGAGCAGGAGCAGGAGCACAGTCTGGCTCAGGAGCTTTCCCCATGCTGGGGTCCTGCACCATCGCCAAGCACAGCCCACCGCAGCCTGACCCACAGTCACCAGCCAAGCACAGCCCACCGCAGCCTGACCCCACAGTCACCGGCCAAGCACAGCCCACCACAGCCTGACCCACAGTCACCGGCCAAGCACAGCCCACCGCAGCCTGACCCACAGTCACCGGCCAAGCACAGCCCACCGCAGCCTGACCCACAGTCACCGGCCAAGCACAGCCCACCGCAGCCTGACCCCACAGTCACTGGCGAAGCACAGCCCCCTGCAGCCTGACCCCACAGGCACCGGCCAGGCACAGCCCACCGCAGCCTGACCACAGGCACCGGCCAGGCACAGCCCACCGCAGCCTGACCACAGGCACAGCCAGGCACAGCCCACCGCAGCCTGACCACAGGCCCTGGCCAGGCACAGCCCACCGCAGCCTGACCACAGGCACCAGCCAGGCACAGCCCCCTGCAGCCTGACCACAGGCACTGGCTCACTGAGTGCACACTGTTGATACAAAGAATCGCTGTGGTTGTTTGCAATGTCGCGTTAACTAGGCAAAGGATGGCTGATCAATTAGTGAAGTTCCAAAGAAAAAAGTGAGACATATTCTGGAACTTCATTTCAGGGCTTCCGTGAATCGGCCTCTACTTGGGAGAATTTTACAAATTCTTTCATCAGGCAACAGTGTTTATGATGATCTTCAGATCCAACACTTCAGATTCTTCAGAGTTCGGACTAGCTTTCTTCTCTGTCTCACGAGCGGTTTCCGGGAGCCCTGGGCGGGGCTGCGGGCACCCGCGCGGGGTGCCCCTCCCACCTGCCCGTCAGGACCCGACGAGGTCCCATCACTGAAGGAGAAAGTCCGGCTCCTTTCGGGGGCGCGTCACGACAGCCCGAGGCAGGCCTCCCGTCGGGAATCACGAGTGACAGTCTCTCAGGGACGCAGCTGCGTCGCTGTAGGAAGAAGACCACGCCGTGGACGTTCAGGTGCAGAAAATCCTGAGAACGGAACGTCTGCCCGACACCGGGAGGGAGGTGGGTCGGCCCTCTCATCTGAAGTGCGAACCGCCTCGCGGTGTTCTGAGTAAACGGGACGAACACTCCAGGTGTGAACGAAACAGCTCGCAGAGGCTCCCTGACGACTCTCCACACGGTGGACTGAATTTCTAGGAAGCCTCTTCCCGCCAAGTCTCCAGTTTCTCTTCAAAAAGACTATGTTAATTGTACAGCATCTTATGACTGCACCCTAAAGGCCGAAGGAAAAGGCTGGTCAGCAGCGGCTGGAAGGTTTATGTGGTCATTCGACATGACATCGACCACCAGCTGCAGGGATCTCGGACGCCCGGCGCCCGGGCAGCGGCTTGGGGACCAGGATCACGTGGCTGCCGGAGGGGCGGCTCATCCAGCAGGGGTCCGTGCAGTCCGCCCGCACTCCTGTGCCTGGCCAAGCGCGTGCGGAACCACATGAGGGCACAAAGTAGGCGCCGTGATACATCGAACCCAAAGTGACCTCACAGGCGATCTGACCATAAGTTCTAACTGGGCAGGTCAAGGTGGTGGTCACGCCCCAGGCACGTAACCTCGTCACAAACAGGCTCACCTCTGCCTCCAGCCAGCCCTGTCCGTCGTTTCTGCACATCCACGTTAACACACCTCTAAAATGCCTCTTTTCTGACCCCGTGAAGGTGTGACCGCCCTCAGGAGAACGCAGAACCTCGCTGACCCTGTTAACCCTGTGACCCAGGGCCCGCCCGGCCTTCTCCCACTCACATGCCGTCTTCCCAGCCGCCCTCCTTAATTCCAAATGCATAAAGAAACTGCACATTCGTTCTCAGGGGCATCTGAGATCTTGTTTCCCAGCATGTTGTCAGTTTGGCTCAAATAAACTCATAAAAATTCTGCACAGGAAGTTTTTTTACAATTCTCTGTGGGTTTGCATGTTCTCAGATCAACAAGATCAAAACTGCAGAAGCCCCCACTCAAACATGTCGACACAGAGGACTAATCCAAACACAGAGAGGGGGGCTGGCGAGAGGACACGTGCCAGGCCCCCCTCCCCGGAGCGGAGGCTGGGAAGCCCCGGCGGCCGGGCCCCAGACACCAGCAGAGACACAACCCACTGGAAATACGCAGCGGCGGGTCGGTGCAGACACAAAGGCTGAAACGCTCTTGGGACATGGACAGGTTTCTTCAGTGAACCAGGCGTATTCTCCTATCAGCCTCGCCCTACGTTGAGAACACTAGCAAATGCATGTCAGGTCTTTTTCCGTCAAAGCATGAATCCTGATGTTTCCAGACGGAGCCATGAACCTCCTTGCCCATGTTGCCTGCTGAGGGGGCTCAGGGGGGCATTTCTGAACAGTCTACAGGGCGACTTCACTAGGGGTCACTGTGAAATACAGCTGTTAACACTCCCCTAGGATCGCGGGTGAACTGCGTGTACAGCACCTGCACCTCCCTGCGTACACCTCCCCCGCAAGCCCTGAGCCTGACCAGCTCTCAGGTCCCATGAGTCGTGAGAGCAGGAGGGTCCTGCTCTGGGCTCACAGGCACCACACTGCCTTCGTCACAGGGTGGGGACAGCAGCCACACCCCTCCCTCTGCCTGCTCCCTCCCGATCTGTCTCAGGCAGGACAGCACCAGAGAGGCTCCATCACGGGGACCGAGGCTCGTCTCTCCCGGCTGCAGGCTGCGCTCACTTCTGCCCTGAGAACCTGCTTGGTGACAGCTCTTCCGAGTTCCCGCTGCGAGCAGAGTGTCTCTCCTCTGTCCTCTCCCCTCGGGTGCTGTGCGGGGACCATTCCTACGCCACAGACAGTCCCGCAGGCCCTCGGAGAAGTCCCGCCCCATCACCGCTGCCTGTGCCCCATCGGCCAGGTCCCCCGATTCTGGAGCACGAGGAATGCCGTGCTCACGTGGCAGGAGCCCCTCGCCGCCAGGGCAGCCAGTGGGCGTCCAGCTGTCCTGCCCACGGGTGTCCCTAAGAACAGATCAGCTTCTCATTTGCTGCAGACCTACTGGGCGAATTCCGATCTTAACCAAACAGTGGCCTTGCTGTTCAGTCAGAGGGGAGCACTCCCGCTCTCTGTCAAGGGCAGGTTGGCACACAGACGTCTCTACTGCACGGGACGGACGTGGGTTGACGCGGCGATCAGCCTCCCCAGGGCTCTAACAGGACACCACACAAAAACACCGTTACCTTGGCCAGCGTTTCTGGTGTCGCTGTGCTTGCATTCGCGTCCGGAACGGGACCCGGGACTCGCACTCCGAAAGACCACCCTCCAAGCCTGGAAACAGTGAACAGGTGTGAGCGCCATCTGGGGGCCGGATGCCAGCCCGGGCCAGCTGCTCTCGCAGTGACCTTGGGAGACAGCGGACTGGGCCTCGGCTGTCGGGGGCGGCCACGCGGCGGGTCAGCGGCAGGAGGAAGTGGACTTGCCCATGAGGCGGGCATCCAGGCATGGCTTGTGGGGTCCGCATGGGGCTTGCCATCCTAGAGTGCGCTCCTCAGAACTCACCCCCCAGGTGGGAAAGATGCCCGTACAGGACGTGGCTACAGTGGGCATTTCCACTCATGGTCCTTTCTCCCGCGGACCAGCTACGGGGAGCCCCTCGCCATCCCTCTGGGAGCCGCCCTGCTCGGTCTCCCGCCCCGGCCTGTTTGGAGTGAATGTGGACACCGCCCTGCGCAGGAGGCTGCCCCGCGGGCTGCGGTGGGCTGGCGGCCGTCTCTTCCACACTTCCAGTGACCATACCCACGGCCACACGGGGCTTTACGTCTCTGCCGGTTTCTCTGGGTGGCAAGTCTGTCTTTTACCCCGTCACCCGGCCGAGTGGGCCTGGCGCCGATGTGACGTCAGGAATACAGGGACGTGCTACTTTGTCCTCCCCCCCCACCCCGGGTTACAGCAGACGGAAGAAGAAACTCCCCCAGCACCCGGCGCTCAGCAGGGGCTGAGGCAGAGGCAGGGGCTGCGTCCCACCGTCGGCCTCACCACTCAGCCTGCACTGACGAGACTGAGGGAGCGACTTCCAGGGGCCGACACTCCCCTGGTCCTGGCACAGAACACCCGCCTCCGGGAGCCAGACTCTGCATGTTAAAAGCCGAGGAGAGGGGTTGTGGGGACGCGGGGACTCTGGCAGAGCAGAGACCGTAGCCGCGATTTAAAGCCATGAAACGCACCCTTCCTGACCCCTAGACTCACACACCACCGCTTTCCCAAGCAGAGTCTGGGAGGAGCCCAGACACGTGGCTGCCCCGGTGATGCCGCAGAGACAAGGGGTCGGGTGGTGAAGCCAGCCAGGCGATGACCGGCCAAGGATGACAGGCCAGGGGATGACCAGCCAGGGATGACCGGCCAGGAATAACTGGCTAGGAATGACTGGCCAGGGGATGACCAACCAGGGATGACCGGACAGGAATGACAGTCCAGGCGATGACCAGGCTGGCAATGACCAACCAGGGATGACAGGCCAGGGGATGACCAGCCAGGGATGACCAGCCAGGGATGACAGGCCAGGGGATGACCAGCCAGGGATAACAGGCCAGGGATGACCAGCCAGGGATGACCAGCCAGGAATGACAGGCCAGGGGATGACCAGCCAGGGATGACCGGCCAGGGATGACCGGCCAGGGATGACAGGCCAGGGATGACCAGCCAGGGATGACCAGCCAGGAATGACCGGCCAGGGATGACCAGCCAGGGATGACCAGCCAGGGATGACAGGCCAGGGGATGACCAGCCAGGGATGACCGGCCAGGAATGACCGGCCAGGGATGACCAGCCAGGGATGACAGGCCAGGGGATGACCAGCCAGGGATGACCAGCCAGGGATGACCAGCCAGGCGATGACCAGCTAGGGAATGACCAGCCAGGAATGACCGGCCAGGGATGACCAGCCAGGGGATGACCAGTGCACGTCAGCGGTCAGGGACCTGGCCCCTCAAAGCCTTTGCTGGGACGTGTCTGAGGCTTCTCACGAGCTACGACATGGCATCGGAAGCAGTGGTCCCCACCGCAGGTCCCGGGCAGCTCTGAGCCCACCTGGGTCTGTCACTTGGCAGCAGCAAGTACTCCTCCAGGCGGAAAGCCGACAGGTTCAGCAGCGTGTGGCCCAGGGCGCTGGTCAGGTAGGGAGGCCCGGCGCTGACGTTGGGACAGGCCTGTGGTTGTTCGCAGAGAGAGAGCCCAGAGACTGTTATGACCCACCAACAAGCAGGTTCCCTGACGTCACCTTTAACGAGCGTGACTTCCTGCGGGGTTCCACCTTTACTCGATAATCTGCGGCCTCTTGGGTGTTCTGACTTCTCAAATGTCTTCGAGAGTCACCCGCATCTGCGAATTGCAGACTCCCCCTGGGACCTTGGCGTCAATTGCGCTGGGAACTTCGGGTGCTTTTCTCTAAGTCTGAGCAGCTGGGTGAGAACTCAGAAGGGCCAAGGCCTCCACCAGACGGGGTGGCGCGTGAGGACCCCGAAAGTCCAGGACAACTATGGTAGGATGACATGCACAGCGATTCAATGTGGTGTGTTTCTCCCCAAGCGCCTCCAGGAGAAACGAGTCCCCTCTCCGCGGTGATGCGCCAGAGGACAGGCCCAGCTCAGAATCACGAAATGACCGCCCAGCAGGGTGAGCTGCTCAGCAGGGCCCTGGGCCACCCAGGGATGCCCTGCCCCCCTTGGGAGAACCACCCCCTAGGGCAGCCACGATGGACGCGGGGCCTGACACTCTGACCCTTCCGCATCAGCTTCTGAAGCTGGATCTTCCCCTCCCCTCCGTCTCTGTCCATCAGGACAGCCACTGGCGTGTGGATTACAGCCAACAGACCTACGACTTTCATTAACGGCCGTTGGGTTCCCTCTGGGATGATCCAGCCCGTTTCCGAGTGGGTTTGCACCCGCGCTCCCTCACGGCCTGGGTGCCGTGCTGTTAGTGGACTGTGAGCGTCTGCCCCGTTTTCCGGGGAGCAGCCACAGTCGGGGGACCTGGGTGGCGTCCTGCTTTTAATAGCCGGCTCTCAGAACTCAGATAAACAGAAACATGGCAAGAGCCTCGTCGTCCCGCCTGGAGATGTCGGGAGATTTCTCCCGGGGCCGTGCCGGCTCCCCCTGGTCGCGGGCGGTGGAACCCACACAGCGTCCGCGCTGCACCACGGTTCGCTTTGAGGAATGAAATGTTTCTGAGCCGCAGCTCGAGTAGACCCGAGTCACAGAGGCTCATTAGTTAACAGGAACAGAGGCTTATAAATGAAGTCAACATTATTGTTACTTGAAATTTAGACTTTAAAAAAAAAAGCCCGGGCCAGTTTGGCTCAGTGGTTAGAGCGTCGGCCCGCAGACCAGAGAGTCCCGGGTTCGGTTCCCACTAAGGGCACGGACCTCGGTTGCAGTTTGTCCCTGGTCCCGGCTGGGGCCGTGTGGGTGGCATTAGTCAATGTGTCTCTCTCACATCGATGTTTCTCCCTCTCTCTTCCCCCCTCTCTCCCTCCCGCTCTACCTGAAGATAAATGCAACAATGTCCTCGGGGGAGGATAACAAACAAACAACAACGCAGATCACCACAGAACCTACCGCACAGCCACAGGAGCCCTGGACTTCCGGGCGAGACCGGGGACCGGTGTGCCAACAGGAAGCATTCCCCCTACAGAAACACCAGGAGAGCGGCGTGAGGGCCCGGCGACCCTGCCAGCGCGGAGCCCCGAGGAGCACGCGGGCCCAGGCGCCATCCCTGCCGCAGGAGGCGCCCGCCGTTGGCCGCAGCTGGAGCCGGAGCCCCGGTGCCGAGTTTCCTCACGACGGCAGTTTCCTGTTCCCCCAGGGACGCCCTGCGGTGCAGGAGGCAGGCCCCGGCTCCCAGGTCTTTCTCTGGCGGGACTCAGGGGAAGCCCCTGCTCCTGCCATTGACGCCGGTGAGCCGCTGACTCCTCCCGACAGGACCCCGCACTTGATCCTCATTTACGGAAACATCGACCCCTGGAGTCCATACGAACACAGGCGGGGTCACAGAAACTGTCACGGACGAGGTGCAGCCCTGGTTCTCGCTCTTCCTGACTCCGACCTTCCCCACAGCGTCTTCTTCGTTAAATCAGACGTTGCTTTAGTGAAGATAGCTACTCCTGTCCACTCAGAATCGGGGAGAAGGGAGGACGCTCACACTGACTGACCACAGGCACCAGACCTCCTGCGGCCCCCTGGGGGCCGAGGGGTCTCCGCAGGTGTGGCAGCCCATCCCCCGCAGGCCGCAGACGCCGGGCCTCGGGGTGCCAGCCCGTCTGCTGGGGACGAAGGTCCAATCCAACAAAAACAAACTCGCTGCGTCCATTACCCAGGTCTACAGAGTGCAGTTTCCACTCAATCTTCTTACGTATCAGAACGATGTGGAGACTTTCCTGGGCAGTCACCTGCCGGGGTCCAGTCAGAGACGGAACCGTTACCATGGAAGCACTGGTGTCTAGCCAGACGCTGATCTGGACGCCCGCCCGTGTTTACAGGGCTGCTCTCCGCTGCTGCCCGGCAGGCTGCCCGCGTCCCCGGCCTCGGCTGCGCCCTCGGCGACGTCAGCAAGTGCTCCCAACACCGAGTCTTTAAAGACGAGTCTCTGAGTCCTTCCCAGGCCTCCACCACGCTCCTGCCTGGTCCCTTCCAGAGGAAAGTCTGGGTGGGAGATGCTGGGTGACACCGGCCCCTTCGTACGTGACGCGGAGACGCAGCCCAGGGTGGTGACCGCCGGGGGGGTGGGCGGGGAGGTGGAAGTGGGTAAAGGGGGGGATGGGGACCAACAGACAGAGACTCTGCTTGGGGCGGTGGGCCCAGGATGCAGGGTGGGGAGTTTTACTGAGCTGTACACTTCAAACCTGTATGGTTTTGTGAACCAATGTCACCCCGATAAATTCAATAACAAATGAACAAATAAAAAGGCTGGACCGCAGAGGAAATGAAAGCAGCGGAAATGAGCAGGTCCCCACACAGGGCTGCCCCCAATCTGTACAGTCTCGTGGGCACTGGACCGGGAGGGACAAGCCCCAGGGCCACCTGGCGGTGAGCGGGGTGCTGCTCCCCTGAGGGCTGGGCTCACTGAGGCAGCAACGCAGAGGTCAGGTAAGGTGCCCAGTCACCCGGCAGACCAGGCGGAGCTGAAGGTGGGCTCAGGCAGCCGGCCCAGGATCGGGGGCCCCCCCCGGCTCGCATGAGGCCTGACACACAGTCTCCTTGGTTTCGACCCTTGACCTTGACTTCCGTCTCCACAGGCCCCTCCGGGACCCCGTCCCCAGCTGAGCCATGTGGCTGCAAGGACCTGACCCCATGAAGGGTGGGTCCCACCAAGAAAACACTCCAGTTGCTGCAGCGGGACCCTGGGGAGAAACCCACACAACAGCCACCTGGCTGTTCCAGTTCAACAGAAATTCTGACGGGCCAACTACCACTTTCAATTCATGTGCAAGAACCAGCAAGAACATCTGGGAAAGCACCATTCACCCCTGAAACACCAGCAGACCCTCACCGCTCACCCTGAAACACCAGCAGACCCTCACCGCTCACCCCTGAAACACCAGCAGACCCTCACCGTCCACCCTGAAACACCAGCAGACCCTCACCGCTCACCCCTGAAACACCAGCAGACCCTCACCGCTCACCCTGAAACACCAGCAGACCCTCACCGTCCACCCTGAAACACCAGCAGACCCTCACCACTCACCCTGAAACACCAGCAGACCCTCACCGTCCACCCCTGAAACAACAGCAGACCCTCACCATCCACCCCTGAAACACCAGCTGACCCTCACCATTCACCCCTGAAACAACAGCAGACCCTCACCATTCACCCCTGAAACACCAGCAGACCCTCACCATCCACCCCTGAAACACCAGCAGACCCTCACCATCCACCCCTGAAACACCAGCAGACCCTCACCATCCACCCCTGAAACACCAGCAGACCCTCACCATTCACCCCTGAAACACCAGCAGACCCTCACCATCCACCCCTGAAACACCAGCAGACCCTCACCATCCACCCCTGAAACACCAGCAGACCCTCACCATTCACCCCTGAAACAACAGCAGACCCTCACCGTCCACCCTAAAACACCAGCAGACCCTCACCGTCCACCCTGAAACACCAGCAGACCCTCACCGTCCACCCTGAAACACCAGCAGACCCTCACCATTCACCCCTGAAACACCAGCAGACCCTCACCATTCACCCCTGAAACACCAGCAGACCCTCACCATTCACCCTGAAACACCAGCAGACCCTCACCATTCACCCCTGAAACACCAGCAGACCCTCACCATTCACCCCTGAAACACCAGCAGACCCTCACCGTCCACCCCTGAAACACCAGCAGACCCTCACCATTCACCCTGAAACACCAGCAGACCCTCACCGTCCACCCTGAAACACCAGCAGACCCTCACCATTCACCCCTGAAACACCAGCAGACCCTCACCGTCCACCCCTGAAACACCAGCAGACCCTCACCATCCACCCCTGAAACACCAGCAGACCCTCACCATCCACCCCTGAAACACCAGCAGACCCTCACCGTTCACCCTGAAACACCAGCAGACCCTCACCATCCACCCCTGAAACACCAGCAGACCCTCACCATCCACCCCTGAAACACCAGCAGACCCTCACCATTCACCCCTGAAACAACAGCAGACCCTCACCGTCCACCCTGAAACACCAGCAGACCCTCACCGTCCACCCTGAAACACCAGCAGACCCTCACCATTCACCCCTGAAACACCAGCAGACCCTCACCGTCCACCCCTGAAACACCAGCAGACCCTCACCGTCCACCCCTGAAACAACAGCAGACCCTCACCATTCACCCCTGAAACACCAGCAGACCCTCACCGTCCACCCCTGAAACACCAGCAGACCCTCACCATTCACCCCTGAAACACCAGCAGACCCTCACCGTCCACCCCTGAAACACCAGCAGACCCTCACCGTCCACCCTGAAACACCAGCAGACCCTCACCATTCACCCCTGAAACACCAGCAGACCCTCACCGTCCACCCCTGAAACACCAGCAGACCCTCACCATCCATCCCTGAAACACCAGCAGACCCTCACCATCCACCCCTGAAACACCAGCAGACCCTCACCATTCACCCCTGAAACACCAGCAGACCCTCACCATTCACCCCTGAAACACCAGCAGACCCTCACCATCCACCCCTGAAACACCAGCAGACCCTCACCATCCACCCCTGAAACAACAGCAGACCCTCACCATCCACCCCTGAAACACCAGCAGACCCTCACCATCCACCCCTGAAACACCAGCAGACCCTCACCATCCACCCCTGAAACACCAGCAGACCCCACCGTCACCCTGAAACACCAGCAGACCCTCACCATTCACCCTGAAACACCAGCAGACCCTCACCATCCACCCCTGAAACACCAGCAGACCTTCACCATCCACCCCTGAAACACCAGCAGACCCTCACCATCCACCCCTGAAACACCAGCAGACCCTCACCATCCACCCCTGAAACACCAGCAGACCCTCACCATCCACCCCTGAAACACCAGCAGACCCTCACCATCCACCCCTGAAACACCAGCAGACCCTCACCATCCACCCCTGAAACACCAGCAGACCCTCACCGTTCACCCTGAAACACCAGCAGACCCTCACCATCCACCCCTGAAACACCAGCAGACCCTCACCATTCACCCCTGAAACACCAGCAGACCCTCACCATCCACCCCTGAAACACCAGCAGACCCTCACCGTCCACCCTGAAACACCAGCAGACCCTCACCGTCCACCCCTGAAACACCAGCAGACCCTCACCGTCCACCCCTGAAACACCAGCAGACCCTCACCGTCCACCCCTGAAACAACAGCAGACCCTCACCGTCCATCCCTGAAACAACAGCAGACCCTCACCGTCCACCCCTGAAACACCAGCAGACCCTCACCGTCCACCCCTGAAAACCAGCAGACCCTCACCATCCATCCCTGAAACAACAGCAGACCCTCACCATCCACCCCTGAAACACCAGCAGACCCTCACCGTTCACCCTGAAACACCAGCAGACCCTCACCATCCACCCCTGAAACACCAGCAGACCCTCACCATCCACCCCTGAAACACCAGCAGACCCTCACCATTCACCCCTGAAACACCAGCAGACCCTCACCGTCCACCCTGAAACACCAGCAGACCCTCACCGTCCACCCTGAAACACCAGCAGACCCTCACCATTCACCCCTGAAACACCAGCAGACCCTCACCGTTCACCCCTGAAACACCAGCAGACCCTCACCATTCACCCCTGAAACACTAGCAGATCCTCACCATTCACCCCTGAAACACCAGCAGACCCCCACCATTCACCCCTGAAACACTAGCAGATCCTCACCATTCACCCCTGAAACACTAGCAGACCCTCACCATTCACCCTGAAACACCAGCAGACCCTCACCGTTCACCCCTGAAACACCAGCAGACCCTCACCGTCCACCCCTGAAACACCAGCAGACCCTCACCATCCACCCCTGAAACACCAGCAGACCCTCACCATTCACCCCTGAAACACCAGCAGACCCTCACCGTCCACCCCTGAAACACCAGCAGACCCTCACCGTCCACCCCTGAAACACCAGCAGACCCTCACCATTCACCCCTGAAACACCAGCAGACCCTCACCGTTCACCCTGAAACACCAGCAGACCCCCACCATTCACCCTGAAACACCAGCAGACCCTCACCGTCCTCCCTGAAACACTAGCAGACCCTCACCGTTCACCCCTGAAACACCTGCAGACCCTCACCAGAGCATCCCCGGAGTATGTCTTATAAAATGAAGTTGGATGCTTAAGTCTGCCGTCTGTTTCTAAAACTTAGCCACTTTAGCACATTGTAAAACTGAACTACACATCATCTGTTATGAGGGCGATTCTATCGTAGGTCAGTTTCTGCCACGACAGATTTCTCCGGGGACCCCCTGCCTTCCGCAGGAGAGGGCTAAGCCGGGACGGTCACACACGACCACCTCCACGAACTACCACGAGCAGGGTGTGACCTGCCCTGTCAGGTGGTTTCCTCCGACCGGCAATCAAGCGATGGCTCAAGTCTGCAGAGAGGGAAACCACAGATGTCACTGGACTCAACAACAGTTCGTGCTAAGAGAAGGAGGCGTCCTTGATTTAAACGAAAACTTTGCTTCTGTCTGGACCCGAGTGAACCACGGGCTGTGCGAACGCCACGTGAACCACCATCAAAGGACGTGGTCAGAGCACCCGCAGGGGGCAGCCCCGGGACCGGCCTGTCGTTACCTGGCCCAAGGCAGAGGGTAGAAATGGCTACAGAGTAGGAATGCGTGAAGGACAGGCTGGTGGGCTTTACCAGGTGGAAGGAGACAGGAGGGCAGGCGGGCCGCGGGCGCCCACGACCACTCCCTGCGGAGCCGGAAGACACGGCTGTGGGAACAGAACCTGGAAGGTGTGTCCTCCGTCCTCTGCAGGGACCCGCCCCTTCCCCCTGACGTCTCCTCCTGTCAGGGAAGGGAGACATCACCACGGAAGCTTTTACTTAGTGAAAGTAATTGCTTTGTTTTTCAAGAGACGGCTAAAGGGAAAACAACGTAATTAATTTTCTATTAATTCTTCCTTACTGAGACCAGTAACCGCTATTCAGTCTGGAGCTAATGGCCCGCGTGACGAATGGGCAGCAAGTGCCATCATAAATTAGGAAAAGATATTCCCACTATGGCATTTATGTCTGGGTTTTTATATTTATTACTTAAAAACACACACCCAGTTGTGCTTAACACAGCGTAATGGTGTTCATCGCTTCCCCCACTTGCTCGGTCCGGAGCTGCGCATTCGAGACCAGGGTGTGCCCTGCACCGAGCCCAGGTCCTACACAGCACTGTGTTTAATGTAGATGCCCACAAACAACCACCGAGCAACACAAGGCGGGAAGTCTCATCGAGAAACACATCCTCGCCCTGGCCGGTGTGGCTCATTTTGTTGGGCTTTGTCCCAGGCACCAAAGAGTCACCAGTTCAATTCCTGGTCTGGGCACGTGCCCAGGTTGCAGGCTCAATCCCCAGTAGGGGGCGTGCGGGAGGCAGCCGATCGATGTCTCTCCTCATCCCCCTTCCCTTTGTCGCTCTAAAATTAATAATTTTTTAAAAAAAGACATGCTTTGTCAAGATTTCATTGAAACATCCTCTCTCCATGATCATTTTCAAATCCTGGGAAGAAAAGTATTGAGAGTAATTCGCTGCCAACTGAAGTGACTGACTCAAGTCCCTTCAGTCACAGACAGATGACGCTAATATCACACGCACAGGTTTTTTCTAAAGGTAAGTAACAGTTAATACATATTTCCCATTTAACTGCTACTTAATTTTTTAGCTCTGGGTTTTATTCAAGGAACAGGATGCTATTAATTATTGGCTTTTTGGGTTTTTTTTTTTGCCTTAATATAAGCCGTGTGCTCACCCAGGACGGAAGGGGTCGAGGACAGTGTATTTCAGGTCACTTTAGGAGGCCACTCCGGCGGCCTGCTCAGTGCTGACGACCCTGTCGGCAATGCTCACTTCTCAGAACGTGAACTTCGCATGAATACAAACCGTGACGCGGCCCTGCCCACCCGCGGGCTCCGGCCGGAGGCGGCCCTGCCCACCCGCAGGGTCTGCTGGCTGGAGGTGGCCCTGCCCACCCGCGGGCTCCAGCCGGAGGCGTCCCTGCCCACCCGCGGGGTCTGCTGGCTGGAGGCGGCCCTGCCCACCCGCGGGCTCTGGCTGGACGCGGCCCTGCCCACCCGTGGGGTCTGCTGGCTGGAGGCGGCCCTGCCCACCCGCGGGGTCTGCTGGCTGGAGGCGGCCCTGCCCACCCGCGGGCTCTGGCTGGAGGCGGCCCTGCCCACTCGTGGGGTCTGCTGGCTGGAGGCGGCCCTGCCCACCCGCGGGCTCTGGCTGGACGCGGCCCTGCCCACCCGCGGGGTCTGCTGGCTGGAGGCGGCCCTGCCCACCCGCGGGCTCTGGCTGGACGCGGCCCTGCCCACCCGTGGGGTCTGCTGGCTGGAGGCGGCCCTGCCCACCCGCGGGCTCTGGCTGGAGGCGACCCTGCCCACCCGCGGGGTCTGCTGGCTGGAGGCGGCCCTGCCCACCCGCGGGCTCTGGCTGGAGGCGGCCCTGCCCACCTGCGGGGTCTGCTGGCTGGAGGTGGCCCTGCCCACCCTCGGGGTCTGCTGGCTGGAGGTGGCCCTGCCCACCCGCGGGCTCTGGCTGGATGCGGCCCTGCCCACCTGCGGGGTCTGCTGGCTGGATGCGGCCCTGCCCACCCGCGGGCTCTGGCTGGAGGCGGCCCTGTGTAGGGAGCGGGTACCTACCGGTCCGGGTGGTCGGCACACAGCAGCCCCTTGTCCCCGAACTTCCGCAGGAGCAGGCGGGCGAGGTCCACGGAGCCGGTCTCACTGCAGTGACCAGGAGACAAAGGACACGGGGTGGGCTGTCAGTGCTGGCCCGGCGGGGCCATGGGACCGGTGCCCTCACAGGCCCACTGCTCCTGGTGGCTGACCCAGCGAGCTGTTCGCCGCTGTCACAGGTGACGCCAACCAGCGAGGACACACATTTCCGAGGAGCACGGCTCTGCCCACACCCACACCCACACCCACCTGCTTCCACAAGGTGTTCTTCTCCTCATCGCTTCACCCAGTGTTGCAATACGACCATCCTTGGCCTTTTTACGTGTTTTTAAAAATGAATGTCAGCCCTGGCCGGTTTGGCTCAGCAGTTAGAGCATCAGCCCTCGGACCAGAAGAGACCCGGGTTCGGTTCCCGCTGAGGGCGTGTACCTCGGTTGCAGTTTGTCCCCGGCCCTGGTTGGGGTCATGTGGGTGATGACAATCTCTCTCTCACATCGATGTTTCTCTCTCTCTCTCTTCCCCCCTCTCTCCCTCCTGCTCTATCTGAAGATAAATGCAAAAATGTCCTCGGGTGAGGATAAAACATAAAAATAATGAATTTCGAAGGCTGCACAGTCTCCCACTGTGTTAATACATTAGAATCGACACGAATAGTCTGTCCGTGCCAGAGCTGTGATCTGTTTGAAGTCTCTGTTCTGTTCCAAAGCCCGGCAGTTAAACAGCTTCCTCGGCCTCTGCGGGCGATTGTCCGTGTGTCTGTCCACTGTCCGGAACAGCCGTCTCTCCTCAGGAAGCCTCAGCAGAGTCCCAGGTGTGCTGAGCCCTCGGAGAATCGTCCCGTTCGCTTCCCTGGACGTCGCAGGGGCCAGTGGGCACTTCGAGCGGCACCGCTGAGGCCCAGCCTGGCCACTGCGAGCTCCTCACGGAAGACGCCACCGGGGAGGAGACACCCAAGTCCTCCAGTTTGGGGAGGTGTGGAAATCAACTCTACACTAAGTCTCACACATCAGTTGTAAGAAACATCTTGACGTGAGAAAATGTAGAGGAAATGATGTTTAATTAAAATTCCGAATGATGGTGTTTATGCAGAAGAATAGACTTATTTCCTAGCACTTAACATCAGGTCTGTTACAAAATGCTTTGAGCAGACACCTTCGGGAACACTTATCCCAGAAATAAAGAGGAATGACGCGTGACAGATACGTCCGCGCAGACAGTGACTTCGGGTCTTTCTGGAAGGAAGAACGTCCACTAACAAGTGTGCAGAGATGTGTTGGTTTAAAGAACTTACAGCATCAGCTTCTCCTGGGAAGAATCAGAAACCTGTGTGTTTCCCCGCAACGCTGGTGTTTCTAGTCCATTTCTTTGTTGGCGGACAAAGTTGACTGGCTCCCACAAACGTTCTGAACTGTCTGGGTTGTCAGGTCATCACACCCCACATCCCGGGAGGAATGAAGCCGGAACGAGCCGCGACCCCCCAGTTTACACAGTGTACCCCCTGCACAGGGGCCACTTTACAGAGAGTCCTCATCTCCCCATCCCTTCCGTCCGCCTCTAGCAGACCAATCTCACACTTTCTATGCTCAAAATTCATCAGTTGCTCCCGCTGCCTCCCTGGGAGCCTTGAAGTCTATTTCAGTCCCTCCGCACCCTGCCGGCCTTCGCAACTTTGGACAAAGGCTGCCCGACGTCCTCTCACAGCCCAGCCCGGTCTGACTGGGCGGACCTGCCCCCAGGTGCTGCCCCTCTGAAGGGCACCCCTTCCTGCTCCCTGGCTCAGTCCCTTCCCGGGAGCCCTCCCCTGCTTCCTCTTTCTGCCCAGCAACCCTGACGGCAGCTCCCTGGCTTCGACTGTGGGCTTCTTCTCGGTCTCTTCGCAGGAACAGACGATCCAGGAGCAACAGGACAGTCGCTGGAACTCAGCACGTTCTCAAACATAATCTGAACGAAGTGTGAGGTTACCAGTGCTCTGAAATCAGGCCCAGCTCTTCCCCTCGACCCCTTTATCCGACTTCCCCCGAACTGGTCCTCCCTGACCTCCTACCGTTCCGTGAACGAGAGAGATGGACCCATCACCCCGTCAGCGGGGTGTCTCTGCTGAGCACGGCCTTGCTCACAGGGCAGTGACTGCGCACGAATGTGGGACGCAAACCCCACTGTGGCACACAGGCCCCGGGGGGCATTTACAGAGAACCCCCTCTTCCCAGTGAACCAGATACGACGAAGATTTCTGGACATTCAGGTGGCTCTGAAGATGAATTAAGGAAGCCTCACTTAAAATAGAGTCGGGCCTGGCCGGTGTGGCTCAGTGGTTGAGCGTCAACCCTGCACCAAGAGGTCTCCAGTTCGATTCCCGGTCAGGGCACATGCCCAGGTTGTGGGCCTGATCCCCAGTGGGGGGTCATGCAGGAGGCAGCTAATCGATGTTCTCTCTCATCGATGTTTCTATCTCTCTCTCCCTCCCTCCCTCTCCCTTCCTCTCTTTCTAATATCAGTAAAGAAAAAAATAAAGTAAAATTAAATAAATAAAATAAATTAAATTAAATGGAGCTGTGAGGCCTGAAGAGGGAGCCCTCAGCACTACCACAGGGCGTCAGTTACACCAGCCCACGGAAGAGACGCCTCCATTCCAGCAAGCCTGCAGGAAGAGGGAAGATTTTCTCCTTGTCCAGCAACAAGCCCAGCCAATGGGAGGCACCCCAGCCCAGCCAATGGGAGGCACCCCAGCCCAGCCAATGGGAGGCACCCTGGCCCAGCCAATGCGAGGCACCCCGGCCCAGCCAATGGGAGGCACCCCAGCCCAGCCAATGGGAAGCCATGCCCACTCGGAGCCCTCGCTTCCTTCTGCACTTGACCCCGGGCACCCTCCCAGCTCCCTCCCTCCTGGCAGCTCCCCTCTGGTTGCCGGGCGTCCTGCGGTTCTGCTGCCCCACGTGCACCCGCGCTGGGGAAATCCTGGTTTCTCGCTGACGTCCACATGGCTTCTTGTGAACCTAGCACGACCCGCCGGGCCCAGGCCGGACACGCGGGCTCACAGTAGGCACGGCCCGCGAGCGGCGCTGTGGCTTCGGCACCGGTTCCGCAGCGTCACATGAGAGACACGGTCCCCGGGAACAGACGCGCCTTCCGCTGAGGCATGGCGGAAGAGAAAAGGTCCCTGTCACCCTCTTTTGACCTGTTCACCCGGAGCAAACCCGGAAGTTTCAGATCCTGTTTCTGAAAGAGGATAGAAATCGGCCTGCAGTGTTCACTGGGAGTGACCACGGAGGCGGGATCTGAAGTCAGGTTCACTCGGCACTGTTTGCTCAGGTCTAGAGGTCGCTGTTTATAAGCAAAACACACCACCCAGAACCCTGGCTCTCAATGGTCCCCGATGCCATAGAAACCGAATGCTGTCCCCACTCGGTGGCTCTGCGGCCTTCAGACGCGGCTGCAGGGCCTGTGAAATCGCCCCAGCAGACGCGGGGCGCAGACCAGGCTCCGGCAGCTCCTGCGCGGGTCGCCGCTGCTCTGTCCCGTCAGCATTGCCCAGCGCGGTGTCCCCCAGAGCGGCCCAGTTCCCGCTCGAGGCCAGGGCTGGCGTGGCCCGTGGCATGAGGGCCTGTGGCTCCACGTCCCCTTTCCCTGAGGGGACCGGTGGCCCTGGGGAGCTGGGAGGCCAGCCGGCCTCACTGCCCTAAACGTCCGCCCGGAGACAGGCCGGGGGAGCCCAGCCTCTCAGCGCTCAGCCTGGAGAACGCGCGTGTACCTGAGGTCAGGGCGTCAGCGCCGCTCTGCCCGTGGACCTGGCGAAGGAAAGGGGCGGGGAGGCCCCCCTGACAGCCGCCTACCTGAAGAAGTAGGTCTCGGCCTCCTCGTACTGGCCAGGCGTGAGCTTCAGGGGAGGGTAGTCAATGGCCAGGGGCCGCACCATGAACAGGCCGGTCGCCAAGGCCACGAAGAGCACGGGCAGCAGCAGGTGTGACAGGGTGCCTCTCCAGGCCCGGCGCGCGCGGCACAGCCGCCTGGTCAGCAGGGCAGCCGCCTGCGTGAGGGTCCTGGCAGGGGCGCCGGCTGCGGGGACAAGAACATGATGCCTGAGTCTCCGGGGCCTAGCGGCCTGGCCCTGTGGCCTCTCGGCCACCGTGGGTGACCCCAGGCAGCTCTGAGCATGGCCCCTCGCCGAGGAGAACTCTGCACCGGTCTGCACGACAGGACACCCGTGATGCCCACGGCGGGAACAGACCCCACAGGGCACCCTGGGTCTGGCTCTTAAAGGCAGCGGCAGACAGGACAAGGGAAGGGCAGGGTGTGCGTTTCCGTAGATCAGAATGAAGCTACATTCCTGCAAATTCCCTCACGAAAAGACAGCAAGACGTCCCAATGTCCCCAAGTGCACTGGTGGAGGTGGGGTGCAGAGAAGGGCTGTGTCCCCACGCAGACCTCTGTCCCGGTGGCCCTCCCCCCGCGGGCCCCTCTCCACGTTCTTTCCCTCTGTTCTTACCCACGTGCCCTGAGGAAGCCCAGCGGACACGGCCCAGCTCAGGGAGGCGCCATGCGGCCCAAGCCCCTGCCAGTCCGGGGCACCCAGGTGAAGAGGGGCGGCGTTCGGAGCTCTAACTGCAGGCCCAGCCCCCCAGGCCTCAGCCATCCCCCTTCCTTCCTGGCAAACCTGACTCAGAGCAGAGGGTCAAGGGTCAAAGGGGAGTCCAGCAGGGGTCTTGCAGCATCGTCACTGGTCTCCTTCTTGGTGGGCAGCGGAGACCCACAGAAACCCCGGAGCCGACAGGACGAGAGGCTCGTGGAGGCCCACCCCCGGCTGCCCAGGGTGACACTGGGCAGCTTCCTGACTTCCGGCCTGGGGGGCCCTTTCCCTGCTCAGGGTCAAGGAGCCAAGCGGTCAGCAGTAGATATGCTGGCCTGTCGTCTCCACCAGAGGTCACTCCCCACGAGAAAGCCCGTCAGCAGCACCTTTTGACGCAGCCACCTGCCTCCCCTGCCTGCCCAGCTCTGCACCTGCTCAGCCGTGTGCGGCAGGTAAGGGCCGTGAGCCTCTGTTGATGTGACAGAGGCTCCTGTCCACGCAGCAGGTGGCACGAGACGGGAGACACGTGCCTGGGTGCGGCTCCACTCAGTGAAGGTGCCACTGACGGAGCGGTGGGGACAGCCAGGGTGCCAGGGGTGCCCCGGCCTTGCCCAGACCTCACTGCGGGCTGGGGAGCCTCGTCTTCCCAGCCACACAGACCTGCGCTGGGATCCAGCCTCCGCCACCAAGTGCGGTGTGACTGCTGGACAATGACCTCCCATCTCCAGTGCCACGTTCCAGCTGTGAAATAAGGACTGGGAATGTTTTCCCTCAGGTAACGAGGATCATTATCACCCTCCGTGTCAAACCACCGGACAGACAGGACGTCGCCCTCCCGTCACAGTGAGTGCCATGGGGGAGAGGCACCACTCACATTAGGGAAAATAAACTTCCCCGCTTCCCCACAGAAGTTAATTGAACATAAATGGGAAAAATAGAGGGCTAAGATAGTTCATGGTCATGAATCAACCACCAATCAAATATTCATGGCTAAACAAAGTATTCACATGAATAATTTAGCAGACAAAATTAAAACGCAGAGCCAAATTGTTGTGAATTGTCTCACTTGACTTACGAGTGCAATTACCTTCAGGGACTCTGGTCACATCCATAACCGGGCGTCTCCTTGTACCCTGACCACCAAATTGTTTAGGGAAAACGGGCAAAGACTTTTGGGGGGAGGTGACTTCAGTTGTTCAAACATCCATGCCTAGTGAGAAGCAACTCAGCGTCAGGGATGTGGTGTGCACCCCGAAAGTGAGCTCCATGTCCCGGGAGGTTTCACCATGAGGCATCACCCACGTGAGGCCGTCAAGAAAAGAACAGCCCAAGGGAAATGAGCCAACAGCACACCTGGGCAGGGAGCTTCTAGAAAACCCACACAATGGCAATGTGGGCTCGCTGTGAGGTAAAGCTCCGACCCGGCCCCCCGCTCACTGAGACGGCGGGGCTCGGGGCCACGTGGACACCTGCTCCCCGGGGTGTGAGACCTGGGCCGCTCCGCGGGGCTGGGAGGAGAGATTACCGTGTTTCTGTGGGAAACAAGTGGGGTCGTCCAGGAGCAAACTCCAACCCTACAGTCGTATTATTAAAAAGGAAGAAATTCATCGAGAATGTCAAACAAGGGGCTTGCTGCACAGAAACAGTAGAAGGAATTGGAAAGGGCTCCGATGTCTGACGCGTGGGGTGAACCGAGCGGTTAACACAGCTCCCAGGGACCTGCAGATACGCAGAACGGTCCTTACGTGTCATCCAGGGAACAAAGCAGTCTAACATGAGATGTGTCATCTTTTTTAAAACACGTCTACATGACTCAATAAAACGAGTGGCGGAGGGACCATGAACCAGAATATTACGGTTCGGCCCAAACCATGAGAGAGGATTAAACACAAAATAGGTAAGTCCAGGAGACACTCCTACCAGATGAACACAGTGTGTCACAGAATAACAGAGAATAAATGTAACTTACTAAATATGCTGATATTAAACTAGGAAAATTAGTATTTTGGAGCATGTACTTTCAGCGGGAAGTTGTCTTTTATGAAGTAATGTCCACGTCTGTGCAATCTGACTACGCGATTGTATCCAGAAGCTGAAGGAGCACACGCACTCCCAACCAACTTCGTGTTCATCTCATTGATGTGCCGAGAACGTGGCTACTTTGTTTTCTTCCAAATATTCGGCAATTCTTTTCAGCAATGGATATTTTCGCAGCTTGTAATCATAATTATTTTGTAAACACGGTGTACTTATTCAGAAAATGAAGCAGGGTTTTATGAAATAGAAACTGTATCATTCTGTGTTCACTGAGTTACAGAATTTTACAATTGAAACAAACCTTCACGTTAACGCAATTCAATTTGTCACTTGTCTATAAGCCCACACAGTCCCGGAGCGGTTGTGAAATAGGGTAAACGGGGGAACAAAACCTATGCTGCCCTGCACGTGGGTGCTGTGCAGGTCCCGCAACAACCGCCATCTCCAAAGACCATCCTCTAGGGTCCCCGCTCCTGTGACAGAGGGAGACCCATCATAGGACCTGCCAATCAGCCTGAGCAACACAGGGAAGCACAGGTGGCCTGGGCCAGAGCCTCTCGGGGAGGGAGCCATGCCAGGCAGTCACAGGGCCAAGGTGTCCCCGGCAGGTGGGGAAGGTGGTCAGCGTGGGGAGGACGCGCCAGGAGCAGAGGGAACCTGAGACAGAAACACGGGAGGCCGGCAGAAGACAGGGTGTTAAGGATGTTTTCTACTGCACCCCAGTCGTGAGCTGGGGTTTCGGAATCAGTAGCAGACAGGAACAGGCCCAAGGCTGTCATCAGCCCTCGGCAACCCCGTGGGGTTCGGGTGACCTGTATGATCCTTGGAAAACGCTTTGACGAAGAGGTGACCCCTCTGGATGGCCATTAACACTGAATGTCTCCCAGGGACACCTCACCGAGGGCCAGGACTCGGGAGCGGCCGCCCTGCCTGGCCACAGTCCACGGGTCGTTCTCGACAGGCGCATGCCCCCAGCCGCCCCACTGACCAAACACGAGCCCTCGGTGGTCACCTGCGGGTAAGCGCCAGGGCTGGAGCCGGACCTCAGCTCCTGGCTGGCTGCGGCGCTCAAGCCCTTTGCGGGAGAGAAGCAACAAGACCAACGACGCTCTTGTAGACGGGAAGGAGGGGGCACAGGAGGAAAGGGGAGAGGACACAGGACAGACGAAGGAGTGGGAAATGTTTCCAGACACCTGCACACGTGTTGACATGACTTAGACCCCAACTATCTCATTTCTTCAACACCAGTCGGGACACAGCGTGCACAGACCAAAGCTGCGCCCCGTGCCTGGGACCTGGTGGGACACTCCTTTAAAAGCCCAGCGCAGCCCTGGCCGGTTTGGCTCAGCGGTTAGAGCGTCGGCCTGCGGTCCGGAGAGACCCGGGTTCGGTTCCCGCTAAGGGCACGTACCTTGGTTGCAGTTTGTCCCCAGCCCTGGTTGGGTCGTGTGGGTGGCAACCACTTGATGTGTCGCTTTCACGTCGATGTTTCTCTCTCTCTCTCTCCCTCTCACTCTATCTGAACAAAATATCGAAAAATGTCCTCGGGTGAGGATAAAAAATTAAAAAAAAGCCCAGCGCAGCACTAAGGAGGCTTCGTCCTCCAAAAGGCTAACAAGTGGGGGCTCTGTTGAGCTGAACTGTTTTATTGGTAATAATTTCACAACTACGTATCACCAAATCTTACCGCGTTTTATCTGTCCGTTTCTTGTGACAAACCTACTGCTCTCTTTATACACGATTTTTCTTTGAAAGGGGGAGGGGGAGAGAGCGGGGTGAGGGGACAGGGCCGCCATTGCCAGGCTGCGAGTCCCCTGCGTCACGTGGGACGTGGCCGTGATCGCTCCTCAGGGAGCAGTCTGATCGCTGCAGCCAGACAGGGTGCCCCGGAGAAGGGCGCCCTCACGCCCGCCGCGGTCTGTGAACACGGAAGGGCCGCCGGAGCTCCTCGGGTGAACCTGCCCTGAAAAGCCAGGCCTGCTGCCCGGGACGCAGGGGCCCCCACCCGTGCGACTGCGTAGCTCCTGGGCCGGCCGCGCACACACCGAGGTCGGGTTCTCTTCCAAGCGCACCGCAGACAGGGCCTCCTGAGGCCGCCGAAGGACCTGACTCAGGTTCCAAACCTGAGCGCCCTCTGGAGTTGCAAGGGCCGGGCGGGAGTGGGGTTCGGAGTCTGTCTGCTGCTCCCCACTCGTGACCACGGCCTGGTCCTTGGGCTCCACTCTGGGCCCTGGGAGGCAGGTGAGCAGCAGTGGGGGGGGGGGGCTCCGTTCTGAGCCCTGGGAAGCAGGTGTGCAGCAGTGGGCAGTGGGGGGGGGGGCTCTGCTCTGGGCCCTGGGAGGCAGGTGAGCAGCAGCGGGCGGGGGGGGGGGCTCTGCTCTGGGCCCTGGGAGGCAGGTGAGCAGCAGCGGGCGGGGGGGGGGGGGGCTCTGCTCTGGGCCCTGGGAGGCAGGTGAGCAGCAGCGGGCAGGGGCTCTGCGGTGAGCAGACCTGTGCTAAAGACGACCCAAGGCAGCCCTGGGGAGAGCTGGTGATGATGTGGGAGCAGGCACCTGGCCCTCGGGAGTGTGGCTACATGCAGGGAGGACCCAGCCCTGTGCTCCCCCTTCACTGTCCCACCACCCTCCACGTTTGTCCTGCTCACGGCCAGGGAGGTCCCCCGGCCACAAGGGTGGGACTCGGGCCCCCAGCAGTCCTGGTGTGGGGCTCCGCAGCATAGGAAGGAGCTCACTGCGTGTGCTGAAAGCACGGGTGGACGTGGACCAGTACTGCAGGCAGCACCCCATCTGGCTCTCCTGTCTCTGAGAGGAGCCCCCATCCCCCACCCCTCCTCAGAAAGCAGCACCCCTCTCTCAGCTCCGACAGCACACTGCTGGGCCTCACTCTGCGGGGTCTGCAGGCCACCAACAGAGGCCCCCGTCCGTCTGACCTTCCGTCAGAATGCACAGAAGTCAGAGCAGGCGACAAGGCAGAGCCGTGGTTCCGGGCCGTGGCTTTAAGAGACACAGAGAGCTTCTCAGACATCCCTCCCGGGCACCGTCCACAGGGAAGAGGAGGTGGAGGAGGGAGGAGGAGGGGGTATGGGAGGGAGGAGGGGAGGGGGTAGGGGAGGGAGTAGGGGAGGGAGAAGGGGAGGAGGAGCAGCCGGTCTGGGAGGCCGACAGCACTATCAGGAGCAGGGTCAGACTGTTTGCCCCAGACAGGGCCTGCTCTGACTCAGGGCCTCCTCCCCTCCCTTTGCCTCCCCAAACCCCTAAGAAGCTGCTGCTTTCCGGCACCTGCCCCGGCATCGCCCACCCACGTCCACTCCGATTCCGTTTTCGCGTGGGCGCTCTGCTGGTTTGCACTGACGTGGGACAAGCCTTCTGGGGCACATGTCATTGGAGTGGTCGCAGCTCCTCCCCACCCTGCTGCTGGCAGGGTACAGAGTGGGAGGGAATGTGGACCGAAGACAGCACTGCGGGTGCCGCAGCCCAGGACACAGAGAACCAGGCCGCAGCCCAGGACACAGAACCAGGCCGCAGCCCAGGACACAGAGAACCAGGCCGCTCTTTCAAGAGGCAGAGAATCAGCCGTAGGAATCGCCGCCGTCCAAGGCAAAGGGGAGGCTGCAGACCCTTCCGACCAGCCATGCCCAACCTGCTTCAGCCCAGGGAGTAGCAATCAGGAGGGATGCTGAGCACTCAACTGTGCAGAAGACAGATGAAGAATTTTAGGTGCCGGGTTGCTGGCAAACCGCTGAGCTGAGGACTTCAAAGCGATCTCAGATCTCACGTGGGGGAGCTGGGGAGGCCGTGGAAAGGCCGTGGAAAAGCCATAAGAGGGTTTTGTGCGAGGGGTGGTGCGTTTCCCTCCCGGAAGTTCCGCGAGGTTGGTACTCACCGTAGCAGCCGGGAGGCCTGAGGCTCTGCGGCTCCACCCCCGTGCCTGGGGCGACATCAGACTGCTTTCCGGAATCTTGCAAAAGCCTCAGAAACACCTTGGGAATGAGAACAGGAGCTTCATGGTATGTGACGTTCCTTTCCACGTTGCAGTTTTTTCTTTTGTTGTACTTACCCAACCAGGTCATTATGGTGACATCCACCAAACACACCCTAATTCATCTATTCATTCACCTCATCGGACAACGCCAAGGCCACTTGGTTCTCGGCCAGCTGGTCGTAAGGCTGCTCAAGGATACTAGGGCGAGTGGACCGACTGTAGCCCTGGGGGCACTTACATTCTGGCCAAAGCTGGGCAGAACCACAGCGAGAGGCCGGGCAACGCTACGTCCACAGCACAGCGGATCCAATTCAACAGAGTTAGTGCCTCCCTGTACCAGCAACTTAGAGCCCAGAGACGAGCCGGGCAGTGGCCCGTGAGGCCCACAGCTGTCTAGTGGGGACGGTGTCCTGTGTGGACGTCCCCACTGAGCACGCCCTCTCCGTGGGCTGGCGCACATCGCCTAACCCTTCCGTGTAAGACGAAGGCTCGCAGTCACCGCCTGGTTGGTGCTGGAAACAGAACCCCCGTCTCAACTTGGTCCAGTCCAAGGGAGAAGCCCCCAGTCAGCGAGGAGGTGAGTGAGCCAGAAAGGGAGACGGGCTGGACAGGGACACCGCTCGTGGGACCTGGGACATGGGAGACCATCCCTCAGTACAACTGGGAGAGCAGAGAGGAGAGGAGCTCGGCCCTGCTGACAGCGCTTCCCGCCGTGGGCGAGGGCCGGGCACGGGGACCCGGCACAGAGCCTGCCCCCTCGGCCTGTCGGCAGCCTCGTCTGCAGCACAGGGTGACGCCAGCACCTGCTGTGGCTCTGACGTGCTCCCTTCAGACTCAAAGTGCAGGAACTTCGACCACCATCCAGTCGGCCAGACTGACGAGGATCCTCTGTGGGCCACGCGGTGCTGGGCCCTGTGCGGTCCCCTCTCCTGAGTCAGCACATGGCTCACGTGACCCCGCCATCCTCGGCCTGCAGCACAGCCTTCAGGTGCCTGGCCCCCACCGCTGCAGCCTCCCCAGGTCCCACTGGGCCCTCCCTCGACGTGTCCCCCGAGCGCTGCCAGCCACCCCCGTGAGCGGGTCCCTGCACGACGCTGTCTGACCGTCTCCCTGTTCTGAGGAGCCCCCGGCGGCAGGAACGGCCGGGAGCCCAGAGAGGGAGCAGCAAGGACCTGTGGGAGCAGGACCCCCCGTCCCTTCCAGGCAGCTCCTTCCTCGGGGACGGAGCCCCGCTGGGGGACCTCTGGGTGCTGGGGACGGGCCTAGGTGCCGTCAGCCCCGACGTGGCCGCTTTCCTCCACAGGACAACCCTTTGCTGCTCCCCAGGGAGAGCCAGGAGACGCTGCAGACCTGAGCACCGCCCAGCAGCCGCCGCAGGGGCCATACTGAAACCGTGAGCGACGGTGAGGAGCCAGGCTGTCGCCTGGGGAAGCTACTTTAGCACCGACTCAGTTCCCTCGCATGACGGGTGCGACAGGAAGACGCAGGGAACAGGGCCGCTGCAAGCAGGGAGCACGCTGACGGACGCGGTGCCCAGAGCAAGCCTGCCGCAGCGCCCAGGGGCCGGGGGCAGCCGGCAGGACGCCGGGCAGGGGCCAGCCCCACACCAGGGAACACGGGTCCTTGCACCAGAGGAGAAAGCGTAAATCCTGTAATTAACCTGGGGACGGCCGGCTCAGATTTCACACTTGAACCGCACTGCCTTGGCGCTGACAGGACACGTCTGCAGTTCAAAGTGGACCGGCTCCCCCGCTGCAGTGCCGGGCGTGCGACCGGCAGGCCCTCCGGACACCACGCCGTCACTGGGCACAACCCGAAATTAAAGAGAAAGCAGGTGCAGAGTGACTGCGGCCCGCGAGCCGCGGTCGATAACAGGCAGGGGCCGGGAAAGTCAATACTCGCCACGTGGGAAGAGACGAAATTGGTTGAGATGGTTATTTTATAGACTCTACCACACAAAAGAAAGCTTTTTAAAGTGCTTAATCTTTTTCCAATTTAAGCGATCTTTGTCAAAAGGGGTCCAAACACACTGTAATGTTATATTTTGTTAAATACACTGTCTGCATTGCAGACCCTTTGCTTGGGGCTGCCCCTCCCGCAGGTGCCTTCTTTGTGGCATCAGCGTGTGCGAGAGGAAGGGGAGATGTGATCAATTGGTATTTATTTAGCATCTATTGTGTGCAAAGCATGCACTCGATGTAGGGGATGGAAATTACTGCAAGAAATTGGAGAAGCACAGAGAATCTCCGAAGCGATTAGGCAGCTGGCTCCGTGGCTTGTTGTCGGGCTTCCTGGGGTGATTCACTGCGGAGCCAGAGCGAGAGCTGGGGGGGGGCAGCCTGCAGAGAGGGGAGCTGCTGAAAGAACCGGCCCTCAGGACAGCGGGAGCCTGGAGCCCGCGTGTCTCGACTGTGGTGCGACTCCAACCCCACACACTTGTCAAAGCTGACAAGAGCGGATTCTACCAGGTGCGACTTGGTAAATAAATAAATAAATACTAATTCAGGAGAAAGACGAAGTTTCCAGAAAGAACACGGCAGGGAAAAGTACGCATGAAAATACTCTGGAGAGCCCTGGCCGGTTGGGCTCCGCGGTTGGAGCGTCGGCCTGCGGTCTGGAGAGACCCGGGCTCGGTTCCCGCTAAGGGCACGTACCTCGGCCCTGGTTGGTCGTGTGGGGGGGCAGCCACTCGGTGTGTCCCTTTCACGTCGATGTTTCTCTCTCTCTCTCTCTCTCTCTCTCTCCCACTTTATCTGAACAAAAAATGGAAAAAAATGTCCTTGGGTGAGGATTAGAAAAACAAAATACTCTGGAGAACAAACATCACTGAGCAGAAAGGAGATATTTTGGGACCAGGACACAAAGAGAATTTTTGGGAGTTACATTGGGCTGGGACCTCTCACACTGAGGCACAGGGAGCCTGACACCCAGAAAGGCCTGGTTTCCGATGCCCCACGGCACACGAGCTGGGGTGCAGGCAGTGCTGAGCCCTCCCTCTGCGACCCCCTGCTCTGTGCTCGTGCTCTGAGCCCCCTCCTCTGCGCCCCCTGCTCTGTGCTCGGTCACCAGCACGTGTGCGGCTCTGACACCTGAGCCCGGGCACCTGACTCCTCTGTTGACCCAGGTCTCTAACGGGCTTCAGAGTCTCAGCGCCAACCTCCCACTACGCCCCCCAGCACATCAGCCCTTCTGGGTAATGCAGGGGAATGGGGTGCCTCTCCTCGGACTCTCAGTTCAGTTGGCATCCACCCACAGTGAGACCCCGACCTGGCCCACGGAGCCCCTCACGGTCACCCCAGGCTGGCCGGGGACCAGCACGGCCTCTGGAAGAGCCGCTGGTCAGACTCCCACGGAGGGTGATGTCCGCCCGCCCCGTCCCAGTCGGCGGAAGGCAGGACGGGGGTCTGGGGCTAGCGGGGTCAGCAGTGTTCCCACGCGTGGTTCCCGCCCGGCTCCTCCACCCAGCCTGCGGCCACGCAGAACACCCCAGGCTCCTGAGCCAAAGAGAGTCCACAGTGGAGACAGAAGGGCCCCAGGAGAGGAAACACGGCCGCCGACCACTGACTGCTGAGGACGGTTTGCACGTCTCACGACGCGACGAGACCCTCTGACAAGACGAGACCCTCTGACAAGACGAGACCCTCTGACAAGACGTGCCTGTTGGCCGGCAGAACTCGGTCGCCTCGGGCACTGGGAGCCCCACCGGCTTACGCCTGACACGCGTGGAAGCTGAACACACACCCACACGGAGGCAGCAGGCCCACCCCACTGCTCCCCACGCCCCCCCCACCTCCCCGCCTCCCCCCCGCCTCCCGCCTCCCCCCGCACCTCACCACTGAACAGAGCGACCCGGTTGGGACAGGCGCTGCCTGAGCCCCTCGTACCTCTTCCAAAGTGGTGTCTGCGAGCCCGAAGCCCGCCAGGTGCAGGCGGCCCTGGTCCTGCTCCAGGGCCCGGAAGAGTCCGGGGAAGCGGGCGGGGTCGGTGTCCTTGGGGACGGCGTAGCGCAGCTGACGCCCACTGCTGTCCTTGAGAACCGCGCGTGGGACGTGGGCCTGCACCAGCGCCGTGGTGCGCACCGTGTCCTTCAGGCCGTCCACCTCCGGGGCAGCAGGCTGTCCCAAGTGAAAGAGACGGGAGGGCCTTAAGTCCAAACCTCCCGGACAGACGCCCACTGACCAGTTTTCCTCGGGCCCCGTAGGAAGGCAGCTGCCCGGTCACCTGTTTGGTGAGGGTCAGGCTGAGGCCCTGGCCGTAGGCCTCCATCAGGCCGAGCGGGGAGTCGCAGCAGCGGAGCTGGCCCTGCTGCAGGACGGCCACGCGGTCGCTGAGCGCCTCCGCCTCGTCCAGGTGGTGGGTCGTGAAGATGATCGTGCGGCCTGTGTCCCCAGAAAGGCGGCGTCAGCACTGCGGGCACAGGCCCTCTGCCAGGGGCGGGCGCGCACCCTGCAGGGACCGCCCGGTGTCTGGACCAGAGAACCCAGACCTGGGGAGGTGACCAGGCCGAGGCCACTTCCCAATCAGAGGCCCTGAAGCTGTCCTCCACGGCCGCCCTCGGGTCATGGTGCGGTTCCCAACCCTGCCCGCCCAGGCTGAGGCGCCGGGCACAAGGTCCTGAGTCCTCCACCCGTTCTCCAAACACCTCCCCAAATATATATATATTCACTTATTTTTATATATATACACTTTTTTTTTTTTTAATCCTCACCCTAGGATATTTTTCCACTTTTTGTTCAGACAGAGTGGGAGGGAGAGAGAGGAAGAGAGAGAGAGAGAAACATCGACGTGAAGGGACACATCGAGTGGCTGCCACCCACACGATCCAACCAGAGCTGGGAACAAACTGCAACCGAGGTACGTGCCCTTAGCGGGAACCGAACCCGGGTCTCTCCGGACCGCAGGCCGAAGCTCTAACCGCTGAGCCAAACTGGCCAGGGCTATATACTTTTTCTTTATTGACTTTAGAGAGAGAGGAAGAAAGAGGGAGAGAGGGATAGAAACACCGATGAGAGAACATCGATTGGCCGCCTCCTGCACGCCCCCCACTGGGCATTGGGCCCACAACCTGGGCATGTGCCCTGACCAGGAATCGAACCGGCGACCTCTTGGTGCAGGGTCGACGCTCGGCCACAGAGCCACACCGCCGGGCCAGCGGAGAACGTTCTAGAAGGGAAAGGAAGCCCCGGGGAGGCGCGGCGCGGGGCTCAGCCGTGCTCTCAGCAGGCGGGGGGACCAGAGGGGCCGGCCTGCAGGGCGCCCCGCCCGCTGCTTCAGGCCCGTGTTGCGGGAACGAGGGCGTCGCAGGCGTGTCCTCCGTGAGTCTGTCGTCTCGTTCTACTGCCCTGGGGGGGCGGCGGGGGGGGGGGGGCTCGGCATCACTCGGAAGCACAGATGCCAGACGCGCCGGAAGGTGTTTTCATCACGTTCCGTTCACTCATGGTGTCGACGCAGAAACATTCAAACCTGTCAAAAACTTTGCAAGTTTATTTGAGCCAAACTGTGGACGGCTGCCGGGGAGCGAGCCCTCAAGGGACCGAGGTCCGGCGGGCGAGGGCGTCTGCACCTTCACTCACACAGCACAGCCGGAGGAGACGCGAGGGGGCCACGCAAGGGGCCACGCGAGGGGCCACGCGGAATCCGCGGCGACGGAGGGAGCGGGGAGAAAGCAAAGCGGAGAAACCTCCGGGCCTGGCCGGACAGTAAAACGACAGACACGGCCTCTTTTCCACAGGGGCACAGACGGTTAACGGCCAACGATGAACAAGATGATGACAATGAGGGGGCTTGTGGTCTCTGCCCTGGTGCCCTGGCTGTGCCCCACGTTCCAGAGCTCTGTTAGCTTAGATGCAAAAAGGCAACAGTCTCCATGAAGGTGACGTTGACCATTGTCCGGGAGACCCCGGCCCAGACAGGACCCCCTGTCATAAACGGCTTTTAGTGGAAAAGTTTTAACTTCGGACCATCTTGTGTGATTATTTGAGGTCTCTGAGTTTGCAAGGCCACCCACCACACAGGCCTCCCCTGAGCTGGCCAGGTCGGCACGGGGCCCCTTCTCATCCACAGGGAACAGAAGGTCTCACAGTGTTAGTGTCCACGCTCCCCACCAGCCTACAGCCAGCCCGATTCCAAACACATCCACTCTCTTCTCAAAAACAGATCATCCAAGAGGGAAGGCTAAACACATTTCCCACTCTACCTGATTTTATACTTTTTAATAGAAGACAAAGGTGAAAACACCAGGATTCTCACTTAGCTTTCAAAATACACCTAAGAAGGAACCGAGAATGCAGACCCTAGAGCTGAAGGTGGGGCCCAGTGACCAGTGACCCCAGAGGGGGCACAGCCCACGCTCTGGCGGGCCAGCCCTTCGCGGCTACACTGCTGGGTCCTGGACGCGGCATCGGGGCAGCCTGGACGCCGACTGGCGCTGCCGGTGGCTCGGGTGACCGGTTCCCAGACGGGGTCAGTTCCCAGAGGCCTGACCCGGGGCTTCTCCTGGACGGTAGGCGAGAGGACGCGGTCCACTGGGACCCGGTGCAGCGGTCGCCACCCGCAGACGGAGACCAGGACAGAGGAACCAGTCTCCTGAGGGGCTGCTGGGGGGGGGGGCTGGCTGTGCTGTGCTGCTGCTAGTGGTGCCCCCCGACGCGGCAGGACACGGAGGGCCCCAGAGGGCCGCACCGGGCACCTGACAGACAGCTACCCGAGCAGGACCCCAGAGGGCCGCACCGGGCACCTGACGGACGGCTCCCCCCGAGCAGGGCCCCAGAGGGCCACACCGACCACCTGACAGATGGCTCCCCGAGCAGGGCCCCAGAGGGCCGCACCGGCCACCTGACGGACGGCTCCCCGAGCAGGACCCCAGAGGGCCGCACCGGCCACCTGACGGACGGCTCCCCGAGCAGGACCCCAGAGGGCCGCACCGGGCACCTGACGGACGACTCCCCCCGAGCAGGACCCCAGAGGGCCGCACCGGGCACCTGACGGACGACTCCCCCCGAGCAGGACCCCAGAGGGCCGCACCGGGCACCTGACGGACGGCTCCCCCCGAGCAGAGCCCCAGAGGGCCGCACCGGGCACCTGACGGACGACTCCCCCCGAGCAGGGCCCCAGAGGGCTGCACCGGCCTCCTGACGGACGGCTCCCCGAGCAGGAGCCTCGGCCCATCTCACAGAGCGATGGTGGGTACGGAGGCAGGTTCAGGTGTTTCCAGAACACGGTCGGTTTGGGTCTCGACGACGTGCTCCCTCCCAGAGCCGCTCCTGGAACCGCTCAGAGCCTGGACCCCGCACCCCTCAGCACCAGTACCCCGAAGGCAGCCGCCGGCGACAGAAATCACTGCTAACCCCGGACGGTGAGAAGTACTTCACCCCCACACGGGATGAACAAGCTGTGTCTGGACACTAGTTCCCTCTCGGTTCCTGCTGAAGCCGCCACTGTGCTGGCCCCTCGCCCCGAGACCGGCTCCGAACTGGGAACCGGCGAGCGGCTGGGGGCGTCTGATCTGCGCTGAGCTCACACGTGCAGCCCGAAGGGTCCACTCGCGCTCCTGTCTTCCTCCCCCCGGGGTGGGACACGGCGTGCTCGGTTTGCCTGGCGTAGGCTCGGGCATGTGGCCCTGGGGGCGTGGAGCCCTGGGCTCTCCTTCTTGCTTCCTCCTCCCCTCCCCCGAAAGGAGGCCCCGAGACCTCCAGAACGAGGAAGGTTAGGGTCTGTGGGTACAGGGCTGTCTGCACCCCATGGTCTCTGGGTGATGACAGAGATCACCTGTCCCTCCCCACTTTGGAGCTTGGGTGGGGCCCTGGAGGGGCTGGTCGGAGAAGGGGTGTTGCCTCTCTCGGCCTGCTCTTGGCCACCAGCAGGAGGCCACTCCTGCATTGGCGGGCCTGTCGCCCTTGTCGCCGAAGCCTGTGGACCGTCCGCGTGGGCCTCCCGGGCCCTGCGCCCCGCTCAGCGGCCGAGAACGCTGACGAGCGGCACAGTCCCGTGAGCTGCGCCGCTGACATTTCCTGGCGGAGCCGCCCCCAGGCCCACCCGCACCTCCGCTCGCTCGATGTCCTGCTTCCTGTCTCCTCACACAGCACCCCGAGCTGCGGACAGAGAGGGCAAGACCCGCCGTCCAGGTGCCCCCTGTGCCCCCTGGTCCCAGCCTCGCGGCTCCGCTTCAGGTCACAGACCAGCATCTTGTCTGCCCCGAGGAGGGATCTGGAGAACTGGAGTCTTGGGGGTGCAGCCCTCTGAATGCCGAGGAGAGAGGGCCTCCTTCTGGTTCTTTCTCTTTGCAAAGCCCAGTCTCCCCGGGGGTAGCAGGCTGTGGGCGAAGACAGGCTTAGTACTCAAAAGGCAAAAGAGCAAAGCAAACCCCTGATGCACGAGATTCTGTAGGGACCCCCCACTTCCGTCCAGGCCTGGCTGAGCAGGGCCAGCCGTTCCCGGTCCCGATGTTTTCCTAAGTTAGGGTTTCTGTACGAGACAGATGCCGCTAGCAATGCTTCCTAGTGTCAGGTCAGAGAGAGACAGAGGCTGGAAATCGGAGCGCGCCCCCCAGGCCCTGCACTGGACACGCGCGGTGCGGGTGGGGACGCACAACCTCCGCTCCAGCGCCCGGCCCACTGGCTCAGGACCTCCTCTGGGGCTGACGTCCCCTCTGCGCCCCCCCTGTGAAAAGGAGGACCTGCTCCCGAAACAGCTAGGACGCCTCTCCTACCACTGCGATTGCAGGAGGAGACACGTGGGCGGTACCACTCGCCCTGACAGCACCGCCACCAGAGGGAGCCGCTCAGTGCAGACCTGGAGTGGACACAGGTCCGGAGGCCTGGGCCCCCTTTTCTGGAGAAGACCGTGTTCCTGTTGGGACATGACAGGTTCCTCCCACGACACTGCCGTCCGGCCGCAGGGCCGCGGGAGAGCAGCCAAGGCCGTCCCTACCTGCGCGGTCCTGGAGGAGGATGTCCCACAGGCCGCGCCGGGAGCAGGGTCCACCCCGCTGGTGGGCTCATCCAGCACCACGGTCCTCGACGAGCCCAGGAACGCAGCGCCGATGGACAGCTTCCTCCGCAGGCCTCCGGACAGGGCGCGGGCCGGTGTGTGCTGGTGCGGCGCCAGCTGCGCGTCCCGCAGAGTTCTGAAAGGAGAGGGGCCCTCAGTGCCAGCCGCCACGCGGCAGGAAGGTGGGAGGAGGCCTGGCAGCCGCCAGTCCTGAGGAGCAGCACGTGCTCGGGGTCCAGGCGGAACCTGGCCACCCCCAGGGTGCCGGGCAGCCGTCGGCCGGGAGGTGCTGCTGGAAACACTGTGCTCTGCTCCCTGGGGCGGCTCTCGCTGCGCCCCGGCAAGGGGCCTGCGTTCCCCGAGGTCAGGACAAACAGGGCCCAGCTGCACCGTGCACGTGGGGGAGTCCGGGGCTCCGGGCCACCCGCCTGACGTGTGTCCCCCGCCCTCACTGAGCAGACGAAGCGCCATGTGCGCAGAGCAAAGGGCCCGACACCAGGAAGGCGAGCACATGCCCCCAGGGCCCCTCAGCCCCCAGCTCCACACTCCAGAGGCCCAGGGGAGGAAGCCCCCCACCCCGTGTTGTGTCACCTCCTTCCCTGGGCCCCCAATTTCCCCTCCAGGAGCATCCTCTCCCTGCCCTGGTGCCCTGTCAATTCTGCAGGGTGGTGCCCATCGCTTGCCTCAGCCTCACTCCTGGGTAGGAAGCCCCTGGAAGCCAGGCCTTCCTGAACCCGCCCCAGCTCTGGCTGCAGGTCCATCTCCCTGGGAGCCAGGCCTCCCTGAACCCGCCCCAGCTCTGGCTGCAGGTCCGTCTCCCTGGGAGCCAGGCCTCCCTGAACCCGCCCAGCTCTGGCTGCAGGTCCGTCTCCCTGGGAGCCAGGCCTCCCTGAACCCGCCCCAGCTCTGGCTGCAGGTCCGTCTCCCTGGAAGCCAGGCCTCCCTGAACCCGCCCAGCTCTGGCTGCAGGTCCGTCTCCCTGGGAGCCAGGCCTCCCTGAACCCGCCCAGCTCTGGCTGCAGGTCCCTCTCCCTGGGAGCCAGGCCTCCCTGACCCGCCCAGCTCTGGCTGCAGGTCCCTCTCCCTGGGAGCCAGGCCTCCCTGAAACCCGCCCAGCTCTGGCTGCAGGTCCCTCTCCCTGGGAGCCAGGCCTCCCTGAACACCGCCCAGCTATGGCTGCAGGTCCGTCTCCATGGGAGCCAGGCCTTCCCTGAACCCGCCCAGCTCTGGCTGCAGGTCCGTCTCCATGGGGAGCCAGGCCTCCCTGATAACTCCGCACCAGCTCTGTCCTGCAGGATCCGTTCTCCCTGGGAGCCAGGCCTCCCTTGACACCCGCCCCAGCTCTGCTGCAGGTCCGTCTCCCTGGGAGCCAGGGCCTCCCTCTGAACATGCCCCAGCTCTGGCTGCAGGTTCCGTCTCCCTGGGAGCCCAGGCCTCCCTGAACCCCGCCCCAGCTCTGCTGCAGGTCCCGTTCTCCCTGGGAGCCAGGCCCTCCCTGAACCCGCCCCCAGCTCTGGCTGCAGGTCCGTCTCCTGAGCCAGGCCTCCCTGAACCCGCCCAGCTCTGGCTGCAGGTTCCGTCTTCCCTGGGAGCCAGGCCATCCCTGAACCCGCCCAGCTCTGGCTGCAGGTCCCTCTCCCTGGGAGCCAGGCCTCCCTGAACCCGCCCCAGCTCTGGCTGCAGGTCCGTCTCCCTGGGAGCCAGGCCTCCCTGAACCCGCCCAGCTCTGGCTGCAGGTCCGTCTCCCTGCGGAGCCCGGGCTTCCTGGCTGCCGGCAACCGACCCATGGACGGCGGGCGACAGGGAGGCCCTGGAGGGTCCAGTCGGCTCCCGGGATCCTAGACAAGGACACGCCCGCCTGGTCACAGGGAGGCTCACGTCTGCCGGTCGTTTAGCGCCCCCCCTCCTGACCCAGGAAGAGCTCGCGCTGGGTTCGCAGCCTCTGGCCGCCCGTCCGTCCACTTTACCTTCAGTCCAAGTGCGTCGTCCTCCCTTCCCCCCTTCACCCTTCATTCCCAATGAGCCTCCACCACACCCCCACCTGGTGATACCCACACAGCCTGGGGAGTGAAGAGACCGTCGCAGAGAAAACAAACAGAAAACCCGGTCAGGGAGAAGTCGGTGGCTCTCGAACCCGCGCATCCTGACGACACTGTTACGTCGAAGCAGACCCTCCACCTCTGTGGTGTTGACGTCGACCCGATCTTAGCCCCTCGCAGCCCGACGAGGCCTGGACCGGCCCTTTCGAGCCCCCGCCCTGCAGGGGCCCGTCCCCTCCTGACACCCAAACCTCCCGCTAACGCCCTCCAGCGGCCACTGCGCCCACAGCCCCGGGTCCACCACCCCGTCCTCTCTGGTTTCCACTGCACACGGTCCACCCCGGTCCTACCTTCCCAGCCCCTCCCATGGCCGAGGCCCAGCCCCCCGCACGGACAGGGCTCCAAGTCACCCCGATTCTGCCCCACAGCTTCTCCCGGGGACACAGCCTTTCTCGACCTCTTTCCACCTCCATACGCCCCATTTCTTTGCTCCTCTGCAGTGGAACTCCTGGGGGGACGTGTCCCCAATTCCCCTTCCTTCCTCTGTGCCAACCTGTGTGCCCTGCATCCCCACACACCCCGAGGTCACTGACGCCTCAGCATTCTCGACCCAAAGGTCGTTTCCAGTCTTCATTCTAATTGACCCTCAACAGCATCCAATGTCCCTGACCCTCCTTTGTTTTTAATCCTCACTCGAGGACATGCTTAGAGAGAAGAACCCCGATGTGAGAGAGGAACCCCGATGTCAGAGAGGAACCCCGATGTCAGAGAGGAACATGGATGTCAGAGAGGAACCCCGATGTGAGAGAGGAACCCCGATGTGAGAGAGGAACAGGTATGTGAGAGAGGAGCACGGATGTGAGCGAGGAGCACGGATGTGAGAGGAGCACGGGTGTGAGCGAGGAGCACGGATGTGAGAGGAGCACGGGTGTGAGAGAGGAGCACGGATGTCAGAGAGGAACACGGATATCAGAGAGGAGCCCAGATGTGAGAGAGGAGCCCGGATGTGAGAGAGGAACACGGATGTGAGAGAGGAACATGGATGTGAGAGGAACACGGATGTGAGAGAGGAGCACGGATGTGAGAGGAACACGGATGTGAGAGAGGAGCACGGATGTGAGAGGAACACGGATGTGAGAGGAACACGGATGTGAGAGAGGAGCACGGATGTGAGAGGAACACGGATGTGAGAGAGGAGCACGGATGTGAGAGGAACACGGATGTGAGAGGAACACGGATGTGAGAGAGGAGCACGGATGTGAGAGGAACACGGATGTGAGAGGAACACGGATGTGAGAGAGGAGCCCGGATGTGAGAGGAATGAGAGAACGGATGTGAGAGGAACACGGATGTGAGAGAGGAGCACGGATGTGAGCGAGGAACACGGATGTGAGAGAGGAGCACGGATGTGAGAGGAGCACGGGTGTGAGAGAGGAGCACGGATGTGAGAGAGGAGCCCGGATGTGAGAGAGGAGCACGGATGTCAGAGAGGAACACGGATGTCAGAGAGGAACACGGATGTCAGAGAGACACCCATCAGTTCCCTTCCACGTGTGACTCAGCCGGGGATCAGACCCACCACCCACACACGCTGACCAGGAGTGGAGCTGGCACACTTCCCGTGATCCCCTTCCCAATCGACATATCCTCCTCCTTCCCTGCTGGTCTCTCCTTCTTGCTGCTGGCCAGTCCCTCCTCATCTCCACCCTCTTCACCTTGGAGTGACCAGGGCCCAATCCTCTGCTCTCTCCTGTCCACCTGCACACATGCCCGGGACCATCTCATCACCATCAGACAAACCAGCCTCCAACAAAGTCCCAGGGTGTCCGCCAGAACTCCAGACACTGATGTTTGCTGCGTAACAACATCCCATGGACTCGGGCCTGACCGAGGTCCTCTGCAGACATCTCTTCTCTGGGCCACTCACAGGAGAACAGGCCTGACACCCGACAGATGTCGCTGCAGAGACTCTCCCTGGAGCCCGTCTGCCTTCACTCTGCACAGTGAAGAAACCCAAGTGGTCTGGAGCCTGACACAAAGCATGTGGGCTCCTTGGTGTGTGTCCAGCTTTGCTCCCTCTGAGGGCCCGCCGGCCCCCGCGTGTCTCACGCGGATGCGGGTGTGCATACTGGCTTCGTTGCCAGGCAACCGGCCCCAACGGCCACGACAGAGGCCGCCCCCACTGGGGGGATGCCGAAGCCGCGGAGCTGTTGGAACTCGACTCACACCCGAGCCACAGACTCTGCCGCCGTCCGGAGCAGGTCAGTTCTGCCTCAAAGAGGTGGCCTGTGGCTCGGAAGACGCTCGGGCTGCAGCAGCTGTCCGGCCCCGAGCGGTGCGGCCATGTCTCCTCACGTCCCTACTCACTGAGGTGGCTTCACACGGCTCGGAGCACAGGTCTCCCCGGTAAATCCAGGTCTCCACGGCTATCAGCACGGTGGCAGTTAGCGGCCCCTCTGAAGATGTGGGGGGACAGAAGCCAGCCCCAGCCGAGAGCCCACCTGTGCAGGCGAGCAGAGGGTCCAGGGTGGGTGTGAAGCAGCAGGAAGGGCAGCGGGCAGCTCTGGAAGGGGGTGACAGGAAGTGCAGAGCAGGGGACAGAGACCGCCCCAATGCGGGGCCATGCGGCACAGCCCACTTCAGATGCTTCCCTTGGTTTCCAACACCACGAGCAAGGTGGGTGCCCCATCATCACTGTGGGCGGCAGTACCCGGCAGAATCCCACCACGGAGAACAGTGCTCTGACGTTTCCTGTGGCACCAGACACAGCGCCCACACCCCGCGCGCCCTCTGCGACACGCAGGTGCGACCTCCTCCGAAAGGCAAGGCTGGAGGAAGCACTCCCGAGACAGTGAGCAGGGACGTGGAGGCGACCCAGACCCCACGCCTCCCCGCTCGGGCGCCGATTCGCACTCAGCTCCCCCGCTCGGGCCTGGCTCTCTGCTCTGGGCATCCATGGAGAATGCCCAGCCCACTCGCTGCCCGGGGCCCAGCCCCACGTGTCGAGAGCAGCCCCGGCCGGGCGGGCATCCTCACGTCACCAGGACTCTGCGCCCCGGCCGGGCGGGCAGCCTCACGTCACCAGGACTCTGCACCCCGGCCGGGCGGGCAGCCTCACGTCACCAGGACTCTGCGCCCCGGCCGGGCGGGCATCCTCACGACACCAGGACTCTGCGCCCCGGCCTGGCGGGCATCCTCACGACACCAGGACTCTGCGCCCCGGCCTGGCGGGCATCCTCACGACACCAGGACTCTGCGCCCCGGCCGGGCGGGCATCCTCACGACCCAGGACTCTGCCCCCCGTGCCTGCGGGACAGCCTCACATCACCAGGACTCTGCGCCCCGGCCTGGCGGGCATCCTCACGACACCAGGACTCTGCGCCCCGGCCGGGCGGGCATCCTCACGACACCAGGACTCTGCGCCCCGGCCGGGCGGGCATCCTCACGACACCAGGACTCTGCGGCCCCGGCCGGGCGGGCAGCCTCACGTCACCAGGACTCTGCAGCCCCGGCCGGGCGGGCAGCCTCACGTCACCACGGCTCCTGTCCAACCCCCCGGCCCACCCATCCAAGCTCATCTCCCGGGAACACCACTGTCTTCTGCCCAGGGACCTCGGGCTCTCCCGCCCCCACTGGTCTGCGTCCCAGTGGAAACACACGGACACACACCTGTGCTTCTCCACACTGCCCCATCCTGGCTACCGCGGCCCTCTGTGCCTGGACGCCCCTGCTTGGACATCAGATGGTCAGCATGGCCTGTTCCTCCCACTGTGAACAGTGTCAGATCTGGCCTTCCTCACTCCCACCCCCAGTCTGTCCGTGGCTCTGCCCTCTCTCTGGTCACAAGACACCTGCCAGGGTCACACACCTGCCTGACCATGTCCAAGCTCCTCGGCTCCCCACACCCAGTTCCTCTGCCCCCTCCCCCCCACATTTTATTTCAGGGCTCCCACCTGAACCCATGTTCGAGACACAAACTTCCTCTGACAGCTGACACCACACCTGCCCACCTGTGCTCATCGGTCCCCACTCGAGGACAAGTCAAGTTCCAAGTCACTGAGAAACACTGCGGGTCCGGACGTGGAGGTGGTGTCAGAGTTCCCTGGTTAGGAACCATCAGCACATTCCCCTCTCAGAATAAAGACTGGAGACTGTACAGCGCGTCTCTCCAGCCCCTCGCGCAGGGCGGGTGGGCACAGGGGCCGAGACTCACTTACTGACTTGCTGCCGCCACTCCGCCCAGGTCCCCTGAGGCACCTTGACAAACAGAAGAGCAGCAGGTGCTCCTGGACAGTGAGGTCGTCAAACAGGACGTCCGGCTGAGGACACACCCCCAGCTCCCTTCTGACCTCGGATAAGTCTGTTCGCAGGTTCTTGCCGTTGACCAGGATGCTTCCCGATGTGGGAGGGTGCAGCCCGGTCACCAGGGATCTTCAGGGAAGAGGAGTCAGCAGGGGCTGCTCAGGGCATGCGGTGTGGCATGGTCAGTCATCCCACGAGGAGTACACGCCCTCCGCTGCCCTGCTCCGGGCACAGGCAGCAGAAGCTGGCGGGAGCTTAGTGGGGTGCAGGCTGTGTGCATAGTTATGCACCCCTGTGCCGCAGGGACCGCAGACCCCTGTGGCTGCCTGGGAGTTTGAGACTAAATCCAATGCACTGGAGGAGGTCAGGGTGCCAGAGAGCAGCAGGGTGGCCCCGAGCCCTCAGCGTCCCTGCAGGAGCAGGTGCGGCCTGCTTCCTGGTCACCCTGGGAGGTGGTCACGCCCAGGAGACCACCACCCATGCCCAGTGGGCTGCGGCTCTGGCCCAGACCCAGGAGAGAAGATCATCCATGTGTCCCTTTCAGTTTGTGCTCATGTGCGGTGTCTGAAGGCTCATGTAGGTTATTTTCCCAAATTTCTTAGAAAGGTGGAAACAAGTCATTTCATTGTTTTCAGGACACATACTCCGCGGCGTCACCGAACGGAAGACGTGACCACCCCAGCCGGCCTCAAGCAGCCCACTTCCAGGGACAGCTCGGGCCGCGCTGGGGCCGCCGGGTCTGAGCTTGTTTCTCTAGGGTCGGCGATTTGACTCTGATCACATGTAGAGCCTTTGGAGGCTAAACCAAAAATCAAGCCTTAAAAAAAACAGCCAACAGCCCTGGCCGGTGTGGCTCAGCGGTTAGAGCGTCGGCCTGTGGTCCAGAGGGACCCGGGTTCGGTTCCCGCTAAGGGCATGTACCTCGGTTGCAGTTTGTCCCCGGCCCTGGTTGGTCGTGCGGGTGGCAGCCACTCGATGTGTCCCTTTCACATCGATGTTTCTCTCTCTCTCTCTCTCTCTCCCTCCCACTCTATCTGAACAAAAAATGGAAAAATGTCCTCGGGTGAGGATAAAAAAAAACAGCCAACCACACAAAATCAGGACATGAAAAATTCTACTCGGCGGTTCACAAAGCTGTTGGCAGACTCGGTCCTGGACCGCGTCCTCCTACAGAAATGGAGGGACTGGACGTAGGAGGGAAGGTCACAGGGCTTTCCAGGGTGAAGGTGAGAGCCGGCGAGTCGTCTGTGGGCCAGAGGGGGAATCAGAGGTGTGACCCCCTGGCGGCTGCTCCGGGCCTTCAGAGGATGTGGGGCACAGTGGGGGCTGCGCTCCCCCCGAGAAAGGGAGAAAGGGAGAAAGGGAGACCCGGCCTGTCCCACAGGGGTGTAGCGGCAGGGGGACGCACATGAGGGTGGTCTTCCCTGCGCCGTTGGCCCCCAGCAGGGCGGTGATCTGGTTTCAGTGGAAGCTGAGCGTCAGGTCTCGAAAGGCCACCTGTGGGGTGGGTACTCCTTGGTCATGGACACCAGGGTGACTCCTTCCCGCTGCCCCTTCCCGAGGGGTGGGGACGACCCTGGAGGAGGAGGAAGATGCACCCCGAGAGGAGGCAAACCCCCCACAGCGCGATGGCCCGGTGGCAGCCTGGGACCTGAATTCTGTCCCTGAAACTTATGAAACATGCGAAAATCTCTCTTCACCAAAATCAAGAGGCAGATTATAGGACAGCAAAAATTAAGTGAAATCTCTGGTCCCAAAGCTTTGTACCCTCATGCTGTCCGTGTTGTAAGAAAATAAACACGGACACGTATGCACACACACACACACATGCGTGTGCCCATCTGCAGAGGCAGCAGCAAGCAGGTGAGTTCCACGCCCACCATCCTCGAGGAGCGGTCTCCCGAGGCCATGTGAGCCCACAGTGCTGTCTGTGGTCCAGTTTCTAAAAGAATCACATTTTCCTGTGTAACGAGAAAAAACATTCCTTTGCAAGACTGGTGTGCAGAATAAACCCCCTGACAAGAGCCTGTGTGTGGGGTCCATCTGGATTGTCCTCTTGTCCACGAGGGGCCCAGGAAGGGCCGTGACTGCAGCGCAGAGGGAACGTGCTCTCTCCCAGGGTCGCCCTGAGTGTGCATGCGGGAGACCAGAACCTGGGTGCTGGTGCCTGCTGGCTGTCCATGGGGGCTTCTGTTGTTTACACAAATCCATGGGAACGCCAAGCTTCCTCTCTCTCATGGTTGACCAGACAGAAATCCTGAGGTGTCCCACAGCAGACAACAGCGGCCGAGGTGGGGCACAGACAGAGAGTCGGTCAGTCAGTAGCCGTGGCCGAACCACGGACGTCAGCCCACATCCTGACCATGTGTGAGACCTGAACCGATGCCCAGGCGCTATCCCCACGGTTCCCCAGGGAGTAACTGACCAGCAGGCTGCACCTCCTGCCCACACACATCCTGCCCCCAACCTAGGCCAATGCAGTTCTTCCCAACAACGTACACCTTCCGTTCCCAAACCCACTGCAGGACAGCCCGCCAGCCCCAGGGCGGGACAGTCTCCATCTCGCCTGCTCTGGTGGTTCAGGCTGGTGCCCTGGGACCCGGCCTTTTTCTGGCCGGCATGTGGCTCAAAAAACGACTGCTGGCCTCAGGGGTTCTGTGTGCAAGAAAGTACACGCACATGCGCACACGCCTTCACGGGCTGTGAACCACGCGAGGTCACCGTGCGGGCCTGGGCCTGGCCCGCACGGTGACCTCACCCGGGCCCTCCTTCTGGCCACGTGGCCCCGTCCCTGTCCCCATGTTTCCAAGCCCAAGGTGGCTTGCACATGGGCAGGAGCAGGGCTCACGTGGTTACAGAGGCTCAACCCAGAAGGGAAAGCAGACCAACCAGAGGAGAAGCACACGGAGCTGCTGCTCTGTACAGACCTGTACAGTTCACAGTCCTCCTGGAGGGGGAGGGAGAACAAACTGGAACCCCCAGCGCTCGGCCTCTGGGCCGCCAAGCCACACACTTTTCCAGTACACCACCCTCAAGGGACAATACCAGGTCTTCCTGAGACCAAAAGTTCCTGAAACACAAGATGCAGGTCAAGTCAGTTTAGCTATTTTCTCTCCAGAATGAGATTCTGTGATAGGACGTCTGAGCTAGCTGATACAAAGAGTTATTCCACGTCGACACACTCCACACACATCCCATGTACGAACCAGGACAACTGGGGTCCCAGCGCCCTCCTCGGCCTGCCCAGGGCCATGGCGGGGCCCCTCCTGCCACTTCCCCCAGGGGCCTCCTGAGCAGGTGTCCAACAAGCCGGTGGGGACGTATCCGAGATAAAAGCAGCTTTGAACAGGCTGCCGCTTGCCCAGAGCACAGCCTCGCCCGCCACAGCCTTCATTTCTTCACTGCCGCTGCCTTTGTCAACCTGGGATGTTCGCGCAGACTCGGGTTAGAAGCACGAAGGAGTTAGTCAATTACAACTTCGACAAAGAGTAATTCATGCCAACGTTTCCACGGGAAGCATATCAACGTTCCTTAATCGTAGTCTCCATATTCACGTCAGTCCACTTGACAGCCACGTCCCCCCGAGTGTGCAGACGAAGGCGCACTTGTCATCCACACGATTTCCCTTAACATCCACTGTGGCTGACGTCTGAAGTGACTGGAGAGACCGAGGCCCACGTGACGTCACTTAGCGCCCTGACCACCAGGCAAAGGGGAGACGCGACCCCTCACACACTCTAATCACATGATCCAAAACGACCACCAAGGAAAACAGGAGGCCAGTCACCTTGAAGTGAAGGGGGGCGCTGAGCAGGCACCCAGTAAAGGGTTCACCCTGTCATGAGTCAAAACGTGTCCCCCAAATTTATATGTTGAAGTCCCAGCGCGACTACATTTAGAGGAAGAGCCTTTCAAGAGATGATTAAGGTCCCACGACGTCTCCAGGCTGGGCACTAATCCCAGGACAGCGCCCTTGCGAGAAGACACGAGGACACAGACACAGAGGAAGGCCCCTGCGGCCGCGGGGAGAGGGGGCCGCACACACCCAGAGCCTCAACATCCGCTCTTCGGCCACGCAGTCTGAGTGCTTCGCTGTGGCGGCCCGAGCAGACTGGGCAGGCGCATGTTTTCCAGGAACCTAGCAAAGGAAGGCTGGTCCCTGAGCAGGAAGAGGGGAGCGGCACAGGGAAGGTGCTGTCACATCACAGCCAGCTCAGCACTCCCTCCCTTCCAGCTCCGCCAGGTCTTCACGTGTATTAACTCACACAGCCCCGACCCCAGTGAAGGGTGCTGCTGCCACCTCTGCACCCCAGCGGGAAAGGGGCTCCTCGGGGACCCATGGCGGGTGAGTCACACAACTGCTGGCCAGCCGGCCGCCCACAGCCCCTGCCTGTCGGACACGAGCATGCGGCAGTGGGACACTTTCTGTTGTCCTCTCAAACAGGGTACACCTGACTCCAACAAGCCAGGAGACTCCCCTCATCTCGCACCCTGAACCACGCATGAACAATGAGTGTGTGGGACTGGAGGAAGACTACTCGGCAAAGGCTGGCCCTGTCCCTCTTGTTCATCAAGCAGTTTTCTCGCAGGGGCTGGGCCCAGGTGACCATGGGTTCGAACACCTTCGGGGCCATAGGTTTTGAATTAGCGGAGGTGAAGGGGCAGCTCAGAGGGCGGGGCAGGAATCACAAGGGCCAGGCCCCTGCAGTGAGGCCTGGGTGAGGCTCAGGGCTGAGTCCTGGGAAGGAGAAGACAGACAGGCGAGGCCTTTCAGACTTAGAAAAAAGAAACTAGAAATAAATGGGATATTAAAGCTGATTTTCTAATGAGACCACCCCAGCTCTACCCCGCCTGGACTTTTAAAATCCCCCTAATTGCTCTGTTCACGTAAACGAATGGGAGCTGCCAGACCCAAGCTGGCGGGAGGCCTGGGCTCCCAGCTCTGCTTGGCCGTGTGCTCCTGCTCATCCACTCACACCTGTTGCAGGTGCACCCAGCCAGCTCACACACCTGCCCCGCTACCAAATATAACTGGGGCACTAATACCTGAGCGCCCTCCCTTCCTATGGAGCTTCCCCATTGAGGGCAGCTGCCTGCTGGCCTCACAGGCCAGGAAATGAACGCCCATGTCTTCTCAAACTGGCAGTGACGGGAAGAGAGGCCGTGGCATCAGACAAACCAGGCCGAACGCCAAGTGAACCTCAAACTCAGGAAGAAGTTATGAAACAAAAGCTTGAGAGGCCCGGTGTCTGCCTGGGCTCCACAGTGCTGCACGAAGATGCTCTGGACTGAGTCCTGCAGGCCAGGAAGGGGCGGGGGGGGCGGTCCTTGATCGTGTGTTCAGGGATAGACCCTGGTCTTCCTTCCCAACTAGACAGAAGCTAAAAGTGGCCGCACGAGCAGAGAGAAATGTAAAACCCACCAGCTGAATTCTGAAAGCAAAAGGTAGGGTGGGCACTTGGGATTCAAAGGTGCCTTTGACACCCATTGCGAGGCACAGAATCTGATCTGGCCGTGGATCCTGACTCACTGTGGGTTCCGGGCTCTTCGAAGCACCAGATGGGAGTGTGGAGACCTTCTGGACAAGGCACACCCAATGGGCTGCAGAGGCAGATGTCAGCCAGCAGGTCTGGGTCCCCATTTGGATGTGGCTGGGTGAGAGCTGGCCTGACTTAACTGTCACCACTCACAAGCAGACACTCGGTAGAAATTCACCTGGAGACCCTGGGACTGCAGGGGTGTGTGCATGCGGATGGCGGGGTGACATGCGAACCCTCCCCTAAAGGGAAGGCACAGAATGGGGCTGAAGACCAGGAGGGCAGTGAAGAAGGGACTGGATCCACAGTGGCAAGTTCCCAGCACACGCACTGGCCAAGGGCTTTCCAAAACCGCCGGGTTTGGCACATAGGCGCCCCAGTCACCCCAACCCCCAGCTGACTTCATTTCACTTTTAGAAAAGTAAGATCAAACGCTCCTCTGAAAACCACCAGCTTGGCTGATGCTCCACCAACTCCCAGAGAAACGGAACAGAACAGCAGGGACACGTGGGAAGAGATGTACTGGGAGGGACCGGCGCACAGCTTGGATTCTGAGAAGCCCTTAACTGCTGCCTGGAAGCTGGAAGCCCAGGAAAGCCAGTGGTTTGTTCCAGAACAAACCCACAGCCAGAGAACCAGGTGGCTGCCGGCCCCTGAGGCCCAAGAGCCCGAAGCCCCGATGTCCAAGGGCCGGAGAAGAGGGACGCCCAGCTCAAGCCCACAAACTCACCCTTCTCCCTCACTCTGGTCCAGTCCCGATATCCAGTCCCGATATCCAGTCCCCATATCCAGTCCCATATCCAGTCCCCATATCCAGTCCCCATATCCAGTCCCCATATCCAGTCCCCATATCCAGTCCCCATATCCAGTCCCATATCCAGTCCCCATATCCAGTCCCCATATCCAGTCCCCATATCCAGTCCCATATCCAGTCCCCATATCCAGTCCCCATATCCAGTCCCAGATCCAGTCCCCATATCCCTCCCCATATCATTCCCATATCCAGTCCCCATATCCAGTCCCCATATCCAGTCCCATATCCAGTCCCCATATCCAGTCCCATATCCAGTCCCATATCCAGTCCCCATATCCAGTCCCATATCCAGTCCCATATCCAGTCCCCATATCCAGTCCCCATATCCAGTCCCATATCCAGTCCCCATATCCAGTCCCCATATCCAGTCCCATATCCAGTCCCCATATCCAGTCCCCATATCCAGTCCCCATATCCAGTCCCATATCCAGTCCCCATATCCAGTCCCATATCCAGTCCCCATATCCAGTCCCCTATCCAGTCCCCTATCCAGTCCCCTATCCAGTCCCCTATCCAGTCCCCATATCCATCGCCCTACCAGAGTCCGCCCCATATCCGTCCCAGATCCTTCCCATATCCCAGTCACCCATATCCAGTCCAGATCCAGTCCCCATCTCCAGTCCATATACCATCCTCATCCAGTCCCCATATCCGCCCCATAGCCACAGGCCCCATATCCATCCCATATCCAGGCCCATAGCCAGGGTCCCCATATCCGCAGGCCCATATCCAAGTCCCATATCAGTCCATATCCAGTCACCATCCAGTACCATATCCAGTAACACCATATCCAGTCCCCATATCCGTCCCATATCCCGTCCCTATCCAGTCATGCCAGTCCCATAGCCCAGTCCCCAGAGCCAGTTCCCCATAGCCATCCCATATCCAGTCCCCATATCCAGTCCCCATATCCAGTCCCCATATCCAGTCCCCATATCCAGTCCCATATCCAGTCCCATATCCAGTCCCCATATCCAGTCCCCATATCCAGTCCCCATATCCAGTCCCATATCCAGTCCCCATATCCAGTCCCCATATCCAGTCCCATATCCAGTCCCCATATCCAGTCCCCATATCCAGTCCCCATATCCAGTCCCATATCCAGTCCCGATAACCCCGCACACAGCATGATGCCGCCCACGCGGGGGAGGGGCACTTTCTTTACTCCGTCGTCTCTTCCAGAAAACACCGCCGCTGACACGCCCAGAGATAACGCGGAGGTGGTGGCGTCCCCGCCCGGTCAGGCGGGCACAGAGGGCACCATCCCACTGGCACCGCGCGGAAGTGATCGCGAGGGCACGTCCTCTGTGGCAGGTTCTTCCGGGCCTGGTCGCCTTCGGGTCCGTCCACGTCAGCGGTCAGACCTCCTCCCTTTCCAGGGTTGCTCTGCTGCATGTACACACTTTCCGTCGGCTCGTGCTCCGCGGGCCCCTGGGCTGCCCCCTCGTTTCGCGGTGCGCCACGCTGCCGTGAAGGGGCGGACAGGCGTCTCTCCGAGTCCCTGCTTCCGGGTCTCTGCGCCCAAGAGGCCACTTCCCTGACGGTCCAGCCTCGCGAGCTCACTCCCTCGGTCGGTTCCCTCTCTCCAGCCTCCTCTCGGGTCTGTGACGTGCTGGCCGCCCCACCCCACCCCTCACCAGGCGTCCCCTCCCTGGAGCAGGGCGTTCTGCAGAGCTGGCCGCACAGGGGCCGGTGTCCCCTCCCTGGAGCAGGGCGTTCTGCAGAGCTGGCCGCACAGGGCAGGTGTCCCCTCCCTGGAGCAGGGCGTTCTGCAGAGCTGGCCGCACAGGGCAGGTGTCCCCTCCCTGGAGCAGGGCGTTCTGCAGAGCTGGCCGCTCACGGGCCGGCGACGAATCGCTGGTGCCCAGAGCTCCTGCACCAGGAGCAGAGCCGGAGGCGGGCAGCCTGAGAGACGGGGAAGGGACTCCGACCACACACAAGAAGGAAGAGGGAGCCCTGGCCAGTGTGGCTCAGCGGATTGAGTGTCGTCCCATGGACTGAAAGGTTGTTGGTTCGATTCCCAGTGAGGGCACGTGCCTGGGTTGCAGGCTTGACCCCCAGGAGGGGGTGTGCAGGAGGCAGCTGATAGATGTTTGGCTCTCACATAAGTGTATCTCTCCTCCTCTCTCCCTCTCTCTCTCCAAAAATCAATAAAACACATTTAAAAGAAAAAAAGAGGGAAGAGGAACAGAACACATGCAGCCGTCATGCACCACCGCTGGTGTCCACTGCCTGGCAGCCTGCTGGGCATGGGGCAGAGGGCAGCACCAGCTCAGACCCCCACGGGCCCGTCCCTCACCTGTCATCCACCTCCCTCGGGGCACGGCGCCACCTTTATGAAGACACGGCCTCCACAGGCCGTTCCTCAGCCCCTCCCAGGAAGGGCAGAGCCCAGAGCTCACGCATCTTGTCTTGAGGAGGGACAGTACTTCTCACCCCTGAAATCACCCCATTACCTTCCTCCACCGGGAACAGCACTTGTCACCCCCAAAACCACCCCATCACCTTCCTCCACGGGGACAGCACTTGTCACCCCCAAAACCACCCCATCACCTTCCTCCACGGGGACAGCACTTGTCACCCCCAAAACCACCCCATCACCTTCCTCCACCGGGGAAAAGCACTTGTCACCCCCAAAACTACCCCATCACTTTCCTCTACTGGGGAAAAGCACTTCTCATCCCCAAAACTACCCGATCACCTTCCTCCACGGGGACAGCCCTTGTCACCCCCAAACCCCCATCACCATCCTCCACGGGGACAGCACTTGTCACCCCCAAAACTACCCCATCACCATCCTCCACGGGGAAAAGCACTTCTAATCCCCAAAACTACCCCATCACCATCCTCCACCAGGGAAAAGCACTTCTCATCCCCAAAACTACCCCACACCATCCTCCACGGGGAAAAGCACTTCTCATCCCCAAAACTACCCCATCACCTTCCTCTACTGGGGAAAAGCACTTCTCATCCCCAAAACTACCCGATCACCTTCCTCCAGCCAGTACCGGGCTGGCTTGAGCCCAAAGCATGCCTCCCACCCTGCTGTGTAGCTGTGTGCACCACCCCTCACACCCCCACCACTTGCACCCCACCCCTCACGTTTGCTTTCTTCAACGTCCATTAAATTATTTAGCATTTTGAAAAAATGAAAATATAAAATATATGGTCAATTCTTGTAGTTCAATTAAGTTACAGAAGTGCATGTTTCAAGCAGAAACATTAAAAACAGAAAAAAAGATGTCACACAAATCCACATATAAAACTGCTGGGTGTATAAACCAAATTATGTGTTTTAAGTTTTTTTAACTAAATATTGAGATATGTCATTTTAAAATTGATTTGAGAATCTTACCATGTTCTTTAAATAGTTTTTATAAGATTGTAAATTGTCCTATAGTTTTATTTGTTGGTATATTTTGAAATATTGATTTAAATCCTTATAAAGGAAACTCAATTTTTATTATTTGTGTCTTTGGTATTTAGAAAGGCCTTACCTATCTTTAAAAATAGTACTTTTCCTGCCCTGGCCAGTGTGGCTCAGGGGTTACAGCGTCAGCCCGCACACCAAAGGGTGTGGGTTCAGTTCCCAGTCGAGGGCATGTACCTGGGTGGTGAGTTCGATCCCCGGCACGTTCAGGAGGCAACCGATCAAGGTGTCTCTCTCACATCGATGTTTCTCTCTCTCTCTCCCTCCTCCCTCTCTCCCCTCCACTCTCTAAAAACCAATGGAAAGAAATATCCTCAGGTAAGGAGTCAAAAAACATCATGCTTTCCTTATTCAGTCGCTATTTTCTATGATACTCCTTTCTGATAAGTCTGTGAGGCTAATTTTTCTCCCTGATAGATTGATTGAAAGATGTCCCCTTTCTTGTCGGTGGAGATGAAAGCTGGGCACAGACAAAATCATTGGTTACACGGGGGCTGGTCCCCAGCTCTGCCCTGTCGGGTTGCAGGGGCTTTATACCATCATCTGCCACCGGTCCCTGTCACCGCTTTCGATAGCTTCTGAACATTATCATTAATCTATATGTCTAGCTACTTCTGGAAACATCTCAACAATTATAAACAAATTCCTTTCTTAGTATTTTTATTTACATGATTTGTGTTCCATTATGTCACGTTAACCTGTGTCATATTAAGTGTTACATAGTTTGAAGTTGCATGAACATGTAGGTCGACTGGAGAAAACCGGCCCTGGTTCCGATAAGCACCCACCTCCTCCCTGTCTGGCGGCCCCTCCCCAGGCGCACGGGTCACACAGCATCACTGCGGTTCCCACCCCGTCTCAGTTACGTCGCCAACGGACAACGGTCAGGGTTCTTACCAGGAGTCAGGTTGCTCAGGTACCAGCCACATAAAAAATAAAGGCCCGAATCTAGCAGGATCATGCAGCAGACCCAGCCGAACATCATGCCCACCTGCTCGGGAGCCTGGTCCAGGTTGCCCCACTGGAGGCCTGGAGGGAGAAGGGCGGGGTCAGAGCCAGTGGGGAGGGGGGAGGTGCTAGTCCCGGCACCCAAGGAGGGTCAGGCCGTGGGTCCCAGGTCCTCAAGAGCTTAGCTTGTCCATCCCCCACTTAGTTCAATGGTCGGGCGGAGTGACCACCAACACCACCTGAATATCGAACATTTAAATTTTTGATGGTTGCTTTGTTTACTTAATTAGAAAAAATAAACATGTTATTAAAACAAAACAAAGGATAAACAGGTCTCCTTGAGAATCCAAACCCTAAATTATCTTATTCTCCCTGTTCTTAGAAAATATATAAACAGGACATACAAGATCTGGGATGAGATAGAATCATTATTTCTTACAGTATGTTTGCAATTTATTGCTGGGTTCAAGTATGACCTAAATAAAACACCCCTCTTCCTCAATTTCCCTACGGTGTAGCCTAGAACTTGAAAAATACATGTTCTCATGTGCCCTTGTTGGAATTTAGTCCAAACTATTCAAAGGATGGAACAGTGACCTTTCTCTCCTGCACCCGGCGTCTCCTCCGGAGCAGCTCCAGGCGCGGAGGGGCGCGCGAGGGGCTCTCCTGTCCCGCACAGCCCACGCCCACAGGGACGGCAAACGGCTCAGCGTGCGGAGGGGTGACGTGCGCTGAAGGAAGGGGTGACGGGTGTAGAAGCAAAGGGGTGATGTGCCCAGAAGGATGTGCACAGAAGCGAAGGGGTGACTGGCAGAGAAGGAAGGGGTGACCAGCACAGGAGGAGGGGTGCCGGGCGCAGGAGGAGGGGTGTCGTGCACAGAAGGACGAGGTGCCGTGCGCAGGAGGGAAGGCTGGACTCGTGCCCTGTTTTGCACGGTTGGATCTCTTCCTGGACCGTGGCCTTCGGGACCGGGCGGCGTGAACACGACAGCCGGCAGAGGATGCCTGGACACTGGCATGTGGAGGACTCGGAAGAGGACTAGGGTAGTGGGCAGAGATGCAGGGAGACAAACCCCAGCTGGACACCGTCCTAAGAGATGGCGCGTGTGCACACCCCTCTCGGAGGAACCCCGAAGCTACGTTAACCGTGTGGAGGCGCCAAGAGGAAGACCTGAGCACGGGCTGGCAGGCTGGCCGGACCGGGGCACCGCGTTATCCCTGACCGTTCCTAACACCAAGCAGCAGGACGAGGGGGGTGCTGCATCAGCCAGTGGACACCAGATCTCCTTCCTGTCTCACTTGCAACATGATAGCTGTTAACTCCCGAATGCCTTAATCACCGAGAGCTGCTTTTTAACGATGCATCTCCTCACCTGCCTCTTGCCCTTCCAGGAATGTAATGAAAAACACTCCTTGTCCGAAGGCGGTCGTGGAGAGGAGGCACTGTGCGGGTCGACGGGGAGAGAGGGGAACAGCCCGTTAGTGCCTGCGGGGCCAGGACATCCCCAGCAGGGCGCTCAGCTGGAGACGCCACACGGGGTCCCCTCGGAGACCACCAAGCACGGGCCGGCGGCGGCATCCGTGTCTGCGCCTGGACACTCGGCCCAATGTCAGCCGCTGGGAGACACGGGGACAAGCTCGTTTTAAACGTGAAAAGGGGTTATTTCCCTTTGTTGGGGTGCCTGAACTGTAACAGCCCCAGCTGTGCAGACACGGGACACGCAGCAGCGGGGAGCGGGCAGGGCCTCCACTGTTCGTGCTGCGGACCGAGTGCAGGCCGAGGATGGTGTGTGCCACTCCACGCCCTGTCCTGCTCCCGAGAGGTCCTGCATCAGAAAAAGGCCACTGAAAAGCACTTTGCATTCTGTATAATGCACCAGAGGTAGGTTTTTGCTTTGCTAGATGTCATCTGAACACGCAAAAGGAAAGTGAACTGTGTACACGGAGCCCTCTGCTATGAGGGCTGAAGTGTTTGAAACCCACGCCAGGTTGTCCCTGGCCCTTTTCCACCCCTAGGAGGATACGGGCCAAAATGGTCCAGGCTGCCTCAGTTACTCTGCAAGCTCCTAATCAACACAAACCCAAAACTGTGGGTCATGAAATTCACAGGTGTGACGTCAGCAAATTGGGCTGATGAGCACCCATCGGGGACATGCTGTGTGCACGGCCAGTGGGATTGTGAGGCCCTGCAGGGCTGCCTGATGTTGGACAAACACCATCCGGCTCTCACAGAAAGTCTACCCTACGCTCGAGCAGGCAGAGGAGACCCTCCCCCACACGGAGGGCAGAGGAGACCCTCCCCCCACGGAGGGCAGAGGAGACCCTCCCCCACACGGAGGACAGAGGAGACCCTCCCCCACACGGAGGGCAGAGGAGACCCTCCCCCACACGGAGGGCAGAGGAGACCCTCCCCCCACGGAGGGCAGAGGAGACCCTCCCCCCACGGAGGACAGAGGAGACCCTCCCCCACACGGAGGGCAGAGGAGACCCTCCCCCACCCGGAGGACAGCAGCAGCCTGAGGAAGACACCTGAGCACGAGGCCAATGCAGCTCTGGCCCCGGCTGTGTGAACTGACCTCTTCATAACGGTGTGTGCCCCTCCCCGTGGAAATGACCATCTCAATAACGGTGTGTGCACCCTCCCCGTGGAACTGACCATCTTCATAATGGTGTGTGCCCCTCCCCGTGGAACTGACCATCTCAATAACGGTGTGTGCACCCTCCCCGTGGAAAATGAACCATTCTCAGTGGAGGTGTGTGCCCCTCACGACGTGGAATACCATCTCAATGGAGGTGGTGTGCCCCTCCCCGTGGAAATGACCAGCGCTCATGGAGGTGTGTGCCCCTCGCCCGTGGAAATACCATCTCAACAGAGGTGGTGCCCCCTCCCCCGTGGGAAAGACCACTCAAAGGAGGTGTGTCCCCTCCCCTGGGAAATGACGCACTCAAAGGAGGTGTGGCCCCTCCCCATGGAAATGACCATCTCAGTGAAAAAGTGTGTGTGCCCCGCCCCGTGGAAACGACCATCTCATTGGAGTGTGGGCCCCTCCCCCGTGAAATGAACATCTCAGTGGAGGTAGGTGCCCCTCCCCGTTGAATGACCATCTCACAGAGTGGGGGCCCCTCCCCGTGGAAATGACCATCTCAACAGAGGTGTGTGCCCCTCCCCGTGGAAATGACCATCTCAACAGAGGTGTGTGCCCCTCCCCGTGGAAATGACCATCTCAGTGGAGGTGTGTGCCCCTCCCCGTGGAAATGACCATCTCAGTGGAGCTGTGTGCCCCTCCCCGTGGAAATGACCATCTCAGTGGAGGTGTGTGCCCCTCCCCGTGGAAATGACCATCTCAGTGGAGGTGTGTGCCCCTCCCCGTGGAAATGACCATCTCAGTGGAGGTATGTGCCCCTCCCCGTGGAAATGACCATCTCAACAGAGGTGTGTGCCCCTCCCCGTGGAAATGACCATCTCAGTGGAGGTGTGTGCCCCTCCCCGTGGAAATGACCATCTCAGTGGAGGTGTGTGCCCCTCCCCGTGGAAATGACCATCTCAGTGGAGCTGTGTGCCCCTCCCCGTGGAAATGACCATCTCAGTGGAGGTGTGTGCCCCTCCCCGTGGAAATGACCATCTCAGTGGAGGTGTGTGCCCCTCCCCGTGGAAATGACCATCTCAGTGGAGGTATGTGCCCCTCCCCGTGGAAATGACCATCTCAGTGGAGGTATGTGCACCCTCCCCGTGGAAATGACCATCTCAGTGGAGGTGTGTGCACCCTCCCCATGGACCGAGCGCCCACTGTGTCCGCACTGGGCTTGCCAGGCAGCACACCAAGCAGTGAGTCCCGGCCGTCTCTGGGCTCGGAGCACAGCCCGCAGGTGCCCTAATGCTTCCCAGGAGGGGCCCTGCGGACCAGTCCGACACCAGCGGAGAGATCTCCCCGTGTAATGCGGTGGGACACAGGATGCCTCGAGAAAGACGCTTCCTTTTTACTTCTAAATTAGCGACAGAAACCCGTCTCTTTCCATCCGTGAGACGGGGAGGGCTGGAGGGACACTTCCTGTGCCACGCCCAGGGTGCCCGCCGGACAGGCTGTCCTGGGAGAAGCGCCCGCTCCTCAGGCTGCCTGCCCCCAGCCAAACCCCCAGCCAGGTTGGCCTCCTGGGCGGATGAGGGGGGATGAGGGCGGCAGACCCGGGCGCCTGCGCCGGGGGAGGCGGCACCGACACGTTGAGGGCGGCAGCTTTGTTTCAGTTGGCGTTTCTGCAGAACCACCCGCTTACCAGCAGCATCTGGACCGCAGCACCGAGCTGGCTGTGCAGAACCAAGAGGACAATGTAGGGCAGGAAGCTGATCATGGACACAGGCTGGTGCAGGGGGCAGCTGTGTTCGCTTGGCTGAAGAACACGCTCAGGAAGTAACTCAACATGACCACCCACACCCGGAAATCCAGCCTGAAGAGGAAGACAGTGAAGGCACTGCTGTGCAGGAAGATGCCGCTTCCTCTCAGAATGACCACCAGGGTGGTGCTGCCAATGCTCATCACCACCAGCTTCTCCAGGAGCCAGGCCAGGAAGCTGATGGCTGGATGCAGCCCCACCATCCTCAGGTACTGTCAGGGGAAGGGGACCTGGTTATGGCGGCAGCGGCTGCCCCAGGAAGACAGCCCCAGGTGGCGGCCAGCCAGTGCTGAGACGGCCATGCGTCCTCGAAACCCAGGCCCTTCCTGCCACACTGGTGCTCAGGGCCCTTAGAGAGGGGCCCTCAGGCTGTGGGTGGGGAGAACCGTGGGCAGCACGTGGGAGGGAGGCTCCGGAGGTGACGGGCGCAGAAAGGCCGGAGCAGGCCTGGCAGGTCGGCGGCTGCGGCTCACGCGTTTCCTCCTTCCTGTGCGTCTTGTTTCCATTTCCATTTCTGGTTGTTTCTTGTTTTGTTTGTGTTGGTTTGGTTTAGTAAGGACAAAGAGAAAAATAAAGGGGAAAATACTCTTCCTTACATTTGGGGGATTATTCTCTGCGTTTTAGCATGAATCTCGCTAACGAATCTGGTTCAAAGTAATACAATAAAATTAATTCATCCACTAACCTACTGCTTGCTGGGCTCTGACACCACGAGTGAGGTCTGACCATTACTAAGAACAATGTGGCCCTGGCCCCGGCAGCTGGGAGTCCCCGACACTAACCATCACCCCAGTCCTCTGCACAGTGGCCCGGCTGGATCAGGGGTGAGCTGCTGTGAACAGCAAGGCCAGTGCCCTGTACAACCAGGCACAGCACAGGGCCCTTGGCCCCGCTTCACCTCCATGATCAGCCAACAGTCTAACCCACTGTCTCCGCCTCTCCCTCTGTGGGCAAAAGGGGCAGGCAGGCCTTCCAGATACTCTCATTGTTAAAGGCAGTTCCGGAAGCTTCGGTTTTAACAGTGTCTGGACACACATGGCAAGGCTGAGCTGGGAGAACTCCAGCCACAGCTCACAGAGCCCATGGGCTGCTGTCTCTCTGGTGGTAGAAAAACTGCTGAATGAGCCACACGGGCTCCTGCCTTCACTGCGCGGCGCCCTCTTTCTCCTCGACAGGAAATGCCTGCTGAGCTCTGGCAGGCTGCAGATTTTCCTGGACAGGGCGGGCAGAGGGCAGCGCGAAGGCCACCTGCCTCTTCTATCCGGATCTCCCACTCATAAACCAGCTTTCGGACCATGCTGGCCACGGACACCATCCACGTCAGCATCAGCATCAGGGGGAAAAAGAAGCCCACGTTGTTCAGGAATCTGTAAGGCAGCGATGGGGGGTTCTCCTCAGGCTCGAGCCGTGTGGGCCTGGCACCGGGCGGGCTCCACAGGTCCGCGCCCGCCAGGGAGCACTGTCTGGACACCAGCTCCCGGGCCATTCCCACGGCCTGTGACTCGGGAGGACGGCTCTTTGGAACCTTTATTCAATCACTGATGTTTTAGAAGTGGATAATGAGGGTAACTTTTCCCTCTGTGTTTGCAACTCCCAGTAGGTAACCACGTGTTCATAAAACTAACAGTAAAAAAATAACTGTTGAGGTCAGGATGTCTGAGTGACCTCGAACTCAGTGCAGACCACCCTCCCTGTATCCGGGAGTGGGGTCACAGGGCACCTGAGCGGTCCGGCCCCCTGGGGCCTCTGCACTTGCCCTGGAGCCGGGACACAGCACTGTCCACAAACTCCACCGCCAGGACGTCGGGGCTCGTGTCTCCTCAACACCTTCAAACAGGACGCTCGGGCTCCATGAACACGCGTCACCGTCCCTCTTTCTGGAGCCTGCTAGTCCTCAATGCGTGCTGGGACAGCCCTCGTTACCAGTTTCCCTGAGGCTCCGCCCCATCAGCACCCCGAGCTCAGACACGGGTTGGGAGCAGTGAGCGTGGGCGTGAGGGGGAACCACGGGTCGGCTCTGGTGGTTGGCACTCAGACATGCACCACTTTGACCCGAGTGCAGGGGGTCAGCTTGCAGCCCTCTGCCCATCGCCTGGCCTCTGCCTGCCTCCCTGCCTGCTCCACGCCCCTCCCCCCGCCAGGACCCCAGGCCCAGGAAGGGTTACACAGGGCAGCGGGGTCCTTCCCGACTGTGAGTGAAGGGGGGTCGATGGCCTTCTCCAGCTGGTGGCACCCTCGGGGACGTGGGGAGCAGGTGTCCGCACACCTCTCGGGGTACCACACCGCCCAGAACGTCGCTCTCCCGGCTCTGAAGACCTGCCACCTGGGCGTGTGGCACAGGAGGGAGCAGAGAAAGGTCCTGCCTCCAGGACCCTGCACCGCAGCGGGGGCTGGGGCACTAAATACAGGCCAGTGAGGACAGACACCAGGTAAAGTGGCAGCTTCGCAACCGCGAGACGGGCCGAAGCCAGGCGTCTGGAAGAAATGCCGAGCTGGGGACAGAGGGAGTGAGGACCAGGCGCCGGGGCAGGCGACAGGGAGGGAGGGTAACATTCTCGGAACCCGGAACCCGGTCCTTCTACCCCCAGCTCCTGCCCTCCGGGTGGGGCGGGCCTGAGAAGGTTCCAGAGAGCAGAGGAGCTGGTGACAGCCCTTCCGCGAACCGCTGTGCACAGAACAGCTCTGCAGCTGTTGTTTTTCATTTGGGGAAACCTTTTTATTAAGTCATCTGGCTCTCTGAAGCGATATATTAACACTTGAAACTCTGTACATTCATGAAGTACACCCCGGCTCCCGTCATAAAGTCGTCCTGAGCCACCACCCGTGAATAACGGGCTGAAGGAGCTTCCAGCGGCACGGAGCCCCCCCCCCCAGCCCGGGGCCTTAAAGCAGCACTCCCAGCTCTGGACACCTGTGCCCGGCCTGGCAGACCCTGTGCAGGAGGGGTGGGGGGGCGGGGTGGGGGAGAGGGGGTGAGGGAGACGGTGTGGGGGAGACAGGGTGGGGAGACAGAGTGGGGGAGATGGGGTGAGGAGACAGGGTGGGGATACAGGGTCGGGGAGACGGGTGGGGGAGAGGGGGTGGGGGGAGAGGGGATGGGGGACAGGGTGGGGAGACAGGGTGGGGAGACAGAGTGGGGGAGACGGGGTGGGGAGACGGGGTAGGGGCGCCGGTTCCAAGAGGGGGGTGCTTAGCTAGATCGGGTTGCTGAGAGGCCTGTGTCTCCCCTCCCGGACAAAGGCTGCTCCCCCTTGATCACCTGACAACGACCCCTATCACCCCTCAGTCTTTTCTCTCAATGGACTGCTCCCAACAGCACCCTATTCTAAAAAAAAGAAATTAAGAACATCTCTTCTTCCCTAAGTCCCCACAGCCCGCGCCCCCATGTCTCCCCGGTGGACAGAGGACCCTGCACCGTGTGAACCCCACCCCCACCCCCGGTCTCTCCGGTGTCCGCGCTCACCTGGCTGCCATCCCCTGGGGAGGCTGCTCTCAGTGAGGTACTCCACGACCCCTGTCCCCACCTGCACTGACCTCACCTGTGAGCCGCACTGGACACACCTGAAACCATGCCCCGCCCCCAAGCATCTACAGCAGCCAATCCGCTGCTGCCCGGACCTGACGCCCCAGAGCAGGGCTCGTCTGTCCCCTCACTGAGCCACCTCGAGCCTAGAGGCTGACAGCAGCCCATGAACATCCTGAATACACTGATCCATCGTCAGAGATGCAACTCGCTCCCTCAGCGTGCAGACCATGCTGGGACGGCGCTCCGGCGGCTGATGCCAGGGTCCGGCAGGACCCGAGACTGTCCCGGTCACTGGCAGGTACACCCAGCCCTCAAGAAATGCGTACTTTTCAAAACAAGAATTGAAGGATAGAGGGATGGATGACAATTTCTCAAAAATTTAAATCTTTCAAAGAAGGAAGACTTCTCCTCTTCCAAAGCAGCAAAATGCATGTCTCAGGAATGGGTCGTGGGGTCGCAGTGAGAGACAGGGGGGTCCTTTCATGACCAGAACTACCCGAGGGTGTTCGGCTCACTCCAGATGAGGCACGACTGTCCCAGTCACCAGGGCTTATTTCAGGGGTGAAAACACACAGGTCTATTGGTTCCAGTCTCCATTCCAGCCCTCCCACAAGCCCTGGTGACCGGGACCCCAGTCAACAGGAGGGACCTGCCACCAGACCCTCAGGGACTCTCCGCCCAGCTGTCCGCAGGGCTAGTGCTGCTCCTCCTCCCTCACCCTCCGGGACGTGAGTCGTCTCCTGTGGTCCTGTGAGCAGGAGGGAGGGACTGCATCTTCCGCCCACCCCACCCCGCCCCGGGCCAGGGCGGGGCTGCAGATCTCAGCGCCCTTGGCAGATGGACAGAGACTTTCCAATAGGCTTTCCTGAGATTCACCTACACAAGCCTCCTGAGCCCTGGCCGGTCTGGCCCAGCGGTTAGAGCGTCAGCCTGCGGACCAGAGTCCCAGGTTCAGTTCCTGCTAAAGGCATGTGCCTCAGTTGCACTTTGTCCCCACCCCAGTTGGGGTTGAGTGGGTGGCGACCGCTCGATGTGTCTCTCTCCCCTCCTCTCTCCCCTCCTCTCTCCCCTGCTCTATCTGAAGACGAATGCAAACATGTCCTCGGATGAGGATAAAAACAAAGCATCCTGAAAAGCCGACTTCCCGAAATGCCGGCGGACTGACTCTCGCCCTGGCGGGTGTGAACTGCTGCGCGTGGCACCTCGCGGGCGGCCAGCGGCTTCCTCTGTCCACTCCCAGTGCTCACACCTCCAACAGGGAGCAGGGCCCTGGCTGAAACGTCCCGGCAAAGATATCGTCACTTCCAAGGACAAGCTCTCATGTCACAAGGAAGGAGACGAGATGCGTACCCGTGCTTCCCATGATGGGGCAGGACCTGGGTTAATGACACCCCCCGGCTAGGACACCCCAAGACCAGCGCGGCTGGGTGGTTCAGGCCTTTGCCCCAGCACAATGGAAAGGTCCCTCCTGCAACACCACCCCCTCCCCCATCAGAAAGGCACTGACGAGCTGTGAGGCAGAGGCCCCTCCTGCAGCCCGGCCCCAGTCACCTGGAGAGGTGGCCCCTGCTCCCCGGATCCGCTGCAGGACCAGCACCTGCCGCCATAACTAATGGGTTCCCCTGGCTCCACATAGACAGCAAGGTGCAGACCTCCTGCCTGTCCTCCAGGGCGGCGAGGTGCCTGCCAGAGCTGCACCCCTCAAGGCTGACCCACAGCCTGCAGCAGCACCAACCCTGCCTGGGGGTCCAAGTCCCACTGGACCCACCCCCCAGCCCACTTCTGGACCCCCGCAGGCCCGCCCTGCTCTACTGCCTCGGCCACCCCTCCCCATGCGGCCTCCCAGCTGCCCCAGCCCCCTGCTCTCCCACCTGCAGAGTGACCTCAGCCTGTCTCCAGCCTGCACAGCTGAGGCTCAGGCCTCATGAGTCCCTCTGTCCAGCCTGCTGTGGACAGTACAACCCCACTTTTAAGAATTTGTGCTGAAAGAAAGACAGCTGTTCTCTGCTTCCCTCCTGCACGGGGTGGACTTGGGAGTCAGACACACAGGGCCCGAGACCACTGAGCTCCCCACTGACACAAAGGCCTTCAAGCTGCCTGCAGTCAGACGTAAAGCTCACTGGGTCACATCATCTTAACCACCAGCCTTCCATTTGAATGGCTTAGGCCCGGAGAAATGCACCTGCAGACATTACGAGGGGGCGAGGACATTCTTCCCGCGCTCTCTGCCGGGACCCCAGGAAAGCTCCAGGACTCACAGGTCGCTGCTGTGACACAGGTACGGGGTCACCTGTGTCTGCACGGTTGGGCCCATGGCCTCCTGCCTGGTCTGCACCTGGATGACAGCCCTCTCAACCATGTCTTGCAGCGGGATGAAGATGCAGTTGTACTTGAACCCATCGGCGGGCAGGTGCTGAGGATGGAATTTCCAGAACAGGTTTTTCACCAGGTCGGTCCTCATGCTGTACAGAACGCTGGTCGGGATGGTATGTACGAGACGTGGGGTGGCAGCGGCGGGGGGCATCTGCTCCGGAGCCCCTGCTGACAGAGGAGCTGTTGAAGATGCCGCCTGATGGAGACAGCGGGCATCACCAGCAGGGAGCTGTCAGTGCAGAGCCCGGCCAGGAAGCTGGATGGACAGACGGCCGGGCTGGGCGGCAGGAGGGGCCGCGCCCGGAGGCAGCCCCGATGGCCAGAGCTGCGGACAGCTGGCGGTAAATGGAGCCAAGGCCTCCTATTTTCCTGGCCTGTCCTTCTTTCATTTTAATAAAACCACATGGTGGCATCATTAACACAAATTAATTACTTGTTCTGCATTTTTCAGGACTTGAAAAATTACACAAGGCTGCTGAAATAATCAGCCTTCCTTCTCTGGATGCAAGTGTGTTCTTAAGAACTGATGTCCCGGGGGGATTACCGTGCGAAACGCGAACCCGGGTCCTGTACTCTGCCATTCACATTCTTTGAGTTTTACATATAAAGCCTATTATAGGTAGAATTGTGTTCCCCCAAAATGTGTACTCTGGAGTCCTAAATTCAGACTGTGACTTTATTTGGTCGCAGGGTCTCACAGAGGTCATGAGGGTGGGCTCGGGAATCTGGACACAGGCTGTGCAGAGGGAGGAGGATGAGCAGAGACACAGGGGCAGATGGCCATCTCCATGCCCAGGACAGAGGCCCAGGGGCACCAGCCTGCCCACTGGAGCCTGGGCTCTGGCCTCCAGGACTAGGAGACACATGTCTGTAGGTTAAGCCCAGTGTGTGGTCCTCTGTCACAGCAGCCCTAGCAAACTAAGAAGTAGTTCCGTTTCTTTAACATGAGTGAGAGCACATCCTATTATCTTAATAAGTGAACAAGTAGCCAACAGGGCTGGGCCAGCCCCTGTCCTTCCTCCCCCATCTCGGGATGTCAGACCCGGTGATAGAACAAGAGTGACGAGGCTCAGAGAGGAACTTTCATCAGGAGAAGCATACTTTGTCCTAAGAGTGAACCATGAAACCAGCAAACACTAATGCAGAGAGCAGTCCGGGCTGGGGACGGCGACAGTACCAGGACTCATCACGGGGCGAGGCCACATTCTCATCAGCTCAGTACAATGAGTCTGCTTGATTCTGTTCTACGTGGAAAGGACGCTTTTCTTTTTCAGTCACATGAGCCACGTCAGGGACAGGTGATGCTGGCATGGGGCCCCCACGTCAGGGACAGGTGATGCTGGCACGGGGCCCCCACGTCAGGGACAGGTGACGCCGGCACGGGGCCCCCACGTCAGGGACAGGTGACGCCGGCACGGGGCCCCCACGTCAGGGACAGGTGACGCCGGCACGGGGCCCCCACGTCAGGGACAGGTGACGCCGGCACGGGGCCCCCACGTCAGGGGCAGGTGACGCCGGCACGGGGCCCCCACGTCAGGGACAGGTGACGCCGGCATGGGGCCCCCACGTCAGGGACAGGGGACGCCGGCACGGGGCCCCCACGTCAGGGGCAGGTGACGCCGGCACGGGGCCCCCACGTCAGGGGCAGGTGACGCCGGCACGGGGCCCCCACGTCAGGGGCAGGTGACGCCGGCACGGGGCCCCCACGTCAGGGGCAGGTGACGCCGGCACGGGGCCCCCACGTCAGGGACAGGTGACGCCGGCACGGGGCCCCCACGTCAGGGACAGGTGACACTGGCGCCCCACCAAGCACGGTTTGTCACTGGATACTCACTGGCCAGGAAACTGTTCTCCCGCATGAGCAGGTGCGCCGCAGCCTCCAGGCCAGTGACAGACTCCATGCCCTGGACCGGTCCAGCAGCACACAGGAGGACAGGTTGACCAGGATGTGGCCCAGAGAGAGGACACGGGCAGCACCTGTGCAGCTTAGCATGTGGCCGAGGCTCCCCCCTGAGGCCAGAGAACACGGAAGATAGGCGGCTAAACCCCCGCAGGAGGGAGCTACTCCAGAGTCAGCCTTGGTGCCTATGTAACGCTCCTGCTCATCCGCGAGCACACGCCCACTCCTCACACTTCCTGTGACACTGACACCGCGTGTGCCTGGAGGGCACTGGAGCAGGGACAGCGAGGGCGGAGGCCAGTCTGGGTAGCAGGGAAGAGGCGCTCGCCAGAGCACAATGAAACCGAATATTCCACCAAGACTCAAGGGACCAAACCATGCGCCCTCTCTGAAGCCCGGGCCATGAAGGCCGCTCACTCTGCAACAGTAGGTCTGCAAATAGTCACAGAGGGCCGCTGACATGAAGGGAGTCCAACCCAGGGGCAGGTGGACATCAGCTTCTGGCCACGTCATTCTCTCAAAAGCACCCATTAAGCAGCTGGTGACAATGAGCCCCACCCAGCCCCAAACCTATCAGACTGAACAGCACTGTCGATAGGGAAACACCAAGACAGAGCAATGGGGCCTGATGCTCCCGAGAGCATCCCGACCCAGTTCCAGACGGACTCACCTGGCCCTGCACCAGGACATGCTCTCCCAGAACCTGAGTCCCAGTGTGTGCAGAGGACGGGCTGCACACCTACCTGAATCCATGGTCTCACACACTGCAGACATGGAGTAACAGTCTGCCAACTGATCATTTGTTATATGAATTCCATGTTTTCAAATTATTTTAACTGCTTCCAGGTGACCACCAACTCCAAAATATTAATTTATTTTATACAGTTACTTTATAACTCACCACTGAGAAGCCTTCCTTTCTGACTAACTTCCGCACTACTGGAGCCTGAGTCAGCAAAGCAGACCTTCCGCGTGGGAACGGCTTCTCCGTGTACTCGGTTCAAGCCGTACACTCACCATACGTCTGCAGCTTGTCGATCAGTTTTTTTATGTCGATGTATAACTTGCTTTCCACAAAGTGTCTCACGAACTTGTTTCTCAGGACTTCCTAAAGAAAAATAATACAGTTTAACAAAAATAACGGCATCTTTTTTTCTTACTGAATACTTGTCTGGTTCACTCGCAGTTTCATTATTCTATAAAAAAAAGGCACATGAATTGAGCCATCTTAAAAGAGGTTCTAAACATCACAGAGTGTGACAGGATCATGGGATTCAAACTCTAATGTGAAAACAGAAGCAGCAGTTATGACAATTTGGGTAACAATTATAATTGTGCACGAACACTGAAACCAGTGAATGAACACTGACTTGGACAGATTTTCTAATGAGACCTTCCCACGGCCTTTTCCACCTGCCAGGGATACAGGGGGTCATGTTACAGAACACTGAGGGAGAGTTAGCATTTCCCCAAACCCTCTTTTTTTTTAATCCTCACTCAAGGATATTTTTCCATTGATTGTTTTTAGATAGAATGGGAGGAATGGAGGGAGAGAGAGAGAGAAACATTGATGTGAGAGAGACACATTGATTAACTGCCTCCTGTACAACCCTAAATGAGGCCAGGGATCAAACCTACAACCAAGGTACATGCCCTTGACTGGGAAACAAATCTGTGACTCTTTGGTCCCAGGCTGACTCTCTAACCATTGAGCAACACTAGCAGGCTTCCCCAAGGCCTCTTAACCCTGACGTTCCGGTCTCCTCTGGGGGCTCCCTCTGAGTCTGCGCTCCCACTCGCCTCGATCTACTCATCTGATGTATAAAAATCAGCGAAACAAGAATAACACCGCGGGCCTGTTCGCTCAGCCAGCGGACACTGGACAAGGCAGAGCTGCACAGATGCCCCCGTGTCACGGGGGACCGAGCTGGTCGAACGACTGTGAATCCTGAAGGAGTGGGGTCACCTTAAACCGCAGCCCGCTTGTTTGGGGTGTGCTTTGTTTTCAGTACAGAACACTAGGAAATGATAGCTGATCATGTTAACAGACCTACAGTTGGAAAGTATACAAACCACCCAAAGAAAGCACTGAGTTAATATGGAATGTAAATCTTGGGTAACTATTGATAAATTATCAATATCTTGCATGGTGGGCAAAATACTTGATCACTTACAAAAGTATTATGCTGAGCGAAATAAGCCAGTCAGGAAAGACAAGTACCCCATGATCTCACTTATGGAATATCAGACCGACACACCTCAGAAGCAGCCCAAGGGGTCAGAGGGGTGTGAAGAGAGAAACCAAAGCTTACACGCACATGTGCACAACCAGTGGACACAGACATTAGTTTGGGGAAAGCAGGAGGGGTGGGAGCAAGGAGGAGGGGGTCAATAGGGGGAAAAGGGCGATATCTGTAATACTTTCAGCAATAACAAACAAGTTTTCACACATATGCCACCTCACGTGAGTATTACCAGTCAGCTAGGAGAACCATTCGAGGTGACCGCAGACCCTCTCACCCACGCCCCAGTGCGTGCCCCAGCCCTCGGGGGCGAGGGGGCCACAGCTCACCTGCAGCTGCTCGAGTGCCCGGCCATGCCCACTGCTCTGAAAACTGCTGGATAAGTTCAGCAATGTCTCTGATAGAGTCCTTAGCTTGTCCACAAAAACGAAAGTGTAATTAGCCTACAAAATAAAGCGTAATAAAACGTTTGGTTACATCTCTGCGTTAGCTAGACTTATCCTCATCACTGTGGAGCTAAAAGGAGAAAGGCCAGCAGGGGACTGGCCATCAGAGTGAAGGTCTGCAGCACTACCTGCAGGTGACCGACACCTCCGAGACCAGGTGACCTCTTCCCTGCCCTGTATCCAAGGTGTGTCCTCAGACCTCTTGTCCAGACCTTTTCACCAGGCCCCTGCCCACAAACATGTGCCCTTCCTGTGCACCTCGGGGTCCCCTACCTGTAAGCCTTGGGTTGCATCTAAATATTATTAGTTAATAGTAATTTAAATATTCAAAACAACTGAAAATACTAATACTTAAATATTAAGCAAAACACCTCAATGAAATCAGAAAACAAAGTTCCCTAACATGAACTACCCCTACAGCACATCAATGTTTTTACACAGAAGCAGACACCGTCACACTCATTGTCGCGTCAGAGCACAGCACAGTGTCTTACACCATGTACACAGTAATACACGTTAATGCCGTTAGCTACAATGATGTATATAAACAAAGGAAGCTCACGGCCAAGTTTTAAAGTTTGAGTTTTCTATGAAATGTGTGAGCTGCTCCCAGCCCTCAAGAGTGTAATGCCCTGAGGGACTGGACACCGGCTCTGGCTCCCGAGCCTCAGAGCTCGGTAGAGGGGCTCACGATGTCCACAGACCCAGAGTATGGTCACGGCACTGTGGAAGTGCTTCTGGTCAAGACGCCTACACAGGACATTCTCAAGGTGGACACAGAAGTCACCAAATACATTCAGAAGGAGCTGAAGCAGAAGCCCCTGAGCAAGACCCATGTGAGAGAGGAGGTCTGGGGTTACTGTTGCCGCAGCCCACCTGACACCCACTGCTGGGAACGTGGGACTCTGCCCACCTGACGCCACACCTGGAAATGGAGACTCCTCTGCAAAGGCCAATCTGACCAAACACAACTTACCCACTCACATGACCACACCCTGTGCTGAAGGTTAGGTTACTACCAGCTGCCCCTGGGAGCTGACCACTGGCAGAGCTGGGGTCTCCTCTCCTGAGTTGCTCTGCACAGGAGGAGATCCCCACATCCTCTATGGAGACCTCCAGGGACTGCAGGCCCCCAAGCCACCATCCACCTAGAAAACAAGACCCTGGGGAAATCCAACAGGACAGTGTCTAAAGAAAGCGTGGATACGAATGATAATAAACCCCGTGTGAACAGTCTGGGGAGCTGGTGGCCTCTGAAAGGGCACACAAGCATCGAACCAGCACGTCAAACTCCCCCTGGAGAAGTGTGCCTCCCCCTGAGTTCGCCCCACGTGGTGCGCCCGCAGCACGCATCAGGCCGACCTCCTCAGTCCCAGAAGCACCAGCAGACAGACCAGCATCTGTGCCCGAGGGTTTCTGGACTCCCTGACCAGGTCCTCCTGTCTGTCTGACTGTCCTCACTGGACAAGCTACTGCATGGGACACCTCTGTCCTCTCAGAAAGTGAGCCTGCAAATCCAACTGACAGCAACAGGAGCAGGGAGAACCGGCCAGAGCATACTGTAAGCGACCTAAGAAACCCTCAGGGAACCCAACCTACGTAATGATTACGTCCGATGTTTTAAAGATGCCTTCCCGCTATACTGCTGGTATGGGCCATCAGATCCTGTCCACCCAATCTACCTTGTGAATGACCTTGTTGATCTCTGGGGTGTTTGGCATGTGCAGTGTTTTTCCGTGTAATATTGGTTTGAGGAAGGACCACACCAAAGCGCCGTTTGGAGACTGCAGAATTTCCCCATAGAGCTTCAGGCAAAATGGAGCTGTTGCAATTTAGAAAGAGAGAATGTGTCACTGAAGTAGGATGCCTGGGTCAGTGGGGCATTCAGAGGCACAGCCCTGCGCCTGCCTTTCGGGGAGTGATTGGCACAGTCTGAATTCAGGCAGGGGATTCGGGAGTGACTGTCCTCGACTGGGTTCAGTGACTGGTCTCATGAGAAACTTTGAGCTGCCACATTCACTACGACAACCTGGGGGGTGGCGCTCACACCGAGGAGTCACAAGGAGCACGGAGTGATGGGGAGAGGAATGGGGAAGGAATGCCCCTGGCTTTCAGTCAACACCTTCGCTCCAGCAGTACAGTCTGGGGACCAGGGTTAGACTTTTTAAATAAAATGAGCTTCACCAACTGCTACTGGATGTTCTTGGCTGCACTGCTCAGGGCTGTTGAACTTCATACTGTGATATGTGAAAGTGCTTTGTTTCCCCGCAAATCCCCCATTCCCTGGGTGGCCTTCATCAATGCCGTGGTGCTAGGGGATGTGTACTGGACTCGACCAACAGGTACCCACTGAAGGCGGAGCCCCTGTCCCTGTAAAGACCAGCTCTCCAGAAGTGACAGGGCCTATGAGCGATAAACGCTTCTGTGTCACCAGTTCTAGTGCCCTGAAGAGAGCATTTCAAAGGGCAGTCGTATCTTAGCTCTGATGCTCTGATTCATAACACCCGAGGTGTGAAGAGAACTGTTGTGATCATTCCCAGTATTCATTTCACCTTCCAAACTCACCATTTGAAAAGAAAAACAAGTTCTTTTTATTTAGAAAGTACTATAAAATTGGTAGAAATAATCCCATAAAATGTGAATTAAGACCATGACTACATAATGATATTTAAAGCATGAACTGCAGTGCCACTCTGACTGGTGTTTTAACAACAAACATTTGAAATTATAAGCCTCGTACAGACAGCGGGATTTTGATTTCAGAAGAGACGTGATCACACATGTATACAGCTGCCCCTCTGGTGTTGGGCAGCTACACAAAAAAGAAAAAACACCTTGCTGAGAGTGTTTGTCATGAGTGGGTTCTGGGTTTTGTCAAATGCTTTTTCTGCATCTGTTGATAGGACTGGATGATGTGTGGTTCATTCTGTTTACATGGTGATTTGCAGATATTAAACCACCCTTGCATTCAAGGAACAAATCACACTGGATCATGATGTGTTTTCTTTTAACATGTTGTCGAGTTCAGTTTGTTAATATTTTATTGAGAATTTTTGTATCTATGGTGCCAGGTGGACACTAGGCTTGTGGGGAAGTATCACTTTGTACATTACATAAATGTCTGACCTGTACACCCGAAACTAATGTATTATTGAATGTTAGCTGTAACTAAAAATTTTTTAAATTCCTATAAAAAGGAAGGAAAAATTAGAGGATGGAGTAGAACGTCCTCACCCACCTTCTACACAAAGTATCCCACACAAAGCAAAGCTAACAATCAGTCTGCAAATCGATCTAGACCAGTGGTTCTCACCCTTCCTAATGCTGACCCTTTGATACAGGCCCTCGTGTTGTCTGTGGGCGTGTCTGCATGTGGGCGGACCCGCCTGGAGATGGACAGAGGAGCCGTGTGTCGGTTCCTAAGACCACTGGAAATACGTGTTTTCTGATGGTCTTAGGCGACCCCCGTGAAGGGGTCGCGACCCACAGGTTGAGAACCGCTGATCTAAACAAACGTGCGTGAGGTTTTCTTACTGGAGTCTTCAGGAATGTTGAGCTTTTCTCTGTCATCCCCCAAGAGCTCGTTAATTCTGGGCAAGTTCAGAAACACTTTGGAGCTGCTCAGAAGAGTCTTGCTCTTCGCGAACCATCTTCATCATAGACCCGAAAGAAACAAAGGCTGAACTTCTGGTCCAGTTCTCGTGTGGAGCCTGGGACGTGTGAAAATCACATTTCAGTGAAACGGCAACTTGGAGCGACGCCCTCACAGACTCTGGGAGCACGGCCCCTTCTCCTGCACTGACAACGGGTGTTGGACCAGTCAGAGGTGTGCATCTGTCCTGCTCTGTCCTGGGAAGACCCTGCATGCCACCACAGCGAGGAGAAAACGCCACACACAAACCAGCCAACCCTTGTCCACTGAAGAACTATGAATCCACAAAATATCACTAACTCAGACTAATTAACACTCTCAGTATGGTCTCTGCTGCCAAACTGCCCAGACAATTGACATCTCCCAGAATTGTCCCTCAGTTGATGGGTAGCTCTGAGGACCCTGCAATCTGCCACATCCAGCACCCTACATCTGCCTCCCCCACCCAGCCCCTCCCCATCAGCTCCATCCCAGCTGAAGAGAGTTCCAGCAAAGACAAATATCATGCCACTGACCTCACTCGAGTTTGTGTTTGTATTTGCAGAAATTATCTGTAATTTGTAAGCCAATTATTTATATGTAAGCAAATGTTTTAAGGTTACTGAAAGCAACCTACTCTCTGAATTAAGTTCAAAAGGCAAATGTCAGACGTTGGAAGAGAAACACGGACGAAAGGCAGGCCCCGCACACGACACTCCCCGGCCCGGCGCAGACCGCACCTGCTCCACGTCGGGCACATCCAGCCAGGCTGTGACCCGCAGCGCGTCCAGAAACTCGGGAAGGTCTTCCAGGACACGGCTGGCTCTGGGGAGCAGGCGGCTAAGCCTGGAGACCACGTCCAGCAGGGGGCTGAGCACACGGTTGGCTTCCGCCGGCATCAGAGCCTCGAAGGAAACACACGACACCAAATAAGCACATTTTCCTCTCCGTGCGTCACCTGGGCAGCGAGGACGGGTGTTTGCTCCCGTCAGAACCCACACGGCTTGGCTCGAGCACCGGCAAATGGGAACAAACGCAAGCCAGGAACACGGGCGTCTGTTGCTAACATTCCAGTCGCCCCAGGATGCTGTTTCCTCTCCCAGTGCCGAGGAGGAGATGGAAGAAGGGGACCAAGTAAAACTGTGCATGTGGAACAATTTTCACGCGCCTGGTCCTGACGGGCACCAGGGCCCTCCTCTGTGGGCTGTGAGTGGAGCTCACCTTGTGGGGAGGAAACAGGCCGGCAGCCTCGCAGTGAGCAAGAGCCGGGGCCGAGTGTGAGCTCGGGGCATCAGGGCCCTTGCACACACACACCCCTGTGCACGGGTCAGCGCTGACTCTGCCTTTACCTGGACCTGAATCTCCCTGGAACGGAGCCCTCGGGGCAGGGGTCTGCCCTGCGGGCGGTCTGTGCAGCTACAGGGGCAGAAGGGTGGGCAGTCTCAGGGGGTCACCACGTGCTGCTGGTGGACGCTCGGGGAGGAAACTGCTCTCCCCGCAGGACAGCGGACTCGCAGCCCCTGCCCCTCCAGCTCCACGCACGCTGCGTTTCCAAGGGCTCAGACTCAGCACGCCCTGCACCATGGCTCTCCTTGCTCATTGGAGTCCTGGGCTGCCTGTGCTGCCGCCCCGCGCCCCGAGGTCACAGGCCCCCTCCACAGACGTGCTCGGCTGGAAGACCTGCTCCGTCCGCAGGACCACACAGCGGGGTCCCGGAGGAGAGACACGACGGCGACACTTTGGTCCCGCTGGCCGCTCGCCTTTCTAGTTGCAGCCGCTCTTGAGAAGTGGCCGGCAGCCCGTTGCCGCAGGATGGCAGGAACTGTCCCCGCCGACACGGACGGGCACGGGAGCTGACAGCGCCCAGCTCTGCGAGAGCCTCGGGGACTCGTCGGCGCAGTACAGCGCGTGGTCTCGGGAGCGAGCAGAGCTGAGCCGGGACCTGGCGGACGTCTGTCCCGGAGGGCGGCTGGACGGTGTGCTGTCCTCCACCTGGACACCTCCCAGAAGGGGCGTCAGGTCCTGGCCCCGAGGGCAGCTGGGGGGCTGGCAGACCCCATACACACTGGAAGCTGGTCCTCAGGGGGCAGCCCTTGGGGACGTTTCCACTGCTGCACCTTCTGCACTGAGCTCGCCAACCGCCACCTGCGTCGTCCGTGCCCTGGGCCTCACTCCCAGGACCTCGTGAGGCCCACTGGACCCCCCCTGGTTCCGAGCCCTGGGCCTCACTCCCAGGACCTCGTGAGATCCACTGGACCCCCCCTGGTTCCAAGCCCCTTGGCCTCATTCCCAGGACCTCGTGAGGCCCACTGGACCCCCCCTGGTTCCGAGCCCTGGGCCTCACTCCCAGGACCTCGTGAGGCCCACTGGGCCCCCCTTGGTTCTGAGCCCTGGGCCTCACTCCCAGGACCTCGTGAGGTCCACTGGATCCCCCTTGGTTCCGAGCCCTGGGCCTCACTCCCAGGACCTCGTGAGGTCCACTGGACCCCCTTGGTTCCGAGCCCTGGGCCTCACTCCCAGGACCTCGTGAGGTCCACTGGATCCCCCTTGGTTCCGAGCCCTGGGCCTCACTCCCAGGACCTCGTGAGGTCCACTGGACCCCCTTGGTTCCGAGCCCTGGGCCAAGGCCACCGCTGTCTGGGGTGCAGTCCGCTCACCTCCCTGCCCACGGGGGGCCCCTACAGACACCGCACAGGCCGCCCAGCTGCCACCCTCACCGTGTAGACGAGGCTGTGCAGGTCCAGGTTCCGAGTCATCGACAGGAGCAGAGTGTACACCGCGGCCCCGGGCAGGCGGCACAGCTCCTCCGTGGCCGACTGAGCCTCTCTGCCCTCGGGAAAGGCCAGCAGGAGCCCGAGAACGTCCCGGCCACAGCTCTCGGACAGGGCCGCCACCAGGGCGCTGGACAGGACCTGCTCCAAAGCACGAGGTCAGCGGCATGCCCATCTCGAGGCCCAGACCCTGGGAGGAGCCGAGAGCCGTCCTCCCAGAGCCTGAGGGCTCGGGGACCCCCGCCCCCAGCCCCCGCTCCCTCCAATCATCGAGGATGACGGAGGCGTCCGCCTTCCTGGGGCTCGGGACCAGGACCAGGACCTGCCACGGGGGAGGGGGAGGGGCTCACATCGGCGGCCGCGGCCTCAGCCTGTCTGCTCGCCCTTCCCACCCCCTCGTGTGAAACTGCGTCTCCTCCCTTCCGAACTGAGCACCACGTTTCCGAGCTTGTCGCGGTTTTGAAAAGGAGACGTGGTGAGCGCGGCCGGGACGACCTGTGCCGCCGTCCAGCCCGTTAGCATCCACGCCCTCGGGGGCTGCGCGTCTCCCTGTGGACGCGGCTTTCGAGACGCCCTCCGGATAGGGCAGACCGTCACGGGACAACAAGTTCTAAAACATGAACTGCTGTCCGTGTCCCTAGGCTGACCGTGTAACTGCTCAAAGCGTCCGGCCCGCGAGACCCTTGAGAACGCGCCCGAGGGCAGGCAGGGCTCGGCGGACGCTCCATCCCAGGAGAAAATGCCGAGTGACTGAAACAGAAGCATGTTTGCCAGGGTCTCCAGGAAATAGCGTGGATGCCTGTGCGCACGCAGAGTCTTCAAGGGACGGGCTCAGCGTGGGGCTGGAAGTCCCGTCTGCAGACCAATGAGGAGACCCAGGGCCAAGGCCTTCGGGGCAGACCTCCCTCCTCCTCTGGGCTCCTCGGGCTTTGCTCTGAGCCTCCCACGGACTGGACGCAGCCCACCCACGAGGGACAGTGACCTGCTTCACTCGGCCACTGTTTAAATGTCAGCTCATCTGAAGGAACCTCTCGGGAATCGACTGGGTGTTTCAGCAAACAGCTCGGTGCTGCAGCCCGGCCGGGTCACTCCGCTGGGACCTGCGTGCTGCCCCGGGCCCTCTGGATATTGACCACATCATTCTCGGGCCACACAAAGTGTCAACTGAAACACGAGCCTGCTCTACTTGGTCAGGCTAATTTGGCGAGGCGTGAGGTTAGCGGGTATTGATTTCATGGGCCTCATACGGCCCGAGGGCCGGGCGTGCCCGCCCTGATGGAACCCTCACAAATGGTAGGACATGCCGAAGGGCGTTTGGGACTTTGAGAGAGATGCTAGGCACGTCCAGACCCCACTAACCGGGAAGCACCTTCCCTCAGGGGCCTGTGGGGTTCAGACACACCTTGAGGAAGGTCCCAAAGCCCCTGCTCTCAAACACGCTCTTGGGGGGGGGGGGTCGAAGGGGAGGTTGGGTGGGGTGCAGCCACCTTCGCCCTGATCACTTCCATGAAATACAAAGTGTTCCTTGTGGATGAAATTCCTCAGGCCCACAACTCGATGGGCACAGCTCCTGGCTTCCCAGGGGCACCGGCCAGAAAACGCCACAAGAGTCCCTGTGAGCCCCTGTATCCCTGTGCCCCTGTGTCCCTGGGTCTCCCTACATGTCCCTGGGTCTCCCTGTGTGTCCCTGGGTCTCCCTGTGAGCCCGTGTCCCTGGGTCTCCCTGTGTGTCCCCGTGTGTCCCTGTGTGTCCCCGTGTGTCCCTGGGTCTCCCTGTGAGTCTCTGGGTCCCTGGGTCTCCCTACATGTACCTGGGTCTCCCTGTGTATCCCCGTGTCCCTGGGTCTCCCTGTGTGTCCCTGGGTCTCCGTGTGTCCCTGGGTCTCCCTGTGTGTCCCCATGTGTCCCTGGGTCTTCCTGTGTGTCCCTGGGTCTCCCTGCATGTTCCTGGGTCTCCCTGTGTATCCCCGTGTCCCTGGGTCTCCCTGTGTGTCCCTGGGTCTCCGTGTGTCCCTGGGTCTCCCTGTGTGTCCCCATGTGTCCCTGGGTCTTCCTGTGTGTCCCTGGGTCTCCCTGTGTGTCCCTGGGTCTCCGTGTGTCCCTGGGTCTCCCTGTGTGTCCCCATGTGTCCCTGGGTCTTCCTGTGTGTCCCTGGGTCTCCCTGTGAGTCCCTGGGTCTCCCTACATGTACCTGGGTCTCCCTGTGAGCCCCTGTGTCCCTGGGTCTCCCTGCGTGTCCCTGGGTCTCCCTGCGTGTTCCTGGGTCTCCCTGCATGTCCCCGTGTGTCCCTGTGTGTCCCTGTGACTCCCTGTGCGGCTTGGGTCACCCAGCCTCCTGCACATGCCAACAGTCCCCACTAGGGTCATGTTCACCACAGCCTCAGAAGGCAGTCCCCTGCAAATACATGTCTGAAAGTTGTGTGCCCCTCTTACGACCCAGGGCGAGAAGGAGCCCCGGTCACCGCACCCCAGAGCAGCACACCTGCCCCTCCCTCTACTCGTCACCACTTTGAATCCCACGATGCCCGGCTCCCGGTCTGACCGGCGCCTGAGGCAGGTGGAATCGGGTGGGACGAGGAGGCAGGTCACACTCCACTTTGTTCTGGAAACACCGTGTTGCATCTTTTCTAAGGTAGCAGGACCTTCCCGTGCAGGTGCTGCGTGGGCTGATGTGGCCAATGTCAGGACACAGTCCACGTTGTCGTGCTCGTCCCAGCTGTCCACGTTCGGCTCGGACACATGGCGAGGAGCCGGGATGCAGGGCAGGCAGCAGGCCAGCCGCACGCACACACGCACATACGCACACGCAAGCACACGCCACACACCCTCAGACCAGATGCCTGCATGGGGTCACAGTCTCCCTCTGAAAACGAAGGGGAAGGTGTCTGCGTTCTCAGCAGGAGTGTGTTTCCGGGTCCGGTGCCTATTTGAATGGCGTGAACGCCGGCTTTCCTAGTGCCCCTGCCCTGACCTCACTGTCCAACTGTCCGGGGACCACGAGGGCGCCCACGGTCGGGAGGCAGAGGAGCAAACACGGTGCCGGGACACTGCACACAGCTTCCTCCCTGCCCCTGGAGCACAGTCCGCGGCAGAGCGCCGGTGACACCTGGTGGCTGCTTGCTCAGCCAGGCGGCCTCGCAGACCCAGGGCCCTGAGGTTAGCAGACTGAATGGGGAGGGACGGGAAGACGGCTGGCTGACCTGTCTCCGCACTTAGCCACTGACAACTGTCACGGATCCGCTGCCTGAGACCCCAAACCCATCACATCCACCTTTTCGAGAGACTGGCACTCCCCCACCACCCCCTCCGCCACCCAGGCACCTTCCAGGACCTGTCCCCCACGACAGACCCTCTGCGGCGACCTCAGGCACTCGGGGGTGCTGCAACTGGCTCCCGGGTCCCTTGCTCCATCGCCTTCTTTCTCACGCCGACTGATTCTCCCCGGCTGAGGCACCCGCCGTGCCGGGCGTTACCCACTGAGCCCGAGTCCACGTGAGGCCCCGTGTCTACTGGGCCCCCGACTGCCGACGGAAACGTTCACTTGAGAACGACTCCGTGGTGCCTGCTCTGAAGGCAAGTGAACCCTCCACCGCCCACAAGGGCTGGGAGGCAGCGAGAACACAGCTGACAACCCGCCCTGCACCCCATTTCAACCTCAACCCTGTGTCTCAGCGGCCTGCAGGGGCCCAGCCTGACACTGCTCCTCGCTGTCACCGTGACCCCGCACAGCAGGGGGGCTCTTCCTCACCTGCGGGAGACCGTGCTCATGCCTAGAGCTTTTCAATTATTTTTTTATCCTCACCCAAGGACATTTTTGATATTTTGTTCATATAGAGCGGGAGGGGGAGCGCAAGAGAGAAACATCGACGTGAAAGGGACACATCGAGTGGCTGCCACCCGCACGATCCAACCAGGGCCGGGGACAAACTGCAGCCGAAGTACGTGCTCTTAGCGGAACCGAACCCGGGTCTCTCCAGACCGCAGGCCGACGCTCTAACCGCTGAGCCAAACCGGCCAGGGCCCTAGAGCTTTTTCGATGTTCTGGGGTGCTGTGGTGTTGAGAATCCCTGGAATAAGTTTCGTTGCTAATTGTATCCTTCCTCACCCGCGTGAAGGGAATATTGTGACACTGAGGACCCGGGATCTTGGCACCAGACAAGGACACCCTTCGGTTCCTCTCTGCCTCCCAGTGACACCAGTCCCAGCAGCCACCCGGCCCTGGGAGGGGTGGGGTGAGGGGCGGGGACAAGGACTCAGCCGGCAACCCCAGGGTCCACGGGAGCCGCTATACCTGTGAGTGGGAAATGTCTGCTTCCAGAAGACTGTGGATGGTTCCCTCCGAGATGTGGACGGACCGGAGCTCCCCGGTCAGCTCGGTGACGTTCCTCATCAGGTCTTTCACCTTCACGTCTGGAAACACGGGAAAAAGGATGAACCGAGCGCCTGGGCTCTTCCTGTCGAACACAGGTCCACACTGACACCTGGTGAGGACCCTTCCGCCGGCCGCAGCCCACAGCAAACACTGACCACCCCACACTGGTCTGGAGGGGCTCCCGGTGCGCCCCGGGACGCGCAGACCCCGGGACGCCTTGTGCACCCGCTCGCTCCGAGGCTGCAGGCCCCAGTCCCTCTGGGGGGGACTTCCCGGAGCAGGGACCAGTGCTCACTCCTCCTGCCTCATCTGCTCTGCGGCGCGGGAGCCGCCGGGCGAGAGGCCAGACTGAGGACAGGCCTGCAGGCACCAGGGCGGCCCGGCCAGGGCCAAACCCAGGCCGCAGGAGGTTCTGCTCCTCCTCCCGGCCTGGCGGCCAGATCTTAGGGCCTGTCCCCTGGACCCACCCCTCGGACCAGCTCTGCACGTACAGGTCCCGGCAGCGTGCACGCTCGTCTGATGACACCTCTGTGTGAGAAGCCATTTCCTCTCTCCTCCCGCACGCGGAGGAAGCGCGTCCTTACCCGCAGTCACTGAGAAATTGCCGAGAAACGCCACGACCGAGTTCCCAGGAAGCAAAATCTTTTCAAGGTTTTGGGTCAACCTAAAACGGCAGAAAATCAGAGGTGATTTACACGAGACGAATGGCGGGAGCGGTGAGCACGCGGCCCGGGGCCCAGGGGGCGGCGAGGTGTCCCACGAAGTCCCCCGACGCCCCCGGCCTGCGGGCTCGGTGCGCACACCCACTCACACCACCGCGCCAGTGTGGCTGCTGCCCACGTGGTGAGTCGGCACCAAGGACGCATCGCTGCCCGGCCGAGGGCGCGGCTGGTTGAGCGTCACCCCGCACACCAGAAGGTGGCAGGTTTGATTCCCGGGCAGGGCGCACAGGAGGCAACTGACGGCTGCTTCTCTGTCCCCCACTCTCTTCCTCTCTCTCAAGTCCATCAGTGTCCTCCAGCGAGGATTAAAATGTGAAGGGACAGACGGAACATGGACGTCTCGGGACGCAGGACACCAAGCCGGAGGAACGCCGCTCTCCGGTCGAACACCCAGAGCCCATCTCCCCTCTGGTGCTTTGTCCTTTGAGAACACAAAGCAGTGGGGCGTCGGAGGGCGGCCTTCCGCCTGAGACCTGGGTCCCCCCAGAACTGCCGTGCTCCCTGCCCCGGGACTTACAACGCAAACCCTGCTGCTGCCCAGAAAGCGCGTGTTCACATGCATGTGCACACGTCACTCGTCTGCAATTCGTCTCTGGAAAGAGCTGGACAGCCCTGCAGGGGGAAGGCTGCGCGGCCTGCACAGCGGACGTACCCGCGCAGGCGCCGCGGGGCCCAGGCGGGCAGCCTGCACGGTGGACGTACCCGCGCAGGCGCCGCGGGGCCCAGGCGGGCGGCCTGCACAGCGGACGTACCTGCGCAGGCGCCGCGGGGCCCAGGCGGGCGGCCTGCACGGCGGACGTACCTGCGCAGGCGCCGCGGGGCCCAGGCGGGCGGACACGCACCCTCCCGGGCCCTGGCGCTCGCCAGGCGGCTCCGCAAGTGCTCCAAGGCGCTGGCAAGTTTCCTGCTGAGACGGGCACAAGTCTGCGGGCCGGGCCAGAACCAGGGCTCCTGCAGCTCCTGGAACACAACAGTGGGAGGCGCTCGGGTCCACGCTCAGGTCGGCAGCGCCGCACCGCGTGCCACCAGCACCGAACGTTTCCTGCGTGTTCCCCGGGACTAGAGAACCAGCGAGGCGAAGGGAGGACGGGCTGGGGGACCGCGGAGCCCTGAGCTGTGCGCAGAGCACCCCTCACGGGGAGGAGGAGCCTCTGCTCACGGGCACTAACGCGAGTGAGACCGCACCTCTGCGTCTCCTACGCTCCTCTCTGGGTCTCACCCTACGTTTAACTTCGTGTCGACATGTATCACTGGCAAAGGACAGTGCAGCCCGCCCCATAGCACGGGGGACGGGGGACGGGGGACAGCAGCCCGCGGGAAGGCTGCATGGCAGACGCCGCCTCTGGGACGGTCCTGAGCTGGTCACTGAGAGCACCGTGGGCTCGACAGGGACAGCGCTGGCCCGTGGGCGCCGTGCAGACCGGGAGGCGGCAGGAAGCACCGTGGGCTCGGCAGGAACAGCGCTGTCCCGTGGGCCCTGTGCAGACCGGGAGGCGACAGGAAGCACCGGGGCTCGGCAGGGACAGCGCTGCCCCGTGGGCCCTGTGCAGACCGGGAGGCGACAGGAAGCACCGGGGCTCGGCAGGGACAGCGCTGTCCCGTGGGCGCCGTGCAGACCGGGAGGCGGCAGGGAGCACCGGGGCTCGGCAGGAACAGCGCTGTCCCGTGGGCGCCGTGCAGACCGGGAGGCGGCAGGGAGCACCGGGGCTCGGCAGGGACAGCGCTGCCCCATGGGCGCCGTGCAGACCGGGAGGCGGCAGGAAGCACCGGGGCTCGGCAGGAACAGCGCTGTCCCGTGGGCGCCGTGCAGACCGGGAGGCGGCAGGAAGCCCCCACTGAGCCTGGACTTCCAGCCATGTGCTCCAGTCCAGCGCACCCCAGAAGTGCGGGACTCGCTGGGCGGCTGCCGCTCGTGAACAGGAATTTCTGTCCTCAGGCAGCTGCTCCCCGTGACTCCCCACCGAGTGGGCGGAGTGCAGGAGGGTGAGGGCTGACACCCAGCTTCCCCTCAGTGATTGGCCGTCAGCTGAGACTCCCCCCTTCCCCCCACGGACTCCACCTGGACGCTGAGGAGACCGTGCGGGAATGTTCACATGTGAACATTGTGCCCGCTGCTGGGAGGGAGCCCGGGGCACCTCCCTCCCGGCCTGGGGGGCCTCGCCCTCCGAGCTGAACCAAGACCACCGCGGAGCTTCGTGTGCTGAGACGAGCCTCCGCTGCTGACTGATACCGGCCAGAGTCGTGGGCCATCGTGTCACCATCAGAACCACTAGCACAGCCCCCAGGGCCGCTGTCGGCCAGCTGGAGGCTCTGGCCTGTCAACGCTGCAGCTCCCCTCGGCCCCCAAATGTCTGCGGGGTTTTTATGTTTCCACACTCACTACCTGGCGAGCAGTCTCCAATGGCCCAGATCAGTCAGCGTACTTGTGACAAAGCGCCAGGCTGCAGGGCGACTCTCTCCACAGCCCCGGGCTTCCTGTGTGCGCACGGACCACAAAGCCTGGCCCGGCTGAGGGTCTGCGCCCTCACTCCCTGCTCAGGGTTCAGCGGCGTGGCGGTCTGCCCGCACCACGTGGTGGGGGTGCCGTGTGCCCGCCTGGGTCCCCCTCTGCAACCCCTCCTCTCCGCTTCCTGTGCAAACCCAGCGCCCACTGGACACATGATGATGCCGTGCCCCGCCTCAGGACCGGCCCTGGGAGGACGGCAGGAATCACTGCGTCACCAGACAGACGTGTCCACGGTCCGTGCACCCCGGAGGTCAGGCAGCGTGGGCCCCATGCTCTTTAACCCAGGGGGGCGCCCAGCCCCAGACAAGCATCACTTCTCAGATCCAGCTCCAGTCAGAGGCCCGGCCGGGGCGTCACGGGGCACTTGTCGAAGTCACGCGGAGGAGACGGCCACCCCGCTCCGCTCCTCCGTGAGCTCGAGTACTTGCCCTCAGGCTCAGTGAGCCGGACCCCGACGGGCTGGGACATGCTCGACAGCTGGCTCTCTGGGGAACGTATCTTATGTGTAGAAGCTGCCAGTTCCCACAGTGTAAATGCTGCCACCGCGCCCAGTTCACACTGCAGCAGGCTGTCCCTGAGCACGGGACGGAGGACGCGCACCCAGCACGGTGCGGGACCTCCCGTCAGACGCACACTGAGCCCTCTCGGGGGGGGACACCCCGAGACAAACAGGGTGGGTCCTGAGCACTGACGACCCTTCTACACTATTTGATCACATGTCCCGCAATTTGATTTTCATAATGTCTTTAACAACCACCTTGCAACATTCCTGAAAGTGAGCAGCCAGCCCTCTGGAGTCCGTGCTAGTCTCCCCAGAGCACCTGTGGGAGCACCTGAGGCGGGAGGGCCTCACTGGGCACAACACCGTCAGCAAGGTCAGCACGGCCCTGCACACGCAGACACCCACCTGGTAGAGGCTGTGCAGCACAGTGACCCCCTGCAGAGCGGACGCCACCAGCCGCCTTACCCGCCCGGGCCCGCGGCTCAGGGCGGCACACAGAACCTCCTCGGCCCAGGATGGGTCTTCTGCCGGAGGAAACACAGAGTCGTTAGTGAGCCATTTTCTACCCAACACGCTGCGCTCACAGCGTCCTCTCTGCGAGCTGCAAAGGGGTACAGTTTCACAAGATTTCTTAAGTCATCAACATGAACGTCCAGAACACGGAGCTGCGCCTCTGGCTCCAAATGGACGTGACCGTTGTGCTTCCCTGGCCCGAGCCGCATGCAGAGGACCGACTCCCTGTCCCCCCGGTCGCTCCCGCTCTGCACCCTTGAGGGGAGGAGTCCCTGAGTAGAGATGGCCGAACGGTGACACGCAGGTCAGGGAGGGGCCATCCTGCACACCACGCAGGTCACATCCACCGCTCGCCCCTCACAGCCCCCCTCCGCCCCGCCCGACAGCTCTGTGGCCGCACGTTTCCCATCAGAAAAAGTGCTAGATCGCCTGGCCCCCTGGGAAACAGCCCTGCACTTCCCTCCAGCTCCAGCTCCAGGCGGACGCGTCCCTGAGCCATTCAGGAAGCTCGGCACCTGCCCTCAGGGAGGTCAGAGGGCAGCAGGAAAACCCAAAACGTGAGCACTAAATGCCCGGGCTTTGAGGTGACAGCGGGGGCCACTGGGCACACGTGGGCAGGGTGCGTCCTCTGTGCCAGATGCTGGACGCGCGGAGGGTCGGAGCGACGCTGCCTTCGAGGAACACAGACTCCAGCAGAGGGGCCGGGCCAGCCACTGCCAGCCCAGGACGGGGGCTGTCCTCCTGGGGAGGCCCCAGCTCCGGGCAGAGCGCAGCTGGAGTCATGGCTGGGAGACAGGGGAGCTGGTCCCGTGAGCAAAGACACAGACCGAGGTCCCAGCTGGGGGCCGGGAGGGGCTGTTCCCCTGGGCTGGACAGGAGTCGCCCTGATGGGAATGAGGCAGGAGATGGTGGGCCAGGGCCCTCGGGGCCTCGGAAGCCAGGGTGAGAAAGCTGCATGTTCCTCTCAGAGAGCCCCCCTCCCGCTGAGAGCCAGCTCCAGAGCGGCCGTGGGCGGGGCTCCCCATGGGCGGGGCTCCCCATGGGCGGGGCTCCCCGCGGTGCCCACCTGCCAACAGGAGCAGCGCACGCAGAACCAGCGTCCCGACGGCTGCCGGCGGCTCCCCGGGCCCGGAATCCAGCCCTGTCGGCGGCGAGCTCCAAAGAGATGAAAAAGGAGATGTGAAAAAAATGTAACGTGACTCTTAGTTTTCATTCTGGAATTTCCTCAGCTCCAAGTATAAACATCACAGCAGATAAACTGAACATATGGAAACTCCTCAGTTGTGATCAGACAGTTATTACATTAATTCGAATTGTGACCATGATAGCTATGCATAAGCATTTAACTAAGTTTCATTTCATACAGAATAGGATCTCATCATTATTTTCTTAGTTGAAAAACGTAAGAAGGTGTGAGTGACTAATTGCCAGGGGCTAGGTTTCTACATGTGTTTACTAGTCAGTTAAATAACAGGCATCAGAGTTATTTTACCGCGACATGTCAGTAGGTTGTTCCCTAAGACAAAACGCACTCTGAAGGGCTCTCGGAGGGGTCAGGTGCAGCCCACCCTGCGGACACGCCCGGGGGAGGGCCGGCTGGAATGCGTGCCAAGGGCACCTGCTGCCGGACATACTCACCTCGTCCCTGCGGCAACGTCACGGCAGAGCCCTGTCAGCAGAGACACTCTGTTCTCAGAACTTTCCTTCTCCAAAAAGGTGAAGAATGTCTTCAGAAGCCGCTCCATGAAGTCCACCCTGCTTCCGGGAGGGAGAAGTAATCTCTCGCCCTTTTCTGACTTTGTCTGGTCCAAGGTGAGGTTAATGAAATGCATGATTTGAAAGTCGGTGTCACTTAAATTCCAGGCTGCTTCGTGAGAATCCACAGCTAAGTTATTGATCGCATTAGCCAGGAAGCTTTTTAAAAGCAACTGAACCACTGAGAAGTTCGTTGGCTGTTCTTGGTCAAGAAGGTCGCCATGAGAATGACCTTCTCTGGAAATGTTTTTGAGATCACCCAAAAGAGAAGTAATATTGGTCAACAAAGCTCCCTTATCCGTTGAACTCTCATTGGCCATAAGAAGAAATAACGTTTGACTCATTTTGGAGGATTTCTCATTCGCATATTTACGAAGCCAGCGTTTCGTGAGCGATAGAAAACCTTCGGTCATTTCTGACGCCTGCGGTGGTGATGAATTCTGGCTTCCCAATAAGCGGGCAAGTTGCAGAGTCATGTTGTGAAGAGCCCCGGGATTCACCGCCGGAATTTCTTTGCTAATGTCGGAGAACGGGGTCCTGCTGTTGGAGCCACGGTTTGGATCTTTGACGGTTTGCTCAGACTCACGCCACAGATCTTCAACGATGTGAGTGGCTCCTCCTTGTCTAACAAAACGTGAGAGCACGTCCACACTCCCACCCGCACGGTCTGCGTTCAGAAGCGTCACCAGCAGGGAGACGAGAGAGCGAGCACTATTTTCCAGGCTCCGATCCCCAGAGAGCGCTTCTATCCTCCTTTCCATCGTCAAGGGAAGATGTCTAAGGGCTGCCTCTGCGCCTTCAGTGTTCAGAGTCTCGTTTAAAGTAGCTAGTGTCTCAAGAATGTTTTCATCTGATGCAACTTTTGAGAAATTCACCTCTTTAAATGTTTCTATGATTTGCAAAGCAACTTGCTTCATGGGACCAGGGGGACACAGTCCGGGGGTGCTGCCCGTGCTCTGATTTCCGGGCGCCGGGATGAAGGGGAGCACCTTACGCCACCACCCCTGCACCGCTCGCAGGAGTGAAGAATTCACACGGAAGACTTCGGACAGCTCCAGGAGAAAGGAACCCCAGTCCACCAGCTCACGGACGACACAGACCATTTCCCTGGTGACTTCCATCGGCGCGCTTCCGTTGGAACATTGTGAAACGTCGCCTCGGGGAGACAGGTGGAGGCGGCCAAGAATACTGGCCACTTGGCTGTAGAAGTGGCCGTTACAGGCTTCTAACTCTGGACCCTGCTGAAATCCAGACGTGGTGTGACTCCGGCACCAAACCACAGGAAGGCAAGTCGCAGCCTCGGCAAGAACACTGGGCTTGTCAGACACCAACTCAACGGTGTCCAGAAGGGTCTTCATCACAGCAGCCAAGTCCTCCTTGGTGACGAGAGAGGTGCCTGTGCCGTGAAGGACTATGAAGCTGTAGATGTCCTGGAGGGCTTCCGTGACATTCTCGTCCACCACTCTGTGCAGGAGCCTCACGGCGTGAGGAAGGGCATAGTACAGACCCACCACGGCGTCCACGTCCTCGCGGGGAAACAGGCGAGACAGCCTCAGCAGGTGGTTCACGTTCCAGGAACGGAAGCTGTCTGCAAGCTTTTCCATCAAGCCCACAAGCAAGTGGACCCCCCGGCTGCCAGTCCCTAATCGACTGACATTCTTTAAAAAATCCATCAGACTTTCACCAACTTGTTCCAGTTGGTCTCCCAGGAGGTCTATGTCCGTCTTCCTCAGGGCGAGCAGGAGAGCGGCCGCCTTCTTGAGAACTTGACCGCTGCCCGGATCCTCTGGGTTGCTGTGCTGCACGGAAGGCGCTAGGGCGCTGAGCACATCCCTAACCACCTGAGAGCCGAGACTCACTGCTGCCAGTATTTCACGGGGACTTGTCTGGCGTGGATTTTGGAGATCGTGCGATAAGTTGAAGGCCAGGTAACGGGCTAAATGAAATAATGGACTGTCTAGGCGATGTCTCGCCTCTTCTTTGGGACCGGTAGTGAATAGATTTAAAAGCTTTTCAGCTTCCGAAGAGACGTTATTTTCCAGAAGGGCAGGGAAAATATCTTTCGCAAGTTCTTGAATGTCTTTCCCCAGAGCGACGACGTGCTGCCAAACGTTGTGAAATTGGCCAGGAATTTCACCTGACATTTCTACGGGCCGTAGACTTGACTCAATGAAATGTGTCCAACTGGACTGAGATGCAGATTCAAAGTCTCTCGTTAAGTTACTGATGAGCATCCTCACTTGGTCTGTGGAATCGTTTAGATGAGTTAATAAAATCTCAAATGTTGGTGCCTTTTCTTTTTCAAAGACGGCAGCGAGTATAACATGTAGAAAGTCAGTTGCGTTTTTTAGGTAAATATTCACACAGTTTATGTTTGACTTGTGCACCACACAATCAGACTCCATGGTATTCAACAGCCAAGTGACAAGCTTCAGTGTAGAATTAAGGCCGCTTTCCACCTCCCTGACGCGCCTGAGCACGCCCCGCAGACGGCCCTGTGCAGAACCGTGGGTACCGGTGGCGTCCGCGTGGCTGGGGCCGCCCACCCACTCGATGCACACCTTCAGGCCGCGCACGGCGCGCTCGGAGAAAAGGGAGGAGTTCAACGTGGCCAGAACACGTAGCGCCCTCCGTGAGGTGTTTGCAGGCAATGAGCCACCTTCCAACATAAGCTCGGTCATATTTTGGAAAGTGTCAGCACAGGACAATAAGTCTTGGTCACGGGACACATTTCTAAGAAATAATATTGTTTCTCTTAGGTCAGCGGTGAGGCCCCCAGTGTGTCCTTCCGTGAGGTTCCGTGAAAGGAGGAGGTTTGTCAGGTGCACGTGTCTGCCTCTGTGTTCCGAGGCGCTGCCTGACGCCAACACGCCGAGCAGAGAGGACAGAAACTCCCCTCCCGCGCGCGTGTTGAGCAGAAATGCCTGCAGCCGGCCTAGGGCGGTGTCCATGGCGGACAGGGACTTCTCCACCTGGTCCCAGCGGAGTGACTTCACTCTGACTAACGTGTCCTGTAAGGCTCCCCAGAGCGCCCTGAGGTTCAGAAAACTGTCCCGGTCATGGATGCCGCCACCCTGAGTGATGTTTCCAAGCAGGTCTATTATGAGCCTAGCGGGGCGATGGATGGGAAACACTCCCTGGCAGCTTTCGGAAGTTTCCGCGTCACTCTCCAGCTCACCCAAAAGCTGGGTGAGACCGACGTGAAGAGGGGCGAGAACATCCACGTCCAGCTTCAGCATCTGAGCCATGCTCCTCCAGATGCCAGTCCACGTCTGGAGCCACGAAATGGAGCAGCGAACGGCCGTCAGCCCACCGGGCACGCTGCCGTCTGCGGAGAGGCTCGCCAGAACGTGCGCCCACGGAGGAGTCTGCGGAGGCCCCTCGGCTCCTGAGTGATTCACAGAAGCGCTTTCATTACCCAAAGCGAAGCAACCGTTGTCCAGCAGGGCTCCTGCTGAGCTACGGAGGAGCTGGTGCACGTACTGAAATAAGGAAGTGCGCCCGTCACCGTCCACCAGGAGCCGCTGCCTGAGGCCGGTCAGCGTGGCATTGACGACTTCCAGTTCTGGGACCCCTGTGGACATCAGGGATTGGGTTTGAAGCTCCAACAGACTGAAAATTGAAAGCAACTGCTGACAAGGAGCTGCTTCCGAAATTCCCCCAAGAAGTTCTGTTGTCTCATATAAAAATGCAAATGCCCTGCTGAGGTTTTGAAAACTAAATTGCTTTCTGAGCTCCAAGATATGCTCTGAGGTTCGAGTCAGGAGAGAGAGTGGAGACTCTCCCCTCTGAAAGCCCAGAAACTGATCGACGTATTGGTGAAACAGAGAACAGATCTGCAGAAGCAAAGCCGACTCTCTGTCCTGGAAGATATCTAGATGCATATGCGTCAGAATGTCCTCGACGTCCCGTCTCTGCGGTTCAGAAAGGGCTGAGAGGAGACCAGACGCGTTCCTCACGGCGCGGACTATGTCCAGAGCTTCGGAGACTTGCTCCTGCCTCAGAAACCCAAGTTCACGGAGACTGTGGATGACAGTTCCACTCAGGTGAACAAAATCCAGGTTCCCCGCCGGCGACGTGGGCCCATCCGAGCGAAACAGCTGGGACAAGTTGAAGCTCTTACTGAGAGTCCCCTCGTGCGCTGCGACGGAGACATCCGAACGTGCAGCCGAGGTTTCCGGGTCGCCCCGCCCGCCGTCGGGAACGCCACGCGTCCACCGTGCCAGGGGCTTGGGGTCACTTCCAGAAAGTGCCGTTTCCAAAAATCTCAAAACAGAGTGCAGTCCCTTCTTTTCCAGACTTGGTATCTCTTCAATCATCTCTTGGCCAAATTCCGAAACCTTCTGAGTGGCAGTCCTCTTTACGCGGTTCACCCTCGAATGCCTTGTGTGTGGAAGAGTCTCCGTGGGGCCACCGGAGGAGGCGGAAGGGTTAGGCAGTAACAACGGCTCCCCTAAGTCCTCAGACGACACCAGGAAGCCCCTGCGCTCGTCCTCTAGGGGGCGCAGCTTCTGCTCCATCAGCTGCTGTTCCTTTGCGGGTGGTGAGGCCCTACAAGATTAACAGAGCTGTGTTAGTATCACGGAAACACAAACAAATTCAACCCATCGAATTTTCCAGAAACACTCAGATGTGTTCAGAGTGGAAGACAAAGGACGTTTGCTGGACGACGCTGTCCCCACGGGAATTAGGCGAAGGTGAGCATGCGGAAGGGCTTTAGGGCCCCACACTGAGCTGCCAAACTTAGCTGCCAACCTGCTCGCTGCACCAAAAACGCTACATTTCCAAGCATTTCACTCCCTGAGTTCGCATGTCCGGCTGCTACAGAGAAACCGTTTACGCCAGAAGACCCTTAGGGCGCGGCTCCGTGCCACCCCGTAGCGTGTCTCGGTGCAGAGGCTGTCCCAACGGCAGCACGCATCACCTACGGCCCATGTGATCTGGGGACAGGTGTCGGGACCCCCGTTCTGGGTGGCAATTCCCGTGCTCCTTAAACAGCGCCGGCCTCCCACCACCCTGCGCCGGCGGCGGTGCTGCGTCTGAGCCGTCCCGGGCGGGACGTGCCTGAGGAACACGGGGAGTAGGAACAGGGCTGCTGGCGGCAGTGGGCCCAGGGCTTCTGGTCCCTTCACGGTTTAGCCGCCACTTTCACGCCCACCGTCCGAGCCCCTCCTCCCACCTCGTAGGCGCACATGGTCTCCCGTTGCGTGGGGAGGGCACACGGCCAGGCTGCTCGCACACGGCAGGAACGGGCCGCGGCCAGGTTCTCTGCGGCACTCGGCCGGCCTGACGTTAACTGTGCTCAATGCCCCTCCTCACTGACTCAGACCCGCTGCTGCGGGCGCAAGTAGGAAATGAAAGATGCCCTGGGGCCACAGCGGGGCCTGTGTTGTCCTCGGGCTACTACATGCTGGGGCTTTGGGGGGGGGGGAGTGAGGCAAGGACCTGGATCCCCAGAGGGCCCTTCCCGTCCCCTCTGCTGAGCGCAGACGTTTCCCCGGGAACGAGGAGCCCGCCTGGAGGTGCGCCCAGTGCTCCCTGCCCCAGGGTCAGGACAGAGACCCGGGGTCAGCTCCTGCAGCGCTGGTCAGGACAGAGACCCGGGGTCAGCTCCTGCAGCGCTGGTCAGGACAGAGACCCGGGGTCAGCTCCTGCAGCGCTGGTCAGGACAGAGACCCGGGGTCAGCTCCTGCAGCGCTGGTCAGGACAGAGACCCGGGGTCAGCTCCTGCAGCGCTGGTCAGGACAGAGACCCGGGGTCAGCTCCTGCAGCGCTGGTCAGGACAGAGACCCGGGGTCAGCTCCTGCAGCGCTGGTCAGGACAGAGACCCGGGCCCTGCACACGGCAAGTCAGCGCGGCCACCGCAAGGCCCAGACATCGGTGCTGCGAGCAAACTTCACAGGTAAGTGCGCTCCACTCCCAAGTGTCCGAGCGCTGTCTTAACGTCCTAAGGCAACCTCTGTCCCACTGCGTGCCCCCCTCCCCCAGCACAAAACACTTCACGTGCTGATTTCGAGTTGGGCAGAGCAGTCAGGTCTGGGAAAGGCTACGGCCCTGCTGGTGCGGTCGAGACAACACTAAAGAGGACAGAACCCTCCAATGCGACTTCCACTTCTGGCCACGGAGCAGTGATGGAAAGACAGGTGCGAACAGGTGACCTGCTGGGCGGCAGACGAGTCGGCCGCACCATGAACACACCTGACCTGATTCAAACATGAACTGCTGCAGCCCACGACAGGGCCGTGCTCCCTGGAAGAGTGTCTGCATTTACCAAAACCCGCCGTGTGAGCCACATGGCACATCCCACCAAACCCAAAAGACTGAGACACTCAGAGTGTGTTCTCTCACTAAAACGGAATTGGAAATCACTTTTTTAAAGCAACTTGAAAGTCAGCCCCCAGGTGTCCATGGAAAGTCAGCAACATGCTTCTAAATAACATGAGTCAAAAAAGAAATCACAGCCCTGGCCAGTTTGGCTCAGCGGTTAGAGCGTCGGCCTGCGGTCCAGAGAGACCCGGGTTCGGTTCCCGCTACGGGCATGTACCTCGGTTGCAGTTTGTCCCCGGCCCTGGTTGGTCGTGCGGGTGGCAACCACTCGATGTGTCCCTTCACGTCGATGTTTCTCTCTCTCTCTCCCTTCCTCTCTCTCCCTCCCACTCTACCTGAACAAAAAATGGAAAAATGTCCTCGGGTGAGGATAAAAAATAAAATAAAAAATAAAAAAAAAGAAATCACAAACATGAGAAAACTCTGAGTAGAGGTAGAGGTAAGTGGAAATACTTAGAGCTCCAAGCAGGAGAGACGCATTCGCCTTAAGAGCATCTATTTAAAAAAGGAAAATATGAAGATCAAGAAAGCTAGGAAAAGCAAACTAAATGCAGTAGAAGAAAAGAAATACTAAAGATAAAAGGAGAAATTCATGAACTAGGAAACAAATTAGGAAAAACAATTCATGAAATAGCAAAGAAATGTTTTTGTTTGTCTTTAAACAAACATCGAAGACATCAAGCCTAAAATCCAGATGCTGGCCCTTCTCGCTTGTCGCCCCCCACGGAGGGTCTTCCTTCCCCATGTGGACAGCGCTGGGACGGCTGCCCCAGCCCAGCCCTGCACCCTGGGGGCTCCCCAGAAGCGACATTCACCCCCACCGCCGTCACACAGAATTCACCTCTAACTCTCAGCCTCTGAACCTCAGTGTTGCCGGGACTAAGAAACCCTGAAACAGGAGCGTGAGGCTTACGTGTCTGGAGGTGCGCGGCCGCCGGGGCCGGCTGCGGCCGCGATGCCCCCGATGCCCGCGATGCCCTCCAGCAGGAGCTGCCCGGCCCGCAGAGTTTCCACCGCCCACCGGGGCAGCAGGCTCTCTCCTTCCGGTGGGCCCCCGAGCGCCTCCAGGCGGTGGCCGGCCCTGGTGAGCACCTGCTGGAGCACCTGCAGGTTCAGAAACAAGAGCCTTAGGGTCCCAACAATAAATGAGAAAGAGCATTTCATCAAGAAACATCCACGGACCGGTCCAGATGACAAACAGCCCCTTTTTACGCTGTTGGAAGACTGAGATGATTCGCAATTACACTATGATTGAATTTCTACTCGGAGATGAAAAGTTACAAATTGCAACCATGGATGGGTGCCACTTTCAAATGGGGCCTATTTCCCTCTTCCCTCCCCCCACTCCCATTCCCGGAAGAGAAAGCAATAACATACATGTCTACACAAGTGAAATAAATACACCCCAAAAACTCAACCAACACATTTGAGAGAGCATAACCACATCCCACCCTCTACAATGGTGTCGTGACGGGATCCTGGTTCCTGGTCACCATGCGATGCCAGACGAGGGGGCGAGACACCGAAATGGATCGTGCAGGCCCAGGTGTGGAAGGAGGGAGCGCAGGGTGAGCGTCGTGTGCTCCGCGACCTAACCAACCAGCAGTCGGCACCAGGTAAGCGCAGAGCAGGGCTGTCCGCTGGGCCGGCTGACGCTGGCGGGTCAGCGCCGTCCCGGGCGTCCTGGTGCCGACAAAGGGCAATCCCGTCTCCATCGCTAACACGTTTCAGCCGCTGCTTGAGGTTTTGACCTTTACCAGTCACGCACGTCAGGGGAAGAGCTAAAGATGTGTCCTTGGAGGATGGCGTGTGACGGGGACCGTGATGAGCAGGTGGCTGGGCCTGAGGACCCCGCAGGCTTCCCTCCCCAAGGGCACAAGGCGCAGCCGGCCAGGCTCCCCCTCCCTGAACACCCCGCCTCTTCTCATTGTTCCCCTTGAAACCAGTCCCTGTTGGGGCCAGCACCGCTTGTCAACACCGGAGTGAAGGCCAGGCCGGTGGACATGCCCGGGGCTCAGGACACTGCGTCCCTGCACCCCAACACCCAGGACTCAGGACACTGCGTCCTTGCACCCCAACACCAGGGGCTCAGGACACTGCGTCCCTGCACCCCAACGCCCGGGGCTCAGGACACTGCATCCCTGTACCCCAACGCCCGGGGTTGAGGACACTGCGTCCCTGCACCCCAATACCCAAGACTCAGGACACTGCGTCCCTGCACCCCAACACCCAGGACTCAGGACACTGCATCCCTGCACCCCAACACCCAGGACTCAGGACACTGCGTCCCTGCACCCCAACACCCAGGACTCAGGACACTGCGTCCCTGCACCCCAACACCCAAGACTCAGGACACTGCGTCCCTGCACCTCAACACCCAGGACTCAGGACACTGCGTCCCTGCACCCCAACGCCTGGGGCTGAGGACACTGCGTCCCTGCACCCCAACACCCAGGACTCAGGACACTGCGTCCCTGCACCCCAACACCCGGGGCTGAGGACACTGCGTCCCTGCACCCCAAGACCCAGGACTCAGGACACTGCGTCCCTGCACCCCAACACCCGGGGCTGAGGACACTGCGTCCCTGCACCCCAACACCCAGGACTCAGGACACTGCGTCCCTGCACCCCAACACCCGGGGCTGAGGACACTGCGTCCCTGCACCCCAAGACCCAGGACTCAGGACACTGCGTCCCTGCACCCCAACACCCAGGACTCAGGACACTGCGCCCCTGCACCCTAACGCCTGGGGCTCAGGACAGTGTCCAGGCTGCATATGTGGACACAGACTATGGTTCTTGGGTTGCCACGCACATGCGACGTCCAGGACAAACTTCCTGGTGACACGGCTGAGGGCCAGCGAGCGAGGCTGGCAGGGCCTGGGGGAAGGGCACTCATGGCCGGGCTGTGGGGCTCCGGGCCTCTCCTGGGAGGACGGTGTGAATGCCCCTGGGGCCCGCTGTGTAGCATCCTGCCCGCCCTTGGCACTGCTCTGTTCAGAGAATGGATCCTGTGGGACATGTTCCCACCACGGCGAAGTCGAACATCAACCAGAGCGATGTGTGCGAGGACAGGTGGGACATGTGGCATCGAGGGCCACGCCGCCCGGCCGGGACGCCTCAAGGTGCACACACCTGTCTGCAGACCCGCGGCCAGCTGACCGCGTGCACCAGATAGGTGCTGGCCGCTGACCACCTGGCGTGACCGTCTCCAGGGTGACCCTCTCTGTCAGCTTCGTCCTCGGAGGTTTGGGACAAGACCGAACACACCATCTGCTCCAGCGAACTGTCTGTGGGAATCTGGCAACGACATGAAAAATGTTTAGAAATCAAGCTTTTTTGCCCTAGAATATTCTTCTAAGAATATTACCACAATCTTTCCAAAGGAAAAGATGATATCAGCTTAACCGAGAAGTAACAGTCGATAAAGTGTTGCTTAAAAGTATTCGTGGCCCGGCCGGTGTGGCTCAGTGGTTGAGCATCGTCCCCTGGACTGAGAGGTCCCAGTTCAATTCCCGGTCAGGGCACATGCCCAGGTTGTGGGCTTGATCCCCAATGGGGGGCGTACAGGAGGCAGCGGATCGATGTTTCTCTCTCACATCAACGTTTCTATTTCTTTCTCCCTTCCTCTCTCTCTAAAAAATAAATAAAAATAGACTTTAAAAAAAAAGTATTTGTGAATGACTGACGGGGGCTTTGGGAGTTAAGGGCTAGGTCGATTCTGTTTCTGCAGGCCCCCTGCAGCGGGACGAGCTCCGTGCCAGACCAAGGGCACAGGGGTCTCCGGTGTCCATCCCGACTGGGCCAGAAGCAAGCGTGGACCACCCGTGGGACTGGTACCTGGATGAAGGGAGCTGCTCCGTCAGAAAGCATCCTCGTCAAGCATCAAACACGATGCAGCCCTGGCCAGTTTGGCTCAGCGGTTGGAGCATCGGCCCGCGGACCAGAGAGGCCTGGGTTCAGTTCCCACTAAGGGCAGGTACCTCGATTGCAGTTTGTCCCCGGCCCTGGTTGGGGTCGTGTGGGTGGCAACCACTCCATGTGTCTCTCTCACGTCAATGTTTTTCTCTCTCTCTCTCTTCCCTTCTCTCTCCCTCCTGCTCTATCTGAAGATAAATGTAAGAATGTCCTCTGGTGAGGATAAAAAAAAAAAAAAACGGATGCAGTCGGGAGAACCGAAACTGGGCCAGAGACTGCTCACCGTCCTGGGATCCCAGCCCCGGGCTCCTGTCAAACTGCCACATGTGGTCTCGGTGTCAAAGGAGAAAGGACTCTCCCCTGCCGCCCGCCCTGCCCAGAAGCAACCCCGAGTCCCCCCCAGGGAAACCCCCGCCGAGAGAAGCCAGGAGTGTGCACCCCTTTCAGCTCCGCTGAGTAGTTCAGGACGCGTTCCGCATGAAGGTCGTCAAGCCCAAATCGGGACTTCAGGTCAGCCTGGACTTTCGGAGGGTCCCACACCACGCTGCGCAGGGACAGGCGGTACCCCGGCCCTGCAAGACAACCAGGGATCCACAGGTCAGGCCTCTCAGGTCTGGGGCGTCGAAAGTCGTTCAGAAGATAACGCCTCCTTCACTCCCGAAGGAAGAGCGAAGGGGGACCCCACGCGTCTGCATGATCAAGCAGGAGGTGCAGACCGAAGCTGATCCTGGGGCTGCAGAGGGGGAGCGGGCACACACGCCCCAGCATAGATGACGGCACATTTCTTCAGGGTAACCTGACCACGGAGTCCACCGACGGGATGAAACTCAACTCACTGAACCGGAAAATTTCACCCCTAAAATTTCCAGTTGTAAGGAAAACGGGTGGTTGTCGTGTAGATGACGTACGAAACCCTGAGCTTTCTAGTGAAAGTTATTTGTTAAACCGAGACCACAGGGGGGCTTCAGTGAGGCCTCTGTGTCCGGACCCCGTGTCCAGGTCTGTGCTGAGCCCGGGAAACTGGTTCCGCTGCAGTGACTACAGGAGGAGCAAGTGAGCCGCGGGTGACCCGGCTCCCCTGTGGCAGCGCCCACAGAGAAACCCCTCCTGCCCGGGGGGTCCTCCCGCACCGAGCCCCGCAACAGGAAGAACTGGGGCAGGACCAGGGTGACGGCAGGTGTCAGGTGCTCCCACAGAGCAGGAAGGGTCAGAGGTCCGTGTAAGCATCTCCCTGAGCCAGTCAGAGGCTGAGACCCCGAAAGTGGGGGCAGATGGAGAGAACATGAGCCTGAGCCCCTGACCCAGGTCGCCTGCCACCAAGCCCCCTCACCTGCCCAGCGCCCCTCCCTGCACACAGTTCTAACGTCCTGCTCCGCACTCTCCGTGGTCTGGCCTGTCCTCTCCGAGTCGCCTCTCGCCATCGCCCCGGGAACCCAGACATGCGACCGTCAGACACGGCCGCCCCCAGCATGCGCCCAGGCCCTCGTGAGCTCTCCTCCGGGGGGCTTCCTGAGGAAGGCGCCAGGGACCCCTCCGTGGCCTGTCCCTCACCACGCACGTCCCCCTTCCCCGGGCACGGCCCCCCTCACCACACACGGCCCCCACCACGCACAGCCCCCCCACCACGCATGGCCCCCCAGCACACGGACACCTCACGCTGCCTCTTCAGTCCCCTCCACGCAACCGTCCTGCAGACCTAACGCACGGCCTGGTGACTGCGGCTAATAACGTGGTATCGTGCACTTGGAATCTGCTGAGATCTTAAGTGTCACCCCACACAGAGAACTAGCTCCGTGAGAGGGAGCTGTGATCAAGTTGACAGGATGTGAAATGTATCAAGTCATCACGCCGCACACTTGACACAGATACAGTTGTGTTTGTGAAGCAACAGTATTCCATGGAAAAGGAAGGAACCAAACCCTGAGTTGAAAATAGAGCCAAACAGTCCTGGCCGGGTGGCTCAGTTGGCTGGAGCGTCGTCCCATACACCAAAAAGTTCCGGGTTCGACTCCCGGTCAGGGCACAGAGCAGGGTTCCATGTTCAATCCTCGCGCAGCCGGGCATGTAGGGGAGGGAACCAATCAATGTCTCCCTCTCTCTCTCAGTCAAATCAAGGAAAAAAGACATATTCTTGGGTGAGAACTTTTTAAAGAACAGAGCAAACGACCCCCTTCCCGTCCCGTGGAAGCCCGTCGGCTCAGTCCGTGGGCCCCACAGCCCCCGCCAGCCTGTCACTGGCCCAACGTTTTCAAATATTTCTTCCTAACAGGAGCTCAGGACAGGGGAAGGATTAAAACCACAGAACCGTGGTCGGTCTAACCTTAGAGGATATCGAGTCAAAGAATCTTAAGATCAGTTAAAATAACATTTGAACTGATCTTAAAAATAACGTTTTTCTCATTAAAAATAACGTTTTCATTAGCAAGGACTGCAGAATTCAACGGTGGGAAGTCCGTTCCGTTTGGAGTTCCCAACGCTCGACCCACTTCTACCTTTCTGCACAGAAGCGACTGTGCTTCCTGGCCTGTGTGTGTTTTTTTTGTTTTTTGGGGGGTTTTTTTGTTTTTTTTTATCCTCACCCGAGGATATTTTCCATTTTTTGTACAGATAGAGTGGGAGGGAGAGAGAGGAAGGAGAGAGAGAGAGAAACATCGATGTGAAAGGGACACATCGAGTGGCTGCCACCCGCACGACCAACCAGGGTCGGGGACAAACTGCAACCGAAGTACATGCCCTTAGCGGGAACCGAACCCGGGTCTCTCCGGACCGCAGGCCGACACTCTAACCGCTGAGCCAAACTGGCCAGGGCCTGGCCTGTGTGTTTTAATCACATCCCACTTGTTTGCACGGCGCTGGAGCCCTGCCGGCTGTGGATAAAGTGCGCTCTCGGGCACCCCTACCGGTGGCCGCGCCGTGTCCCTGCAGGAGGGTCAGCGCCGAGAGGGTGGTGTGCAGCACGGCTCCGGAAGCCCTGGAGAAAGTGGGGTTGAGCTGCAGCCAGTCGAGGTCTTCCAGGGACGCCAAGGAGCTGGGACCAAACAGAAGCAAAGCACTGTGAGCTGGTCCTTAACACATGGGCATCGATCCACATTGACTGACATCGGCAACTGCCCCCGCCCACGAGGACCTGGCCATTCACACCTCCGCGTTCATGGTGGCTCTAAGTGTGGCCCCGACGCCCTGGGCTGGGGACTGAACGCAGGCTGCTGCCCCTCCCACCCACACTTGGGCTCATGGCCTCCTCTGCTCTGCCTCTGTCGCTCCCTCATGCTCAGCTGGGCGCGGGGTGCAGCTGGGCACGGGGTGCAGAGGGCTCAGCTCAGCAAGGCCCGTGAGCAGGCAGCTGGCTGCTCCCAGGTCAGACACTCAGCTCACTGTCTGCAGGGCAGCCTTTCGGGCTCCGGGCGCCAGCCCTCCGCTGGGTCCTAACCTGTGGACCGGGGTGGTCGGGGCCTCAATCCGTGGTTATCAGACCACCTCACACACACGGGCCTCAGGAGTCCGCAGGCAGGCAGTGTTACTGTTATTTTTATATACTAGTATCTTCTTTTGTAAATGATTATACTTAAACTTGTAAATCAGAAAATCTACTCAACCACCACGGGAATATATCTAAACTTTAGCAACACGACACCAGAAAAACATAAGTTGTGCTCCAAAGAGGTGATTTCCCTGTAGCTTCCTGTCCGGAAGGCCTCTCGTGACTGCATATCGAGGAGTACCCAGGTCACAAGGGGTATGGCTGAAGCCTGGTGACGCCGAGAGGGGCACGCCCACGACGTGCAAACGTGCAAGTTATGAACCAAACCAACAACTGTCAAAATACGTTCCATCCTCCTACACTGCAAATACATCTTCGTAACAGCTGGGACAGCCATGGTCAAATTTACAATCCTCTGACCTCGGAGTTGTGCACCAGAACGTGGGGGTTCAGGAGACCCCATCCCGGCCCCGCCCCTAGGTAACCCTCCCCCGCTGCCCCCCAGCTCTGCCTGCTCCTCAAGGCCTCGTGTGCACATGTGTGGACAGTCGGTCCTGCACATCCCAGCAGCATCCACACTCTCCGCCCCACACTCTCGCCAAAGCTGGACCACCCTGGGCCTCGGGGTGCACACTCCAGTGGTGAGAGGTGCCCTGGGCGGGGCAGGGAGGAGGACCACACAACTCTGGAAGTAGGCTCTGGCTACTGGGACAGGGAGCTCCAGGGCCCCCTTTGGGTCAGGGACCCCTCCAGCCCTGTCCTAAGGGTGATGCTAATTTTTCTCACTGAAGACAGATAAGTCACAGTTAAAATCAGAAAAGAATGCCAACCTTTACTAATGCAATACCATGCTCATATACGTTTACACAACATAACCCAATTAGGGATAGAAAGACCATGTTATCCAAACATGGGAAACACCCCACGGGAAGGGATCCTCTCCAAGGTAACTCTCAGGTAACACGGGGCTGAATCCATCACAGGGACCAACGCCCAACTCACTGAGTCCACCACTGAGAGCCGAGCGCATCAGCGCTGGTGGCATTTTGGGACAAGTGCAGCCCATCGTTTACCCAGGAATGAACGAAACGTATTATACTCATGTCACATCTCCAATAGCAGAAAACTTGGACAGAACCAAAAGTCCAATTATAAGTCATCAGGTGGATGGTACGGTGCCGACGTGGAATATTTTACAGCCACGACCTGAGCCTTTGAGGACTGCAGGGCCGTGGGAAGTCGATGGCGGCACGTTACAGTTCGGTCGAGGAGGCCGGGTGCAATGCCTGCTCTCACGTAAGACCGTGCGCAGGTACCCGAGAGCCGGCGGAGGTGCAACAAGTCCAGCCTTACGGACGACATCACTCCGGGCTTTTTCTTGTATCAGATACTTACTCTGAGATACATATTTCCCATGGACGGGAGGAGGGAAAACCCACATCCCTGTAACGAGTCTCACTTCCTCGCTATCTCACCTCAAGGCTACCCGGAGGAGGAGCACGCCGCTGCGGGCACCGTCCTCAGCGCGGGCATCGTCCGCGGACAGTCTGGGCAGTGAACGCAGAAAATCCCAGACCTGGGGCTGCTGCTGAAGGCTTTCCAGTTTCGAGATCACCGCCTCCGTCTTGTTGAGATCCAGCTGGTAGAGAAAAATACCGAGGGTTTCGCCCTTTAGTTGTGTTGAGCAATTAAACGAGGGGGGGGGCTGCAAAGGTGCAAGAAATTAGGGCCTCTGGGAGCGGACACTATGCCTGGTCTGCCCGGAATTGGAACAGGTAAGATTTGAGAAGGATTCTGAAAGGCTGGGTTTTTAAACGTTGTGCAAGTACAGGCCAGAAAAGATAGGTAGAGATCTGTTTGGGGAACAAGCTATACCAGTGTCTAAGATTTTGAGTCAGATCTTAGAAACACGATGGATATTCAAATACGAACAAAAGGTGAACACCTCCTGTAATTTTGTCTTTTTCTGTTTGTGGCAAACCGTGTCAATAACTGCACCCTTCCTGCACGCAGACATCTGCACCCCGACATCCGCACCCATCCCCTGCTACCCAAACAGCTGCTTTTGGTGGCACAACCTCTAAATTTCAGTCTGGGGAAGGTACATTTAAAATCATGGCTGCCCTGCCCTGGCCAGTTTGGCTCAGCGGTTAGAGCGTTGGCCTGCGGTCCGGAGAGACCCGGGTTCGGTTCCCGCTAAGGGCACGTACCTCGGTTGCAGTTTGTCCCCGGCCCTGGTTGGTCGTGCGGGTGGCAGCCACTCGATGTGTCCCTTTCACATCGATGTTTCTCTCTCTCTCTCTCTCCCTCCCGCTCTATCTGTACAAAGAATGGAAAAAATGTCCTCGGGTGAGGATTAAAAAAAAAAAAAAAAAAAATCATGGCTGCCCTGGCCGGTTTGGCTCAGCAGTTAGAACGTTGGCCTGCGGTCCAGAGAGACCCGAGTTTGGTTCCTGCTAAGGGCATGTACCTCGGTTGCAGTTTGTCCCCGGCCCTGGTTGGTCATGCGGGTGGCAGCCACTCGATGTGTCCCTTACATGTCAATGTTTCTCTCTCTCTCTCTCTCCCCCTCCCGCTCTATCGGAACAAAAAATGCAAAAAAATGTCCTCAGGTGAGGATTTTTAAAAAATCATGGCTAAGGGCAGTGTGTTCGGTGGATGGAGTGGTGTCCCGTGGACTGTGGGGTCCCCGTTGGATTCCCAGTCAGGGCACAGGCCCAGGTTGCGGGCTGGATCCCCAGTGGGGGCTGTGCAGGAGGCGACCACATTTCTCTCTCTCTCTTCCTTCCTCTCTCCTTAAAAAATCAATCAAAACATACTTAAAAATAAAAATAAATAAGTAAAAATGATGGCTAAAAGAATACGTTGCCAACAGGGTCTGAAATACTGATCAGACTGCTTTGTCTTGCGGGGCTGAGACTCGTTGCAGGGGCCAGAGCACTTCCTCTCCGGCCCGGTGGGACCGGTCCACCTGGGAGGGAGCAGGCAGGACCCCCGGACCCAGGGTGGACACCCATGAACGAGGGACGGACACCCGGGACGGCGGGGGAGACACCCAGAACAGGCGCACTGGGGTCCGAGCCCGTGCTGTGCTCACGCACCTGCTCCTGGCCCGGGGACCCTGCGTCTCGCCCCGCTGCCCCCAGCAGCTGCCCGTCCACCGAGGCCGCCCCACGGACACGCGGGACACGGGCAGGGCTGTCGGGTCCGAGTCCGGGGAGAGGCCGGCCCTGCACCTGTCGCCCCCAGACGGCCATGTGTCCTGTGTGGCCCTCTCGTGACCAGTGGGGCCCGAAGCGCCCAGCCACCCAGGTCACAGCTCTGCGTCCTCAGCGGGTGACTGTCCTCGCCAGGGGCAGCAGGACACCAAGTGTCCCCTCGGGGCAAAATGGGCCCCCTGGCCACTCGTGAAACTGGACCCTGACTGCCTTTTTCCTTTCTGTTTTCCTTTCCTCTCGTGTTTCGGTGCCGTCGGGATCCACGCGCCCCGGGCAGCACAGGCGCAGTAGCCACAGGACGGCCCGAGCTGAGACGCCCGCGGATCCCAGATGGCAGCCCCGGAACCAACGTGCGGAGCCCCAGCCCTCGCGGACCCATGTCCCAAGTGCTCAGGGACCGACAGGGTGGCCTGGTCGGAGGGAAAAGCCAACCGCACAAGGAGTGCGTGCCTTCAGCCAATCAGATGGCGCCGTGACAGCGATGGAATTCTTTCCAGGCCCCAGCTTCCTTCCTGCTTCCTTCCTTCTTCCTTCCAGGCCCTGCTTCTTTCTGGGCCCTGCTTCCTTCTGGGATCCTGCTTCCTTCCAGGCCCTGCTTCCTTCCTTCTTCCTTCCGGGGCCCTGCTTCTTTGTGGGTTTCCTCTCTACGGGACCCAACGCCAGGGTCACAGCCAGATGCGTTAAGGCGAACAGGCACAGGCAGCCCCTGCTTCTCTCTGCCTGGAAACGTGCAGACCCCTCTCTGGGCCCGTGGGCGGTGACCTGCCGCCCTCCTGGGGTTCGAGGCTGTCCTGAGGGAAGGGCCCTGCTGTGGCCACACCAAGGCCCCAGCGGACGCTGTACCTGGAGCGAGTCGGAGGGACGCCCAGCAGCGGGCTCGTGGGCAAACCTGACGCCGCAGGGCATGGGGGCCACGGCCAGGACCCCTGCACCTGCTCCCCGGGACCCAGGGCCCTGCAGCCGGCTCCTCGGGTGTGCGCCTCCCCAGACACAGAGCCCGCGTCAGTGGCTGAGGATAAATCGGGGGGTTGAAACCAGTGTTTTAGACTCAACCGTGATTGGAACTGGTGTTCCGGTACTTACTGTTGGAAAACCGGAGCCAGGAGAAGAACCTGTGTGGAGAAGATGCAGACGGTTAGTCCCAGCGGCCATCAGGACGCTCTGCTGAACGCGTTTCAGTTCTCAAGTCGAATGGCTCCACGCAGCGTCTTGGCCCAAAATATGGTTACAAGCCAGGGTGAAGACGAAACAGCCACTTCTGATTTCCAGAACTCATTGGTATTAAGTAAATTCCGGGGGGGGGGGGGGCAGCCAGATTTCAATAATGTTCAGAAAAGGTATCATTTCGTCCATCTCTAATTGCACGGGCATTGTGGCTGCTCAGGACAACCCGGAGAACGTGGAGGGAGACAAAGAAAAGCAAACACAGAAAAAGGTGGAGGGAAAGCGGAGTTGTGATTTTGCAGACCCGGTAGATTCTACAGAGAATTGAAAAACTACCCGATGCAGAAAATGCAGACATCTGTTGCGTTGCAAGTACAGGTTTTCCTTACACTGGTACCACGGGAAATGGCTCAGACAGTGGCAAATTGAAAATCAAGTGTAGAACCCCTTCCTTAAAAAAAGCAGTTCTCCCTCTAGTAGAATGTTGAAAACCTGATTTGAAAAACAATGTGCATAAATGTAGACTGATCCCAGAAGAGAGCCCGATAAAAGATAAAAGAACCCCGTGACTTTGTGTCTGGGGCGATTCTGCTAATGCCTTTGATCCATTGTGAAATCTGCCCTGCCTTCCCCCAACCTGGACAAAGGTGCTGGTTTCTCTCTTAGAAATAATATGTAATGTCGCTTCCTTCATTTTTCTGCCAAACGTTTCATTTCACTTTCTTGTGTTGCCCATAAAGAGAAAAACATTATATCAAAAGAAAAACTGGCAATAGGTTCCTTCAGGTTGCCAGATTTAGGATAATAAATAAATAAATAAATACATAAAAATACATTTGGTGGTTACCTGAAATTCAAATTTACCTAAATGTCCTGTATTTTATCTGGCGACCTTGGATGAGGTTAGGTTAAAAAATAAAATAAAATAAGAGGTTGGGGGGAACAGGATCACTGTGACCCCTACATATTGATGAAGTCTGTAGGCAATAACTCAGCTCTATAAAAATAGGCTATTAGGAATCAAGTGTTGAAGTTGTGTGTGTGTGTGTGTGTGTGTGTGTGTGTGTGCGCGCGCGTAAGTGGGGTCAGATTTAAAAGCAAAGGAAGGGGGATGAGAAAGGAAGCTAGCAACAGAAGAAGGAGAAGGGAGAATGGAGAGAGGGGACCTGCAGACATAAAGCAAGGACGGGCTGCGGCCTGGTGGGAGTTGTGCCCAAGGTGCCACCCGGGGGAGGTGGCGGAAATCTAGCTCCATCCTCCATCCCTCTCTGGGAGCTGGGCCTCATGCCTGGAGGCTGCACCTTTTCTGAGACCTTCAACAACAGTGCAGTAACGGGCTGTGATGTGAACAGGACTTCAAGGGCCCTCTGGCTTCTCCCAGGATCACGGCCCTGCCTCAGCCCGTATCCAGGTGAAGTGCGGGCAGTGTGAGAGATTTACTTGCCTGGAGTCTTGGCTCTTTCTACCCAAACTTTCTTTAAGTCTGTTGCCTTGTCCATCAATTCACAAATTTCATCGGCAAGGTCCTGCATCTCTTGTAAGAAGACCAAGTCGTTGATGGTGTGATGTACAGCTCTGGCTTGGAACCTAGACAAACTCAACGCACCAGAGTGAGCACTGCGGACAGAACGGTTCCGCGGACAGAACGGTTCCGCGGACGACAGAAGTCTGCGGGCATAAGCGCCCTCCGCGTTTTTAAGACCCCTTTTCATTTCCACCAACTACCCTTAGGAACCCATTTTATTTGTCTGCCATCCGGAAAGGAAATTTCTATTTTTAAAACCTTTACAATTTAAAATTAAGAAGTTGTTCTCAATCCCTCTATTGTCTGTGACGTTTAACTATTTTAGGTTTATTGGTCACTTCATTTTTGGTGGTGGTTGTTGTTGTTGACTTGTCACATGTATGCAGCATATCTTGTTCAAGAGGCCAGAATAAACGCACCAGTGAACATAGCAGGCTCTGCCATCCCTGCCCACAGAGGGGCAGGAGGCAGGTACACAGATGTGCCTCGTAGTTGTGCACTAAAGGAAATGCCAGGAAGAATCGGTAAGATCTAATAAGACAAGAAGTGAGTGGAAGTCTGTGATAGACATGGCGCTCTTGATGGGCCTGCGAGGAGGTGATGTTGGTGGGAAGAAGTGGGGGCCGCAGGCTGGTCAGAGGGAGACTGTGTAAAGACCCGGAGGGAAATCCCCAGACGGTAATAGGATTTGGATGGAGAACAATGTCCTCCTTCCCAAGTCCAGTTCTTTCTTTGATCTTTCATCGGTAATGAAAGGAGCTGTAATGAGAAGGCAGAACAAAGGGGATTAGAATGAACGGGGACAGGGAAAGGCTCCTGGGCAGGTCACTGAGATTCTTTCTCAGCCCTCAAAGGAGAAACGAAACCACTCTCCCACAGGGCAGGATCCAAATAAAGACAAACACATAATCTCTAAATAAAAGAGGGAAAACGCAGCCAGGCGAGAAAGGAGGAAGTAAGACTGTATTCCCAGAAGATATAATCATGTACGTAACAAACACCAAGGGATGCATTAAAGAGTCACTAGAACTGATTGTCCATGTTTAAAAAATTTTAAGACAATATCAGAAAGCATAAACTACTCAGGAATAGATTGAACACAATGTATATAAAACTGTAAAGTACAAAAATATTCATGAAAGAAATTCAAGAAAACGTAAATGGAGAACTGTATCATGCTCATCGATTAGAAGACTCAATGTTGCCCCGGCCGGTTTGGCTCAGCGGTTAGAGCATCGGCCTGTGGTCCAGAGAGACCCAGGTTCGGTTCCCGCTAAGGGCATGTACCTCGGTTGCAGTTTGTCCCCAGCCCTGGTTGGTCATGCGGGTGGCAGCCACTCGATGTGTCCCTTTCACGTCGATATTTCTCTCTCTCTCTCTCTCTCCCTCCCCCCCACCCCCACTCTATCTGAACAAAAAATGGAAAAATGTCCTCGGGTGAGGATAAAAAAAAAAAGAAGATTCGATGTTGTGCCCTGGCTGGGCAGTTCAGTTGGTTAGAGCATCATCTCGACACGCCCAGGTTCTAGGTTCAATCCCTGGTCAGGGCACATGCAAGAAGTAACCAATAAATATATAAACAAGTGGAACAGCAAATCATGTTTCTCTCTCTCTCCCCCTTTCTCTCTCTGAAATCAACAAATAAAAAATTTTAAAATAAAAAGACTCGATGTTGTTTAAGTAGTTCTTTCCAACTCATCTATAGACTAATCCTCAGGGAAAACAAAATGCCCCCTGCAAAAGAGTGGACCCCTCTCTCACCACACAGAAATGTCAACTGAAATGGATCACAGACCCAAATGGTGAACCTAAAACAGTAAAGCTGTCAGAAGAAAAAAGGAGTAAATCTTCATGATCATGGGTTAGGCAAAGCCTTTTAGGTATGACACCAAAAACACAAGCAACGAAAGAAAACATAGATCAGTGAGACTTCATCAAAATGCAAAGCCGTGTGCTTCAAAGGATATGATCAAGAAAGTGGAAAGAAGACTTCGGTCAGGATGGCAGGTAGGTAAACACAGTATCGCGTCCTCCCACAACCACATCAAAGTTACAGCTAAACTACAGAACAACCATCATTTAGAACCACCTGACACCGAGCTGAATGGAAGTCCTACAACTACAAAATTAAAGCAGTAGCCACATCGAGACTGGTAGGAGGGCGAAGGGGACGGGTTGGTCCCACACCCATGTGTGGCGGATAAAAATCAGGACACCTCGGCTGGGAAGGTCCTCCCTGAGGACTGAGGGGTCCCCGTCCCACACCGGGCTCCCGCTCAGGGTTCCAGTGCCAGGAAAAGAAGTCCCATCACTCTAGTTGTAAAACCAGCAGGAACTGAGGCTCAGAGAGGCGGAGGAGGCTGGAGCCCCAGGCAGCTCAAGGGGCGCCAGAGACATACAGGGAAGAACTGAGCTATTTGGAGCTAGGGCTGGAGAGGGGGCTTTCTCCAGGACAAACGTGCTGTCAGAGGCCTTTGTTCCTTTGGTGAGCCCTTCCCTGGGGCAGCAGACAGCCCCCATACCTGGGACTCCAGCAACCTGGCTCACACTGGTAGCCCCACCCTGGTGATTCCCTGAGGTCCCACCCAACCGAACTTTCAGGCCCACCCAAGCTGTTGTCAGTTGCTTAACCATAGGATTGGCCTGTCTTGGATCCTGTTACAGGTTTTTCTAAATTCTTTCAAACAAGCAGCATCTGGTCTCAGATAGCCCCATACCTCTCGTTAAGTAATACACAGAAACAAACTCAGAGAGGCAGCCAAAATGAGGAGACAAAGAAACAGGTCCCAAATGAAAGAACAGAACAAAACCCCAGGAAAAGAACTAAGCGAAATGGAGATAAGCAACCTAACAGATGCTGAGTTCAAAATACTGCTTATAAGAATGCTCAATGAACTTAGTGAGAACCTCAGTGAACTTAGTGAGGACCTCAAGAGCATAAAACAGGACCAGTCAGAAATGAAGGAGGCACAGTCAGAAATGAAGGAGGCACTAACTGAAATAAAAAATAATTTACACAGATTCAATAGTAGAGTACGTAAAGCCAAGAAGCAAACTATCAATTTGGAATATAAAGAAGCAAAAAACACCCAATCAGAACAGCAAAAAGAAAAAAGAATCCAAAAAAAAAAAAAAATGAGGATAGTGTAAGGAGCCTCTGGGACAACTTCAAGCATACCAACATTCGCATCTTGGGGGTGCCAGAAGGAGAAGAGAGAGAACAAGAAATCGAAAACCTGTTTGAAACAATAATGGCAGAAAACTTCCCTAACTTGGTGGAGGAAACAGACATACAAGTCCAGGAAGCACAGAGAGTCCCAAACAAGATAAACCCCACGAGGCCCACACCAAGACACATCATCATCACAATGCAAAAGGTTCAAGACAAAGAGATAATCTTAAAAGCAGCAAGAGAAAAGCAGTTAGTTACCTACAAGGAAGTTCCCATAAGGCTGTCAGCTGATTTCTCAAAAGAAACTTTGCAGGCCAGAAGGGAGTGGCAAGAAATATTCAGAGCGATGAAAAGCAAGAACCTACAACCAAGATTACTCTATTCGGCAAAGCTGTCACTTAGAATCGATGGCCATATAAAGAGTTTCCCAGACAAGAAAAAGTTAAAGGAGTTCCTCACCACCAAACCGTTATTATATGAAGGGTCTTTTTGAAGAAAAAGATAAAATATATGAACAAACAAAATGGCAATGAATACATATCTATCAACAATTGAATCAAAAAACAAAATGAACAGGCAGAACAGAAACATTCTCATAGATACAGAGAACATTTTGTTGGTTGCCAGATGGGAGGGGGGTTGGGGGAATGGGTGAAAAAGGTGAAGGGATTAAGAAGCACAAATTCATTGCTAGACTGACAAACCTCAAAGAGAAGGGGGTTGGGGGGTAGGAAGTAATAAACCAAAGAACTTATATGTAACCAATGGACACAGACAACAGTGTGGGAAAAGGTGGGAGGGGGGCGGGAGTGGGGAGGAGGGGGTCAATGGGGGAAAAATGAGGAACATCTGTAATACATTCAACAATAAAGATTTAAAAAAAGTGGAAAGACAACCAAAAAATGGGGGGGGGGGGGGTATGCAAACCACGCACCTAGTAAGGGAAGAATTCCTTGAACAAACTGGTGCAAATATAAAACGAGGTTTATTGGGGAGAAATGTACAAATAAGAAATAGCAGAAGACACCGGATCTCACATGTTCGTGTAAGGCACAAAGAGGGAGGTAGCTCAGACTGGGCATCAGGGTCCCTCTGGAGGGACCTGCCTGCAGAGCTGAGTGCTGGTAGGGGCACGTCTGGGTGACCTGTTGTGTATCTCACACACCTGTCACCTGAATCCTGTCCCCAGTGTGTCCTCGATGTCAGAAAAGCCTTTCAAGAAGCAAGGATCAGCCCGGCCGGTGTGGGTCAGTGGATGGAGCATCATCCCATGGACTGAGAGGTCCCAGTTGGATTCCCGGTCAGAGCACGTGTCCAGGTTGTGGGCTTGATCCCCAATAGGGGGCGTGCAGGAGGCAGCCGATGGATGTTTCTCTCTGACATCGGCGTTTCTATCTCTCTCCCTCTCTCTCTAAAAAAATCAATAAGAATATATTGTTTTAAAGGATCACATTCTTAGCTGCTTTGGGTAGAGAAAGGATCCTGCTACCCGTACAGAATAGGGACAATTATAAAATAGAGACTGCGGGATAGAGTGAGAAATAAAATGGAGTCACGCAAGTCAAGCTGCTCCGTTACTAAAATGAAGGAGGTCGAGGTACAAGGAAACAATTCTGTTCGGGGAACTTGAACCTCAGAACCCTGCAGTCCCGACTGACACCTGCATGTCCACATGGCCTCCAGGTGACCGGGTGACAACCACATGTGAGCTCGGAAAACCCCTTGTAAGAGCTCAGGTGGGAAGGTCCATCCAGAACCAGGAAGCAGGAAGTGGACTTTCATACCCATAACCTAGATCGCGTGACATTCTGGATCTCTGCCCAAAGGGAACTTTCCCCGGGGAACGAGAAAGGGGTTGGGAATCCACAGACTAAGTAACCACGACAACGTTTCCCTAGGCTGGAGGTGCAATCTGGCTCTCAGGTACCTGCCAACGGAGACAAAGTGACCAGACCTGAATGCTTGTTCATGGGGTTGAGGGCCAACTGAATTCAGACTTGGACCAATGAAAACCATTGAGACAGGCTCAAGTGGCCAGGTCTGCAGCCAGAGGTGACCCCGAGCGTGCGCGGGCTTTTCCCTGGTCCCTGTTTCTCATTCTTTCCTCTCTCCTCACTGCCAACAACTTTTCCTTACTTCATCTTGGGTCCCTCACACCTGGGCCTCCGGCATTGCAAGACTGGAGCCCTCCCCCCTCGGTCGGTGGAAGGAACCCCCTCCCCCCCTCGGTCAGAGGAAGGAGCCCTCCCCCCCTCGGTCAGAGGAAGGAGCCCTCCCCCCCTCGGTCAGAGGAAGGAACCCTCCCCCCCCTCGGTCAGAGGAAGGAGCCCTCCCCCCCTCGGTCAGAGGAAGGAGCCCGCCCCCCCCTCGGTCAGAGGAAGGAGCCCTCCCCCCCCTCGGTCAGAGGAAGGAGCCCTCCCCCCCTCGGTCAGAGGAAGGAACCCTCCCCCCCCTCGGTCAGAGGAAGGAGCCCTCCCCCCCTCGGTCAGAGGAAGGAACCCTCCCCCCTCGGTCAGAGGAAGGAGCCCTCCCCCCCCTCGGTCAGAGGAAGGAACCCTCCCCCCCCTCGGTCAGAGGAAGGAGCCCTCCCCCCCTCGGTCAGAGGAAGGAGCCCTCCCCCCCCTCGGTCAGAGGAAGGAGCCCTCCCCCCCTCGGTCAGAGGAAGGAACCCTCCCCCCTTGGTCGGTGGAAGGAGGTTTCTCCTCCCCTCAGTCAGTGGACCCCTGCTCGATGCTGATGCTGTGGAACAGACAGGGACTCTCAGGAGGGGTGGGAAGCACTGTCCTGGGTTTCGGTTAGAATCCCTGCGTTCCAGCACACTGAGCTGAGGGTGCTGAAGTGGAGGGACAGAGGGGACAGGGCCAGGACTTCCTGAAGGGGAAGAACACGTGCTGTCACCACCGCCGGAGCAGCGAGAACGGACCGCCGTGCACTCCCATCGGGGAGCACTCTGCGCCAGGCGGGCTGTTCTCCGCGTCTGGTCACTAACCCTCACGTCGCTGGACGTGGGAACCTGGGAAGCAGGTGGGGCGGCGAGCACAGGGGCACAGAACGAAGAGCGACAGGGCCGGTAGCGTTCGGAGCAAAGCCTCCCTCTTCCCGCCTGAACAACAGTTTCGTGCCCGTGCTGGTGAGGAGGGGACACAAGACTGACCGGAGGTGGACATGCTGGTGGCCTCGGGGCCCTCTCATCGTCCCGGAGAGTCCTGTACGCTTTCTTTTCCACCCACAAACCGTCAACTATCTCAGGGTCACCGTCTCAGACTACTTCCACGTGGTTTTCTTTGTACAATACTTTTCTAGATGTTACCAATCTCAAGGTCAGCCCCCCTTGTCAATATTCTGCCAGATGCGTCCAAAATTATCTGGAAACTTCATTTTCTCCTTGCAACGTTGGAAGACGAAGAGCACCTGTGTTAACATGCTTCCCCTCTACCTGTCTTGGGTTCGTTTCAACGCCAGGAGGTACAGACGAACCAGAACCCAGGTCATCCCACCCCGAGGACGTCAAACTGTTGTCAGGAATCAGTCACGTCCCCTCATCGCTAACTCCACTCCGAGGCTTCCAAAGCATCAGTGCCTGTCAGTCAGCCCCTTCAGTTAGAGTCTTCTCACGTAAAACACCCTCCGCCCTTTCTGGTCTTCGATGCCAGCTGATGCCACAGGCAACCACAGCATGGCTTCGATGGAGAGTCAGAGCTGGGCACCTGTCACCCTGCACTGAAGTGGCCAGAGGGAGGGGAAAGGCAACCGACCCCTGTGTTCATTCGACCTCAGCTGTGGGGCAGCAGGACCGAGGCCCAACACAGCCCAGAGGAAGACCCCGTGGGCGGCTCAGTCACCGCACCAGCATGAACCGCTGGCCGAGCAAGTGACTCTGAGTCGGAGACTCGACCGACAGAAAACAAACCGTGACACGAAACGGTTTGCGAGGGCGCGGCCGCTCCGTGACCCCTAAAAGAGCCATGGAGACGACCGCGCGTGGAGAGGCTGCACCACCTGGGTCTGAGCCTCGAACGCTGACTCCCTTGGAACCCTGCCTTCCGCAGGCTTCGCGATCTCTGCCCTGTCCCAAATCACTGAGGCCTGACACAAGCGTCGCACCCACCCTGCGCCCCGGCCCCCGGGAATCCTGACAAGGATGCGGGTGCTTCTTACCGGAAGCCGGGCCCCGGGGACTCGGCGTAGCTCGTGTTTCTGCATCGGGCCCCGGTGTTACAGAGGAGGCCGCGGACGAAGGGGAAAACACCCGCGCTGGGCAGGTCCCGGGGCTGCAAGTAGCCTGGAAGGGGGTGCAAGGAGGAAATGAGCCCGTGCAGCTGGGGGCAGAGGTGCAATGCCGGCTGCGTTAGCATGAGACCAGTGACATGTCATCGCATAGGACTGTGTGATTCATCCCGCCATTCACATGGAGGAGCTGAGCACCCCGGCAAAGAGAAGGAGGAAAAGAAACAAAGAGAAGAAAAAGGAAAGAAAGGAAAACCTCTACCCTCCCGGCTCCACAGTCGAGCGCAGGGCACGACGTCTGTGTGGTCACAGCGGCGTGACTGGTGGTGGCCACAACTCCAGACACGGTCCTCTGTGGACAAGCCAGGGGCAGAAGAATAAAAATACTGCTTCTCATCTCATAAAAGTGTTGCCCTGGCTGGTTTGGATCAGCGGTTCGAGCGTCGGCCTGTGGTACAGAGAGACCCGGGTTCGGTTCCCGCTAAGGGCACGTACCTCGGTTGCAGTTTGTCCCCGGCCCTGGTTGGTCGTGCGGGTGGCAGCCACTTGATGTGTCCCTTTCACATCGATGTTTCTCTCTCTCTCTTTCTCTCTCTCCCTCCTGCTCTGTCTGAACAAAAAATGGAAAAATGTCCTCGGGTGAGGATAAAAAAAAAAAAAAAAAGTGTAGGGGTTTTTTGTTTGTGGCACGTGCCCCTAGTGGGACCCGAACCCAGGACTCTCTGGTCCACAGACTGATGCTGCAACCGCTGAGCCAAACCGGCCAAGTTTAGAAAGAGGACGCTGGTCCCCTAGGGCACTGAAGTGGCCGGATCAAGAGGAAAGGCAGACGATCCCTGTTTTCATTTGATCTCAGCTGCGAGGCCGCAGGATTGAGGCCAAATACAACCCAGGAGGAAGCCCCCCGCCCCCCCCCCCCGTGGGCGTCGTTTAGGACAGGACCCTAGGTTTTCAAGATACTTGTGGCCCCAACAGACCATCTCCCTTAGTAAAGTGCTGTTCGTGTCCCTGCCCTGGACACAAACCCCAGCCCCTGCCCTTCACACTCCAAGCATGAGACCAGTTGGGAAGCTGCTACCTGCAAGCAACAGGGAAGTTACTCATCCCCTGGCGTGGCTCCCAGCACCTTGGGGAAAGGCTGCCCCCCGAGTCTGGTGGGCGGGGTCTTGGGGTCTGGATGAGCTCACACTCCAGGACTCGGGGACCTGCTCTGCTCAGAATTCAGCACAGCCGTTTGCACGAAGAGACACGCTCTCGCCGTCGACGAATTACTCACGAATTCGTGGGCAAATGATGCAAGGGGTGAATGACTGGAAAATCGATGGATTGGCTTTCCAGCCAAAGGGGCGAATGGAGTTATTCGCTAACACGGCCTCAAGCAGTGGATGGGAGGCCGGCGAGGGATTTGGGTCGTATCCCAGCTAGTGATAAAGGCGCGGAAACGCCTAGAAAGACTTCTGCGTCCCAGCCCCCTGAGGCACACGTCAGGAATGGTGGTCTCCACGGAGGGGTGTTCAGCGGGTCAGAGATTGAGGACTCTAGTCCTGGAAGCACATTGTCTCCAAGACCAATGACAGCATGGTAACATCAGGCCAGCTCAGGCCACTCAAGACAGTGGAGTGTGAGGCAGGGGCCCGGGCATTGGTTGGTCGCGTCTTCTGTGCCCGGCCCTGAGCTGGGCACTCACTCACGACTGGCTTTCTCGCCGAGTCCGTGGGGCAGCCCTGGAGGCAGGGACAATGAGCCGCCTTTCCAGAAAGAGTCTCACAAAGGTCAGGCCCCTCGTCCATGCCCACAGCTGGTGGGGGGCAAGAGGGAGGTTTGAGGTGTGCTCCTTGAAAGCTGTTGGCTCCTGGGTCCCTGGGGACTCAGACACAGCCTCCTGTTCCCTCAAACACGCACTGCAGCCCCTCTGGGAGAGAGTCCGGTGTCTCCAGGCCCGGCCTCGTGGTCAGGGCTGGATAAACGCCGAAGGAACGGAGCCAGCGCTTAGGAGGAGGGACGGACACTGCTGTCACGTCCGACGGGACTGAATGAGGACTCATTGTGCGGCAGACTGAACGCCCTGTGGTTGACAACTGCATCAATCGCAATGTTTCACTGGCTTGGGTCCCCCCTCAGCCCTTGATGCCATACTGCCCATTTGGAACATGAAAGCTCCCCCCAGCTCCCCCTCCAGCAGCCTCCCTGTCTCATTTCTCCTGCACAGAAAGCAGGTCTTCTACCCGATCCTTCCACTTCCTCTCATGTCCCACCTCCTCTGGCACCCAGAGCATAAGCGACGTGCTCATCTCAGGACAGATACCTGAACCTCTTGGAAGATCCTCGGCGCCCCCTGGGACCCACCGTTCTCCATTCCAAGCCTCCACTGGTCCGAGCCTTGTCCCTGCTGCAGCCCCATCTCTGCTGCTTGGTCGCAGTGAGCTCCTCTCTGTCCGCCTCTCCGCACACTGTCTGCCGCCCCGGGCATTCCTCCCCGGCCCTCCCCTTTCTGGCGAAGATTTGCATCACCAGTTCCTCCAAAGCCTTTCTCCAGAATGGACTGTCCACCTCTCCTCCGTGTTCACACGGCCCCTGTGGGGAACCCCAAAGTGACATTTCTCCCACTCTGCTGTCACCGTCTGGCCCTGCCGTGAGCTCTGTGAGGGCAGAGAAAGCACCTGCCCACCACTTACCCTCAGCAGCACCTGGGACACAGAAGGTGCTCGATACATATTTGCCAAATGAATAAATTAAGCCACCATTTTGGATAGTGACGTACTATTTTAGATAAAGTCCACCCCTTAATAATTCTGTATTCATGTCACTGTTTCAGAATTAACCACATGATGTAAATTTCAAGTGGTGTAAGTCTGATAAAAACGAAACAGGCCTTCGTTTTTCAAGGAGTGATGCAGTTGAGTTTGCAGCCAGATAAACAAAATGGTCTTTCTAATAAAGACCCTGGAGCAGAGAAAGTTATCAATAATGGTTTATCAGTGCATCACCACCATCATCACCATCTTCACCATCATTATCACAACCATCATCATCATCCTCATCACATTATCAAATCATCATCATTTTCCTGGCCAGACTTGCTAAGTGGTTAGAACCCCATGGACCAATGAGTCGGGGGTTCGATTCCTGGTCAAGGGCAGGTCCCTCGGTTGCAGTTTGTCCCCAGCCCTGGTTGGACCATGTAGAAGGCAACCAGTCGATGTGGCTCTATCACATTGATGTTTCTCTCTGTCTCTCTCTCTCTCTCTCCCCCTTCCTCTCACTCTATCTGATGATTAAAAAAATGTTTTTAAGTCATACTCATTATTGTCATCATCACCATCATCACCATCTTCTTTGTCTTCTTCACCTTGACCACCATCTTCACCATCACCTCCACAATCTTCATCATCATCTCCATCATCACCATCTTCTTCACCATGACCACCATCTTCACCATCATGTCCATCATCATCACCATCTTCTTCACCATCTTCATCATCACCTCCACCATCTTCACCATCATGTCCATCATCATCACCATCTACACCATCTTCACCATCCCCTCCACCATCTTCACCATCATCTCCATCTTCTTCACCATCTTCACCATCCCTTCCACCATCTTCACCATCATCTCCATCATCATCATCATCTCCATCACCATCACCATCATCTCCATCACCAACATCATCATCACCATCTTCTTCACCATGACCACCATATTCATCACCTCCACCATCACCTCTACCATCTTCACCATCATCTCCATCATCATCACCATCATCTCCATCATCTCCATCACCGTCACCATCATCTCCATCATCATCACCATCATCTCCATCACCATCACCATCATCACTATCTTCTTCACCATGACCACCATCTTCACCATCACCACCACCATCTTCACCATCATCTCCATCATCATCACCATCATCATCTTCTTCACCATGACACTCATCAGCACCATGTGAGTAAGCTGAGATACATCTTCCACCTTTTACAGCTTCCTCTACTCTTTCCATACTTCTAATGGCACACACACCCACGCCCACATTGAGGCAGCTTAAGTAGGAGAATAAATCTATCTACTACCTTGAGCAAACATGTGAATATTATTCCTAAGAGGAAACAGTGTAAGTTTCCCTCTTGTTGACACAGCTGTTGTGCTATTACAGTGGAACCCTATCCATGCATTCCACTCAGAACTCAGAGTTTCTGAAGAGCAGAAGAAAGAGAGCTGTACTTTTTCTCTAGAGATTTATAATAAAAGGTGAAACTTACAATTGTCTCTGTGTCTGGGAGGTTCTTGAAAACGCAGAACTGTCAGAATCATGAACAGGGTGCATGGCCAGATGAATTCAGCGAGGAAAAGGACCTGGGGAAGTGGGTCCAAAAAAAATATTAGTGCTTGAATAAACTGTAATGAATCACGCTATCTCCATCTCTTATAAAATGGCACACTGGCTGAGCCTCCTGTAAAGGAGGTCATTGTCACCCCCCTCCCTTGGATCTCTGACAACAGTTATAGGAGGCAGGGGCCCCAGAGAAGGCCCAGCTCATGTGTCATTGCACCCAGACCCTGGCTGGCACTTGCTGCCCTTCTCCCAGCAGACTGGGCTCCTGCCCCCTTTTTCTCCACATGTTTATTTACTGCAGACTTTATGACATTGACGGAATTAAATAGATCAATGACATCATTCCCACAAAGTAACTACTTTTACTTTTATAATTTTTTCCCATTCCTGATTTTTCCATTCAAGCAGATACTTGGCAAGTTGGTGATGGGACGTGCTCCCTTTCACGCTGTGAGTCCTTGTCCGTTGTTGCCCCATGAGGATGGGAACGGTCATCTCCCCTGCTGCGTAACATTCTCACGAAATGGGCAGACCGCAGCACACACTGACTGCTCCACCCATGAAGTTTTTACATATAAATAGTTTTCTACTGAATTTTCTTGAGATCGAAACAGACTCTGAAAACTCCGAGTATTGGAGTCAAATCTCTTGACACAAACTACGAGACGTGCTACCCATAAAAATGACAGTAATGTGCATAACTGAATTTCCAAAGTCAAAAGACCAGGAACATCCGTTGGCACGTGGAACGTGGTTACTTGGGAAAGAAACACCATCTGTGAGGACTAGCCCAGTGAAAGCTCATTAGCAGAAAATCCTCAATTATTGTAGGAGTATTTTCACTGTCATTGGCCCCTGGTTTCTATGGCAATAACGTTCTTCTATCAACTTCTGCCCGTATCACTTCACAGATAGGAAAGTCACTCGGCAACACACAAAGCCCCAAAATTCCACCGGCTACAGAGTTAGGGATGCTCAAGCCAGCACTGAAGAGGGCACCTCACTCTCTCAGACTCCGAGCTTCAGACCCTGCACCAAAGGAAACTTCTGGTCGCTGTGGCTCCTCTCCAGGCCGCATGTCCCGCGCACCCCGTGCCTCCCAGAAGGGTCCAGCAAACACCTGTGACCACGCGAGAGCACGTGGCCGGAAGCCACGAAGACGAAACACGGGTAGAAGAGAATGTGTGATCCCTGTTGTCATGAAAGCAGAAAAGAAAGCGCTCTCTTTGAATTGTCCGTGAGGACATAGTTCCTGTGCAGAAAGTGCATCTTTAAGAACGGTTTTCGGAGAAAGTGCTGGAATCGACTCCCGTTCACCCAGGTAACCGAGGAGGCATCGTGCCCACAGGCTGTCACCCTCTGGTTCCGAGGACCGTAACTAAACCAGAACGGAAGGCCAAGGCCACTCGGGCCACAAACAGTTGGAGGAATCCGGCGTCCTGCCTGTCAAAACTTTCTACCCAATGAGCCGTGTGCTGTTGGTTCAACAACACGGGAACCCACCTGTGGGCAGGCACAGGCGCCCAAGGCAGGGGTTCACCTATTTGGAAACTCAGTGTAGGGGAACGGGGATCAGTGGCTTGATGGAGGAGAGCTGAAGATGTGCTACATCTGTGACTCAGCAATTCAACAGCCATGGAACAAGTTGAACCCTACGTACTATATTAGACTGGTTTCAAGCTATTAAAAAAAGAGGTCCCACCTAATATTTAGTTGTTGAGAAGGTGAACCCTTAAGAGGTCTGCTCCACACTGCTTACGATGGCATTATTTGTGAATGAAAAAAAAAAAAAAAGTCGTGCAAAAAAAAGGGGGGAAATGGGTCAATAAAATGTGGTGCTGGAGCAATACACGTAAGGGGGCTCACCCATTTATTCATCACAAAGCGTGTGTTCAGTGCATGTCAGGTGCTGGGGGTCAGAGGTGAGCACATGACCAAGTCCCCCCTTCGAGGAGGGTGGGGTACCTGGGAAAGGACAAGAAGCTGAGCCCCGATTCAGGCTGCAGACATCAGGAAGACCACGCCTGTTTGCAGGCTTGTGCTCACCCCTCACACCATCCCCCCCCCCCCATGCAGTGAGGAGCCAGCTTTGCCCCGAGGACAGAGTTTGCCCCGTCCCCTCAAACTAGCTGTGACGGAGCCTGGGCTGGTCAAAGTGCATTTCCATCCGCTTGAGCAAAGCATCCTACAGACTGAATTGAAACCCACGTTCTTTAATCCTCCGAGTAGCTCGGGTAGCAAGTGGTTTTGGTGGCAACTGAAAACCACAAAGAATAAAAGATTCGGTGCGAAAAAATAAAGTTGTAAATGAACTAAGAGGGAAAGGAGGCTCTTTGGAGAAGAAGCTGGTCCCGAGACCTCACTGGAGAGAGAAGGAGAAGACCGTGGTGCGTTTAGAATGTCACGGAAGCTGGAGGGGACACACGGTCAGTCCAAGGCCCTGGTCCGGGAAACCTAGGGCTTTGCGGTCAGGGTGCTGTCCTCCATCCTCGGGCCTGTGCATCCCGGACTTTCAGGAGAGGAGACCTTCCCAGAGTATTATTGGTTTGTGTCATAAATACTGCAAGAAAAGTGGGTTCAAACAAACATGAACCAGCCCCTGAGAGCCCTGAGCCTGCAGGAGGGGAAGGGGTGTGCCGGGCACCCCTCCATGCTGAGCACAGAAGGTGAGGTGTTCCTGGGGACCCTACTTCCGATGGATTCCCTTTATCTGACTCAAGTGGGTTAAGAGCATATTTCTGCCAGGGTTCGGGGGCAGCACTGAGGTCCAAGCCACCTGGGGGCGCTGTCCCCTTAGAAGTCCCAAGCAGCAGAGGCGAGCATTTGTCTCATTGGGCTCACAGGACACAGCCAGGCAAGCAGTGCTAATACTCTGCCATGGGCTGAATGGTACCCCCAAATTCACACGCTGAAGTCCTGACCCTGGACCTTGGACCGGCGCCTCATGTGGAAAAGGGCTTTGCAGGTGCACGTATTCAAGATGAGGCCACGAGGCAGCAGGGCGGGCCCTGGGCGAATACCACTGCACCTGCATGAAAGCAGAAATCTGACCCCCGTTTTGTCCTTTAAAAACAACCCAGTTTGGCTCAGCAATTAGAGCGTCGGCCCGCCAACAAAAGGGTCCTGGGCTCAATTCCTGGTCAAGGGCATGTACCTGGGCTGCAGGTCCGATCCCCAGCCCTGACCAGGGCTGCGCAGGAGGCAACCAATCGATGTCTCTGTCACATCAATGTTTCTCTCTCTCCCTCCCTTCCACTCTGTCTAAAAATCAATGGAAAAAACATCCTCCGGTGAGGATTAAATAAATACATAAATAAAAACAACCCAAGTTTTTCATTTGTCCCTGTGATAATGTTTGTTTTCATATAAAAAGAAGACATTTGTCCCAGTAAAACTGAGCGCCAGGAGGAGAAGTTGAGACACAGACAAACAGAGGGGGAAGACCCTGTGAAGACCCCGTGTGGCTCTTCCAGACCCCACGCTGCACCGCTGCGTCTGCAGTCGAAGCCGCCCCCCTTGCTGTCGGTCACACCCACACTGCTAACACACTGTGGGGGCTGCACCCCCCAACTGCCTTGCTGGGCCCTGGGAGAGCCCTCATTTTGACTGACTAGGACCCCAAATGAAAGACCTTGATAAATGAGCCTCAGTCACCTTTTTTAACACGAAGGTTCGACGTCAGTGACTTTATTTTTAACCTTTTTCAGTCCTAAGACCACTGAGAGGTCATTATTCCTACCACCCTTTACCGACACTTCCAACATCAGTGTGTCCACATCGCTAATGTCTGAACACGGGAACGTCTGTGTTTCTCTGACATGAAGCTACGCTGCTACTTTTTTTACTCTTTTTTTTTTTTAATCCTCACCTGAGGATACTTTTTCAAATACCTTCAGATAGAGCTGGGGGGTGGGGGGAGAGACACATCAACTGGCTGCCTCCCGCACGACCCTGACCAGGGCCGGGGACCGAACCACAGCTGAGGTACGTGCCCTTGACTGGAATCGAACCTGCGACTCGTTGGTCCTCGGGCCAATGCTCTAACTGCTGAGCCAAACTGGCCAGGGCTCTGCTACTTTTTAAAAAATACACAACAATTATAGCATCTTGTGAGGGACCATCTTTGAATCTTTTCCCCACCTCCTCCCAAGAGGTCAGGCTCCTGACCTCGGATCTGCTCCCGCTCACACCCCTGGACCTTCATAGCCGATCTGACAGCAAGCAGTTGGTGAGACAGAACAGCAAGAATCAGACTCCATAACGCAAACAATTTCCCGAAAAAAATAAGAGCTGCTTGAGTTCTGGGCTTGATATCTACAATGTTTTGCAATTGCAGAAAAATACAGAAACTATGGAGAGTGTGTTCATTGTTTCCAAAGGAAATTACTCTTTAACATCAAGTTAGGCTCTTAGCACCTGAATCCAGCATCAGACAAACAGCTTAAAGAAACGTGAGGTTGTCGTTTTATAAAAGGACCACACACACACACACACACACACGCACACACGCGCGTGTGTACACACGTTCCGCAGTTTGAGGTCACTGGAGCTCAGGCTGAGGATTTTAACCAAAACAACAGTGGTTTCCCAGGAGGTGTTGGAAGGGGCGGGCCCTGAGGTAGGAGGTGGGTACAGAGCGTGAGATGCATCCCGGTGGGGTGCACTTACTGGGGGTTCTCTGATGGGACGGAGGGGGAGTTGAACTCGGCTTTGTGTTCCGTGGGGGCCCACCAGTGTGGAGATGAGACAGCCCGGGCGTCCTGGGAGCCGGGCCAGAGGGGCCGAAGGAGAAGCCCGTCTGTGTCTAAGAGAAGGCGTTCACTCTACCACACGCGAGGCCCTTTGAAGCAAGAAGCCAGTGGTCCCCGTGTGGGGAGGGACGAGGTGTGAGCAGTGTTCCTAGGAAGACGGTGGCCAGTAGTTTGGTTGTTTCCGTCAGCTCCCTCGGACCCACGGCGGAAAGAGGCCCACGTGTTTTTAGGACAAGAGGTCCTTGCATTAGACTCAGCTGCAGCCCCCTCCCCGAGCCCCGGTCCTCAGTGGGGGTCACGGGACCGAAAGGCCTGCATCAGCCTCCATGTGGAGGAAGAAGTCAGAGCCCGTCCGACAGGGGCCCCCGCAGTCACAGGAGGCCAGACCCAGACAGAGAGGAGATGGGAGATGGAGCACCTGCTCAAGATGGGCCCTACGCCCCGAGAATGGTCGGTATGCCCCGAGAACAGTCACTGCACCCTGAGAATGGTCACTGTGCTCCAAGAACGGTCATGGCACCCCGAGAACGGTCACTGTGCCCCAAGAATGCTCACTGCACCCTAAAAATAGTGCACCCCAAGAATGGTCACTGTGCTCCGAGAACGGTCACTGTGCCCCGAGAACGGTCACTGCACCCTAAGAATAGTCGGTGCACCCTGAGAATGGTCACTGTGCTCCGAGAACAGTCACTGTGCCCCGAGAATGGTCACTGCACCCTAAAAATAGTCAGTGCACCCCAAGAATGGTCACTGTGCTCCGAGAACAGTCACTGTGCCCCGAGAACGGTCACTGCACCCTAAGAATAGTCGATGCACCCTGAGAATGGTCACTGTGCCCTGATAACAGTCCGTGCACCCTGATAATGGCCACTGCACCCCAAGAATGGTCACAGCTCCACGTGATCGGTGGCCTGGGGACAGTGCCATTCAGTGTGCAGGCCGCAGGGCAGCTTCTGTCTCCGGTACCCCCAAAGAGCACAGAACTGGGAGAACTCTGAGCAGCTGGTGCTACTTTATCGTTTTCCTTCACATTATTTTTTCCTTTTTGTTATTCATTTGCGAAATTAAAAAATATACATCTTATTTTTCCTACAGTGTTTTTTCTTTGGCCCCAGCTGGTTTGGCTCAGCAGTTAGAGCGTCAGCCCCCAGACCAGAGAGACCCGGGTTCGGTTCCCGCTAAGGGCACGTACCTCGGTTGCAGTTTGTCCCCGACCCTGGTTGGGTCGTGTGGGTGGCAACCAGTCGATGTGTCCCTCTCACGTCGATGTTTCTCTCTCTCTTCCTCCCTCTCTCCCTCCCACTCCATCTGAAGATAAATGCAAAAATGTCTCTGAATGAGGATAAAAAAATAATAATGAAAAGCAATGTGTTTTCTTTGTGTTGCTGTTAGTATTACGCATGTTCCTCCTTTTTTCCCCTTTGACACCCTCCTGCCCCATGGACGTCACTGCAGTCGTCTGTGTCCATTGGTGGTACATGCTGCCATGTAAGTTCTGTGGTTTATCTCTCCTGGGCCCCCAAATCCCTTCCCTGTCAGTCTGTTCTCACTTCCATGAAGAAATTTTTAAAAAAGAAAAGAGCCCTGGCCAGTTTGGCTCAGCGGTGGACCAATGAGTCACAGGTTTGATTTCCGGCCAAGGGCACGTACCTCGGTTGTAGTTCGTCCCCAGCCCTGGTCGGGTCCTGTGGGACCCAGCCAGTCAATGTGTCCCTCTCCCTTTCTCTTCCTCTCTCTCCCTCTCTCCCTCTCTATCTGAAGATAAATAGAAAAATATCCTTGGGTGAGGATTAAAAAAAGAAGAAACATAAATAAATTTTTTAAATGAGAAAAACAAATTGGATTGATCGAAAGTTAGAATGGATGATGAAGCGAATGGGCCATGAACTCCTGGGAAGCGTGGCTCAGGGCCAGCAAACCCGGCCAAGGCTGACACAGTCGCTCAGACACTGCCCGTGTGGACACTCCCGGGGCACTGTCAATGGGCAACCGCCTGCCCAGCGCAGGTGTGCTCACCTGGGACCAGGAACCCAGCAAAAGGGGTGAAGTGGTACAAGTTGCCAGTTATAAAAGTGGTCACAGCGTCCAGCCGGTGTGGCTCAGTGGCTGAGCGTCCACCCATGCACAGATGGGTCCCGGATTCGATTCCGGTCAGGGCACGTGCCCAGTTATGGGCCCAGTCCCCAGTGGGGGGCATGCAGGAGGCAGCCAGTTAATGCCTCTCATCTATGTTTCTCTCTCTCTCTCCTCCTTCCCTCTCTCTAAAATCAATAAAGGGGGAAAACATTCTTAAATGGTCCCCGACGTAAAGTGCAGCACAGGAAGCAGAGTCAGTAAACATTGTGATAACCATGGACAGTGCCTGGTGAGGGCTGGACCTACTGGTGGTCACTTTGCAAGCGATATAAATGGCGCACCACTCTGCCGTGCACCGGCAACGAATATGCCAACTGTAGTTGAAAAAATAAATTTTTAGCCCTGGCCGGTTTGGCTCAGCGGTTAGAGTGCCCGCCTGCGGTCCAGAGAGACCCGGGTTCGGTTCCCACTAAGGGCATGTACCTCGGTTGCAGTTTGTCCCCGGCCCTGGTTGGCCGTGCGGGTGGCGGCCACTCGATGTGTCCCTTTCACATCGATGTTTCTCTCTCTCTCTCTTCCTCTCTCTCCCTCCCATTCTGTCTGTACAAAAAATGGAAAAATGTCCTCGGGTGAAGATAGAATAAAAAATAATAATAAATTTTTAAAAACGAAATTTGCCTGCACGAGGAAACTAGTAGGGCAGAGCTGGGCTGTGGGACCCGCCGGGGCTGGCTGCCTGTTCTCTGCACAAAACCGCCATGTGTTCCCCCTCCGGCTGCCACGAACAACGCTGAGCAGAGACCACTTCCCACGTGTGCGTGGACACCTGCCCCGGGGGCCCAGAGGTGGGCTCGTGAAACGAGTCCCGGTCCCAAGGGTCCTTGAGCGCAGGGCGGTGCTGCTGTACCCGGCACCTGGCACAGCCAAGAGCAAGGAAGCTCCTGTTCCTTCCTTCACTCACTCGTTCAACAGTCACCGACCGCCCATGACGTGCCCGGCACTGTCCTGGCTGCCGGAGGTCACGCGGGTGGACGGACCAGAAAAGCCTCGCTGAACCCCTAATGTGCGCTCCAGAGGAAGTGAACACACGCGTGACCCTGTGGTGTAACTACTACGAGAAGATAAAGCAGACAAGGTCGGGGGGAGGAGTCTCCATTCAGATACCTGGCCGTCAAAGAAATGATGTGTGAACTGTCTCTGTTCAGCATGTTTATCTAAGTGCGTTAATCACCGTGAAAATGCTGGACCAACTCAAGTGTCTCTTAGTGAAGGGGAGACTGAGTTGCTCTGAACTTTAAATGAGCTAATGAGCCCGGCTGGTGTGGTCAGTGGCTGAGCGTCGACCCTGCCCCAAGAGGTCACCGGTTCGACTCCCGGTCAGGACACATGACGGGGTTGTGGTTCCGATCCCCAGTGGGGGGCGTGCAGGAAGCGGCCAATCGATGTTCTCTCTCATCGATGTTTCTCTCTCTCTCTCTCCCTCTCACTTCCTCTCTCTCTAAAATCAATAAAGATAAAATAATAAAATAAACGAGCTAAAGAACAAAAGCGGAGCGTTCTGCCTACATCATGGACCTCCCCCTGGAACAGTCTCTCATGGGAAACACAGTTCCCCAAAAAACTCTGTCAATCAAGTACACTGCCATAAACGGAACACACCCACGGGACACCAGCGAGCGCAGCCCGGGGACAGGTGGCCACTCGCTAGTCCGGGCCCTGAAGCCGGGAGCAACCAGGTTTCCAGGTGACGTGGGTCTAACCCTGACAGTCTGCCCGTGGAAAGGAAACATCTTGAACGTGTATCTTACGTGGAGGAGGAAAGAAAGGCATTTCTGCACACGAGAATTCAGCAAGATGGGATTCAGTGCCCATCACAGAATTCCACCGACAGAAGCAGGGGCCAGCAGGAGCCCCGGGGGCGAGCGTGGCCCTCACATCAGAAATCACGTACACGGCCCTGGCCGGTTTGGCTCAGCGGTTAGGGCGTCGGCCTGTGGTACAGAGAGACCCGGGTTCGGTTCCCGCTAAGGGCATGTACCTCGGTTGCAGTTTGTCCCCGGCCCTGGTTGGTCGTGCGGGTGGCAGCCACTCGATGTGTCCCTTTCACATCGATGTTTCTCTCTCTCTCTCTCTTCCTCTCTCTCCCTCCCACTCTACCTGAACAAAAAAAAAATGTCCTTGGGTGAGGATAAAAAAAAAAAAAAAAGAAAAGAAATCACGTACGCGTTGCGCAGACCTGCTCCTGCTGAGCAGGGTCCTTTCAGGCATCTTTCGCTCCAGCGCCTTGGACACAAAGGCCACAGTGGAGCCGTTGGCTTCCACTTGGTCAGAAGGGTGCTCACGGAGCATGTGCCCAGCGACCCGGCCCACGTAGGAGAGCCCAGCAATGTCTCCTGGAGACCGTCCCAGAGGAGAGTCAGCACTGATGACCTGACACAAGAGTCCTGTGCCCCCGGGACCCTCACTGCGGCTCCAGCGCCCGGTGGGTCCCCAGCACATACTTCGTTCTTATCCCTTCAACCAGAGGGCTCACGGCTCAGTGTTCACAAGAGGCCCGAAACATGGGCCGCAGCTGAAATCCCGTGTTTTTAGACCTTCTCTAAATCAACCCTTTTCTGAAAAGACGCCTCAGCCCCGAGGTTGCGCTGGGTGCGCTGGTCCCGCCGTTCAGCCGCTTGGGCCCTGAGGGCAGGTCCTGACTTGCCCTGACCGGCTGCCCCACCAGCCCTGAGGTCCCACCCTGCGGACTGTCACTCACCCGGTGCCTGCGTCTGCACAGCCAGTTCTTCCAGAGCAGGGCTCCGAGCTGGCGCCCCGCCGGCCCCATCCTCTCGTCTGGGTGGGGCCCCTGGAGCCAGGGTTATATCCCCGGGTCCCAGCCCCCGCCGGGCTCATTAGTCCATCCCAACGAAAGCGTGTGATGCAACAGGATTACCGGCCACTGAGGAGGCCGCATCGGGTGTCTCTCCTGCTGTGCAGTTGAGAAATCTCACCTCTCCCTGCCCTCCAGGTTGGAGGCAGCCCGCCGGCCCCTCCTCTCTGGGGCGCACAGAACACCCACCGCTGATGGGTCCAGAGCCCCTCTCCCTGGAGGTCAGCTGGATGCAATGGCTCCTCCCTGTCCTGGAACCTTGGCTATGTCAGAGGTCCGGCGGCAGAGAATGGATGGAGATAGATGGGGGCAGGGTTTGTCTGGGACAGATGCAGGGCTGCTCATTCAAGTGCAAGGTCACTATGCTGTCCCCCCTCCCCCCTTTCTTCACCCGTTTCCCCCAAAGGGCGGGGACCCCGGAACAGAGAGCTGGAGGGTGCGGTGGGCAGAGCAGGCGTCTGGGAGTGAGCCCAGGCTCCCAGGATGACACCGCGGGTCGGCCCCTCTCCCGTGGGTGACTCAGGGGGACCTGCCAGCCTGTGGGCTCCCGGGGTCCTGGGCGACTCGCGCACACATCCATCTTTGTATCGCGATGGGTTCCGCTGGGCAGCTGCTGCCTTGGGCTCCTGTGGGCCCCGTTGCAGTGGGAGCATCTCCAGGCAACCCGAGTTGGCGGCCTTGCATTTCACAAAGCGATTTCCACAGCCAGGAAGTCCCGACCAAGGGCTCCTGCGGCAGGAAGCGGGCCCCAGGCCTCAGCAGGAGTGGCCTCTGGGATCCTGGGACCCTGCATCGCACCGAACACGTCTTTACGTGTTACTCTAGGCTGAGCTGCAGATTTTGCGGTGGGAGCTTGGGGACTGCTCCCTGGCGGGGGGGCCCAGCACGCATGCACACGGGTTCCCACACGCACACATGGGCGCCGATGACAGAGCCCGGCCCATCTCCCTGAGCTCAGCGCCTCCGTGGCCGTCCTGTCCCCTGCTGTTGCTACCTGGTCCCCTTGCAGAGGGCACTGCACATCAAGGAAGACTATCGTTCTCTCTAAAAGCTCCCAAATTAGGGAAACCCCCAACCACAGTGCGTCCTAGGTTCCTGTCCGAGGCCGGTTTGCATGCGAGTGTGTGATTTCACCCCTCAGACACCAGCTCGGCCTCTGGAGCAGAAACAGCGCCTTAAAGCCCCGCCTGCAGGGCGTGGCCCCCCTTGGAACTAACTCAGTGGCTGGCGAGGGGACCAGGCGGCTACACCCGCGTGTGCCTGCAGGTGAGGCCGGCCGGCGTGAGCTGGGCCTGCAAGTCCGCAGGCAGGTGTAGGTAGAAGCGGGTCCTGAGACCAGAAGTTCCTGGGGCTCAGCTCTGACCTGGCGCGGCCCCCAAGGAGAGCTGGCGACGCCCGGGTGACTGCGGTCTCCTGGTGCCCGGCGCAGACAGGCCGTCAGAGCGCCAGACCTGGCCTGTGCACCAAGACACCTTGTAGGGGTCACGACAGACCACAGCGCTGGCCCGTGTCTGCCACTTCCTGCCACTCAACTTGATCCTTGGAATCAAGGGTAGATTCCTTCAGGAGGTGGCCAGGAGGCCAGCACACCCCGGGGAGGGCAGGGGTGTCAGTCCAGAACAGAGAGGCCTGCGGGCCAAGGCCCCCAAGGCCTGAAAGCAGCCACATATTCCTTCCCGGCTGCGCTCGAGTCTAACCCTGCGTGAATGCACCGGACGTAACTCGCCTCGGTCAGAGCTTAGTCCCACCAGAGGAGCATGCGGTGAACTTGACCTTGGGAGAGGATCACACCCCCTGCCGCCCCCTCGGGGAGGTTATGCTAATGAAGTTTGAAAGTTATAATGTATTCAGCAATTTCAGGTGAAATGGCCTCTTTGTCTCTGTTTAAAAGCTTTATTCAAATTAGGGGCAATAAGCAATTAGAAGTTTCATGGTTTAAAGAACTTTCATGACCCAAGTGTTTTTTATTTCATTGTAATTTATAAACCCCGAGAAATAATAACCCCTTGGGTGGTTTAAATAACTTGCGTTCTCCGACACTGAAGTTCTATCTTGCTAATTTCAACACTTTCTCGTGAATCTGAATTAGTCTCTCTTCTTGCCCTCATGGAAAACCGTAATTCCAACTTGTCAATAAAGCATATTCATTCAAAAGACAAATGTGTAGAGATACGTGGTTTCATCTTCTATTTTTAACTTTAATTTTTTTTGCTAATTCTCACCTGTGGCTATTTTTTCATTACTTTCTAGATGGAGTGGAAGGGAAGAAGGGGCTGGGGAGAGAAACATCCATGTGAGAGAGACACGTCGATAGGCTGCCTCCCACATGCACCCCAATCAAGTTTGGGGATCGAACCCGTACCCCAGGTACGTGCCCTTGACCAGGAATCGAACCCGAGACCCTTCGGTGAGCAGATCAACGCGCTAACCACTGAGCCCGCCAGCCAGGGCTCATCTACTAATGCTGCCTGGTGCCCAGGGACTGAGGAAATGAAAATAAACCCTCACAAACCTCCCGGTTCAGATCCCTGTGACGGTTCCGTGGACGGTGCTCCCGCCTGGAGCCCTGTGCTTCCCATGAGCCTTTGCTTTCCCCCCCGGGGGTCCAAGTTCACCCGGGGCACAGGAGCTACGAGTGCTGATGTCCGTGGCCGGCGTGGACTGCCACGGACCAGAGCTGGATCTTTCAAACGCCCGTGCTCGGGACAGCGTGCTGGCTTTGCTCCTGGTAAGGGGCCTCACCCCCAAAGCGCCCGGTGTGAGCAGGTGTGCACAGCGAACAGGGTACCCCAGCAAGCGGCCCGTCAGCGAGGAGCTGGCCAGACTTTTCCAAACAGAAAGACCTGAACCTAACGGGCCCTATAACCCGCGGCAACTCCCCACTCAGGGCTCAGCATCCTCACCTGCATCGCAAGGTGACGAGGGATGTCAGAGTCGCTAAGACAACCCACCTGTCGTTTATAAATAGCACCTGGCGCTCAATAGACGCAGATTAACACAGTATCATGGTCTCCTCTGTCCCCACCCAGACCCAGGGGACACTCCGGGCTTTAGGTCTCCGCTGGGTGCTCTGTGGGTGATAAAGTTGTGAGACACGCATTGAACCGTCACAGTGTTGCATTATCCCTCTTGTCCTTTATCGAAACAAGCCACGTTCTCCCTGCTCTGGTCAGGTGGCATGACTCAGCGTGATGGGATGGCCGGGAGGCAGGGCGTGGTGAGTCAGCAGGAGGGGCACCACCCCCAGTCCTGTCCCAGCCCCCAGCCCCCAGCCCCCCATTTGGGCCCTGCCGGCTTTACTTGCAAGGGGTTCCCCTGCGAAGCCTGAACACCCCCCCGGGACTCCTCCCCCCAGTGACAAAGTGTTGGACGGCTGCTAGGCTGGGGGCCTTCTGAGCAGGGACTTGGCTGCAGGCGGCCCCGGAAGAGGGGGGTGATCGCTGGCTCCCCTCAGCACAAACCCAGTCTCGCCCTAACTCTCTGACTTGCTGGAGCAGGGCGGGGGGGGGGGGGCGGTGTCGCGATCTCAGCGGGCTCGCTGGCAGCTCTGAGAATGGGGGAGACGGGGGAGCAGGCCCGGACCCAGGGTGGCCGTGAGGGGTGAGGGGCAGGGCCATCTCAGGAACCCAGGGGACACGTGTTTGAGGACATTTCCAAGGTCACTTAGTCATTTCTGTGGAGTCCATTTGCCACCACCACTGGCACTATTACGCCGTCAGAACAAGCTCTGTGTCCTAAGGGCATTCCCCGCGCTGGGCACCGTCCTGCCCCGCAGGATCAGGGCGCAGCCTGGCGCCCCTGAGACGAGGGGGAGCTGCAAAGGCCACTGGAGGCAGCGCCCGGGCGCGACCTGCCGTCCTGCGCATGGCCAGCAGAGGGCAGCACAGGCCCAGCTGGGAGCTCAGCACCAAGGAAAGCGGGCCCTCCGCCGGAATCCTGGTCCCCGCCCCCCAGGAAGGACCCTCTTCAGCTTAAATGCTGTCAATCACCACGTCCGTGTGCCCTCCACCTGGCTAGGTGTGCTCAGGACGCAGCGGGGGACCCCGGGGACACACTTGCCCGGAAGGGTGTGAGGGGCACCCGACCGGCAAGGGTAATGAGCCCCACACCCTGGCCAGGCAGGGGTGGTGGCTGCTTCTGCTGGAGGGCGTGGCGACCAAAACGCAGAAGCCATCCTCTGTCCACAGCACCCGGGCTCCAGGGGCCCCACCGGCCAGGCCAGCTGGGGAGCCAGAGGCCTCGGGACGGCCCCTCTGAGGTCTGGGGCAGCCCGAGCTGAGGTCTGGCAGGCAGACAGGCACTCAGAGGAGCCGGGTGACGTCCAGCTGAGTCTGGGAAATGGGAATTTGGGATGGATGGGAGCACAGGACAGCAGCCTGGGGCAGAGGGGCAGAGTCCGCAGCTCCGGGGCTCTGGTCGGCCGCCCTCCAGGAGCTCCTGCAGTGCACCACCCGAGGGCGCCCGGGAGGACTTCGGGGACCGGCTCTCCTGCCCCGGACAGCCTCCAGGCGCGGGCTGGGGCTCCTCCCAGGTGGCCTGATGCTGACCCTCAGCTGCAGTGAATCAGAATCCCAGGGAAGGGGTTCTGAGGGGTGCATGGACACACACGTATCGGCACCAGTGTCCGACACCTCCCTGCGCCACACGGCTAACTGCAGCGCGGAGCAGCAGGGCCTGGGTCACAAGCAGGGAGCTCACCTCCACGCTTGCAACAGGTCGAGTTCCAGGGAATGGCCACTTGACCGGGCCCTCCACAAGCCCAGGCCGAGCACCAGAGGCGGACCACTCCAATCCCAGACTCGGACCCGGTGCACCGGCTGGCAGTGTGAGGGCAGAATGTGGGAGCGTCACCAGACTCACACAGAAGGTTCCAGAAAGCTAGCTGTGTACCTCGGGAACTGTCAGGACAGTGCGCCCTGCGGAACAGGGGTCAGGGGCCCCGACCGCCTGTGCAGTTGCACACCTGTTGTGATGACGTCAGCCCTCCACAGAGGCAGAGCCCCAGCCCCCAGCCCCCCTTGAACACGTGGGTTTGAACGGCACAGGGCAATCGAGCTGTGGTCGACTGAAAAACGCCACGTCTGCCCTGGCCAGGGAGCTCCGTGGGTCAGAGCATCATCCCAGCAGGCCAAGGCTGTGGGTTCGATATCTGGTCAGGGTACAAAAAACAACCAGCCCTGGCCGGTTTGGCTCAGCGGTTAGAGCATCGGCCTGCGGTCTGGAGAGACCCGGGTTCGGTTCCCGCTAAGGGCACGTACCTCGGTTGCAGTTTGTCCCCGGCCCTGGTTGGTCGTGCGGGTGGCGACCACTCGATGTGTCCCTTCACATCGATGTTTCTCTCCTCTCTCTCTGTTCCTCTCTCTCCCTCCCACTCTACCTGAACAAAAAATGGAAAAATGTCCTCAGGTGAGGATAAAAAAAAAAAAAACAACCAATGAGTATACAAATATGTAGAACAAATCGATGTCTCTCAAACATCAATCTTTTAAAAAGTCCTTTAGAGAAAAGGAAAAAATTAACCTCGTGTCTGAGTGGGCCCGCGCGGCTCAAACCTGTGTTGCTCGGGGTCAACTGTGACACGCGTGTTCGTGGGCTCGGGGTGCATCTGCTGCTCAACCCGTGTCTGCCCCTCGAGTTTCCGTGGTCTCTCGTGACAAGCGGTGAGCAGAATTCTACAACTGCATCAGGAAGTGAATTTCCTGGCACTGCAATCAGATTTCTGACAACCAGTAGAATTTAAAAGCCTGAAATATTTCAGTTTTCAAAGGAACAGAAATGTGTGTCGCACAGAACATGAAGGCCCGGGGCCGAGTGCTGGCGTCGCCGCCACGCGCCGGCTCCTCGCTCTCCAGTGTGCGGTCACACGGGGGCAGTGGGCAGTGGTTTTATTTGCAGCCACGACGACGCTCATCTCCGAGTCGCAGGGGCTTCAGGCCCCCGGAGGCTCTTCTTGATGAAGTGGCAAACCAGCCTCTGCGGCCGCTGCTCGTACTCAGCCAGCACCTCGTGGGGGCTGCGGATCTGGTCCCCTTGCAGGCGGTCGAGGTAGGTCACACACACCACGGCCGCTGCCAAGAGCAGAGGTCGCGTCAACCCAAAGCGCTGGACTTCTAGCTTAGTTCACGAGGCGAGGCGAGGTGTCCCTGCTGGGCCTCAGAAGGGGCCACCGCAGGGACCCACAGGCATGTTGATAGGTGAAGAGCTCAGAGGCCAGAGGGCCCCTCCTCCCCACCCTGCCCTCTCCCCTTTCTCCCTGCCTGTGCTTCCAGCCCCCCCAGCCCAGCCCCCCCAGCCCAGCCCCTGCCCCAGCCCAGCCCAGCACCCCCAGCCCCCCCTCCCCCAGCCCAGCCTCCCCCCTCTCCAGCCCCGGGCCAGCCCCGCCCCTGCCCGCCCTGGCCCAGGCCAGGACCTGGCCGTGAAGGGCAGCTGAGGTGGCGGGAGGCAGGGATGCTGGGGGACACAGCTGGCTCCACAGGGGGCTAGGAACGTGGGTGGATAACCCCTGACTCAAACCCACATTGGAAAGCAGGACATTGCGGGGCTGGTGCAGCCTTGGGGTGCAGCAGCCTCTGCACCCCACCTGCGCATTCACACCACCTGCGTGGAGCGGTGAGCTCTCGGGCACCTTCCTCGGCCCCTTGGTGGCCAGGGAGTCACTGCAGGGACCCTGAGGGGCCTGCCCTTGGCCATGTGCTAACAAAAGGAGGTCTGAGGACAGGTGCGCGATGCCAGCCGCCTGGGGGACAGGTGGGCGGAAGGCAGACGCCAGGGGTGGGGCACGGGGGGACCGGGAGGAACCAGAGAGGGTGCTGAGGTTGGCCAGCAGGGACAGGAGCCGGGAGCAGGGTCCCGACCTGGCGCCCACCCACCTGGGAGGCTGCAGGCGCTGCACATGGCGGCCAAGACGGACGACTCCATCTCGATGTTGCGGACACCGGCCGCGTGGGCTGCCTGCAGGTACTCCTGCTTGTCCTGCTCCGTGAAGCAGCAGATGGCCCCGTCCAGGCGGCTTTGCCCTGAGGATAGAAGGGCCCAGGCTCACCCACCGTGCGCCACCCACCGGGCACAGCCCACCCGCGAGCATCAATCACACGGTCCTGGGAAGCGCTCGGGAGAAAGGAGGCAGGGCCCAGCCCGCAGGCACCTTCGTAGAAGTCCAAGGTGCACATGGTGTTGCCCACGACCGTGGGGAACTCGTCCAGGTCGGCAGAACACTGCATCAGCTCCCGCACCAGCTGCGCATCCAGGTCTGTGCCGCGGACCACCCGCTTCCCCAGGATCATCTGCTCGAACTGCGGCTGAAAGGTGGCGTCCACCGCCTGCTGGGTGAGGACCACAGTGCCGGGCTCCAGCCCTGCAGGGAGAAGCAGCGCCACGCGCCCAGGTGGATGGAGGTGCAGCGGGCGGGCGCAGGGGCACAGCCCATCTGCACCCCAAGACGCCGAGCGTCCTGGAGAGGACGGGTGAGGACCCACTTCCCCCACCAAAGGCGGTGTGTGCTGCTTTTACTCCGATCGTAGAGGGAACTCATGCACTGCGGGGAACCGGGCAGGAAAGGGCTGAGGTGCAGCGACGGCCAGGAGCCTCCCCTCCCGAGAGACGCGTGGGGCTCAGTTGTTTCCCCGTGGGGCACGCGGTCCCAGACGCATTCCACGGGTCCCTGCGCTGTACTGTCATCGAGCGGATTCCAAGCCCGTGCGGAAGTAGGCCAGAGCCACGGAATGAACCGCGAGCACCTACGCCCAGCGCCGACCCTGACCGACGGCTTCCTCCAGGACGGAGGACGCTCACCAACTCCGCCTTCTACCCCTCGCGTCCCGACTTCCCCGCAGGTCTACAAGGCACCCCGACCCTTGCAGGGAGAGGGGAGGCAGAGGAAGGAGAGGTGGAGAAGAGGGTCCGGACAGCTAGCGAGAACCAGCTGCATGGGGGGCAGGGGGGGGGCTGGACCAGGATAACCAACCAGCTTCCTCCCAGCCTCCTGCTGGGGAGCCCCTGGAGTGAAGCCCGGGGAAGCCCCGGCGCCCACGCCTGCCCACACGGGGCACACAGGGGCTGGGTCCTTGCCCCCACACCACCCGCCGAGGCCCGCACCACTCACCTATGCCGCCGGACGTGCCGATGCGGATGATGCTGACGCCGGAGCAGCGGGCATGGTACAGCAGCTTGAGGAGCTCGTGCAGCATGATGGCCATGGAGGGGACGCCCATGCCGTGCTGGGCCGGGGGGACACGCAGTGTTACCCAGCGGCCGCCCGGGCCTGGGCCCGGCCCTCCCACGGGGGCCACAGAACAGGAACTTCAGCACGTGAACTTAGCAGCTGTGACACGGCGGGAAGCCTGCCGCGTTCAAAACTGTCCCCGTTTGGTCCACGCATCTGTGACACGGCCCGAGGCCTGGGCTGGCAGGGCAGCGGCCACCGCTGGGTGACAGCCAGCCTGGCACAGGTGCCCGTCCCATGCACACCGGCCGGCTTCTCTCTTCTCACTTGCCCTCCCCACTCTCTGCTCAGCACACTGACCGGTCTCTCCGCTGAGGGACACCTCCTCGGTCCTGTGTCTCCTCCTCCGTGGCCCTCCCCACCTCCTCCAGGAGGCCCCGGTGTCCTCACGCGAGGCCCTGGCCCAGCCTGGACCCCTGCCGAGCATGCACACTGGGTGTGTCGGCACCTCTGTCCTGGGGTCTCCTGGATCCTGGCCCCTGTCTCTGCAGCCCAGGTGCGGGCTCACCATGCTCCCACCCCGACCGGTGTTGAGGGGACCGGGCCTGTGCGCGGGGGCGGGGACCTGCTGAGCGAGGACTGGCAGGTACTCACGCTGACAGACAGCACGGGCCCCGCTTTGAACATGGCATAGCGGTCGGTCCCCACGCAGATGTTGGGACAGTCCCCGCCCGGGAGGTCGAGGCCCAGCTCCGTGGCCACATACTTGATGAAGGCTTTCATCCGGGAGGGGCTGCCCCCAACACACACGAACTGTGGACAGAGAATGGAGCCCATCAGCATGGGGGCAGCCCGCAGTCTGCAGAGCAGGGGCCCCCACCAGCACCACGTACGCCTCCTAGAACTTGCAAGAAATGCCAGTTCCCTGGACGAACCAGGTTGGGGAGCCCTCCTGGTTTTCGGGAGGACCTGGCTCGTGGAATCACCACTCGGGCAGGAGGCCCTGCTCTGCAAAGCCCCGGGCCCCGCAGGACGCAGGGGCCCAGGCCTGCCAGCCTCTGTCCAGCAGCCGACGGCAGCTCACTGCACGGGGAGCCCGGGGAAGAAGACGCAGCAGGCTCCACGCTGTGGGACCAGGGCCCACGGCCCACCTCTCCCCAGCCGTCCAAGCACCAAATGGCCAACACAGGGGACGCACCAGGGGCCCAAGGGGACACAGAGTGTGGTCGCCATGGTGGGGTGCAGGAGCTCAGAGAACTACACTCTTTCATCTGCAAAGCAGTGTATATAAAAACTTACTTTTCACTTGGTTTTACACAAGAAAAGCAAATAAATACGCCAGTGTAAGGGAGTTGGATGATCGGGGGAATTAGTCTCTAAAAGGAAAAGAAAAGTAACCTTGACGGAAGAACAAAAACTGAGTACATGGGGAACACATGGGAAGTGTTGAAAGCAAAACCGCAGAAGGAGAGAGACTGGGGGTTGAGGGACCCAGCTCCTCAGCAATACGATGAGTCCTCGAAGCAGCAACATAGTCTCACAAAGCTGACGGGTTCCGTTTGAATTGTAAACTTCAGTCCATTTTTACCCCCAGGGATTAGACATTTCAAAAGTCCTGTGTGCCCGGTCGGTGTGGCTCAGTGGACCGAGCGTCATCCTATGGACAGAGAGGTCCTGGTTCGATTCAGGTCAGGGCACATGCCCCGGTTGTGGGCTCAATCGCCAATAGGGGGCGTGCAGGAGGCAGCCGATCGATGTTCTCTCATTGATGTTTCTCTCTCTTTCCCTTCCTCCCTCTCTAAAAGAGATCAATGATGACCTATTTAAAAGTCCTGTGCCAGGATAAGTCAGAATTGAGACCGTAAGACTTGTTAGGGGACGTGGACTGGAGGCCACACTCAGGTAAGGAAACCGTTAGAGGCAATGAACCCATCAGTACCGATGTGTGTTCCTTAGCAACCACTCACCGTGCCATCACTCATACTTAGTCCCCTGGCTCCCTGGACACCATGACCGCCCCCCTCTGTGTCCTCGCAGCAGACCATTAGGAAACGGACTTCCACCGGTTCCACCACACACCCAGCGTGTGAGAAATCAGAGGGACCCACCCGGCAGTGCGTATGAGTTTTCTTTTACTCACTGGTCCGTATACTTGAAAAGTAGCAATTTGCAAAAATCTGATAACCCGCGCACTTCTTGAACTTGTCCTGTGACCTTGGCCCTCTGGGAGGGAGTCTGCTCGGGCCCCCGACGAGGGCTGACCAACGAGGGCTGACAAGTCCCCAGGACGGAAGCCCTGCTTCTTACCTTCACGTCCCCAAACATGGCCGGGAAGTCGTGGGTGCTGGTGCTGAGGTTGAAGTGGTACAGGATGTCCTCCTTCATGGCCGCTATGTTTGGGTTACACAGCTGGACGAGGCGGTCACTGTTCCCAGTCGGAAAAGCAGGTTAGCAGAGCGGCAGCGCCCGGTGGCCAACGTGATGGCAAAGGGCCCCATGTCGGTGTGCGATGCGTGGTGGGAAGACCGGCCACCCCCGCTTCGAGGCTCCCACCTCTTACCTGCCGTCTTCCCCTTCTCCTCACTCCCCCTCCCCACTCCCAGGGTGCTGTTTGGAGGACGGATCCAAAACTACTGAAGGAATCCAAAAAGGACAAGATCGAAGGCTCAATCATATATAAGAGCATAGCCAGTTGCTACCCAACTCACAAACTTTACTTTATTTTTAAAATAATGCATTCAGCCCGGCCAGTGTGGCCCAGTGGACTGAGCACTGTCCCATGGACTGAGAGGTCCCTGCTGGATTCCAGGTCAGGACACATGCCCAGGTTTCTGGCTCAATCCCCAGTAGGGGGCGTGCAGAAGGCAGCCTATTGATGTTTCTCTCTCTCTCGCTCTTCCTCTCTCTCTAAAAAAAAACAATTAAAAAAAATATACATTTTTGCCCTGGCCAGTATGGCTAAGTGGTTAGAGCGTCAGCCCGCAGACCAGAGAGACCCAGGTTTGGTTCCCAATAAGGGCAGGTACCTTGGTTGCAGGTCATCCCCGGCCCCGGTTGGGGTCGTGTGGGTGGCAACCACTCAATGTGTCTCTCTCACATCGATGTTTCTCTCTCTCTCTTCCTCCCTCTCTCCCTCCTGCTCTATCTGAAGATGAATGCAAAAAAAAAAAAAAAAAAAAAAAAATGTCCTCAGGTGAGGATAATAATATATATATACACACACATATATACATTTTTAAAAATAAAGTAAAATAACCCATTCAGCATGGACAGAAATAGAATGAAAACATTGCCAAGACATGACGTGTTTGGGGTTTTGCAAACCATCGGACCTTTGCCTCAACTGGTCAGTTCTGCCACTGTCCCAGGAAAGGGACCACAGACAACACTTAAATGGGCGTGGTTGTTCCAATGAGATGTTACTTACAAAACAGACCTGTTCCAGGTCTAAAGTGTATCTTCACCTGGAAAATCCCTTAGCGTGAACCCTTAACACACCTCCTTCCACACCTGTGCCTCCCTGACGCCCACAGACAGGTGTGCTCCCCCAAACCCGGTGCCACAGAGGGAGGTAGACATGGACCCCTGGGACTTGGAAATCCTACTCCAGGACTTGCCACGGGCTGGCCCTCACACCCTCGCCTGCGAAACCCGGGCAGGCAGGACCGTACGTCACAGGCCTCCCTGTCCCATCTGGGAGACGCTGCGCGGTGACGCGGGTCCCTAAGGCAGTAGCCTCTTCGTAGGGGTCCCCGTGTTCAAATCTAACTAAAAATGCACATTTTCCTACCAAACGTAAGTTCTGGACAACTACAATGCCAATTTTTTGTTTCTATTCCTTATCTTTGCTTCAGGCAGGATAACAGGGATTCTCTCCCAGGAGAACAAGTTATGTGTAGACGCTTAGTAACAAGACACGTTACCACTGAGCCCCTTCTCTGCACCAGACACTGTTACGATATGTATATGACAAATGTGATCTGGTCAGTGATCTCCAGGAATAAAAGTCCTCACGGTCACGACCAGGTCTGACTCACCCGCGAACCCCTGTAGCACACGCAGACACGCAAACAGGCCACATGCAAAGCACAGGGCCCTGCTTCATCCCTCCTAGCACCGTGTCTGTCTTACGTACCATTGTATCCACTCCCGGTTTATCCTATCTATCATTGTGTCTATGTCCTGGGCTACCCAACCTGTTTGTCATTTTACCCACCCCTGGTCTATCTATTTGTCATTTTGTCCATCCCTGGTCTATGTATCTGTCTTTTCATCCATCCCTGGTTTATCGGTCATTTCATCCAAACCTGGTCTGTCTCATGTCACCGATCCAGCCTGTCCTGCCTCCTCTGCCATCTGGCTTGTGCATCAAGAGCACACACCAGGCCCTGGCCGGTTTGGCTCAGCGGTTAGAGCGTCCGCCTGCGGTCCGGAGAGACCCGGGTTCGGTTCCCGCTAAGGGCATGTACCTTGGTTGCAGTTTGTCCCCGGCCCTGGTTGGTCGTGTGGGTGGCAGCCACTCGATGTGTCCCTTTCACGTCGATGTTTCCCTCTCTCTCTCTTCCTCTCTCTCCCTCCCACTCTGTCTGTACAAAAAATGGAAAAATGTCCTCGGATGAGGATAAAAAAAAAAAAAGAGCTCACACCAGGCTCCCAGCCCACGCTCCCCTCCCATCTCCCTAGAATGGTGTCCGCGCTGACTCACACCTGCACGTCGTCAGGTGCCGACGCAGAAAAGCTGAGCACAGAACACTAAAGAGAAACAGAAAGGTCTTCTCAGAAAAGGGAACACGCTGTCTGACTGCCGTGGGCAGGTGTGAGACTCAGACACCTGTGGGCCCATCCCGGTCGTCACAGACGGTGCTGACTGCACCCAGTCAGGAAGGGCAGGTCACCGCCCAAGGCCCAGAGCCACCTGTCTGCCCCGTCCCCTGACCAGGCTCCCTGGTCTCCAGATTCAGGGCGTGTTTCACCCTCCTGGGGCAGGGCAGAAACTTCCAAGGGGCCAAGCCCCGGCGGGTGTGACTAGGACCATTGCTGGTCTCCTTAGGCCCAGCAGAAATTCTGACTTCACACCACAAGCACAGCACCCTGGGCCCTCAGTGACCGTGTCAAGGTGACTACAGTCCTGCACCGGGAGCTCGGGGTGCTGTGCCCCAGGAGCTCTAGCAGAAGGGCCCGGCCAACCTCGAAACTGGCGCAACAGGATGTGACCCCAGCAGTGTGGTCACAGGTTGCAACAGAAAACCTCCCCCTTCTCCTTGGTTCCGAGAAGAGGAGATGGAGGGGACTCGGACCACAATGTCCTGGAACAAGCCCCAACGTTCCTCATAAAGGGTTTTTAAAATGACAAGTCAAGGATTATGAGAAACTACAAAGAAATCAGGAAAGTGTTGAAGATTCAGCCCCAAGAAAGAGCTGAGGACAAGCAGGGCCTGAGGTTCAGACGTGTCCGGGTGTCAGATGAAGTCCACGGGACTTGGAGCCGAGCACTGAGCACCTGGTCCCCGAGACCAGGCCCAGACGGGACCCGACCAGCCCTCGGCCCAGGCAGGAGCCCCCCCCCCCCCCAGCCCTCAGTCCCCGGCCTGTCCTGGGCAGCAGCGTGCTCACAGGGTCGGCTCCCACAAACAACCCAGACACCAGCCCGGCGGAGCTCACCTGCGGTCTCCCTTCTGCTCTGCTCTGTTCCCAGGGAGGGCCATCTCTCAGCCGGGGCAGGACCCTGGGGAAACAGCACAGTGGGAAACGGTCAACTGAGCCACACGAACAACTTCTAGAGTCTGAGCACCAATCAATTCAAACTGGAAGTGGTGAGGAGCACAGGCGGGGGACCCCGGGGAACCCTCAGCTGCAGACAGCCCAGTGCTGGCCAGGGGCGGGCAGGCCTGTCTCCAGGACACGCACATCCCTCCCAAGGTGTGACGCCTGAGTGCCAGGGTCCAGCCTCGCCCGCTGAGCAGGAGGCTGGGCTTTGGCAAAGGTGTCAGTTCTCCCAGAAGGTCCGTCTGGACAAAGGGTACACGCAGTGTCATGGCCGTCAGCCCACTCGGCTCGAATCAGACTTTTGAAAGGCAGAGATTGAAATCAACACTTCCACCGGGACGGGACTCTGTCCAGCGGTCCTCTGCCTGCCTGAGGTCCCCTGTGGCTTGAGTCCTGGCTTCTCTCAGGGGTTGGTTTTCAAATCTTCTGGGCTCCTCGTTCCCACCTGCCCTGACCCCCCACCTGGCCCATCTCATCTGCTTCATAACAGGACGCGGGCTTGGTCTCCCCAAGGGGAGATGCCCGGTGCTGGGACCATGTGCCTCTGGCCGAATATCGCGCCGTAGCCCTTGCCAAGCAAATGAGTGTCCTTGTCTGCAGCCTGAAGCTGTTGGAACCCTGCCCTTCGCCTTTCTGTGGAGGCTCCCTGCCTGACGAACTCTCTGGCCACCGGCTCAGCCTCAAGGCCTTACCCTCACCGAGGTGGGTCCTGAGGTCACCTCACTGATAGCGAGAGACACCTGTTATCAGGGAGTTGGAAGAGTTTTAGGAGCTCTGCTAGGACGGGAAGACCACACACGCACGTAACCCAGCATCGAGACCCTCCCTGCCCGCCAGCCCTTGGCCAGCCTGTGAGAGCGGCCCTGGGGTTCGGGGGGGGCCCCCTCTTACAGCCCACTGGCTTCCTCAGCTCCCCTGCTGGACCCAGAGGCTGGCGTTTCCAGAGAAGTGTAGTGAAAAGGAGGAGCCTCTGCTGGGAGCACCTGGACGCCCATGCCTGTCGCCAGATCCGACTTGTTAAAACAGAAAGACTCAGTCAGTTTCTGTTGTTTCGTCGTAACTGACAGGAAAAATTCGGAGACGCTGTCCCTCAGAATCACAGCAGCCGAAGAGGGAGAGAAGGCGAACGGGTAGCCGGACAAGAGCCCTGGACCACTCTGATGAAAGACAGCTCACAGCCCGGTGGCCATTTCTCTGATTATCCAGAAGAGAGCACAGCCAGGCACCGCTGAGCCCAGGAGCCTCCTCTCTGGTTCCCATGGGAGCTTTAGGGGCGCTGCTGGGCCCACCCCAGCACTGGGCTGTTTCACCTCCCCTCCCCTTAGTCTATTGTTGCTGGAACTCCTTTCAGAATCAATTCCATTCCCCACCCCCCTCCCGTGTACAAAAAACACTCGCAAAACTCCAGGACGATGGACAAGGTCTTCCTAGGACCGTGCACTGAGGGTTCGGGCTCCAGGCCACAAGACCCCTCTCCTTGTGTGGCTAACGACAGCCTGATAACCACTTTTCAAAAGACTTGCGGCCGGGCCGGTGTGGCTGTGGACTGAGCGTCGTCCCATGGACTGAGAGGTCCTGGGTCCATGCCCTGCCAGGGCAGGTGCCCGTGTTGCAGGGGCATGCAGGAGACAGCCGATCCATGCTTCTAGCTCTCTCCCCCTTCCTCCCCCTCTAAACAATAAAATAAATTAAAATAAAATTAAAAAAAAAAGACTTTCAGACATGGAAGGTAAACACTTTTGTTTAACATCACCCATTACAGTAAAAATCAGACAGGCAAACGCCTTTGTGTAAATAGTACATATTTCCCATGAAAGAGCGCCCAGCCTCAGAAATCGTCTTGTAGGTCTGTTGGAGCCAATGAGGACAATTGCCAGGGAGGACGACCTCAGTGGGTGGGAAACGGCTCCGGAGCACAGCAGGCTCGCAGCCCGTCTTGTACACTGAGACCACTCTTAGTTAGAAAGATTCCATCTCACACCATCCCACACGGGCACTTTGGTTTGAGTCCCCAGGGCCCGCCATGCAGGCCTCGCCTCAGCTTGTCAGGGTTAATGCATGGCCGCGTTTTCATCCACAGTATATAAATGTGTTGTTTTTTTATTTTTCTCTTTATTGATTTTTTTTTAGAGAGAGAGAAAGAGAAGGAGAGATAGAAACATCAATGGGAGAGAACATGGATCGGCTGCCTCCTGCATGCCCCCCACTGGGGATCGGGCACACAACCTGGGCATGTGCCCTGACTGGGAATCAGACCGGCGACCTCTTGGTGCAGGGTCGATGCTCAACCACTGAGCCACACTGGCTGGGCCACAATATATAAATATTTATAATATATTTTGAATGAACATACTACATATTCCAACTGTGTGTGTAAGAGAGAGAGAAGGAGAATGTTTACCTTTAGGGAGTAACAGAAGCTGAAAGTTTCATTTTGTTACCTTTTTTTTTACAATAAGATTTTACAAGGAGTATTAACTTTACAGTCAGCAAAAACAAACAAACAAAAAGTCCACTTGGACAAAGATCAATGTTAAGAAAAATTAATGTATCCTTTTTAACTGAAACGTGCTAAACATACAGGAACAAGAATAAACTCTGTGCGCAGTAACCCGGTGCTGCAGTAAAGCCAGTGACAAGTGGCTCCCACCCGGAAAGAATGGAAAGAATGGTCGCTTCAGCCTCAGAAGAGGGGAAACCGGTGGAGGCTGACCTGGAGGCTGACCGGAACTCTGGAAGGATGGGCTGGGCGTGGGAGCCCAGGTTAAGACATTGTTGCAATTCGAGGAAATCACAAATCTTTTTAAAGCCAAGCACACAGCAACGAATGGAACTAAAGGTCTCTTTAGCCCAGAAGACACCAATGGGAAGGGGGTTAATGAGCCAAGGAGCGCCCGCGGGCAGGGTGGGGGTGGGGTGGCCAAAGAAGGTCTTTTAAGGACAGAGACAATCCCCAGGAGCGCGCAGGGAGTGGTCGAGGTCTCCGAGTCCTGCAACGCCTCCAGGGAAGGCCATGCCCACTTGGCATTTCAGACTGGGTTTCTCGGAAGTGTGATGGGCGGAGCCGCCCTCCAGCAAGGGGGGCTCAAGTCAGGCCGGTGGAAGCCTGCGGACCTGGAAGGCCCAACCCTGGCCTTGGGGGAGTGATCTGGGGACAGCCAGACAGGATCCTCCAGGTCCAAGGCCAGCCTGACACACACAAGAGCGTAAAAGGACTCACTTCCCGTAAAGGTTACCGTTGGGTCTTATCATTGATGACAGTGAAGTTTCTCTTTTGTGCTGCCGGTATTTTGTGCTGTGCCCTTGTTAACCGCTGGCTCGACACAGCCTTGAGTCCGTTGGAACTCCGCTGGCTTGCTAACAGCCATTGTCCAAATGAACGAGACTTTCCACACGAAAGGGGGAGTTCTAGGTGTTCGCCCACCCCTTCCCCCTGGTCCTGCAAAGCGCAGTGGGGGGCTTTCCGCCGGAGCGCAGCCTGCCAGCATCGCAGGGTGGCCCAGGACGCCTGGGAGGCCGCTGTGGGCAGACGCGAGGAAGCCCACCCAGCTCCCCGCGCACCCTGCTCCCCGCGCACCCTCCTCATGGGGCGTCCCCCCGCGTGCCCTCCCCCGCGCACCCTCCTCATGGGGCGTCCCCCCGCGTGCCCTCCCCCGCGCACCCTGCTCCCCGCGCACCCTCCTCATGGGGCGTCCCCCCGCGTGCCCTCCCCCGCGCACCCTGCTCCCCGCGCACCCTCCTCATGGGGCGTCCCCCCGCGTGCCCTGCCCCGCGCACCCTCCTCATGGGGCGTCCCCCCGCGTGCCCTGCCCCGCGCACCCTCCTCATGGGGCGTCCCCCCGCGTGCCCTCCCCCGCGCACCCTGCTCCCCGCGCACCCTCCTCATGGGGCGTCCCCCCGCGTGCCCTGCCCCGCGCACCCTCCTCATGGGGCGTCCCCCCGCGTGCCCTCCCCCGCGCACCCTGCTCCCCGCGCACCCTCCTCATGGGGCGTCCCCCCGCGTGCCCTGCCCCGCGCACCCTCCTCATGGGGCGTCCCCCCGCGTGCCCTCCCCCGCGCACCCTGCTCATGGGGAGTCCCCCAGCGTGCCCTCTTCCTTCGACGTGCAACACCTCCAGCAAATAGCCGAGGTCCACACGAACCCGAGTCACCTCGGCCGTAAATCAGTGGCTCCCCAAAACGGGACCCTGGCCAAGGACCACTCACCGCGCACGAGCTGCTACACCTGCCGCGCCAGCCACGCGCGCGCCGCGGGCGCCAAACACCTCGCACGGGCGGAGGAACCGTGACCCGCGGGTCTCGGGGGACGCGCGGGGACAGAGGCTGAGCGCCCGACTGGTCCCGGGGAGTCACCGCGAGCAAAGAGAACTTCCGCCCCGCCCGCTGGCCGCGCCCCCGCCCGCCCCGCCCGCTTTGGTTTCCTCCCCGGAGCGCGGTGGGAAGGACCCGCAACTCACTGAGCCGCGCGCACCGCCTGGAAACCTGTCGCCCACCGTCCTCCTCCACAGCTGACGGCAGGGACACTTGGGAGGGGGTCGCCCGCCGCCACCGGTCTGGAGGTGCCCCGCCCGAGCGCGACGGGACCGGCCAGAGAGAGAGCGCGGAGCTGGCCCCGGGAGGGGTCAGGAAGGGGGGCTGGACCATGTCCGCCAGGGTCAGCTCAGGGTCCGGCCTCAGTATCCCATTTGGGGTGTGATTCTGGGACCTTCCTGTCCCGAAGCGTCCAGTGGCTGGGGGACAGCGGGGGAGGAAGTGACTCATCCACTCAGTCCTGCGGAGACCGCGGCCCCGCCCAGTCCGCCCGGGACACGCAGGCGCGGGGGGCGCCCAGCCTGCGACCCTGGAAGGCGAGGGCGGTGGCCCCGCACCTCGGGCACGTTCAGGAGTCCCTCTCTTCCGTTTCCAAAGGCTGCCCGTGAACCGGAAAATCAACTACTGAGGAGTGTTTGCCAAGTGAAAACTTTTTCAATGTGACGGACTGGAAACAAAATTGCGTCCGGCCACGTTTAAACCACACCTGAACCCCAGGCTCCCGACAGGCGCCTTCATGCAGCAGCTGGTGGGATGTGGCTCGGTGGATGGAGCGTCGCCCCGTGGACTGAGGGGTCCAGGTTCCATTCCTGGTCAGGGCACAGGCCCGGGGTGGAGGCTCCATCCGCAGGAGGGGGCGTGCAGGAGGCAGGCGATGGATCGCTTTCACGTGGATGTTTCTACCTCTCTTCCTCTCTCTAAACAATCAATAAAAACATATTAAAAAAAGAAAGAACATTTACTGAGATAATTGTATATAATTAACAGGTCTGACCAGCGGGAGGTCACATCCACAACGAAAGGTCAGTGCAGAGCCAAGTGGCTTTCCTGCACGCTCCTGGGTGCAGGTGGGCTAACCTCTTAAAAAGCCCAGCATCGAAATCTTTGTTCTTGGGTTTTTATAGGCCCGAACTACAGAAACTAAAAAAAAAAAAACTACATTAAAAAAAAACAACCCACACTCTCTTGGCACCAGGTAATTGGTGTCGGGGCTGATACAAGCTGTCTCAGAGGTAAGGAGTCTGCTGCGGCCGAGGTCAGGGCCATCATTAATCTTCTTTATGGTCCCTCCGAGTTCCCCAAGGCCATCATTACCCCTTATCTTCATGGTTCCTCTGGGTGTCAGTCCCACGTGTTTTAGAAAACTACTCGGGTGTTTACGTGCAGGAATAACTGGTCAGAGTGGAGTTTGATTTTGTTAAAACATTATTAACCCTTTCAATAATGAAGTTTGCTATAGTCCTCCCAAATTCATATGTTGAAGTCATAACCCCCAAGGTGATGGTGTTAGGAAGTGGGCCTTTGGGGGTAAGTAGGTCATGAGAGTGGAGCCCCCATGATAGGATTAGTGCCCTTATAACAGAGACCCCAGAGAGCCCCTCACCTCTTCCACCATGTTAATCCTCAACCACGGATATTTTTTCCATCAATTTTTTTTTAGAATGGAAGGGAGGGGGGAAGGGGGAAGGGGGAAGGTAGGGGTAGAGAGAGAGAAACCTCAATGTGAGAGACACATTGGTTGCCTCCCACACAAGCCCCGAGCAGGGCTGGGGATTGAACCTATAACCAGGTGACCACAGCATGCGGCCAGCGGCATCTCTGACCTCGGAGGTGAACACGCTGGCTGCAGGCATCCTTCTGGTGCCCGGGCCACTTGTATATGTTCTGGTGGGTAAAGTCTGAGTCATAGTGTGTGTGACACCGAGGTACCTGCCTCCCACAGATGGGGCAGGAAGTTGTTCCCCTCCTTTCTGTCTCATGAGCAATCAAAACACTGGCTGTGGCCACTGCGTGGGCTCGTGGCCTGATGTGGGGCTTGTGGCTGTTCGGAGTGGGAAAGAAACAAACTAAAGCACACTGTCTGGGATTTACAATACAAACGTGTCCTGTTTAAAAAACAAAGCAGAAAGCAAATTTCAGAAGGCGGGGCAGAGCTGGGCCATTCAGTCCCTGCTTGCTGTTTGAAATTACGAGGGTTTGCCTTGAACTCATTAGGTGCGCAGAATTAGGTTCCATTCTTTCGCTCTTATTTTGTAAATTGAAAAATAGAAAACAAAACTTCCAGTCATGTTCTGGGCGTCGCCGGTTGTGAACTTGGATGCGGTCTAGACCCAGCTGGGAGTTCCCGCTGAGGCATTTGGAAGATGAGCCGTTGTAAACAGCTACTTTTGGAAAGGCGATCGTTCTGAATAACCGTGACACTGGGTCCTCAAGGACCTTCGGAGCAGGACGAGGGTTCCCAAGGCAGGACATCCTACGCACGGGGGTTTTCTGGTTCCTGAGGGCAGTCTGCCCACCTGACCTCCTGCCCGGCCAGCCCGCGGTTGTGTGAACCGGCTCCCTGAAAACGGCCTAAGTTATTTACACCGAAGACATGACCTCAGTGCTGACTTCCTCCTCCTCCTGCTCACACGAGTCAGCTCGGGCACCCAAGGTCAAACCGCTCACACACACTCTCCCTGGAGCGCTGGAGGCGGGAAGTCCCAGAAAGGTGCCCCCTGACTGGCTGTGGTGAGGGACCCAGCAGCTTGTTCCTCACCTTCAGGTGCCCCCTGCGTCCTCCCGGGTCGGAGAGCGCACTCGGGTGTCTCCTCTCGGGACACTGATCTCTGGGCCCCACCCCATGACCTCACTCACCCTAACTGCCTCAGGAAGGCCCTGCCTCCTCACACCACCCCACTGGGGACTAGGGTTCCGACACGTGAATTTGGGTGGGGTCCCAAATACACAGCCCGTGGCAGACGGGGTACAAAGGCTGTGCTGGTAAGAACAGTGATGAACTCACTGGTTTTTAGTTTTAGTTTTTAATCCTTACCCAAGGGTATTTTTCCATTTATCTTCAGATAGAGTAGGAGGGAGGGAGAGACATTGATGTGAGAGGGACACACTGATTGGCTGCCTCCCGCCACATCCCAACCAGGGCAGGGATCGAACCCAGTGGAGGTACGTGCCCCTGACCAAAATCCGAACCCACGACTTTGATCTGCAGGCCGATGTTCCAACTGCTGAGCCAAACCAGCCAGGGCAGCCCGAGCCGGTTTGGCTCAGTGGTTGGAGCGTCGGCCTGCAGACCAGAGAGTCCTGGGTTCGGTTCCTGCTAGGGGCATGTCCAAAAATAAAATAAAACAAACAAACAAACTGGTCAGGGCAACTCCTGGTTTTGAAATGTATGCATGCAGTATCTTTCTATTGTGTGTGGCCCCATGTTTTGAACATTTATTTTCTTCTGCTTATTTCTCTTCTGTCCTGTGTATTCTATGCCCCCCCCCCGCCCCCGCCACACACACACACCCTGCCCTGTGACAGAGGCGTCCAGGCAGGGTTCTCTCGGGTCCTGTGCCGGGGCCCTCAGCCTCTCGGACACGTTCAGTCTGAGGGAGAACTCTCCTCAGGTGGCTTCCAGTGCGTGTGTGTCACGGGGCGTAAGGGGGGTTCAGAGTCGGGAAACCGGGAGGGGGCAGAACACAGGTCCTCACTTCCAACGCTCTTGCTCCCCAAACCCCAGGGGTCTTGGACTCTAATGACCCCAAAGAGAATTAGAGAGTTGTACGTTACGATATCTGATCCCCGGGATTTTTCTTAGGGCAGGGATGTCAGAAAGCGAGGCTGGAACTGAGTGGGGGAAGGAGAGGAAAAAAAGAGGAGAACACGCGTCTGCACTGCTGACACACTGTTGCCATCCGCCCCGCACCCACAGCCCCCCCACCCTCCCCGCACACTCCCAGTGAGGTCAGTGTGCTCAGCACGGGTACCCCCATCCGTCCGCACCCACACCTCCCCCCCCCCGCACACTCCCAGTGACGGCAGTGTGCTCAGCACGGGTACCCCCATCCCTCCCGCACGCACTCACCCCCCCCCCCCCGCACACTCCCAGTGACGTCATGTGCTCAGCACAGGTACCGCCATCCGTCCCGCACCCACACCTCCCCCCCCACACACACATTCCCAGTGACGTCATGTGCTCAGCACGGGTACCGCCATCCGTTTCGCACGCACACACACACCACCCCCCCCCCCGCACACTCCCAGTGACGTCATGTGCTCCGCACGGGTACCGCCATCCATCCCGCACCCACACCTCCCCCCCCACACACACATTCCCAGTGACGTCAGTGTGCTCAGCACGGGTACCCCCATCCGTCCCGCACCCACACCCACCCACCCACCCACTCCCAGTGACGTCATGTGCTCAGCACGGGTACCGCCATCCGTCCCGCACGCACACCTCCCCCCCCCCCCCCGCACACTCCCAGTGACGTCAGTGTGCTCAGCATGGGTACCGCCATCCATCCCGCACCCACACCTTCCCCCCACACACACACACACTCCCAGTGACGTCAGTGTGCTCAGCACGGGTACCATGCTCACTAACGCAGCTCATTGCAAAGCTGATTAGAAACCTCTGAACACTGGTGAGCGAGGGCATAAGTTTACTCTAGGAGAGAAGCTGAAACACCTGTGACCTTATTTGGCTTCCCTGCCATCTGCCACCAGGAAATTATTTTACTAACGAATCGACTGTACAAAACATAAAGATGCTGAACACATACAATCAGTAACAACATCTATCGAACAAGAGAGTCTGGTCAGATGATTAAAGACGTTTTGTGAAGACTGCCGTCTCTGGGTCTGCCGTCTCTGGGTCTGCCGTCTCTGGGTCTGCCGGGATCGGTGCATCGCAGCAAACTACAAGCACAGGCTGATTGGAGAGGGAGCTTTGCAGGGGAGCAAAAGCTCCGGATCTTTGGACCAGTCCCATTTAGGGGACCTTCCTGCCCTCCAGTCAAACCTGTCTGTCCACACACACTTTGATCCTAGGCTGGCCAGGTTGCGAAAACGCATATCACAAGGTTACAAATCAATCGCCCATCCACCAACCCCCCATCCCCACAACTACTACCAAATTAAATACTAAACCTGAACATATTTTTTTTACTTAAAGGATAAAATACAACAAATGTTTAATATTATAGACTCTGGTTTATTTTTTTGCAATTAGCAAAAATTTTAAAATAGCAAACACTGCAATGTTTTTATACTAAATGTTTAAAACGTCAAGGCCTAATAAATTCATCTTTTTCTTAGTATAAAGTGGATCACAATATGCTGTCGTTTTTCCACAGAGAAACCACCTCTGCAGAGATTACGGTCGTGGGAAAGGCCGTGAGTGTCTTCAGGGCAGAGTCTGAACGGCAGACGTCAGTGAGAATGTCGGCGAGGCCACTTCCCAACACCCCAGGGAGACGCAGGAGGCAGAACCGGGCCTTTCACCACCTACGCGATGGTGACATCAAGCCTGCTCTAAGACAGCCGATTTCACCAGAATCTACGTTCAGGAAGCACGACAGGAGCCTATAAATACAGCTGCGGGGCAGGTGGTCACAGCAGCCATGGGGAGGTGATGCTCACGCACCGATCGGGGTCACTTGAGTTCTGCAGGTGTCGGTGTGGACGGAGATGCTGCTGGACCTGCAGAGCAGAGCACAGCAGTGAGTGGGCAGGAAAGAGACACCTACAGTGATGTGTTTACAAACCGAAACACGTAGCCAAGCATTTTAAATAAAGGGAAAGCCGTGCTTCTATATCTATCTATAAGAATATTCCTGGAGTCTACATGAAACTCCAGCACAGTCGGATCCAAAGGCACAGGTCTCGCGTGGGGAACATCTCCAGCTTGTGCTCCGGAGGACAAGGGCAGGGTGAGAAGGTACTGAACGAACAGTGTGAGCACAGCTGAAGCCAGGCCCTGGGCGGGAGGGAGGTGACACTCTAGGGAGTCCCCTGGCTTCCCAGCCCCGAGGACACGGTGGCTCTGGCCCCTGCATGCCGAGGCCTCGAACCTGCTCAGAGCGACCCTTTCCAGGCACGGGGCTGTGCTGGGCGCACCTGCGCCAGCGCTCCGGCACACGCCTACAATGGCTGAGAACATCGCAATCAGGACGAAAACAGTAATAGTCCCGTGTCTCATGGAGGAAAAGAAACATAACAAGAAGCCGGGATGAGGTCCGGAATGTTCAGCAACAGCCTCTCAGTGGCTCCCCGTGGGAAGGAACAGGCGTGCCCCCGACGGCGATCGGGGCTTATCGAGTAGAAGCCAGGACGGCCAGCAGGTGAACAGGAAACAGAGGAGGAGTGTGTGGCCACCATTAGTCTAGGGGCAGAAATTCCGGTGAGGGTGGGAGCCTGAATTTTTGTGGTGACACCTCAGCTCCCTGGCAGACACTCAAGTGGGTCTACTCAACCCACTGAGGAGAGCTCCCTCCCCATCACAGGGCTTCTCTGCTTGCTTCATCCTGCATTCGTTTTGAATGGCTACAGTGTTGCTCTGAGATTAAGCAGGTCTTGCTACTTTAGGGACACCGATTGCGTGGCATGTGCCATGATTGATTTCTGATAGAAAGTTGGTAAGTTTACAGGATGTTAAATGATACTTCCTGAATGAGGTCATATAATTTGTCAATGGAGAAGTGATCCTATCTATGTGAGACCATGCACAGAAATAATGCAAAAATGCTAAGGGGTCCTGTGCAGGGGAGCCCCGGGCCTCAGCCTGGCCCTTCCTGAAGCCCACACCCCTCACGGTGCGTGGCGCAGGGGGCACCGCTGAACTAAGCAGTGTTTCATTTTGTGCCATATACGTAAGTAAGACTGTATTCTTGTTGTCACCATGTGCATGCTCCTTCCCGTGCTGCCCCCAAACTGCGTGTCCAGAACTCAGATGCCCTGCCGGCGTCGCCCTCAGAACATGTGCGCTTTGGACAGGGGCGTCCCCAGCTGCCGCACAGCCCCCACTGCAGATGGAGGAGCTTCGTCCATGTCTCTGGGTGGGACATTTTGTATTTTGATGCAAATACAGTCTCTAGAAACACTCACTTGTTGAGGAAGACTCTGGAATAAAGAACAAGTACGTGGTTGTTCAATTTCATGAAACAGATCAACTTTTCAAAGAATCAGCACTTCTGATAATTACTTTAAACATCAGTAAAAGGTTATATTACTGAAAGCGATACGTCACAGGACAGAGCGACCCATTGTAAGTTCAAATGTGCACTTTTTAGAGCATCTGGTGGGACCCGGGCAGGTACCGATCAGGCAGTGGAGAGGGGGCGGGTGTCATCAATAGACTGGCCAAGCCTCGGGGGCCAGCATGGGCCAGGGCCCCACGGGCAGCCGGATGCCCCCTCACTGGGTGGGGGCGCTGCCACCAGAGCAAGGGGCTGGACGCAGAAAGGCCGGCAGTGCCCTGGCTGACCCAGCGAGCGGCACAGTTCAGACGGAGGGACAGGGCCTGTCTCCTCCCTCCTCAATCCGAGGAATGAGGCCTCAGAGGAACAAGGAGTTGCCTCCAGGCAAAGGGTCAGTGATTCCTGGAGCTACAGACAGGACACAAGGCACACTAGGCCTCCAGGCGGACACAGCCGAAAATAAGACCAATTCTACCCGGGACCGTGACTGCCAAGAATAAAGTCAACATAGTATTTTCAATATCTGATCACAGGAAAACTTGTACACCACTCAGAGTAACATCAAAGTGTGAGAAACACCGATAACGGAGCGATTTCCTGTTTGAACTGAGTTCTTTTCAGAGAACTGAGGGCCTTTGCGGAGACTCCCTCAGAGGGGAGCTGCCTGCGGAGTCCAAGCATCGCGGCTGAGGGCCCTCGGGACCCAAGAGATAAGCCAGATGTTAGCTGGTATGTTTTTTGTTTAGTGTACCAAGTATACATATTTTAGCAATTAAAAAGAAATGTAGCCCGGCCGGTGTGGCTCAGTGGAATGAAGTCGTCCCCTGGACTGAGGGGTCCCGGTTCGATTCCTGGTCAGGGCACATGCCCGGGTTGTGGGCTCGATTCCCAGTAGGGGGCGTGCAGGATGTTTCTCTCTCACATCGATATTTCTCTTTCCCTTCCTCTCTCTCTAAAAAAAAAAAAAAAAATGTATCGATAAAAATATATTTAAAAACAAAAAAAAAATGTAGCCCTGACCCATTTGGCTCAGTGGCTAGAGCGTCGCCCATGGACACTTCGTCACGGGTTTGATTCTCAGTCAAGGGCATGTACCTGGGTTGCAGGTTCGCTCCCTCTTTTCCACTCTCTCTAAAAATCAATGGAAAAATATCCTCGGGTGAGGATTAACAAAAAAGAGGACTATAAAGCCACAGAAATCACAACTTTGGCTATCCGTCTGAATAAAGAGGAAGAAAGCAGAACACGCTTCTGTGTGTACCTGCCACCTCAGCACCCCTGTGGTTCTGCAGATGGCTCTGAGGTGGAGCACGGGACACACACCAGGGGACGAGAGACAGTGCTGCCCTCTCAATGCACACAGCCTGTGGGCACGTGGCTGGCGGGGGACACTTCACCTTGGGCCTCGGCAGAGCCTTCCGGAACCTCCGGGTCTTCGCGCTGCTCAGCCTCCTGTCCCTCAAGGTCCTCGGCGGCCTGAGCCGAGGGGGGCTCTGCGGGCGTCCGCGGGGTGCTCCTGTCCGCATCCGCGCGCTGCTGCATCCACTCGTCCCTGTACCCGTTGCTGATGAGCTTGGAGAAGTTTGTGGGGGAGCCAGGCTTTTGACCAGGCCTCAAAAGCAAAAAAACAACAGCGACCTTAGCACACAGGTTATGCCGACCCGGCAGAGCTCGGCAAACACGCTGGTAATGAATCAGCAGCTTATGGTCCTCGGAACGTAAGAGACCCTCCCTCTGAAAGACTAGACAACCGACCACGTCAACCCCAGGGAAACCTGGGGAACGGGAAGAGGATGGCCCCTTTGGAGAGGGAAACAGGACAGCAGGCGGCAGGCCAGGCTATGGGAGGCTGGGACCTCGGAGTCTCCCTGCTGGGGGGGGGACGACGCTATCCGCCAGCCGAGGTGAGCCCAGCAAGCTGCTGCCCCCCCAAACCCAGGCCACCCCAGCACTTACATGGGAGGGAAGGAGAATCTACTTCCTGCAGGGTCTTTGGGACCCAGTGGGGTCCCCACTTTGCTGGGGTACTTGGAGTTAATGGCCGGGAGCTTCACCTGTGCGAAGAAACACACAAAACCCTGCTTCAGGGAAGAGCGCCTGGCAGCCGGACGCAGGGCGCACCCGGCCGAAGTCGGACGGGACTAAGTCGGACGGGCCGAAGTCAGACGGGACTGGAAGTCAGACGGGACGAAGTCGGACGGGACGGGAAGTCAGACGGGACTAAGTCAGACGGGACTGGAAGTCAGACGGGACTGGAAGTCGGACGGGACGAAGTCGGACGGGACTGGAAGTCAGACGGGACTGGAAGTCAGAAGAGACTGGAAGTCAGAAGAGACTGGAAGTCGGACGGGACTGGAAGTCAGACGGCCCGCAGCGTGCAGGTCGTGTTGCCGTCAAACACCCCAGGACCACGCAGTGCGGTCACTGCCGGCTCACCACGCGGCGCCAGGCCACCGGCAGCTCACAGCCCCGTGTATTCCAGCAGAGACACGTCTGCTCCGGGGGAAACAGAGCCGCTCACGGGGTAAATACTGAGCAGCCCAGGTCCTCAGGGCTCCAGGAGCACGGGGTCCCATGCTCAGAGCCCCAGCTGACCTCTCTGGAGGCCTCTCTGGAGAACCTCGGTCCCTTCACCCTGAGCCTTCCAATGGGAACCAGGGTGGACACGGGGTGAAGACCAGCCTGGGGTCATCCTTGAAAGTGGACTTACATAGCCACAGGAAGAGAGGTGACCTGCTTCCCGGCCCTCTGCCTGGCACAACCTCCCGCCCCACAGGCACCCAGAGTGTGTGTCAGCTGCAGATGAGCTGGAGAAACCCGGAGGGGGAAGGGAGGGGAGGGGCCAGTCCAGGAGGGACAGAGAAGGGGGAGGGGCCAGTGCATGAGGGACAGGGGAGGGGAGGGGCCAGTCCAGGAGGGACAGAGAAGGGGGAGGGGCCAGTGCAGCAGAGGAGAAGGGGGAGGGGCAGTGTGGCAGAGGAGAGCCCATGGAGGCATGAGGGAGGAAGGTGGGTGTCCTGGTGGAGCGGGGAGGTGGGCTCAGAGGAGAGACACTCAAGGGCCAGGGACATCCAACCCAGATGGCAGCAGGGGACAAGGGTGGGGGTGATGGGAAGGTTACTCCTGCAATACCTCCTGGGACGTGCTGGGAAGAAGGACAGATGCGGGGGGTGAGGATGTAAATCTAAGAGGGGGCATCTATGAAACTTTCCGTCAAAGTCACAGGAGGAAACTCTGTGACCTGGGGCTGGGCAAAAATGTCAGCGATAGATGGCTCTGGCCGGTCTGCCTCAGCGGCAGAGCGCAGGCCCACAGACCAGAGAGTCCTGGATCAATTCTGCTCCAGGGCCCGGACCTCCGATGCAGTTCTGGCCCCAGCCCTGGTCGGGTCCTGCGGGAGGCAGCCAGTGGATGTATCTCTCTCACATCGATGTTTCTCTCTCTCTCCCCCTCCTTCCTACTCTATCTGAGGATAAAACTGGAAAAAAGTATCCTCAGGTGAGGATTAAAAAAAAATTTCATAGACATAAAATCAAAAGCAAAGTCATAAATGAAAAAACCTGATGAATCAGACTTTACCCAAATTAAGAACTTCCGTTCTTCCAAAGACACTGTTAAGAGAGGAAAGAGACAAGCCACAGAAGAGGAAATGCAGGCTGGACTCGTCCGGAAAGGATGTCTCCAGACTACACAAAGAACCCTCAAGTCTCAATATGAAGAAGACAATCTTGGTTTAAAAACGGTAAAACCGGGACAGGTGCTTCGTGGAGGAGGATATTTTGGGGGGAAAGCACATGAAAAGATGCTCAAGGCATCACCAGCCCCAGAAATGTGCATTTAAACCACCACGGCAGGTACCTACTGGAAAGGCTTGAACCCAGACAAGGTCCCGGGCGTGAGCTTGGAGCCCGCGGCTGCCTGCGCTGCAGGGTCGGGGCCTGGAACAAGGTGGTGAACGTGCCCAGGCCATGACCCAGCAAGCCAGCTGGCACGCATTTACCCAGGTGAAGTCCAGGAAGCCGATGCTCACACACCTGTCTGTGCAGTTGACAGTGGCGTCAATGGTCATCACCGAGACTAGAAACAAGCCAAGGGGTTGACAAGCCACGAATGACCGAGGACCTGCACCAGGACAGGGACGGTCTCGATGGCTGTGCCACGGGGGAGAGCCAGGCCCAGGACCACATGGGGTGTGGGGCTACTGAGCGGACTTCCGAAGATGGTGACGACAGACTCCACCGTGCCTGCCGAGGGCGGGGGCCCTTGCCTTTCAGGACACCCCGATGGGAAGTTCAGCCCTGCGGATGTCATGGGCACCAACACGCACACCACCGGCAAACCCACATCACCCTTCAGGGGCCACTGCACAGGGGCGCCTGTCACCTTTGTCTTCTTCTTTTCGAGTTCCTCGGCCTCCCTCTGCCACACAGTCTTCATGTCAAAGTCGAACGGCCCCCTTCTGGACTCATAATTCCCACTGCCGGGGTCAGGGTTAAACTCTTCGTGGACCATGTAGTCGGGCATGCAGGCCGCGAGACCTCTAGACGCAGAGGGAGGCCTGCCATCAGCTGCGTGGCCGCTTCCTGACCCCCCTCCCCTCCAGCCCCCCCTCACCTCCCCTGCCCCCTCCATCTCCTCCTCCATCTCCCGTGGGGACAAACAACAGCGTGACCCCTCGGGTACTCACTGCCTCTGGGTGGCTGTGGATGGCTTGCTGTGGTGGACATACCAGTCCGGCAAGGCATAGGCTACCGGGGTGCCTTTCCTGGTCCCCGGGGCGAAGTGCATCAACAGGTCTCAAAAGCAAAAGGAGGCACAGTGAGTGGTCCCCACCCAGCACCCAGCATGACGAGCAGGTAGGTAGGTCACAGTTCACAAGGGACACGGTGACTTCCCCTGGTCCTCAGCCACCTGTGCCCATGCTGAGAGGGGTCCTGCGTGGTGTTGAGGGGGGCAGACCCCTGCTCCCCTGTCCCCCCCCCGTCCCTAAGCTGGCGTCTGTGCTTGGCAGGCCCACTCCTGGGGCTGGTCCAATGCTCCAGGCTGGCACTTGAGAGAGAGCTCCTCAGGTTCCCGGGGGGCTGCCAGCTAGCTGCCCTCTCAGCGGCCCCCATGCTGTCCCTGTAGCCTGGGCCAGTCTGACTGTCCCCTGCCACCGTGGGGCCATCCCTGACCCCTCAGTACTTTAGGGAGCAGTTGTCCCCAACAGCCCTGATCCACTTGCCTCCTCTCTGGTTTCTCTGCCCCCCCCATCCCCCCACCCCTGCCCGAGGGCTTTTTCATAGCTGCGGGGGGGTGTCAGGGACTGGTCACGGACAGCAACATGATCACCACAGAGGATGATGGTAGCAGCCAGCACGTACTGACTTCGTACTGTCAGTGAGAAAAGCTTAACTCTTGATTTCTGAATATTTCTGACTTAGGCAACAGTGGCCAGAATAGTGTGAATTCTGCTGTCCCCTCAGCCAGATCCCAGGGCACTCATGTCATCACATCTGCACTGCCCTTCTCCACTGCGTCTGCCTTGTCTCCACCTCTGTCACTGTGTGCACCTGCACTGCACCCACCTGCACCTGCACTGCACCCACCTGCACCTGCACTGCACCCACCTCCACCTGCACTGCACCCACCTCCACCTGCACTGCACCCACCTCCACCCACCTCCACCTGCACCTCCACCTCCACCTCCATTCATCTCCACCTGCACCTCCACCCACCTCCATCCACCTCCACCTGCACTGCACCCACCTCCACCTGCACCTCCATCCACCTCCAGCCATCTCCACCTCCACCTCCATCCACCTCCATCCACCTCCACCTGCACCTCCACCCACCTCCATCCATCTCCACCTCCACCTCCATCCACCTCCACCTGCACCTCCACCCACCTTTACCTCCATTCACCTCCACCTGCACCGATCTCCACCCACCTCCACGCACCTCCACGCACCTCTACCCACCTCCACCCACCTCCATCCACCTCTGTTGCTCTCTCTGTCTCTGTCTCATCTCTAACTCCCCCTTCATATTGTCCCTGTCTCTGCTGGAAATTAGCACTGACACATCCTATGATCTGATCTCGAACCTTAGTCAGACCTGCCGGCTGGCCCACTGGTCCTTTCTCCACTGGCCGGAATGGGAGGCCCTGACGGTGCGCTTTATATGGACTGGACCCGGTGGTTTGTTCTGGGCTCAGTAGCGCAGCCCAGAGGTTGTCATTTTGATTTTCATTCCCCATGACAACCTTCTGGGTGATGGCAGCCAGAGAAAAAGGTTCATGACCCTCAATGCCGCTCGTGACACGGGCCAGCTCCAGGGCACTGTGAACGGGACCCCTCCGCCTCGTCAGCGGTTTCTAGAGCACAGGTAGGCAGTGCTTTCTCGGTTCACCACAGATCAAGCCCGAGGCTTGTCCACATCACCATGGAAACTTTCCCAGGTCCGCTGCTCAGCACAGGAGAATGTGCGGGACAAGGGTCACCAGAGCAAACCACAGGGACGAACGCTTCGCTCACTGGTCAGCAAGGCCAGTGAACTGCAAAGACGGACTCTGCCCCGTGGACAGCTTCCCGAGACTCTGCCGTTAGAACGTGCACCGGTGAACCACGGCCAAGGAAGAAAGTCCTCCGGGGCCAATTCCGCGAACTCAGTCTATGGAGTCTGACTTCTCATAAACCGCAGTGTGTCCCTGAAGAGTATCCAGACCCTCCCTGCGTCAATTAACCTCCATCTCCAACGGCCTGGGCAAAGCCCAACTTCGCTCATATGAAACAATAATGACCAATGGTCCCACTGCTGCCCCACAAAGCAGAGACCCTGGCACCGGGGTGCTTACCGGGCCGGCCTCCTTGCTTGGCCAGCTTCACGTACTCTGAGTCTGTCTCTTTGATCCAGTACCTCCGTGTCCCCAGCATGTGCCCGCTGGGAGGGTCCCGAAGCTCGCTGAGGCCTGGGATCTGGGACACTGGTGGGGCACCCACAGCCTTCTCAGACCGCTTCACGGGGAGGTGGTAATACCAGTCTAGGAAGAGAAGGAGGCCGAGGCCGGGTCATCAGTGACGTTCAGGTTGGTTTAGTCCACTGCCTGAAGGACAGGCCTGCCAGGAAAGGTCTCACTGTCCAGGGGACACCAAGACGGGGAAGACTGCCACAGGGCATATGTGCTGTGAGGGCACCTTTGGGACTGACTCATAAATCACTGAACAGTGTGGGTGGGCCTCCACTAATCTGCTCAAGGACTTAGGAGAAAAACTAGAGGTCCCAGGAGGAAGAAATTCAGCCTCCAGATGCCTTCAGACCCAGGACGATGGCATCGGCTCTGCCCTGGGGTCCAGGCTGCCGGCCCACCTTACAGATTCTGCACCTGCCTGTTTCACAACTGGGTGAGCCATTCCTTAAAATTATCATATTCATATTCATATTCATATTCTCTCTCTCTCTTGTATATATACACAGATACACATCCTGTTGGTTCTGTTGCTCCGGAGAACCCTGACTAATACAGGAGGCACACACCAAAATGGTGCTGAATTGATCAATTTACATATCAGAAGTCATCATTCTCTAAGCTAAAAGCTTAGACATCCAATTTCTACTTGGAGCTAAAGCTGGGTTCACCGCATGCAAGTAAATGTTTAACATGGCAAATCTTTCGATCTCTAAAGGACAGTAATTAGCTGAATCAACACTATGGTTTTGAAAAGGAGGGGTAAACCCTGGGTAAGGTGTAAGGAATTGTGCAGAAGCCCACAGAGAATCAAATGAAGAATTAAAAGTTTACGAGCTTCATACTCTGCTCATATTCTGGTCAAATTATTTCTCTTTTAGAGGGAAGGCATCCAGTTGTCGTATTTTTCCTTTCTGTGTTTTGGTTACTAATTAACCCACAGAGAACACTGTCTTCTTCCTTCTCATTACTGGAAGCTCTGGGTCCACCGATAATAACCACATGCAAAGGAGCTCAGAGAGCCAGGGCCCTAACCACTGAGTTCACTGTCACCAGCACACACGCAAGGTTAAAGGGGACAAGAAGTGTCTTGCAGCTTCTGTCACTCAAAGGTTATTAGTGCTTGTACGGCCCCAGATCACGACTCTCGTGCAGGTTTCTACGCTCACCCTGTTGTATCAATAAGGAGACGGCGGAGAGGAAGAGTGAGCACCCACCCCTGCAGCTCTCCGGTCTCCAGGCTCAGGGCTGTGGCACAGCCACAAACGAGGGGGGTTCCCAAAGACACTGCTGGCCCTTGTTTTGGCTGCGGAGGCCTCAGAGAACAGGGTGAAGCCTGGGCAGAGGAGCCACCTGTGAGGGGTGTGACCTCAGCCAAGTCTTCTAACTCTGTGCCTTGGTTTCCTCACCTATAAACGGAGGTTAATGATACCTTGTCATGCTGTTTTGAGGTTAAGTGTTAGTGCATAAAAGTGCTTATTCTCAGTGCTTCTTTATACAGGGGAGGCCGTTCACTGGGGCATGGACAGGTCACACAGAGGGAAGGGAAAACCGTTATGCTTCCTGTAGCCCCTGTCCCCAGACGGTGTCCCCCACAGTAGATCATGTGAAGGCCACATTCTGTTCCACTTCGGAGCAACATGAGGGCTGAGGTCACCTGCCAGCCCCACCCTGCCGCTCCCAGCTCCCAGCAGCTCCTGGATCCCGCCTCCACCCCCTCTCCAGCCTATCCCAGGACAGGGAACAATCAAAACAAAAGCAGAAGGAGCCCACAGCCTTCCTCCTTCCCCCCGGCCCAGCTTCAGACCCTGCTGACTGAGAAGCCACAGGAACCCAGGGCAGCCCGGTTTCTGTGTCAGGCGCTTCGAGCAAAGGGTTGGGGTCCACATTAGGGGCCGGAGTAAGGCAATCAGGGAGACACTGGATGCTGCTGCGGCAGAAAGACACTAGGTCGCCATTCGGAGAAAAGAGCTGAGAGCTGGAGAGGCCGGCACGGGGAACAGGTGAGACGCATAGAGATAGGGAGAGGCCGGCAAGGGGAACAGGTGAGACGGATGGAGCTGGGGAGAGGCCGGCTCGGGGAACAGGTGAGACGCACAGAGATAGGGAGAGGCCGACACGGGGAACAGGTGAGACGGATGGAGCTGGGGAGAGGCCGGCACGGGGAACAGGTGAGACGGATGGAGCTGGGGAGAGGCCGGCACGGGGAACAGGTGAGACGGATGGAGCTGGGGAGAGGCCGGCACGGGGAACAGGTGAGACGGATGCGATCGCCCGACCCCCGGGCAGCCGGCAGCGCGGCTTTTCGTTGGCTTTGATCTGTCTTCTGAAACACAGAGAAGGACCCCGCCCTCCTCCCCGGTCTCCCTTCGCTTTGACACGGGCCAGAGAGGTGCCCCTTCCTGGGGATCACGCGTTCGTCCATCGGCGCGGGGCGCGGGCACTCACCGCAGGGCGCGTAGCGGCTGGGGGCGCCGTGCAGCTCCTTGCCCGCGTTCCTCATGCCCGGAGACCGCGGCGCCGGCGTTCAGGGCAGCGGCCGTCGGTCCGCCTCCCCCTGCGCGGACGCAGGCGTGTCATCGCCAGGAAGGGCGTGCACGTCCTCGCAGGTAGACCTGGGAGGACAGGTCCCCGGTCCGGGCCGCAGAGGCCCCTCCCCGTGCGGGCCCCCGGCCGGCCGCCCCGCTCACCTGTCGCCGTGGGTCTCGGTGGGCGCCTCCCGCTGCGCCAGAGGCCGAGTCCGCCGGCCAGGCGGGGCCGGTCCGCACTCCAGGCGCCGCGCGGAGCCACAACAACTCGCGTCGCCCGGGCAACCGACGGGCGGCCAACCGGCGGGCGCGGCTGGAGCGCCAGTAGCCAATCGGTGCAGCCTGTGGGGCCGCAGCAGGCCAATCAGTGCCAGAGGCGGAGCGCGGACTCTGCCAGTCAACCGCCCGGACCTGAGCGGGGCGGGCCGCGGCAGGGGCGGGCCGCGGCAGGGCGGGGCCGCGGCAGGGGCGGGGCGGGGCCGCGGCAGGGGCGGGGCCGCGGCAGGGGCGGGGCCGCGGCAGGGGCGGGGCCGCGGCAGGGGCGGGGCCGCGGCAGGGGCGGGGCCGCGGCAGGGGCGGGGCCGCGGCAGGGGCGGGGCCGCGGCAGGGGCGGGGCCGCGGCAGGGGCGGGGCCGCGGCAGGGGCGGGGCCGCGGCAGGGGCGGGGCGGGCCTCCGAGTCCTCACCTGCCCCGCCGCCGCCCCGCCCCGATTGCCCCGCCCGGGTCTACTCCGGGTCCTGAACGCACTTTAAAAAGAGGAGGATCAGTACCTGGGAAACTCGGCAAGCGGGCACGTCTGCCCATCGTGCATCAGCAGTCAAAGGGTCCTGGAAATGTCCTTTCTCGCACCTCGATTTTTCAGAACGATTTCTGCCCTGTGAGTTGCGATTCTTTTATTGATTTTAAAGAGAGAGGACAGGAGAGGGCCATAGGGACATCAGAGACATCAACGAGAGACCACATGGAGTGGCCGGCCGCCTCCTGCATGCCCACAACCTGGGCAAGTGCCCTGGCCCGACCTCTTGGCGCTGGGTCGAGGCTCAACCACTGAGCCACCCCAGCCGGGTGTCTGAGACACATTTAAAAAGCCGTTGCCCCTGTTTCTAAGGAACTGTGCTGAGCCCCAACCCTGGATTTCCTTAGCGCGAACTTTGGCCGTGCTGGGTTTGGGGTCCACACAGGGAGGGGGTTGCGGCCTGCACCCTGCTCCCCCGATTGGACATCATTTCTGCTCCCTGCTTGGTGACTTTAAGCGGCCGCAGCAGGCATGGGAACTTTGTCACGGGAAAAGCTTGCGGCGCTAGCCACTGTGAGAAGACTTGGTGTGACCTGGTGGAGTCGGACAAGGTGGGCTGTTGGCTAGACCCTGGCGAAGTCCTGTTCCGGTGACTGGAGCAACAGGGAGGAGCTTTGGTCTTCTCTTGAAAACGTGTTTTATCCCTGGCTGGTTTGGCTCAGTGGTTAGAGTGTGGGCCTGCGGACCAAAGTCCCGGGTTCGGTCCGCTAAGGGCACGTACCTCAGTTGCAGTTTGTCCCTGGCCCTTGTTGGGGTCGTGTGGGTGGCGACCACTCTATGTGTCTCTCTCCCATCGATGTTTCTCTCTCCCTCCCTCTCCGTCCTGCTCTATCTGAAGATAAATGCAAAAATGTCCTCCGGGGAAGATAAAAAAAAAAGAAAACATGTTTTAAAATCAACATATTTTAATGGTGGTATTTGGCAACTTCAGTGAAACAAGGTGTCGCTTTTATTAAACAACGTAGTAGAAGGCAGGTGACATAGGAAAGGGTGGGGAGAAGATAACTCATGGCAGGAACTCGCCCTCGCTCCGTGGTCCATCTGGCTCTCACATAATATTGTGATGAATTTCAGGGTCTGCAGCTGGCCCCTCACGCAGCCTCACAAGTCATCAAGCGTTTGTCCTACTGCGTGGAGAGGTGCGGAGGCCATCACCACCATAACACAACTTTCTTTTTCACAAGTCAAAGCACTGTCTGCCTGGGGGGTGGGGTTGCGCCATCAAGAGAAAACTGTTTTAAAAAGTAGTTGATGCCCTGGCCGGTTTGGCTCAGCAGTTGGAGCGTCAGCCTGCGGTCCAGAGAGATCCGGGTTTGGTTCTTGCTAAGGGCACGTACCTCGGTTGCAGTTTGTCCCCGGCCCTGGTTGGTCATGCGGGTGGCAGCCACTCGATGTGTCACTTTCACGTCGATGTTTCTCTCCCCCTCTCTCTCTCTCCCTCCCTCCCCACTCTATCTGAACAAAAAATGGAGAAATGTCCTCAGGTGAGGATTGAATAAATAAATAAATAAATAAAAGTTGATCCCAGCAGCTGGAGCCATGTGACTGAAGAGTCTCTCTCTCTTTCTGCACTGGGTCGACAGGAGAGTGCAGAACCTACCCCAGCGGACCACCTCCCTTACTAATTTGTCACTGTGTGATCTGGAAGAGCAGCCTCAGAAGAAAGTGTTGACTTCTGCGGCCTGATTGAGACTACAAATGCTTGCAGGTGCTGGTCAAATGAGGACCTAGGTAAGGCGCCTTGCAAATGGAAACATGAACAAGAATATGTACAGTGAGACTAGTCAATGTCTTTATTTCCTGCACCTTGTCATGTGTGGTCTTTCTGTCACGTTATAGTTCAGTGTTTGGAAGGATCCAACATTGATCTCACTTTGAGCACTATTTTATTCAGTTTTATTAGATGTTTAGATAAAATAGGTATCTTATATACCTATCTACATATAGTTATCTTTATATATTTTATATTTTATTATATTGTATATATCTATAAGATGTCATAGGTATATTATACGGAGACATCTTATTAGAGATATCTTAAAGCTTATGTAGCTATCTCCTGTTCATGACTATTTTGAGAATAGAAAAAATGTATTTGAGTAAAATTCCGATTTTTCAAAGCCCTGGACACTCCCTGCGGCCCAGTCTCTCTTCCTTTTTTTTTTTCATCCTCACACGAGGACATTTTTCGATATTTTGTTCAGATAGAGTGGGAGGGAGGGAGAGAGAGAAACATCAACGTGAAAGGGACACATCAAGCGGTTGCCACCCACATGACCCAACCAGGGCCGGGGACAAACTGCAACCGAGGTACATGCCCTTAGCGGGAACCAAACCCCGGTGTCTCCGGACTGCAGGCCTATGCTCTAACCGCTGAGCCAAACTGGCCAGGACTCCAGTCTCCCTTCTTTACCCTGTTGTTGACGGACTCTGATCGCAAACCCCCCAGGACAATTCACTCTCTGCTTTGCTCACCCGGTGACACATTGCAACCCCAGGAGCTAAGAGGCCCCCACCAGGGACACACTGTTTCCCCCTCTGGATCACCCACCACACTCTTTAGACCTGGCTTTCACAAAGCGGAGGGATTTCGAAATGTGCTGTTTTTCTCTTTGATGATCATGTAAAAGAATTGAAGGACAAACCTCCCTTTTGGCAAATATTTCTGTGTTTCAGTATTATGTAGCAGTTTGGGCTTTCAACCCCACTGGGAAGACAAGACATCATCTCTGTAGGCACGGAAGGGGACGTGGTTTCTTTATGTCCCTACCGGCACCTCCTACAGACAACTTTGGAAGCCTGAGGGCCATGGGAAGCCAATAAACTGGAGGAGCAGCGTAGGAAACCCGCCCAGAACCAGCCTGCTTTCCAAAACCCCAGGCCACTGAGGAACGGGGCCCCAGAGAAGACGGTGACTCACCAGGAAATGATTTCCAGACAGTTTATTTTTAGGCAAGTAGTTTGAAAGAGTTTTAACGTAAGTTACACAACATGTACATAAATAAAATTTTGAATGATCCTGATTTAAGAAAAAACATCTTCAAGCAAAGAAGGAAGAAATGAAACAGGAGCAGGTAGCTGGAAAAGCAGCTCCCCACCCCCACCCCGCACAGCCTCAGCCCGGCAGCACGGTGTAGCACGTGGTTGCTTGTTGTGTGTCCTCTTCAGTATCGGAGTGCTCAGGGACAGCTCCAGGCCCACAGCACCAAGGTACCACGTAAAAGGTCTGTGCGGCGGGAGGTCACATCCACAACCAGAGCCAGTGCAGAGCCAAGTGGCTTTATTGCACACGCCTGGGTGCAGGCGGGCTGACTCCTTGAAAGAGCCTAGCCTCGAAATCTCTTTGTTCTCAGGTTTTTATAGGCCCAAACTACAGAAACTAAAAAAACTACATTAAGGAAAAAAACCCCTGCATTCTCTTGGCACCGCGTAATTGGTGTCGGGCTGATACAAGCTGTCTCAGAGGTAAGGAGTCTGCTCCGGCAGAGGTCTGGGCCATCATTAATCTCCTTCCTTTTTATGGTCCCTCCGAGTTCCCCAAGGCCATCATTACCCCTTATCTTATGGTTCCTCTGGGTGTCAGTCCAGGTTTTTAGACAACTGCTCAGGTGTTTACGTGCAGGAATAACTGGTCAGAATGGAGTTTGATTTTGTTAAAACATTATTAACCCTTTCACCACGCAACCAAACAAAACGAGGAAGTTCACCTCAAAGTATGTAGAAAAACTTCCCAGATACATTTGTAAATGGAAAAAGCACAATGCAGAAGATGGTTTATAGTGAGCTACTCTTTACTTTAAACAGTGTTGGAGGTGAACACACACACAGACACACACACAGAGGAGGGACATAACCATATTTTACATAAATATGTGCAGGGCGGGGCAAAAGTAGAGTTACAGTTGTGAGTATGAGAAACAGTGTTATTGTGTCGTGTTCCACACACACACACACACACACTCTGCACCTGTTGGCCCGCCCTGTGTATTTGTGTGCACGGTACACGTTTGAAGACGCGGTCACCGGATGCAGCGGACGGCAGAGGTGAGTGGGGCAGCCTTTCGCTGCACAGCATTGTGCTTCTCCAGAACGTTGGACCATTAGGGGAGAAGGTAGGAGGTTTGGGGTTTCTTGGGGTAGGTGTAGATGTCCCAGAGTCAAAGAGCGAAGGGGCGAATTGTGAAGTAGCACTTACCTTGAAACCAGCAGAGAGTAAAGAGATTAGAAACCATGAAAGGGCCCTGGCCGGTTTGGCGCAGTGGTTAGAGCGTCGGCCTGCGGTCCCGAGAGACCCGGGTTCGGTTCCCGCTAAGGGCATGTACCTCGGTTGCAGTTTGTCCCCGGCCCTGGTTGGTCGTGCGGGTGGCAGCCACTCGATGTGTCCCTTTCACATAGATGTTTCTCTCTCTTCCTCTCTCCCCCTCCCACTCTACCTGAATAAAAAATAGAAAAATGTCCTTAGGTGAGGATTAAAAAAAAAAAAAAAAAGAAAGAAACCATGAAAGGAAGCAAAATAAAAGCTAATTGCACCCAGGCTCTGTGAAGAGAAACTGAAGAACATAAAAGACAAATGGAAAGTCTTTTTTTTTTTTTTAATCCTCACCCAAGGACATTTTTTGTTTTGCACTTATCTTCAGACAGTGCAGGAGGGAGAGATGGAGGGAGGGAGAGAGAGAGAGAAACATCGATGTGAGAGAGTCACATTGAGTGGTTGCCGGGGGACAGACTGCAACCGAGGTATGTGCCCTTAGCGGGAACCGAAACCTGGTCTCTCTGGTCTGCAGGCTGACGCTCTAACTGCTGAGCCAAACCAGCCAGGGCAACAAATGCAAAGTCTTAAAAACTACACGAGGAAAAGGACCAAATTGTCCCCCAAAAGGGGCAGGGGGTGAAGACGAGAGCAGATCAGGGAGAATTCTCAGCAATCGGCTCCAGAACCCGTGGGGTAGTGTCTCCAAAGGGCGGGGAGAAAAGTAACTCTCACCTGGGCATTTCTACCCCAAACAAGCGTGCTGCTAGCCTGTCCACGCCTCCTGTCCTGTGTGTGGGAGGTGCACTCGGACAGGCTGTGACCCCACCTCGCTGCTGGGAAACCAGACCCATCCAGCATTGACCTCGCACGGCCGGGAGGTGATGGCCACGTCCGCGTAATGAAACACCGAACTTGGGGCTCCAGACACCGTGAGGAAACTGAGCAGTGTGTCATTTAGGGTGAAGCACAGACACACCCTATGGACCTATCTGTTAAAATATCAAAACATGACTGGGAATGACGGTTTTCAGGTTGTAGCCATCAGTGGGAAAGGAAGGGGAGGGGTGATTTAGGGGGGTGCTATTGTGGGGTCTTCTGTTGTATCTGTGATCTTTGATCTTTCTACTCAAGCAAACCCAGGAAAGGACTGATTTGTTACCACCGAGGACTGGGTTTGAAACCAGAGGTCACCCGAGTCTGGGCCACCTCCAGCCCAAAAGCAGAGACAGGGACTGGACTGTAAGTGCATGTTTAACGTCAGACGCTGAAAATCTGGGGAGGTGGCAGGTGAAGTCCTGCAGGTCCACCTTCCCCTTAGGGTTGTTAGGAGAAAGCTGGTATAGGGGTCAGGAAAGGGAGTGTGGGAACAAGACGGGAGGCTTCTGGTGATTCGCGGTCCTGGACTTGAGTCCCGCGGCGGTCTGGGTCTGGAGGGATGTCTTCACGATTGGTCCCCGGAACAGGACTGCCAGCGTTGTGGAAGTGGGGATTGGGTGTCCGGAGACCTGGTCCATCAGCCTCCACATGCTGTGCCGGGTGGCCGGGCGCGTGCATTCGGGGCAGGTTAAAAGTCTCTGTTCTTGCCTTGTCAACTGAGAATTGCAACAACATCTTAGCCAGAACCTACGGTTAAACACATAGTTGAGTCCGGCCGGTGTGGCTCAGCAGCTGAGTGTCGACCCTGCACCAAGAGGTCGCTGGTTCGATTCCCGGTCAGGGCACATGCCCAGGTTGTGGCCCAATCCCCAGTCGGGGGGCGTGCAGGAAGCGGCCAATCGATGTTCTCACTTTCTCTCTCCCCTGCCCTCTCTCTCTAAAATCAATAAAGAAAAATTATTTTTAAAAACCCAACAACAGCCCTGGCCGGTCTGGCTCAGCGGTTAGAGCGTCGGCCTGCGGTCCGGAGAGACCCGGTTCGGTTCCCGCTAAGGGCACATACTTCGGTTGCAGTTTGTACCCGGCCCTGGTTGGTCATGCAGGTGGCGGCCACTCATTGTGTCCCTTTCATGTCGATGTTTCTCTCTCTCTCTCTCTCCCTCTCTCTCCCTCCCACTCTATCTGTACAAAAAATGGAAAAATGTCCTTGGGTGAGGGGAAAAAAACAACAACCCAACAACATATAGTTGATTAAGCAATTACACGTTCTGTGAGTGAATAAAGGAAGGGGAAGGAAGAGATATTAAAAAATCATATTTTCATTCTCCCCTTGTACCCTGGTTAGGTTCTGGGACCTTCCCATTACAGAGCCTGGTCAGGATGTGACCGCGGGTGGGGGGCCCTGCACCCCTGACACGGCATTGTGACGTGTCACAGAAGGGTGGCCCGACAGAGGGCCCGGCCGGGCCAGCCCAGCCCACTCTGTGGAGTGTCCTGCTTTCCATGAGATAAGAACACGTGGCTCTCTCTCCCGCCCGCCGTCCATCACATCTGTCCCCGGGATGAGTGGAAGGCTGGAGCTGCCCCAGGGCCCTGCGGAAGAAGCCAGGGGGAGCTCCAGTATTCAAGCTCTGATCCAGGGCCGCCAGGCGCGGGGCGCATGTTGGTGGGTAGCCGCACAATGTGTCCCCTCAGATCTTGTCGTTCCCGCTGTGTCCTAGGGGCTCTGTTTACTGGGACAGTAACCCAGTAAGAACGCATCTCCTTTTCAGAGATTGTTCACCAGCGTTTGCGCTGAAGGTGTCTCTGGATGACAGAACTCTGGGTGGCAGGCTGTCTCCCTGTGCCCGGGGTGTTGGGGTGACTCACAGCAGCTGGGGACGAGGACGAGGAAGGAGAAGCCGCTTTCTCCGGCTATTTCCCTGAGCATAATACCAAGACAAATACCACAGGATTTCATTACATGTGGAATCTAGTGAACAAAATGACACATCGGAAACAGACTCACAGATAGAGGACAGACTGCCAGCTGTCAGAGGGAAGAGGGGGTGGGGGGCCTGTGAAAGGGGGAGGGGCGTGAGCAGTACAGGTGGGTCGGTCGATACAGAACCGTCCCAGAGACGTAGGTCCTGGCGTAGGGAAGAGAGGCCACAAGCCTTGATCGCTGTGTGGCCAGGTGGGTACTTGAAGCAGCGGGGGGGCCGCTCTGTAGAGTGTGTGATTTTGTAGCCACTTTGCTGTGTGTCTGAAACCGATACTGAATAATACTGAATGTAAACTGTAATTGAAAAATAAACACAAGAAAGAACCTCAGCCCTGGCAGGTTTGGCTCAGCAGTTAGAGTGTCGGCCCGAGGGCCAACGAGTCGCTGGTTTGATTCAGGTCAAGGGCACGTACCTCAGTTGCAGTTCATCCTGGGCCCTGGTCGGGGTCATGCGGGAGGCAACCTGTTGTGTCCCTCTCACGTCGATGTTCCTCCCTCCCTCCTCCCTCCCACTCTGTCTGAAAATAGGTGGAAAAATATCCTGGGGTGAGGATTAAGACAAATAAATGACTAGAAAAGAACCTCAGCCCCAGCGAGATGCAGCCCACCTTGCAGACGCTCCTCACGGTGCAATGTCTGTGGTCTGCTGGTGGCGGGGGCGGCACTCCAGTGGGGGTTCCTGCCTCCCTGGGTGGCGCTTGACAACACAGTGTTAAAGGGGACCCAGTTTGAGCCAACAGCTGTGGTTCGACTCATTAGAACAGGTGTGGCGTCACCTGCGGGGAGGCAGCAGGGAGGAGGCCCTGCGCACCTGGGTGGGCTAAGGACCCACGGCCCCTGCACCTGCCCCTCTGTGCTGCCTCCTGGGAAAGCAAACACAGAAAAGAACAAAGTAACCATCCCTGTGGGGACAGTGGAGCACCTGGCAGAAAGTGCCCACAAAGTCAGAGCGGTGCTGCGGTTACTGCACAAGAAGGGCACCCCCACAATAGCCAGTGTATGAAAGTCGCCACCCACAGCAGCTGCCCAGGACAGAGTCCGCGGGTGGGCCCAGGCACCCAGCCGGGGTTTGATCAAAGCCCTAATGAACCTTTAGCGAACATGGTCATGTGGGATTTTCATTTAACTCCGTCCATCAGGAGGGCTCTCCTGTCTGCAGCGACCTTTGGATACCCCCCGGAAACTATTTTCTCGCAATTTCAAAGGAAATGGGCTAGGAATTAAATTAATTCAGCCCAGAATAAGCACACTGTAGACTGGGCCGGAGCCTTCGAATGAAGGTCCGTGAGGCTGGCATGTTCAGTTCCTTCTGTGTTTTCTTCTTTCCAGGACGACTCGCTCGTGGAAGATCCTCCTAAGTGTGGTGTTTATGCTGACTTTTCTTCTTATAGGTAAGGCTTACTAAGTGACCCGCCTCGCAGATGTCTCTGTGGTCAGGAGAGGTCCCGGGGCAATGACAACGTTTGTAAATAAATGACAGGAGCCCTGGCAGTGACTGACTGCACCACCCTGAAGATCTTTTGTTTTTCTTAATCCTCACCCGAGGGTATTTTTCCATTTATCTTCAGACAGTCCTAGGGAGGAGGGAGAGAGAAGGAAGAGAGAGAGACAGACAGACATCGATGTGAAAGAGACTCAGCGACTGGCTGCCTCCCGCATGACCCCAACCAGGGCCAGGTACAAACCTCAACCAAGGTGCATGCCCTTGACTGGAATCGAACCCGAGACTCATTGGTCCGCGGGCCAACGCTCTAACTGCTGAGCCAAACCGGCCAGGGCCTGAAGATTTTTAAAATATGTTTTATTGATTTTTTTTTTTTTAGAGAGAGAGAGATGGAAACATCAATGTAAGAAACATCCATCGGCTGCCTCCTGCAGGCCTCCTATTGGGGATCGAGCCCACAACCCGGGCATGTCCCCGGACAGGGAATCAAACCAGGACCTCTCAGTCCACAAGATGATGCTCAATCCACTGGGCCACACTGGCCAGGCATGACAATTTCTTTTTTTTGTCTTTTATTTCTGATTGCAAAAGCAATTACAGGCTTCTTGACTGAAAACGTAGAAAGCATTTTTTTTCTCTTAGAATCATAGTTTAAAAGCACAGGAGTTGCTCTGAAGTTAAGACTTAACATTTTTATTGCAGACACATACAACTGACCTTTTCTAACTCTGGGCGACTCAGCCTTGGGGGGTTGACACTCAAAGTCTGTCACTCATCACAGGACTCCGGACCCAACGGCCCGAACATGCCACGAGCCGCTCCTAGCGTCCGTATCACACATCACCACCTCCCCATTCCCCGCAAAATCGCTCCTCAATGTATGGAAGTGTGAAGATAGAAGGCCCATGAAAACCACGAACCCAGAGCAGTCACTGCCAGGAAACACCCTTGGGTAGTTCAGCAGCCCTTGGGGTGCTGTTTCCAGGACTGCATAGATAGATACCTAGACTGGGGCTCCCTGCACCCGCCGGGCTCCGCCCCTCCCACAGGCCGCCCCTGAATGTCCCCGTTTCTCCCGACGGCCACACGCTGCTTGGCTTTGCGGTCTCTGGTGACCTCGAGTCATTGCCCTAAGACGGCCGCCCCCTTGCTGCAGGCCCCCCATCTCAGGACCACTCTGTGATGGGTTTCCCAGGGGCAGGGGCTGTGGCGTGAGCAGAGAGCCACGGGTGCTCAGGACGCTCCTCGTGTGGGAATTACACCCCACGGTCCCGAGCTTCCTCTCCGACGGAAGCATGTGCGTCTCCCCAGCGGGCGCAGCCTGCTTCCTTGGCCGTCCCCCCGAGACCTTGCCACCTTGCCCACAAACGCGCCAGGTCCATTTTAGACACGTGGCGTGGAAATGATTTCGGTGGAAATACACTGGACTCAGACCCTCTCTTTACTGTGGGGAAATCCACGTGATACAAAATTAACCCTCTCAAGTTCAACAACTCCCAGGCATGCAGTGCATCTCAACGTTGTGTGACCCCCACCTCCAACTCGACACATTTCATCACCCCAAAGGGAAGCCCACATGCCCTTTGCACCCCAGGTCCCCTCTTCTCAGCCCGGGCACCCACCCATCTGCTTTCTGTCTCTGTGGCGGGCTGAGTTTTAGGCAAAGGTGCCAAAACCACTCAATGGTAAAAAACAGTCTTTTTGACCAATGAGTCTGAGACAGACAGACAGACAGAGAGAACTACTCTCCTAGTCTTGGCCTCCTGGCTCTAAGCTGGGCCACCCACGGCTCTGTCTGAACTTCACCCGGTTTGCGCAGCGCCCACAGACCACCAGGGGGCAGGCGCAGGGTCTCTCCGGGCCTTTTCCGAGCATGCGCACTGACTTCGCCTTCCCAAGCCCTCCTTCCCGCAGGGAGACCGCCTTCTCCCTCCCTGTGTCTGTGCCTGCCCCTTGCCTCCTTCGCTGTCCCTGGCCCAGGTGGGCATCGCCAGGTTGACTTTCAGTCTTCCAACAGACATTGCAGCCCCTAGAAAGCCGTCTGGCCCCAGGGAGTGGGGTGAGGTGAAGGCCAGCCTCTGCACCAGCTCCCCGTCCGGCCACTGCCACCACGTGGGCACGGGAGGTGGCCAGCGAGCCACGAGGCCACCCTGCTCGCCCCTAAAAGAATCTGCTCCTGTCTCCAGCCCTCTGCTCGCTGTGGATTTTGGGTCAGATTTCAGAATTCACCAAAGGTGGATCCTGTTCCTCTTTGCAGCTCGTGGCTGTTTCGACGGGGGATGGATTTTTCCAGCTCCTTACGTTGACACCCAAGGGCCTGATGGGCTCTCCAAGAGTGTGTTTACCTTCCGTGGGTAGAGAACGCCCGTCAGTGCATGCAGAACATCGTGCACCTGTTTCCAGGAAAACTAAGGGGCCTCGATCTTTTGACAGGGTTGAGAAGTTACGCGTGGCTGAATGGAGAATCGTCTCAGAAACCCCGACGATTTCACACTGCAATTGCAGAATATGGTTCAAGGCTTTCGAGTTACCAGGTGATGTTTTGTTAAATCGTTTTGTGCGTCACTCATGTGAGATTGAATATGCTGCAAGGTGGTCTAATGCAGTGGTCTCTTTGTTTTGCACGTGAGTATCTAGTAGGACTAATGCCTGGGCCAGGGCTCTGGTCAGTGATTTCCTCCAAGGCCACTACTCTTCGTGAGGAGAGGGTTTTACTCTGGTCCGTTTCTCTCGGCGACCACTTGAGACTGATAGTCACTGTGTCTGACTCTTCATAGGTCCCCTGCTGCATGCAGAGGAGCTGTTTACATTCAATTTTAAATACATTCCCTTGTCTTTAGCTATTATTTTATAACAGCATTGTACGGCGGGCTGATAATGTGATAAGTAATGTATTCAATACATGCTTCATGCAACTGAATTGTTTGCAATGTTCCATATTATAAACATAAACACCCCTGTTGCTAAATCTGTTAGCCAGCCTTGATTTGTTATTTAGCATCAGCTCCCCGGAGGGTAAACAAAAAGTAGTCAGGTGACCCTGCACATGGAATCTCAGAGAGAGCACCGCTTTGCAAAACCTAGATGTTTCCATCTCCCCGTGTGCTGTGACTACCGGGGGACGACAGCCGCGCACCAGAGGGAATCTACCCTCAAAGCGCACCCCTTTAGCAGAGTATCACTAAATGCATTTGTGGACGAGGAAGCCGGATCAGAACAACTGAGGAAGCAGGTGTGTGACAGGCAGCCCAGCCGGAATCCGCACCTGGACCTGCAGAGCCGGGCCCGCCCGGCTGAGCTGCCCACTGTGCTGAGGACACAGCCTACTGTCACACACTGTGCAGCCTCAGCCACCGATCCCCGCTGCCACAGGGGCCCCAGGGGCTCCCCGCAAACATGTCGCTGGTCCACAGCGAGCACCCTCCACGAGCAGCCAGCGTCGCCACCCCCCGTCGGCAGCCACGACGCGACCAGGACTCACTGGAAGTCACAGGCTCACCATGAGCTGGGAGGGGGGGGGGGCGGGGTTCTGGCCAGGTTTGCAGGGGCTTTTTTTTTTCTTGCAGGCCCGACTTCGGATGCCAAAAGAGCACGTGGAACTTATCAGGTGAGAGATTCTCTGACACGTGGGCCTTTCCCTCCGGTTCCAAATACTGACGTGCTTCTGTGACATGGTAAAACGACGATCTTTTCCACTGCTGTAGATCATTGTCTAACAGAATACACACCGGGAGGGGCTTTCGATATTATTTATGACTCAAACAATGGAAACGACCTAGATGAGAGACAAGGCCGGCGGGTGCCTGGGGCCGAGCATGCCCGCCTTGGGGAAACGCTGAGGCCGTGGACTCTTTCTGCAAACAGTCTCAGTCATCTGGGAAGTGCGTGCGTCACAAGATTATAAAAATGAGCTCCATTTTGTTACTATTTTTTTTTTTTTTTTGCATAGGATAAAAACTGCCACACACACACTAAAATGTAACAGCATTTATTTCTTCGAATTTTTGTATTTTTCGAATTGTGAACATGTTGTTTTACAGATTGAAAAAATATACTAGATTCGTGCTTACCTTTTTTAAACTTAGAGAAATACCTATTGGTGTGACGTGACCAATCACTTCCAGACTGTAAAGGTGGCAGAACCCTTACTGCTAAAGCGAACTCTTGCGGGGGGGCTGGACCCTCCACCACCCCTTGCCAGGGCTGGTCTGCAGACCAGGCTCAGATGGAAAGAGCCGGGGCAGGGGGGACGGGGCGGGCAGAGCTCCTGAGGGACAGGTTGGCGGAGCCCCCTCACCCGCTCTGTGCACACCCCGTGGGCTCAGCCCCCGCCCCCAGGAAAGCCCCCAGAAGGTCTCACTTTGCAGGTGTGCTGAGATGCAGTGTCCTGAGCATGGTTCTCCCTGAGCTCCCTGGCTCTTAGGTTGTCTTCTCTGCTGCCCAAGCCCAGCACCGGGGATGCTGGAAGCCCGCCTCTCCCTCCTTTCACATGGTTGGGGTGGGGGGGTCTCCATCCACAGGAGGGAAAGCCAGACTCTGGAAAACAACTACCGTGAAATTCTGCTTTTAATGAAACAAATTGATGTTCTGAAGGCGTTACTGAGAGAGACACAGACTGGTCTGCACAGCTTCAATGACAGCTGGAAGGCTGGGGGGGACCCCGCGGAGGCTCAGGACCACCCCGAGGCCGTGGGCGAGGTGAGGCGGGCTGGGGCGGCCCGGGCAGCCCGGGGCGGCAGGGCAGTGTTCCCTCTGGGGACACCTCCCCCACTTCTCTGCCAGGAGAAATCAAGGGCTGGCATCTCAGATGAGATGTCCCCTGTGTCCCTCCCCAGGTGTCCTTGCTGACCTGGCTTCCTTCCCCTAAGGCCTGACCCTGGGCCCACTTCCTCAGGCTCAGTCACAGAGAAGACAACAGGACTCACCTCCCACCCAAATAAATATCAAATTCTGTTTATTTTCCAGTAAACAAGCAAACAAAAGGCCATTCTGAAGGTCTAGACACAGGATAGTTTATTCCCCGCCCTGAAGCTGTTGTTAGATGCTATTGGCACCAGGCTGGGGGGGGGCCTGAGAGCAGGGACCTCTTTGCTCCTCCTCCTCCCTCTTTCCTGAGGTCTGCTCCTGGAGGCACAGGACTCAGACTCAGGACCCTGCCTCCGCCCCAGCTGTCCCTGGCGTGCTTGTCGGACACGTGCTTGTGTAGAATCAGAACCTCTTAAGGAACCAATGTTAATTCAAATGAATGGATTTCTAACAGGCAGTCACGTACTGTCGTTGAACTGACTTCCCTCCCAGATGTCTACAGCACGTCCCAGTCTCGATTAGCAAGCAGACACGCCGACAGAGGAGGACCTGGCGGGTCACACAGACGGTGTCCTTTGACCACCTCACTGACCACGACGGGTGGTCATCAGGGCTTCGGAAGGGGCGTAGGTCCGACCTCGCCCTGTGACCTTGGGGGAGTGAGGGAACACAGCTCAGTTACCCGAGAGGCACGGAGCCCACTGAGCTGTGCAGGGGATACGGGAAATCCGTGGGCAGTGCCCGGCCCAGCGTGCGGCTGGGCAAACAGCCTCCTTCTTCTTTTGCAGATCATGGAACTTAGGTCCAAATCCACACTGTGAAGGGTCCAAACTTCAGCCGTTGCAGGGCTTGTTAACAGAAAATATTTTTTCTATTTGTACAGGAAATGTCCAACTTGGTCAATTATGTGCTGAAAAAGCTGAGAGAGGACCAGGTCCAGATGGCCGACTACGCCCTCAAGTCGGCAGGTGAGCGGGAGTGAGAAATACGTCCACGCGGACTCTGTTCTCTGCATTTCTCCGGTTCTTCGTTAGGGAACACACTATGCACCTGGTGATTCGAGGAGAGAAATGAGCAAATCTAGACAGTAAAGGAGAACAGAGAGGGTTGTGGCTGTTCCCTCCAGGTTGGCACACATCTCAGAGCGAAGCGGATCCAGAGTCCTGGCGTGGGAAAGGGGGCGGAGCCAGCTGGCCCTGTGGGACACACCCAGACAGCGATGAGGTTAACGTCACAGACGCTAGAACCCTGTATACTGTTTGCACTAAAATCACCAAAATATCGACTAGAACTGCTCAGTGAAGTTAACAAGCTAAATTCTATATATATACACGATTTTCAGATACTAGGAATAGAATAAATTGGAAAAAGAAATTCTGAAAACAGTGCTACTCATGGGCTGCAAGTTCGATTCCCAGCCCAGTAGGGGCACAAGCGTGAGGGAGGCAACCAATCAATGTCTGTCTGTCTGTCTCTCTCTCTCTCTTTCTCTCTCCCCCCCCTCCTTCCCTCCTCCCTTCTACCCTTTTTACCTAAAAAGCAATGGAAAAAAATAGCTTTGGATGAGGATCAACAACAACAAAAACAGGGCTATTCACAACAGCAGTATTTAGGCATAAATCGAATAAGCTATGCATAGGATCTGTGTGGCTAAAACAAAGAAACAGACCCCAAAGCGAGGAAAAGAGCAGACGGAATGTACCGATCCGCCCTGTTCGTGCATCTGAAGGTGTTCATGGTGAGATGGCCATCCCCCCGCTGGTGTGTTGACCCCACGCCGGCCGGCAGAGTCCCGCAGGGCTGCTAGCAGAAGCCTGCAGGCTGGCCCTGAAGTGTGTGGGACGCAGGGCAGTTAGCATGGCCATGGCAGGTGTGAAGAAGCAGGACAGAGGAGGAGGACTCCACGGCCCAATTTTGAGGCTTTCTGCAAAGCTGCAGGAGTGTGGACAGCGCGGCGCTGTGGGCTCAAAGGAACAGAAAGGCCAGAATGAGTGCCCGCCGTGAGGTCGAAGGGATTGGCTTGATGAGGGAGAAAAGGCAAGTCAGCAGAGCTGGGGCAGTTAGACTTTCAGATGCAAAAAGACACCCTGCTCAGAGCTCACACCTTACAAACACGAACACCAGATGGGTCCTAGACCTAAGCGTGAAGCGAAAGCCTGGGGACATGTACTTCTGTCCCGTCAGGCAGTGGGGTGGGGATGCCGACTGACCGATGTGCAGCCTCCCTCAACACAAGGCGCACACGGGCTGGCCAGAGACGGTCAAGGACGCCCAGCTGAATTTGAAGTCCAGGCAAACAGCATAGAAGTTTTTAGTACAAATATATTCCAAATATTGTATGGGACATACTAGTGCTAAAAATTATGTATTGTTCACCTGAAATCCAGATTTCTATGAGTGTCTTAGAGTTTGACATGCTCCATCTGGTAGCCCTAGGCACAGTCACTGTTGCAAATGGTGCCGTCTTAGGACACGCACTTTTAATGTTGTATTGTGACGTCCAGATGAAATTTGAGGAAGTGATTTGCATTGTCTTGATTTCTTAAGTAAAAATACATTTTACTTTTATTTATTTATTTTTAATTTTCTCTTTTAATTGATTTTATTTTATTTTATTTTATTTTATCCTCACCTGAGGACATTTTTCCATTTTTTGTTCAGGTAGAGTGGGAGGGAGGGAGAAGAACAGAGAGAGAGAGAAACATCGATGTGAAAGGGACACATCGAGTGGCTGCCACCCGCACGACCGACCAGGGCCGGGGACAAACTGCAACTGAGTACGTGCCCTTAGCGGGAACCGAACCCGGGTCTCTCTGGACCGCAGGCCGACGCTCTAACCGCTGAGCCAAACCGGCCAGGGCTCTTTTAATTGATTTTAGAGAGTGAGGAAGGGAGAGGAAGAGAGAGATAGAAACATCGATAAAAGAGACCATCGATTGGCCGCCTCCTGCACACCCCACATTGGGGATCGGGCCCACAACCTGGGCCTGGGCCCACAACCTGGGCCTGGACCCTGACCGGGAATCGAACCGGCGACCTCTAGGTGCATAGGTCATTGCTCAACCACTGAGCCACACTGTCTGGGCAAACATACATTTTGCTTTTAAAATGAAGTAACCTGAGGGGATAATAGTTGATGGGTATGTTTTATAGATCTTGGATTAAAATGAAAGCGCACAGACCTGCAGAAAAGCTATTATGAATGTAACTTGTTAGTACATTTATGACGTTGTTGTTTTGACCACTTTTGTTTCTGGGTGAACTGGGCTGGCATACAGCCTCACTGATCACACGAGCTGTTAAAATATGGGGTCTGTATGTCTCCGGGTAACAAACACAAGCCCCATAACATCTCCATCTCTAAATCAACTGCTTCAGAATTCAGTATTTGATCATGATACCAGTTTCGGAAATGTTGTGACGCTACATAGAATACACAGGGCTTTCTCAATAACAAATTTCAGAGCTGAAGAAACGGAAAGTGAGACATTTCCTGCCAACCGCCGAGTATAAATTTTATCGTATTTATCCTTTTCCCAGTAATCATTTTCCAACAACATGATTAAAATCTAAATGAGGTGTTTTGGGCGCTGTACCTTTTTATTTTAAAAACGATTTGATCATTTTAGGGGCCTCCATCATTGAAGCTGGGACCTCGGAAAGTTACAGAAGCGACACAGCAAAGCTGTACTGGCATGGGATCGGGTTCCTGAGTTATGAAATGCCTCCAGACAGCATCCTTCAGGTAAGAGCAGGAGTATCCTGTGGATGTTTTAGGACTTTGTCTTATTTTTTGTCATGAAAACATTAATGTTTAAAACGGAGACACCTCTGAACTTGTCACAGAATCCAAACCCAGCCCTGTGCATATTCATTGCCATTCAGTGACATGAATTAGTTCTTATTTTATGGTCAGTAAACTATGGTGGGTTAACTAATTAATGATTGATGTATTATTTGAAGATCAGTAAACTAGATTATTTATTCTCAAGTAGGACACACACAGTCGGCATCTTTCAGGGGATCCGTGGCTCCCTGCCCAGCAGAGTCCAGTCCCTCGACGCCGGTGTCGAAGGTCCACCCCGGCGCTGTGCTGTTCATGCCAGCTCATTCTCAGAAAGTCCACTAGTAACAGGAGACGTTTCCAAATAAGATTCCCGCGAATATTTCCCTTAAACCGAGGGCAGTAGACACGGACAGATGGTAGGGCTCTTCACACTGGGTCTGCACACGAGAAGTTAGTTTCCAGTTCAGAAATACTCTCAGGGGCAGACCTTTGAGTCTCACTCCAGAGTACAGTCTAAATCTGGAAAATGGTATTTCATTTTTCCCCTTGACGCCAGCACCAGGACCAACATCAGTACCATTATCACCACCACCACCATCTCCATCACCACTGTCATCCTCACCACCACCACTATCACCTCTGTCACCTCTATCACCATCACAGTGATCACTACAACCACTATCACTGTCTTCTCCACCTCCAGCGCCATCAGTCTACCACCATCACCACCATCATTATCAACATCACCATCACCACCACCATCACAGTGATCACTATCACCATCACCACCACCATCACAGTGATCACCATCACCTCCATCACCATTACAGTGATCACTACTACCATCACTACCACCATCACTATCACCACCACCACCATCACCATCACCATCACCATCATCATCATCACCACCACCACCATCACAGTGATCATCACCACCACCACCATCACAGTGATCACCATTACCTCCATCACCATTACAGTGATCACTACTACCATCACTATCACCATCACTATCACCATCACCACCACCACCATCACCATCACCATCACCATCATCATCATCACCACCACCACCATCACAGTGATCACCATCACCTCCATCACCATTACAGTGATCACTACTACCATCACTACCACCATCACTATCACCATCACCACCACCACCATCACCATCACCATCACCATCATCATCATCACCACCACCACCATCACAGTGATCATCACCACCACCACCATCACAGTGATCACCATTACCTCCATCACCATTACAGTGATCACTACCACCATCACTATCACCATAATCATCATCACCCCCATCACCATCATCACTACCATCATCATCACCATCACCTCCATCACCATTATAGTGATTACTATCATCATCACCAGCACCAGCACCAGCACCTCCATCACCATCACAGTGATCACTACCACCATCACTATCACCAGCACCACCAGCATCCCATTACCACTCATACCAACTAATTGCCTTCTAGTAGCTTCTGGTCTAGTTAGAACACTGAAAGAAAAGAGACTCACATAACAGGTCTCTGACAGATATAAGCATAACATGAGTTGGAAGAACAACCAACCTTCTGGGTGTCTGAAGTTTTGTCGTTTGCTACACATCCCATACCAGGGCCTTCATCGTATAGGCATCACAAGGTCTGTGGTCAACAGGGTCAGCTGGCCAATACTGTAGGAGTGAATTTATATAAACAGGTAAGAGATGAACTGCGTTTTCTTTCCAGCCGGACGTTCACCCTGGCAAGTGCTGGGCTTTCCCAGGTTCCCAGGGCCACGCCCTCATCAAGCTCGCTGGGAGGATCATACCGACCGCTGTTACCATGGAGCACATCTCAGAGAAGGTGTCTCCCTCAGGAAGCATCTCCAGTGCACCCAAGGAATTCTCTGTCCACGTGAGAAGCTATCTAAATCTCCCGGCGGGGCTTGTGGTAGAGGAGGTGGGCCAGGAATTAGGAGCTGGGATCTCCTCTGAGCTGTGCAGCTGACCATTTGCATCACTGTGAGAACGTCACTTGTTTCCTGGGCTCCCCTTGGTCATCTGCAAAGTGAGAGGGTTGGACCAGATGATTTCTGTGACTTAATTTTACTTTCATCAAAGTCATACATGCATCATGAAACAGCGACCATCTCCACACGTTCACGATGAGACACGGTTTGTCTTTGTTCTGCTTCTTCTGCCCCCTTCCCACCCCCCAATTCTTACTCTCCAGAAGCTTCCACCCACAACAGTGTTAGCTGAAAATAATTATTTGGATTCTTGCATTCATGGTTGCTGATGCTAATTTCTTGATTCCTCAGTTTTGGTTGCTATCTCCTGATGTTCTCTGGTGGGAAATGATGATGAGCTCTCTTCATGGCTTCCTGGCCTCCCATGAGCTTGTGTCTTTATTATTGAGACGTAAATCACACACCATGTAATGCATCCACTTAAAATGAACACTTCAGTGGCTTTTGGTAGTCACAGAGCTGTGCATCCATCACCATAACCAATTTAACACATTCTTATCACCCTCAAAGAAACCTGTCCCTCTTGGCTGCCACCTCCCATGCCCTCTCAGTCCCCCAGCCCCAGGAGGCCGCCCGTCTACTGTGACTATAGCTTGGCCTGTGGATGCTTCACAGAAGAGGAATCACATGGGTGGTCTTTTGTGAATGGCTTCTTTCACTTGGCGTCGTGTTTTCAAGGTTCATCTATGTTATCTTTTGTTTTTGAAGTGGCTGAAAATACTTCATTGTGTGGACAGACCACGTTTTGTTTACCCACTGGTTGCCTGGTGGACCTCTGAGTCGTGTCCACATTTTTAGCTGTTATGCGCGGTGCTGCTGTGAGCGTGTGTCCCGTTTTCGAATGGGCGTTGGTTCTCTCTCTTGGACCTGCCCCTGGGGGTGAGGCTGCCGGGTGCCGCGGGAAGCGTATTTCGTCTCGGGCAGGGCTAGATGATCCATCTTACTTTTGGTTGTAATCATGGCTCCGTGTTTTCACTGCGACAATGGGACTCTGTTGTTCGTGGAGCCATGAAGGGTCCTCAAATATCGTTTGCTTAGTGTAAAATGTTTGACGTGCCTGAGGATGACATGTGCCTCATCTTGACCTCTCTTCACAAGTGTAAACACCCTCCCAGTATGTTCATTCATGACAGATGATTTACACATTCCGTTTTCTGACCGTCGCCAGCTGGCCGGTGCACAGGGCTCCAGGCGGTTCCCTGTCCTGAGAGCGTGGTGGTCCTCGCATCTGGGTCTGCGTTTTCTTCCATCATCTCTTTCTTCTTTTTGCTTTTTGTTCTGCCTTTTGAAAGATTTCATCAATTGATTTGAACTTCTGTGTTGAATTTTTCACTTCGTTATTCTTTCTCTCAGTCCATGGGACGACGCTCGATCCACTGAGCCACACCGGCCGGGCTCTTCATGATTCTAAGACGTTTTTCTTCTCAAGAGTCCTCTGTGCAGAGTCTGCTTTCCTCTTTCATGGACGCAGTGTCCTCTCTTGAGCCTGGATACAAATGGACGTCACAGTTTTGTTTCATGTTCTCAGCTCCGTCCTGTGTTGACAGGGTCTTCGCCTTTTTCGGTAGGTGTTTTCCTCACCTGCCTGGGATGCTTCTTTGTCACATCCAGGAGCTAACCAGTGAAAGGCTGGTGGGAGGCTTTGCACACTGGGGGGCAGGGCAGGTCCACAGGGCAGTGCCTGGTGGGGCCATTTCTTCTGGAGTCTGGAGTGTGGAGCTGGCCCCTGCCCCCGGGAGGCATCCTGTTCGGTGACCACATGCTGGGCCTGCCGGACAAAGAGGTGTGTGGCCCACCATTCCGAGCCTGGGCACGCCTGCACCGCCCATATCTGCAGAGTGCTCCCAGGCCAGCTGTCCAGGAGCTGGGAGGAAGAAGACAATCCTGGGCTGGGCTAGGGCAGGGGTGGTGACCCACCAGGCACTGGGGGTCTAACTGCTTCTCCAAAAGGCTGTCAGCCCCCCTGGAATCTGGGCACTTCTGCAGCCCCAGGAAAGTTCGTGCCTTCTCTGGGCCACCGCCCCAGTCCCCTTGGCCAGCTGCAGGTGCTTTCTAACAGGTTTATACCCTGCTCCATCCCTTGGTGTCCGGTCTGGGGGAGGGCTCAGTTTCATGAAATGCCTCTGGATCTCAAGTTCGACACATTTGGGTGCATAGGGTGGTACTGGCACCTGGCACAGCACTGTGCCCTGGGGACCCTGAGGTGTCTGGAGAATGGATGCTGCCTCCACTATTCTGATGGGGTACCCACTCCTGACAGCCTGCTTGTCTGTCACTTTTTCCACAGGGCATCTCGAGTGAGTGTGAAGGAGAAGAGACTTCCCTAGGTCAGTTTGTATATAACAAAACAGGAGACACTGTGCAAACCTTTGAGCTCCAGGTAACGAGCGCACCGGCAGGGTGTGGGGCTCCATCCCTGGGAGGGGTGCGCCGGGGTTGCATGATGCGCAGTGGTGATAACGGGACCAAAGTGTGAGGTGCGCCAGGCTTACCTGAACTTCAGTTCTTAGCTCCAAGTGCTTATGTGCATTTTAGTGCAAAAGACAAGCAAATACCAAAGTGGCTTCTGAGCCTAATTTGCCCTCATTTCTATCACTTTAAAAAACATAGAGGTTCACCTTCTCAGCCTTTATCCTACCTGTTTGGTTCCCTGTACTGTTAGGTTAGATAGTCACTGACTCACCATCCTCAAAAAGGGACAGCGCCCTGGCCGGTTTGGCTCAGCAGTTAGAGCGTCGGCCTGCGGTCCAGAGAGACTCGGGTTCGGTTCCCGCTAAGGGCACGTACCTCGGTTGCAGTTTGTCCCTGGCCCCGGTTGGGGTCAGGTGGGTGGCGGCCAGTCGATGTGTCTGTCTCACGTCGATGTTTCTCTTTCTCTCTTCCTGCCTCCCTCCCTCTCGCTGTATCTGATGAATGCAAAAATGTCCTCAGGTGAGGATAAAAAAATAAAGAAAGAAAAGAAAAAGGTCAGGGTGATGGAGCGTGTGACATGGTTAGGGGCAGAGAGACCTTAGAGGAAGAGAGAATAAATACTTCGTTCCAGATAAGATCGGCAACCTTCTCTTCCTAACTCAGTGAGAAAAAATACCAGCTGTTAACATGTAACCCTGCTGAAGGTCATTCAGGTACATGAGACATATTCTCATGGTCTCTCATGGGCCACTGCCAGTAATGAGATGTAGAGGACACACCGCACCATGTAGAAAGAGGGTTTCAGGAGGCTGCTTGGCCAACGGTGAGGAAACCGTGCGTTAGAAATGAATGTTTCATATGTGCTTGAATATCCGTGTCTGTCCCTCCCCGGGGTGGCCAGCAGGCAGCCTTGTGGGGGTGGCAGTGGCAGGGAGAGCACGTGGCTGTCCAGGCCACCTGTCATCATCTCCACCCTGCACGTCTCGTTAGGACCTCCTTACTTACAGGGGCTCGCATCTCAGCCTTCAGAGCGTGTCCGATTGTACTTAAGGCAGGAGAGACGGACCTTCCCATCACGTCCGCTTCCGTAGGGTTCTTCGAGATGGATTTCTTGTTAAGGCATTAATTGGATCTTTTCTTTATTTACAGCATGAAGTTTCTGAACCTATACTGTGTGTGAAACTTAAAATCCTCAGCAACTGGGGACACCCAAAGTACACGTGTTTATACAGATTCAGGGTCCACGGCAGCCCGGAGGACCACAGCTAGAGGGCCCGATGCCTTTGGCCACGGCCACGGTCTGGATACTCATGTTCTTATCCCTTAGACTCCCTGCATGCGTAGGAATCGAATATTGGGTTCACACTTGCCAGTAAAAAATGAATGAATTTTACTAATAAAAACCATGAAAGTGATTTCAATCTCCTTGTGGTGCTTTAGCTTTTGAGGATGAATCACAGTGTTGGAGCACTGACAAATGAATTTGTCTAGAAGACGACGTATTATTCAACAGCCTTTCTCATAAACAGCATCTTTGCCTTTGTTCATTCCTTCATGCCAGGTGAACACGGATCGGGAGGCCCTGGTCAATGCAACTACATAGCCAAAGAAATTAGAGGTTAAAAGTAGTGAGGAAGTCTGAGAATGAATATTTGCAGATGACTTGATGAATTCCTTGAAATGCAATAAAATGTATTAAAAAATACAAACAAGGAAAAACTGCAATGAGTTAGTGGATACAAAATGATCACTGAGAAATCAGCATTATTCATCAGTACAAACAACCATCAGTTAGAGGATATAATTTACACAAGCCACGACAAACGTTTTTAAAAAACATATAAAAGAAGAAATAAAACTGCCTGTTTGAAGAAACTCCCAGACATGGCTGCCAAGAGGGAAACTTGGACAAGTGGGAAAAACCCTTGGCAGTTCGCGGTCTTTGCCGCTGTGAAGACCTGACTCCTCTAGTTCCAGCCCCACTCCTGACCACCATTTAAGGACAAGATGAGGGCACTTCTTGCACAATAAACAAACATAATAAACGTCAACACAGTTCCCCAGACCATTCTGTGGCTGAGTGACTAACCCCTGGGGTGTGGCCTATTTTAAATCCGAAGGGGCTTCACTGGCTACACCCACAGCATTTGAACACATCCCTTTGGGAAGCTCAGTCTCACACAGGCTCCCAGAGATCTCTGGGGATCTCCATCCTTGGGACCATTTGTAAAAGATGTAGGGAAATAGTGTCAATAGATTATCGACACCGGATTATTAATCTGCTAAATTTAATTGAAAATTTAAATTTAAGGAAACTGCAAGTGTGCATAAGATTCCTCTTGTCTTTCAAGAAAAGATCACAGCTTAATTTTATATTTATTGGGTCATACTTCCTTCTATTATTTGGGCCTTTGTCTATTGAGAATGTATAATCACACATGACTGAGGAAGTTTTTAAAGAGTTTTATTTTTTATTTATTTTTTATCCTCACCCAAGGATATTTTTTTTTCCATTTTTTGTTCAGGTAGAGTGGGAGGGAGAGAGAGGAAGGGAGAGAGAGTGAGAAACATCGACGTGAAGGGACACATCGAGTGGCTGCCACCCACACGACCAACCAGGGCCGGGGACAAACTGCAACCGAAGTATGTGCCCTTAGCGGGAACCGAACCCGGGTCTCTCCGGACCGCAGGCCGACGCTCTAACCGCTGAGCCAAACCGGCCAGGGCTAAAGAGTTTTATTTTTTATGGAATAGAATTAAATGATCTAAAGTAAAGGTCAATTTATTATGAAACATTGTTTACAGCACTTACTTAGATACGTTTTAAAATCATGTTCATAATCTCTGTAGCAACCACCTCTATTAATAATTTGCCACCTTGGCCCTGGCCAGTTTGGCTCAGCGGTTAGAGCGTCAGCCTGCGGTCCGGAGAGACCCGGGTTCGGTTCCCACTAAGGGCACGTACCTCGGTTGCAGTTTGTCCCCGGCCCTGGTTGGTCGTGCGGGTGGCAGCCACTCCATGTGTCCCTTTCACGTCGATGTTTCTCTCTCTCCCTCCCGCTCTATCTGTACAAAAAAATGGAAATATATCCTCGGGTGAGGATAAACATAATAATTTGTCACCTTAAAAATTAATTTACTAAGTAATAAAGCATGTTGTTAACAAAAATACTCAATGTGACATTATATGGTGTTTGGTTTGCCAGCACTGGTCTGCAGCAATGCAGACAGGAACTTGGCTTCCTGCCGTAGTCTTAAAACAGCACCGTTGTAGGAATCTAGCTTCCACGTCAAGTTAAAAGCAAACTGCAGGCTCCTATTTCCAAGCACAGGAAACACCACACACGGTGGCCCACCGGTGTGGCTCCGTGGACTGAGGTCCTGGTTCCACTCCTGGTCGGGGCACCTGCCGGGGCTGGGGACCCAGTGGGGAGGGGGGTGCGCAGGACGCAGCCGATGGATGTTTCCCTTCCTCTTTCTCTAAGAAATCACCTGAAAACACACACAGCGCGGAGGGCGGATCAGGAGGAGGGCGTCACCGGGGGAAGGAGGGACATCGTAACAAACATACATGATAACGATAAACACGCGCTGTTCGCAGGGATAAGCTTGTCCCGAAAGAGCCACGGCGGACACGGTTCCGTTCGGCTCCCGTCCCCGCGCCGTTCCCGGGACTCGGCGGGGCGGGTCGGGGGCAGCGCGGGAAACCCGAGGTCAGCGCCGTCTGGACCGGTCACGGAAACCACGTGACAGCCTCCGCCCGCGCGGCGCTCCAGGGCGGGGCGGGCCCGGCGCGGAGGGGCGCCCCTCGGCCCGGCCCTGGGCCCCCGATCCCGGAAGGTGTTGCATGTCTGAGGTTCCGACAGACCTGGCAGTGGGCCGCGCGTCCCTTAGTCCTCGGAACCGCTTCGCACACCGGGGGGGAGGACGCCGCGTTCCTGGAGCAGGTGCCGGTCGCCCCGGGGGGCGTGTCCCGGGACCCGCCGGCCTCCCGGGGCGGAGCCTGCGCAGGGCGGGGCGGGAGAGCCGGGCGGAACCTACGAGCGCGCGGCAGCGTTTCCGGCCGGACACGGAGGGCGGGACTCCAGTCCGCCGCGGACAGCGCTCCCCGGGGGTGTGTCCGTCATGAAGTTTCGCGCCAAGATCGTGGACGCGGCCTGTCTGAACCACTTCACGCGTGAGCGGGTCGCGGCCGCCCGGGGTGCAGAGAGGAGCGAGGGGAGGGCGGGCCGGCAGGCGGAGGGCGGCGGGCTTCCTGCGGGGACGGCGGGCGGGGCTGAGGGGCTGCGGGGCTGGGGGGGCTGCGCGGGGCTGAGGGGCTGAGGGGCAGCGCGGGGCTGAGGGGCAGCGCGGGGCTGAGGGGCTGGGGGGCTGCGCGGGGCTGCGCGGGGCTGAGGGGCTGCGCGGGGCTGAGGGGCTGAGGGGCAGCGCGGGGCTGAGGGGCTGCGGGGCTGGGGGGCTGCGCGGGGCTGAGGGGCTGCGCGGGGCTGAGGGGCAGCGCGGGGCTGACGGGCTGAGGGGCAGCGCGGGGCTGAGGGGCTGGGGGGCTGCGCGGGGCTGAGGGGCTGAGGGGCAGCGCGGGGCTGAGGGGCTGCGGGGCTGGGGGGCTGCGCGGGGCTGAGGGGCTGAGGGGCAGCGCGGGGCTGAGGGGCTGAGGGGCAGCGCGGGTCTGAGGGGCTGCGGGGCTGGGGGGCAGCGCGGGGCTGAGGGGCTGAGGGGCAGCGCGGGGCTGAGGGGCTGCGGGGCTGGGGGGCTGCGGGGGCTGAGGGGCAGCGCGGGGCTGAGGGGCTGAGGGGCAGCGCGGGGCTGAGGGGCTGCGCGGGGCTGAGGGGCTGAGGGGCTGCGGGGCTGAGGGGCTGCGCGGGGCTGAGGGGCTGCGGGGCTGGGGGGCTGAGGGGCTGCGGGGCTGAGGGGCTGCGCGGGGCTGGGGGCTGCACGGGGCTGAGGGGCTGCGCGGGCTGAGGGGCTGGGGGGCTGCGCGGGGGCTGGGGGGCTCGGAGCGGGCTGCGCGGAGGCTGAGGGGCTGGGGGCTGCGCGGGGCTGGGGGGCTGAGGGGCTGCGCGGGGCTGGGGGGCTGAGGGGCTGCGCGGGCTGAGGGGCTGGGGGGCTGCGCGGGGCTGGGGGGCGGGGGGGCCGGGGCTGAGGGGCTGGGGGGCTGCGCGGGGCTGAGGGGCTGCGCGGGGCTGGGGGGCTGGGGGGCTGCGCGGGGCTGAGGGGCTGGGGGGCTGCGCGGGGCTGAGGGGCTGCGCGGGGCTGAGGGGCTGGGGGGCTGCGCGGGGCTGGGGGGCTGGGGGGCTGCGCGGGGCTGAGGGGCTGGGGGGCTGCGCGGGGCTGAGGGGCTGCGCGGGGCTGGGGGGGCTGGGGGGCTGCGCGGGGCTGAGGGGCTGCGCGGGGCTGAGGGGCTGCGCGGGGCTGAGGGGCTGGGGGGCTGCGCGGGGCTGACGGGCGCGGGGACGGGCCGTGGGCAGCGGCGCACACCCCGGAGGTTGAGCCCCGACCCGGCCCGCGGCCTCCTGGCCCTGCCGAGGTGGTTTCTGGGCGCGGACCTGCTCTCGAGTGGTGCCCGCCGCGCCGGTGGCCGGGTGACCGGGAGGCCGCAGTGACCGCGCTCGCCCCGCAGGCGTCAGCTGCATGGTGGCCAAGCTGGCCCGGGCCTGCACCCTGCGCATCCGCCCGCACAAGCTCAACTTCATCCTGCCCGACACGGCGGCGGGCGGCGGGGTCAGCATGTGGTGCGAGCTGCCGCAGGTGAGCAGAGCCCCCCCCAGTGGGCGCAGGTGAGCAGAGCCCCCGCCCCCCCAGCCCGCCCCCCCAGCTCGCCCCCCCAGCTGCCGCAGGTGAGCAGAGCCCCCGCCCCCCCAGCCCGCCCCCCCAGCTCGCCCCCCCAGCTGCCGCAGGTGAGCAGAGCCCCCGCCCCCCCCAGCCCGCCCCTCCCCAGCTGCCGCAGGTGAGCAGAGCCCCCGCCCCCCCAGCCCGCCCCTCCCCAGCTGCGGCAGGAGCCCCCGCCCCCCCAGCCTGCCCCTCCCCAGCTGCCGCAGGTGAGCAGAGCCCCCGCCCCCCCAGCCCGCCCCTCCCCAGCTGCCGCAGGTGAGCAGAGCCCCCGCCCCCCCAGCCCGCCCCTCCCCAGCTGCGGCAGGAGCCCCCGCCCCCCCAGCCTGCCCCTCCCAGCTGCCGCAGGTGAGCAGAGCCCCCGCCCCCCAGCCCGCCCCCCCCCCAGCTGCCGCAGGTGAGCAGAGCCCCCGCCCCCCCCAGCCCGCCCCTCCCCAGCTGCGGCAGGAGCCCCCGCCCCCCCAGCCTGCCCCTCCCAGCTGCCGCAGGTGAGCAGAGCCCCCGTCCCCCAGCCCGCCCCCCAGCTGCCGCAGGTGAGCAGAGCCCCCGCCCCCCCAGCCCGCCCCCCCCAGCTGCCGCAGGTGAGCAGAGCCCCCGCCCCCCACCCCCCAGCGGGCGCAGGGGACCCCATGGCCCGTGGCCCCGCAGGAGAACTTCTTCAGCGAGTTCCAGATGGAGGGCGTCTCCCAGGAGAACAACGAGATCTACGTGGAGCTCACGACGGAGAATCTCTCTCGAGCCTTGAGAACGGCGCAGAACGCCAGAGCCCTGAAAGTCAAGCTGACCAACAGGCACTTCCCCTGCCTGACCGTCTCCATCGAGCTGGTGAGGGGAGGGCGCCCCGCTGCGTGGGCCCCAGGCCGGCTTTACCGCGGGAAGGGGCCTGGTCGCCCAGTGAAAGGCCAGCTGGAGCAGGCGTCCCGCTGGACCCCGCCTCCCCTCCTGACCCGCCAGACCCGCCCGCGTGGGTTCCGTGAACGAACTGAGAACATCCCCCTGGATCCGGTGTTTCAGCTTTACCGTTTGTCCTCCCGTCCTTCTTTGTTTCCTTCACGATTCTTCTCTCGCAGGTGTCTGTGTCCAGCAGTAGCCGCATGGTGACCCACGACATCCCCATCAAGGTCATCCCCAGGAAGCTGTGGAAGAACCTGCAAGAACCCACAGTCCCAGACTGTGACGTGAGTGACGCACAGCCCTGCTGCTCCACCGCGCGAGGTGGCCTCATGTGAACCCCCGATCTGAGCTACAGTCTGTGCATACGTTGTGTTGGGAGATGATACTCATTTTCAAAGATGCTCCAGGGAGGAAATGTTTGCCTTTGGCTGTTCATGCAAAGTCCCTAAAACAGCGCTGATGTGGCAGGAATGGATGTCCCGCCCAGTCATTGCACCTCAAACTCACCCGCACTAAGGAAGTCCTGTGCCGGACCATCCTTTCTTCAGAACTGCTGGCCTTAGGCACCAGTTTGGGTTTCACAGAAAGTGATTGCTTATCCCTCATCTTGTGATGTCCAGGGTGTGACACCAAGGGGAGAGGCCACTTCAGTCCTGCTGACAGGAATCCCAGAACAACGGGGAGTAACGCTGATGCTGAGGCTCCTTTGCCTCTTGCTCAGATGTATTGGAGGAGCAATGAAGAAAACGGGGTGGAGTTTCAGTCGAGGGCGTGTCTTCACCGCCTGGGGAGCAGCCCTGTCTTGAGCCTTGTCGGGAACCCTGTCTGACACTGGTGCAGGGACTTCCTTGAGATGCTTTTTTGGGTAGAAAGACCTGAGTCCTGGGTGCACCCCCCAGAGGACAGCTGGTTCCCCTGGGCACACACAGGGCCCCTAGCTGGAGGGTGGCAGTCCACAGGGACATGTCTCGGAGGTACCATAGGGAGGCGTGAGTTAGTGAGACTATCTGATTGTTTTGCTTTCCCTATTTTATTTATTTTATTATTTATTTACTTTTTTATCCTTATCCGAGGACATTTTTCCATTTTTTGCTCAGAGTGGAAGGGAGAGAGAGGAAGAGAGATAGAGAAGAGAAACATCAACGTGAAAGGGATACATTGAGTGGCTGCCTCCCGCACGACCCAACCAGGGCCCGGGGACAAACTGCGACCAAGGCACATGCCCTTAGCGGGAACCAAACCCGGGTCTCTCTGGACTGCAGGCCAATGCTCTAACTGCTGAGCCAAACTGGCCAGGGCTTCTTTCCATATTTTAAAAAGAACTTTAGCCAGACAGTTTAAAAACGCAGGATTCCAGAGCTTCTAAGCATACACGCATCCCCAACCTAGGCAGTGAGCACGCACCGGTCAGCCCCTGGGTAGACTAACATTTTCACACTTTGGTTTTTCTCATTGGGCTTCTAGGTGAGTATTTATTTGCCCGTGTTGAAGACTATGAAGAGCGTTGTGGAAAAAATGAAAAATATCAGCAATCACCTCGTAAGTTACAACTTCTTTAGAAAAGAGCTCTGAGTGTCCCTTCAGGCCGTGTGCCTGCCCGAGGCGTGGGCTTCTTGACGCTCAGCACAGGCCCTCACTAGCCTTCCAGGTGTCCGGGAACCTGCCCTGGCGCTCTCCAGCGCCTCCCTGGGGAGAGGGTCTGCATCTGCCCCGATGATGCGCATTTGCACTTCCAGTGTATTAGCTGCGGCGCAACAGTGCTGGCTCCTTTCTTCCGTCAGGACAGAACGTTCTGCTTCGTCTGCTGTTGTGTGCATTTTCTTTTATTTTTTAATCCTCACCCAAGGATATTTTTCCATTTATCTTCAGATAGAGTGGGATGGGGAGAGAGAGCGTGCGAGCTAGTACTCCACCGAAACATCGATGTGAGAGAGGCGCATCGATTGGTTGCTTCCCACACAACCCCAATGAGGGCCAGGGACCGAACCTCAACCAACGTATGCGCCCTTCACCGGACTCGAACCCACTGCTCTTCTGTCCAAAGGCCGACGCTCTAACCACTGAGTCAGACCTGCCAGGGCAGTGTGTACATTGTCTATGAGATGCTGATATCGGCAGAGAGTTGCGTGTCCTGTGAGCCAGGACGAAGCTCCTCCTGGCCAAGCGTCTCGCTCTCCACACTCTCGTGTCTCTTCTGTGCTTCGTGCTGGGCTGCAGCAGGGCAGCGCGGGGCTGCGGTGGGCGTGGGGTGGGTGGTCCTCATCTACAGCAGGTCCTCCTGAACCCTTCCTCCACTCAGCCCAAACACTTCATTCTGTCCTTGACGCTTTTATTTTATTTTATTTTTTTTGTGGCACGTGCCCCTAGCAGGAACCGAACCCAGACTCTCTGGTCTGCAGGCTGACACTCAACCGCTGAGCCAAACTGGCCAGGGCTGTCCTTGACGCTTTTATTTTTTTTTTTTATGAATTTTTATTTATTTTTTTGTTACAGATATTTTACCTTTTTACCCCATTGGCACCCCCCACCCCACCCCCCCCTCCACCCTGTCCCCGGCTTAGTTGTCCATGTCCATTGGTCATGCATACATGCATATAAGTTCTGTGGTTTATCTCTTCCCACCCCCCCCACCCCCCATCCCCTCTTCTGAGGGATGTCAGTCTGTGCCCTACTTGCATGTGTCTGGGTCTACCGTATTCCTCAGACTTTATGTTCATTATATTCCGTATATAAGTGAGATCATGTGGTATTTGTCTTTTTCTGCTTGGCTTCTTTCACTTAGGATAATACTTTCCAGGTCCCTCCATGTCGTCTCAAAGGATAAGAGATCTTTCTTTCTTACCGCTGCATAGTACTCCATTGTGTATATGTACCACAGCTTTTTTATCCATTCGTCTACTGGTGGACACTTGGGCTGTTTCCAGATCTTAGCTATTGTAAATAGTGCTGCTATGAACATGGGGGTACATATATTCTTCCTGATTGGTGTTTCAGGCTTCTTAGGGTATATTCCCAGCAGTAGGATCACTGGGTCAAATGGAAGTTCAATTTTTAATTTTTTGAGGTAGCACCATATTGTTTTCCATAGCGGCTGCACCAGTCTGCATTCCCACCAGCAGTGTACTAGAGTCCCCTTTTCTCCACATCCTCGCCAACACTTGTTGTTTGATGATTTGTTGATTGCGGCCATTCTGACAGGTGTGAGGTGATACCTCATTGTTGTTTTATTTATTTTATTTTATTTTATTTATTTATTTTTTTATCCTCACCCGAGGACATTTTTCCATTTTTTGTACAGATAAAGTGGGAGGGAGAGAGAGGAAGAGATAGAGAGAGAGAGAAACATCGATGTGAAAGGGACACATCGAGTGGCTGCCACCGCACGACCAACCAGGGCCGGGGACAAACTGCAACCGAGCCACGTGCCCTTAGCGGGAACCGAACCCGGGTCTCTCCGGACCGCAGGCCGACGCTCTAACCGCTGAGCCAAACCGGCCAGGGCCATTGTTGTTTTAATTTGTGTCCTTGACGCTTTTAAATCTTTTTTTTTTTTTTTTAATCCTCATCCGAGGACATTTTTCCATTTTTTTATTCAGATAGAGTGGGAGGGAGAGAGAGAGAAACATCGATGTGAAAGGGACACATCGAGTGGCTGCTACCCGCACGACCCAAGCAGAGCTGGGGACAAACTGCAACCCAAGTGCATGCCCTTAGCGGGAACCGAACCCGGGTCTCTTGGGACCGCAGACCGACGCTCTAACCGCTAAGCCAAACCGGCCAGGGCGTCCTTGACGCTTTTAAAAACCACTGTCCTGATGAAGCAAAAACGTTTGATTTCCACCCTCTGCAACCCTCATCACTGTCCTGCGGCCACACCCTCCCTGCAGGACCTCCTGGACGCTTGTCCTTCCCACAGCGCCAGTTCCTTCCTGGTTCTGTCTCGCTGTCTTACCCTGAAAGCACTTGGCCTTGTCACCATAGCTCCCAGACCTTCTCGCGCTGCTGGGCAGCTTTCAGACCCTCCTCCTCTGAGTGCTCAGCGCTACATGAGTTACCTCTAGTGTCTCAGACCCCTGCTGACCTGCCAGCTTCCTGGGAGGGGACACTGTTTGTGTCCCAGATGCTGCTGTGGGACTGCAACCCGGTGGTGTTAACCTGTTGTCCCATGTCCGGGAATGGAATTCAACTTGCAGAGATCTTTGGAATTGCAAAGTTTTCTGAAGCCGAGAAAGTGTTTATGGGCCATTTCATCTTCACAGTTGTACTCACTTAAGAGTAAGTTTCTTCCAAGGCATAGCGTAGTCTCAGTTCATTGGCTTTTGGTGAGTCAGTGGGAACCGCTCCGACATCAGTGCTCCAGTGCTTGGTCTGTCTTGCTGTTTGTCCATTGTCAAGTTAGACGCGTCCTCGGGGGATGCCCTGGGGGCCTTGGGAGAGCTGTAGAGCCCTGGAGAGGCAGGGCAATCGCCTGAGGACGATTGTTTGTTCTTTCTGTGCAGCGGATGAGTCAGCGGAGGAGCCTGGGGAGAGGCCCACAGCACCCTGTGGCCTCCTCTGTGGGACTTCGGGGCCCAGCCCATTCCCTTGTCCCCTCCCTTGTAATCCTAGGGTGCCGTCCTCTTCAGCAGGACTTCTCTCGACGTTTCTTCTCCTGTCAAGGAGCCAGGCCTCCCAGGTCCCACCCACCAGCCTCCTGGCAGAGCCCAGTTCCACCTGTTTGCAGGTGTCCCTGTGGAGTTCTCCACTCTGAGGGCTCTTCCCTGTGGGGTTTCTGAGATCCCGGTCCTCCAGCCTGTCTCCTCTGCTGTGATGCCGTCCGTGCCGGTCTCTATGCTGTCAGGACTGTCCTACGGGTTTGTGGGGCTCCCTCGGCACCTGTGAAGGCAGCTGATGTCTGGGTGTTTTAAATATTTTTTTGCTTTCCTTTTGTTATTTAAAACTGTGTGAGCCCTGGCCGGTTTGCTCAGCAGTTAGAGTGTTGGCCTGCGGTCTAGAGAGACCGGGGTTCGGTTCCTGCTAAGGGCACGTACCTCAGTTGCAGGTGGTCCCCGGCCGGGTCTGGTTGGGTCATGCGGGTGGCAGCCACTCGATGTGTCCCTTTCACGTCGATGTTTCTCTCTCTCCCTCTCTCTCCCTCCCACTCTATCTGAACAAAAACTGGAAAAATGTCCTCGAATGAGGATAAAAAAACAAACAAACAAAAAAACTGTGTGAAAGCCCTGGCCAGTTTGGCTCAGCAGTTAGAGCGTTGGCCCGTGGACCAGAGAGTCCGGGGTTTGGTTCCCGCTAAGGGCATGTACCTTGGTTGCAGTTCATCCCCCGCCTCGATTGGGGTTGTGTGGGTGGCAACTTGTCAATGTGTCTCTCTCACATCAATGTTTCTCTCTCTTTCTCCCTCTCTCCCTGCCGTTCTATCTGAAGATAAATGCAAAAAAGGAAAAGGTCCTTGGGTGAGGATAAAACTGTGTGAAATACTGCATTTTCAGATCATCGAAGCAAACCTAAACGGAGACTTGAACTTGAAAATAGAATCTGAACTAGTGTGTGTCACAACTCATTTCAAAGATCTTGGAAATCCCCCATCAGGTACGTTTCTGGTGTGTTGTGTTTTGCTTCTGAAAAATTGTTTCATACCTTACTGAGGCCTCTAAATAATGAGAAGAGTTAAAATGTGGGTGATGCTTGGGGAGAAAACAGACAACAGGCTGGCTCACCTGCGGCTGCAGTGGGTGCGGTGTGAGAAGGTGGGCCTCCCGGGCAGAGGAGCCTGCACTGGAACAGAAGGGTGGCCCAGGGTCGGGACCTGGGGCCGAGGCCAGTGATCTCCCAGGGCCCTGCCAGCCTTAAGTCCCTGTTTCTGCTGCTAAAAGATGGCAGGTTCTCACCTGAAGTGCAGCCAGAAAGGTAGATGACATTTCTTATTTTCACCTACTTTGGTCTCTTTAACACTTACAAAATTAGGTTAGCAAATTAGACTTTTCTCACGTGATCGATTGTCTCATACAAGGGATAAGGAGCCTCGGGGAACAAGGGCGGTTGACGCAATTGGAGCCTGTGGGGCAGTCACAGAGTGGGGGCGGGGGGCGGTGGGCAGAGGGAGTGAGGCCGAGGACCTGGGAAAGTGATGTGAAACCCTTTTAGTCACTTGTGTGTCCCAAACAGATGCACCAGGCCCCTGCCACTTTCAGAACTGACATGTCGCTCGGGGGCGCTTGGGCACATTTCAGTGTTGCTGCGAGGCTGGGACATCCCTGTGGGGGGGTGCTGTGCAGCAGGTGAGGTCCACGTGGGCAAGGCTTTGATGGCAGCTGAGCGAGACGACTCACTCTGGTCTCACTCACCTTGTTTTAATGAACCACAAGGGGGTCTCACTTTGATGCTTTCCAGAGTGGGAAGTTTTTCCTTTTGTTCTGGAATGAGGCCTTGTGTTAACTAGACGGAAGAGGATTAACTTAGCATTAAATAGACGAAGACTACTGACGTGGCGTTAACTAGACGAAGAGTACTGATGTGGTCTTAACTAGACAAGTATTAATGTGGTATTAACTAGAAAGAGTACTAATGTGGCATTAACTAGACAGAAGTGGACTAATGTGGTATGAACTAGATGAAGAGTACTAAGGTGGCATTAACTAGACAAAGAGTACTAACATGGCGTTAACTAGACGGAAGTGGACTAACGTGGTGCTAACTAGACGAAGAGTACTAACGTGGCATTAAGTAGACGGAAGTGGACTAACGTGGTGTTAACTAGACGGAAGTGGACTAAGGTGGCATTAACTAGACGGAAGTGGACTAACGTTGCGTTAACTAGACAGACGCGGACTGAGGGGTGCCATCTCCTTTGACCTAAGGGGAGGTTGGGTTGCATCTCAGCCCTGCAGTGGAGAGCCCTGGAGGTGGCGTAGTATTCCCGAGTCAGGGCTTGGTAACTTGCTCAATGAATGACCATGTCACCGACTCCAGCATGCTGGCGTCAGGGCGACGCAACCGGCTTATTGCAGCAAACAGTCATTGGGCTGCCTCTTGATCCCTTTCACCCCCAACGATGTGCCTGTTGCTTTAGCCTCTGAAGGTGTGTCCCAGGACAGGAGCCCGGCAGAGATGGCGGAGGTGCACGTAGACATCCGGAAGTTCCTGCAGTTTCTTGCTGGACAGCAAGTGAACCCCACCAAGGGTGTCTGCAGTGAGTTGCACTTGGAGTGTTTCCACATTCCACATGCTGTGTCAGCTGTCGTCTCCTAGGCATTATGTGGTCTTGTAAACACGTGGCAGCTCGGTCAGGTGGCCTCTGGTTGTCCAGGCCGGCCGATGTTCAGGTTTTCCCAGGCCAGAGGCATCGGAGCTGGTCTGCGCCTGGAGAGGCCAAGGGAGAGTGTGTTGACGGTCCCGTCCTCTCTTCACCGGACCTGATGTCCCGGAGCCCAGCTACTACCTGGCTGGGACCCACGATGCCCTCGTTTCCTTCCCGTGTCTCAACCTGCTGTCTGTCCTCTCCCTCTCCCCTTGGCCTCAGCACCGCACTCAGCAGCCGCACCTGAGGAAGGGCTGACTCGCCCCTCTTGCTGCTGAGCTCTCAGCCCTGAAAGGAAGCTCGCCTTGGGCGGAAGTGCCCCTGTGACAGCTGCCGCGGGCTCTAGGCCCCAGCGAGCAGAGCTGAGACAGGGAGCCCAGGAGTGGGCCTCGTAATCAGCACTCTGTAGAGAAGGGATGGAAATTCTAGATGGTTGTGTCAAGGATCAGCCCTTTAGCATGAGAGGCTGGAGGAGGGACCACAGGCGGAGCAGCCTGGGTGGGTGATGGCTGGAGGAGGGACCACAGGCGGGAGCAGCCTGGGTGGGTGATGGCTGGAGGAGGGACCACAGGCGGGAGCAGCCTGGGTGGGTGATGGCTGGAGGAGGGACCGCAAGGAGCAGCCTGGGTGCAGTGGGCGGCCTGGGTGGGTGATGGGGGGTCTCTGTCCCCTGTGCTGCATCCGCAGAGGCTTTGGCCTGGACTCTGGCATGTTGTGGGGCTGAGAGGCAGGGCCTCCACAGAGGGCAAGAGTGTTCTGTCACTGTGCATCCTCGCTGCCCGCCTCCTTCTGGCCCCTGCAGTCCCTCCGGGGCGGCTGCCCCTCCCTGCCCCAGGTCCGTGGTCAGGTCCTGGCTGCTCTTCGACCACCCCTCTCTGGGCGCCCACCTGCTTTGTGCCTCTGTGTGGGATTTGCCTTCCCCTGGCAGTGCCCAACCTTGACTTCGCAAACCACCCCCGGGGGCTGGGCGCACCAGGAGCAGGCGGCACCTTCATGGCCCAGGACTCGGGGGGGGGACCCGTGTGCGGGGCTCCACGGGAACGGTGTCTTCTGTCCACAGATGTGGTGAGTCACAAGATGGTTCACTTCGATTTGCTGCACGAGGACGTGTCCCTGCAGTACTTCATCCCAGCCTTGTCGTAGCGCCGCAGATCGCGGAGGAGCCCAGGTGACGGCCCGGACCGGCAGGGGGTGCGGTCCTCGTCTGTCCTCACCCGGCATGAATCCACATGTTCCCCCTTTCTCCCTCTATCATATTCTAACTAGAAATTGAATTAATGAAACAGTTGGATAAACAGGTTACTTTGTTTTACTTCTGTGTTCTCATGTCTGATTTGTTTTGCTCTGAAGATGCTGAAAGAGCATTTATTTGTCAGACTTCAGACAGCATTTTGTGTTGACGCTGTCACGACCCCCTACCTGCCATGCTGACATGCACTCCCCAGGCACCGTCTGCAGCTCGGCTGCTGTGGCCATCACTCTGGCAGGACAGCCCTGGAGCACTCCCCTTGCCCTGTGCTCTGTCTTCCTCGTTCTGGGGCCCAGGAAGGCGGGGATGGCCCTTCTGCCCCCCAGGTTGCTCAGAACCTCTCCGGCTCGAGCTGCAGTGTGGGACCTCGTGATGCCCATGAAGCTCTGCAGCTGCCCCAGGGTCCTCCTGAGACCAGGGTGGGCCCAGGTCACGCTTCTCTCCCGTGCGTGGGACCTGTCCTTCGGAAGGAGCACCTGTGTGTCTGACGAGGAACAAGCCTTCCCGGTCAGTGTGTCTGCGCCGCAGCTGCTCAGGGCTAGTGGACCTGCTTCCTCGTCCTGAGGCCCAACTGCCACTTTCCCTGGAGCAACTGTCTCGCCTGTCGGGCAGTGGACAGCCCCATGTTATCTTCATGTCTCATTACAAATTGAGAAATAAGGCAGTTGCTTAGAATAAGAGGAAGAAATGGGATGTGAGCAAAAGTGAAAAATTCTTTCATGGCTTTCCCTCTGATTTGCTGAAACCAGTGTACTTGAGTGACTGCTCTGGGAGTAATGCTAGTGCAGGTGGGACAGGAGGTTCGTGAACCAGCGCTTACACTCGGCGTCGTGCCCGTCGAAGCCTCTCCCTCTCTTCCACTCGCAGCCAGGTAGTCCCACTCCACGGGGGGGCCTCTGCCCGGACATGGCTGACGAGCTCAGACTCTGCTAGAGAGAATGGGCCAGTGGTTTGCCGTCTGGGGATTCGGTTACTTTTGAACGTTTGGATGAGAGTCTTGACTGTATAATGAGGGTAATGTGCTGCTTCCTAACCGGAGTTAACCATGCGAGAGTCTCAGGCCGGCACGACACGGAATCCCTTTGTGTTCCCTCCAAGAGCCCACACGCGCAGCCCTCGCCGCTGCCGTGCCACCCTGAGGACACCAGGCCGCCCAGCTGGGACAGCTCCGCCTCCGAGGCCTGCCACCAGGTCCCAGTTCAGGGACCTACCCAGGCCATACAGCCAGTGGCTGGGATGGGGTTAGAAGCCAGAATGCTGACTGCTTTATCCCCCATTCCCGCTCTGTGGCTAAGTGGCCGGGATCATGAATGATACATTTCAAAGGAAGCATTCACTGATCATTTTGCAAACGTGGAAAGAGCATCTTAATTTCAAACCTGCTGCAGTGAAGTAGGTTTCCATGAAGTTTTAGTCATAAAACCAGCTATAATTCCCCTCAGCTCTGTGTACCGTTGACTGAAGTAACACCGATCTTAAAACGGCTTGAGACTTGCTCTCCGTTGTGTGTCCATAGGGTCTGTTTCTGCTTCTCGCGGGACTCGCTGGCGCACGTGCGGGCCTCTGCCTGGGCTCGAATGGCTGGCTCCTCCCCCCACAGACCAGGGAGACGCACAGCCCTGCCCAACGGAGCAGCACCCAAAGGACCTGGCAGTTTAGTCCCTTTTTAGATGAATGGATATAATTAGAAAACTAACCAATTTCAAGACAAACATCTCGGAGAGTGGTGTTTTCTTTACAACAGCACTGCAGACCTGCTGTCACCGACTGCGCAGGGCCAGACCCCAGGCCCAGGCCCTCACTCCCGGGCCGTCCTGTGCAGGCAGGGAGTGTAAGGGCCTCCATCAGCAGCTCGGGCTGACATCCAAGCACCTGGTCACCCTCCCTGCGGGGACGCCGCTCCTGGGGTCCTGGGCTGGACGCTGGCGCTGCACAGGCAGTGAAGGTGTTCATGGCGTTCGTGTTCTTGGTGGATGCTGCCAAGTGGGCAGAGCATCGTTCAGATGACACGCAGGCTAGTGGGGTCGAGGGAGCTTGAGCATCTTTGGTTTCACAGCCTCTCAGTGCAGTCACTGACCCAGGAGGTGGAGTCACCTGTGACCCCTGTCCCCGAGGCTCTGTGGACGTCACTGTTGAGTTGCTCTCTGTGTGCTCTGTGCACACCCCCCCACACAGCACACACTGTGTGACTCACACCACATGCTTGAGCTGACCCAGACACAAGATTCCCTCTGTTGAATAATGTTTTTATTCACTGGCTTTAGGGGAAAGTGCTCCCAAGAAAAGGATGAAGGATAAAGCCAGGCTGGCAGCGGGTGAGCGGGCCGAGGTGGCCCCCGGGGTGAGGGCCGCACTGTCCACATCGCAGTGGAGGAGGGCAAGTGCGGCGGGGTCACGGCGACTCCTCTCCGGCTGCGCGGTTGAGAGAGCAGCATGCTCACCAGGCCCTTCCGTGCCCTGTGTCCCTCACTGCAACCACTGCAGGTGTCTTTGCAGAGCGAGGGCCGAGGGGCCGGAGGGCGTAGTTAGGGACCCGAAGTCGTCCCCCCACTCCCGGTGACCAAAGGATCAAACGCCTCCGGGGCCACCTGTCAGTGTTTGCACACCAAGCTCTGGTATTTCACTGTGTTCTGAAGCCAGCGGGGGAGGGAGGGAGGGAGAGACACACACACACACACACACACACACACACACACTCTCTACACCGTGTGCCGACTCAGCAGTCAGGAGCTGTGCCAGACGAGGTGGCCGCTCTCAGTCCCAGGGGCAGCAGATTTGCGTTTCCTCCAGCTTGGACTATGGCTTTCGGTGTCCCTGATGGACAGCACCAGCTGTGTCACCAGGCCCCCAGGAGGGCGAGCAGGTCGCTGCAGTGCAGCTGCTGTTGGGCCTCCGGGGGGGGTCACATCAGCACCATTCAGGACACTTTGATCTGTGGGAGGGGGCGGGGAGACTGGCTGTGGGAGGATGTTTCTCAGGGGACTCACAGTGGGTGTTTGTCCACAGGTGCTAACAGGAGGAGGAGGCTGCCCTGTTGTGGGAGGATGTTTCTCGGGACTCACAGTGGGTGCTTGTCCACAGGTGCTAACAGGAGGAAGCGGCTGCCCCACTGCCCCAGGAGCAGTCATTTAAAGGCTCTCCCCGCACGCTTTGGCCCAGGGCTGTGATCGGGTGCGAGCAGGAGCCATGGGGCTGGGGTGCGGGCTGCTGGTCCCAGCCCTGGCCCTGCTTTCCCTGCTGCCGCCCATTCCTGGGAGCCACTCGGAGAAAGGTAAGTGGACTTCTACTGAGATCTAGCAATCTCCTCTTCTTTTTGCCTGCGTTCAATCAGTTACCAAAATGTGCCGGGCTCCATGTGCTGGCCGGGAGGGCTGGGTGCTGGGAGGGTCAAAGCACTGCGACAGAAGAGGCCTGGTTGTCGCTGCTCTCCAGTGTGGTCTCCTCTAGGTGTGTCTGTTAAGTCCCCGTGTCCTGTGGAGTCAGGAGGGTATTACACCTGAAACAGAATCTGTGGTTAAAAAATCCAAATAGTGGGTTTTTGTTCATCAAAACTTAGTGAAAACTTGCCCTGGCCAGTTTGGCTCAGTGGTCCGAGCGGCGGCCCACCCACTGAAGGGTTGTGGGTTTGATTCCCTGTTAGGGGCATGTACCTGGGTTTCAAGTTTGATCCCTGGCCTGGTCAGGGTCCTGTGGGAGGCAACCAGTCCAGGTGTCTCTCATGTTGATGTTCCTGTCTCTCAGACTCAGTCTCTCCCTCCCTCCCACTCTGTTTCTATCTAAAAATTAATGGAAAAATATCCTCAAGTGAGGATTAACAACAACAAAAAGCTTAGTGAGAACAAGGGACAGGTGGGAGGCTGGGTCCATGCTTTGCTTCTGGAAGGCTCCGCGCTCCTGCCTGCCACGCAGGCTTCTGTCCTCAGCTAGGCCGCAGGGGCCCCTCACGTCCTGGAGAGTCTGGCAGCTCCTGAGCAGGGGCTTCCGTGGGATTTTCTAAAGAAGCCATCTCGAAGCCACTGAGCTAGGTGCATTCGGAATATTTGCTCTTGAAGTCACCTCGAGAGCTCCAGGTGGCGCTGTCCAGCCAGCCCCACCCACAGCAGCCCTCTGTCCTCATGGTCCTGCCATGCTGGTGGCAGAGGGATCACCCTGAGGTGACAGACCACGGGCTGCCAGCCGCCCGACCTCTCCCCGGTGCTTGACAAGCTGTGTCCGGACACTGTGCCCCAACATGGGGCTGATCAGATGGAGAGGCCAACCCTGACCCTAACCTCTGAGTTAAACTCAGGCAGCCCTGTGGCCGTGGCCAGCACGCATGCACCACACAGGGAGGATTCTGCGGCTGCGGCCAGCACGCGGGCACCGCACAGGGAGGATTCTCCCTTAGTCCCGTCACCTCCCTGCTCCTTGTACCGGCCCGCAACATGGGTTAGCTGTGCGGCCTTGCACCCTTCACTTCTGGGCCGTGTTGAGTACGTCTGGTCCCACTGGGAAGGGAAAGGTGGAGCAGGAATCGCCCCTCTGAGCCCTCTGACCTGGGGTGGCGCCAGCTCAGTGGGCCGGTGGCTCTGACCGCTCCCTGTAAAATCACAGGAGGGTAAAATCACATTCTCTCCAGGTCAGGGCACAGGCTTCAGGGGGCCTTGGCGTGCGCTGGTCCTTCCTGCAGGCACAAGTCCCTGGTGAAATGAAAGTACATGTTTCCTGAGGTCTCTGGGGTTCACCCCCAGCAGACACAGCGGAAGGAACCAGAGGGCGAGGCGAAAGGAGGGCCTGGGAGGGGCCAGGTGACAGTGGGAGGCCTGAGTCACACCCAGCAGCCACCTTAAACCCCCAGGGGCTCGGGCTCTGCTGACCCACCAGCCTGTCAGAGTCTGGGAAACAGTGAAGTCCTGAGAAAGTGTCACACAGACGTGCCTGAGCCCAACCCTTCCGAGCCCCCCCACCCAGGAGCCAGCTTGAGCCACAGATACCCTGGTCTCCATCCCCGGCTCTCCGGGTGAGGACAAACCCACACACAGCCCTGCAGCCGGGAGAGGGGTCTCAGTGAAACACTAAGTGAAACAGAGCTGGGGCGAGTGGGGGCAGCGAGGGTGCCCAGTGCCGTCGTCCACAGCAGACCTCAGTGTCCCTGCCGTGCCCTGGAGAGGTGGCCTGTCCCAGCAGACACAGGACCCCCACCTCGGCGCATCGATAGGAGGAGCTCTCTGAAGGGAGTGGGGAGTGCATTTCTGTCCCTGAGGCGTGGCCCTGTCCTGATACGAGGGACTCACGCTGTGGAGGCTGCAGGGAGCAGCTGCCCACTTCACTGTCTTCTAGGGGACCTCGGAGGAAGCCGGCCCGCTGACTGCCATGGTCGTGAGCAGCCGACCCCAGGAAAGACCTCGGTCCCGCCGGCCCAGGAGTCAGCCAAGGGTAATGCTGGTGACCAGGAAAGGTGAGCTGCCTGTTCTCGGGATTCAGAGGCTGTATTTCAAAATAGGCACGGGGCAGGTTTTCTTTCAAAAGGAATGTTCCACCTTTGTATCAGTGGAGAGAAGGTGGTTTTTCCCAAGGAGTTGCTGGGATTGAAGAACTGTGCACAGCACTGAGCTTTAACTCAAGGCTGTGCTGAGGTGACAAGGAGAGTGCAGTGACGCGGGCCTCCCTGCCTGGCCTGCGACACGGCGAAGATGCGCTCCAGACGCTGGCGGTCTCTGTGAGTTCAGGCACATCCCGAGTCTGCCACCATTTCCACCTTCCTGCCCAGAGGGTGTGAGTCTGCAGTGGCAGTGGCTGTGTGGTGTCCCGTGAACTCAGAAGGTCACCACTGGAGCCGCCAGCACAGGGTCCTCTGAGGGCTGCCTTCAGCCCTGAGAAGTGCCCTTCGCTCTCCCTGCGAACCCAGGGTGCCCTCGGTGTTCCCAGCCCTGCCCGCTGCCCACTGGGGACAGAGCTAGGCTGTCCCTTTCTGTCGGGTCCCCAGTGTGGAGCCTGGGACAAACCCAGCACCAGGGAGATGTCATTGAGACCAGGGTCTGGCTTCTAACCCTCCACAGCTTTCCGAGAACCTGCACATGTGTCCTGCTAGGGCTGGGTGGCACCGTGGGCTGTCACAGTCACATCCCCACCCTCCTGCCCCAGGCCTCGGCTTCAGGGAGGTGACCTGCCTTTGGGACTGGGGTCCCTGAGACTGGACCTGGTCCCTTGTGCTGTCGGGCTTGTTCATATTTGTTTATTTATTTTATCCTCACCCGAGGACACTTTTCCATTTTTTGTTCAGATAGAGTGGGAGGGAGAGAGAGAGAGAGAGAAACATCGATGTAAAAGGGACACATCGAGTGGCTGCCACCCGCACAACCCAACCCGGGCTGGAGATAAACCGCAACTGAGGCACATGCCCTTAGCTGGAACCGAACCCGGGTCTCTCTGGACCACAGGGCGACACTCCAACTGCTGAGCCAAACCGGCCAGGGCTTGTTCATGTTTAATTTGGGGACATGTCCCCCATCCAACTTGTGATGAAGTGAGCAGCTGCCCCAGGGCTGAGGAAGGCCATCCCTGGGAGCCTGTGCCCCAGGGCCTCTGCGCCTGCACTGCTGCCACCTCCCTGGACTGAGGCAGCCCCAGAGGCAGCCCCGTGGGACAGTCGGAGCCGGCTCCTTGGTGATGCTCGGGAACGCTTGCTCGTAAGCAGGAATCGCACAGATCGGTGATGCAAGGGAGACAGTCACGGCATGCGGCTGAGGCCGGGTGTGCCTCACCCTCAGCACGGTTCCCTTCAGCAACGGTGCAAGTTAACGAGGGGGCCAGCCCAGCACCCCGTGATGGGGACAGTTGGTGCCCATGCCAAAATGGCCAGAGGCGAGGGCCTAAACCTTCCTTCCCTGGGCCAGGGAGCAGCCTCTCGTACTGAACCATCATCTGTGTCTCCCCTCAGGAGGGCACTTCTGTCCTGTGGTGCACAGCTGGGCCGGGGTCAGGGGCAGTCTACTTACCACAGAGGAAGGGAGTTATTTGGGGGCTGGCCATGTACGAGGTGTTTTCTGGATGTCACCCCACGTGACATGGGGGCTCCGGGCCCAGGGGGTGGTCGTGTAGAGAGGAGAGGTGGGTTGGCCTGTGCTCAGGTCCCTGTGCTCAGATCTTTGCACAGAGTCCTTTGTCCCTGTCCTGGTCCTCAGGTCCCTCATTTCCCTGGCCTTCGGAAGACAAGCGTGAGGGCTGGACAAGCCTGGGATTACTCAATAGCGTAGCAGACAGCTGTGCCCAGGGACCATCTTCCTCTGCCAAAGTAGAGCTTGACCCCCCTCTTTTCCCCAATTCTTCTTAAACGGTGTCCTTGTCTGTCCCCTGCTGGCTGCTCGGTGGTTGCACCAAGAGCCAGGCTGGTGAAGACCGGTTCTATCTGTGTGGGAACCTTGGGTAAATTCAAACACACCTCAGCCGTGGCAGCCGCGTGATTTTGTTCAGATTCTGCTGGACCAGTGGCACACTCGTCAGAACCCTCAGTGGGTCCCGAGCTCCTCAGATGGAGCCGGAGCCCTGACCACAGCCTCCCTGCCTGCCAGGGGTTCCCCACGTATCCCTCCCACGCTGCCCACTTCCACCACACTGCACTGTGCCGTCCCCAACAAGCCCCACCCCCTGATGGCCTTGACTGCTGCTCCGGACGGACAGACTAGGGCCTTGGGTCCCTCGACGCTGTGTGGTGAAATGTCCTGTCTGTAGACAGTGGCCCGCAGATTTTAGTCGACACTCATATGTGCTCCACCCTCAGTGACACTTCTCACGGAGGCTTACTGGTTCTGTTTCTACCTGCGTTGTCTCCCAGGTGACACCTGCCGCAACAGCCAGGGGCAGGGGCCTGCCAGGGGGTCCTCTGGGCTGTTCCTGACCTGCGTAGGTGCCAGGAACCACCCACACTGAGCGAAGCCGGGGCCGCGTGGTCGATGCTCCAGGTGCGGGAGTGGCAGTCGACAGGTTTCCTCTCTCCCTCACTTTCAGAGTCCCTGCGGCACCCTCTGTGGGAATCGCAGGGTGTTGGAGCAGCAGAGGCCCTGGTGCCCATCGCCGACCCGTGTGCGTGGCCGGGGAAGCGGACAGTGCCTTCTGGGGGCTGGTCCAGGTGGGTGTCTGGGGGCGCAGGTGGCCTCGAGCCTGTTGGAAACCGTATTTTGAACTTCCGGTCCTTTGGACACAGCTGGACATCCTGGAGCACAGCTGAAAGTTGTCTCCGCGATAAGGGCCCATGTGGGTCACATCTGAGCACCGTGTCTGAGCTGCCAACTTGGCTCTACAGCTGATGTGAAAGCAGCTCACTTCTACCAGCCTAACCGGGAGCGCAGTGTGGCTTCTGACTGTGACTGCCCAGCTCCTGCGGAAGTGCCCCGGGGCCGCGGCGGGCTCTGGGGTGCTCTCCTGGCTCCACTAGAGGGTACGGGTGTCCCCCTTGTCCTCGATGGGCGTCAGCACTGGAAACCACCCCCCACCCAAGCTGGGCAGCTGGCTGTACAAGCTCCTGTTAGCTGGCTGTCTGGCCAAGGACACATCAGTGCAGATACGCTCTGGTCTGTCCTGACCCTCACTGGTGCCACCCTCAATGCAGTGCACCTGTCCTGTGGGCCCCTGCAGCCTGAAGGTGGAGGTCCCCTCCTGTACCGTGGGGCCACTGCATTCTGCAGAGGACACGGCCGTCCAGCTGCTTCCTGGGACCAGTGTCACCTCAGCCACTGGCACCATGAGGGCCCCCATCCAGGTGGCCGCACATGCTCAGACCAGCACCTCGACTTCACAGTCCACTGTATTGTCCAGAAGGTAAGGAAAGGGTGGCATGGTGGCCAGGGTCCACTCTCAGGGGCTCCCTGCCTTCAGGAGCTGCCCAGTGAGCTGGTGGTTTCATCGTCTTCCCTGTTCACGCCAGTAGCAGTGGCAGCCACGGCCCCTCCTTCCAGGCACAAGGCCCTGGGCCACACAGGTGGCCACCGTTTTCCACTAGTGCCCTTAAATCTCATGTTAGCCATGTGTTCAGACAAGCTGTCTGCCTGTGTCTGGTGGGCCCTGCAGGGCGCATGTGCAGGGGAGGGACCCCGGGTGGAGATCGGCCACTGAGACGCTCGCCCCGTTTCCCCGGCCATGGAAGTGTTCTTGTGCTGCTTGGAGGTCCTTCTAGTTGGTGCTGCCCCGGGACCCCACTTGGAGGATATGACTGAGCCCTGCAGTCAGGCTCTCTCCCGAGTCCTGTCCCTCCTGGTGACACGTGCCCGCTGTGTCAGACCGTCGTGAGGCCTGAGGCTCTGACCCTCTCCCACAGCCTCTCCACGGCCCAGCCTGGTCGCCAGCAGCCCTGGTCCCTCGCTCAGTGTCACGCCAGAGCCATCCCAGCCCCGGGTCCTGACGATGCGGAGGGTCCTGTCATCCATCGCTCACTGCAAGCTGGCACTCAGGCCCCTCTGGGTCTGGGGTTCCGGGTTCAAATGGCTCCCGAAGCCGCTCTGTGTCTGGTGATGGACTTCGGGGACGGTTCTGGGGTTCAGATGAGGGTCCACCGTGCATCTGGGGAAATGGCCATCACTGCCAGCCACCAGTACAGGAGAGGTATGCGCTGGGCTTCAGTGCCAGGAGCACACGGGGACAGGCTGACGGGAGTGAGAGCCAAGGAACGGGCTGGGGACACTGGGACCAAGGGGACCCTGGACGGTCAGACTCCCATCCCAACAGCAAGGGCTTAGGAGCTGCGCTCTGCCTGCCCATCTGCACTTTCTTCCCCACCTGCTACCAGCCCTGGGGCAGCATGCGCTCTACTCACAGGACAGGCGGCCAGCAGGGCAGGGCCTTGTCCCGAGGGCTGAGGCCTGGCCCCTGCTTTCTGCATGGGAAGAGCGGAGCGGACTGAAAGCCGTTTGCTAAGATCACGGGCTTCAGTTTTCCGTTCCGCAGACCGTGGCGGATGTGGAATACGTGCACTGTGCACTTCGCGGTTGGCGGGGTCCGGGGACGAGGCAGGCAGCAGTGTGGGGCTGGAGAGGGAGGCATAGCCCCCGTCCCGTGGCCGAGCCCCAGGAGGGGTCCCGAGGGAACCCTGCAAGCAGAAAAGGGAGGCTCCCGGACAGGTTTGTGGTAGGGAAGTGGAGCCCAGTTCTGTGGGGCGAGGACCCAGGTGTGCGTGGGGCCAGGTGGGCAACTGGGACCCACTCAGCTGAGGGTGAGGGCCACCGAATGACTTCACCCTGGGACCGTCAGAAGTCACCTAACATTTTAAAGCTGGGGAGTTGAATGAGCACCTGAAAACCCACATGTGAGGTTGGGGTTAGAGCTGCTGATGTTTCTTCAGCGGGATCGTCATTGCCTGTGGCGCATCACAACCACCCACAGCCCATAAAGCACAGGTGTGCACTCAGCCCCAGATGGGCTCCAGCCAGGGGCTGCTCCTGGAGGCGGGCTGGCTGCCAGCTGAGTGGCGGGGGCCTCAGGCCTGCGTCTCGCATCACCCAACGGGCTAGCCGGCCTCCTCACAGGGAGACAAGCAGGCGAGAGGGGTCCCAGTGCGTAGACAGGTCCAAGTCCACTGGCCAGAGGCCAGGGCCAGTTCAAAGTGGAGAAACAGGCTGCGCCACAATGGGACGACCTACAGGTCACGTGTGGTCGAGTCAGAAGGGTGTGAACCAGGAAGAGCTGGGCTGTCCCTCTAACCTGCCATGGGAGATCTCTGGCGCATTCCGTTGGACGGTCTGCGGAACGGACCGTTAGGTGTAGTTCTGCCAGCTGTGGGATGCCAGTATCTATTTTCATTCTTGAGACTTTCCCACTGCACAGAATTAGCTGCATAATTCTCACCCGCCCAGTGTGGCTCGCTGGTTGAGTGTCAACCCTGCACCAAGAGGTCCCGGTTCTATTCCCGGTCAGGACATGTGCCCGGGTTGTGGCCCCCAGTGGGGGGCATGCAGGAGGTGGCTAGTCGATGTTATTTTTTATCGATGTTTCTCTCTCTCTCTCTCTGCTTTCCTCTCTAAAATCAATAAAGAAAGTATATTAAAAGAAATTCTCAGGGCCCAGGGCAAAATGAAAATGCCACAGCCCTTGTTAGAAAATTATGAAGTTTTGAGGCAGCAGAGTGTCGAGCCACACGCAGTGCCCTATTGAGTGAGGGGCCCTGACACTTCAGGGGTCTCACCACACAACGGCCCATTCCCACAGGAGGAAACAGTCCCTTTTCCTGTCATTTTCCACGGCAGCCACCCCTCGTGGCCAGTCCACACATGTTAGCCGCTGCGCATGCTCTGACGCTCACAACGGCTGCCCTTCCTCTCTGCAGAAGGCGTCTACACGCTGGAGGCGGCTCTCGGCAGCGAGTGTCTCGGTGCTGAAGTGCGGCTCGGGCCTTACTACGTGGAGATGGGCCACGGGGCCGTGTCCGTGTTCGTGAACTCCAGCAGCGTCCGTGGGGACCAACTTCTTGCCTTTGGTGGCTCCTCCATGGATCCGAGAAGTAAGCTGTCCCCTCGGGTTGGGCAGCCAGCCCTGGGTGCTGGGCATTCGAGTGCGACCCGGCCGCCTCCCGCACAGTGGTCACCGAGCAGTCTCCCCTCGCTCAGAGACAAAGCCCGTTTCAAAGGAACTAACACTCACCGTGCAGGGCGTTCTCTGGAGAGAAGGCACGTGACCCTTGAGTGAGAGAACTCGTGTGACAAGTCCATGTTTCGGGTCTGTCTGACCCCGAACGCGCTCTGGGTGTGAGTCTGGGGGAAGGGCTGCGATGGGACCGGGCCGCGTGCAGCAGTGCTGCCGTCTGACGCGGTCTCCCGTCACCTCTGCTTTCCCCCAGGCTCCGTCATCACGCACCGTCTCCCCTCCATTTCCTCCTTCAATGTGTCCTTCAGCTCCCAGACTCACGCAGGGGACGGGCAGGCCTGGGACAGCCTGGCGGTTCGATTTCGGATGCAGCGTACGTCTTGTTCCAGCTCCAGATCTAGGGGAACTCCTGCAGGGGGTTGAGGGAACAAGGCCCAGCTGGCACAGCGTCTGTGATCAGCTCCGCCCGGACCCGCTCGCCCTTGAATGCGCACCGCGCTCACTGCGCTGGTCTGGGGCTGCACTGGGAGCACAGACCTGAGGCACGGCAGATGGGGGGTTTTGTGCACTTAGAGGTAGCCAGGTCACGTGATGCGCTTGGGCCCAAGTGCCCCCCAGGTTCCCACTGCTGCTGGTGTATGGTCCAGAGCGCAGATACACAGGCCCTTCCCCACTCACAGCCGTGACCACGTGGGAAGGGGCGCGCAGCTTCCCTGGATGACCCCAGCCCTGCAGGCTGAAGCACCCCCTCTCCTCCGTCTCAGCCGTCTCTGTCTACACGAATGGAACCGTGTTTGCCACTGACACCGACATCACTTTCGTGGCGGTTACCAAGGAAGCCACTCCCCTGGAGTTCACCTGGTTCTTTGGAGAAGACCCGCCGGTGAGGACAACGCACAGAAGCATCAGGAGGAGACTCACTGTCCCCCAGTGGTGCGTGCGTGGTCTGGGAATGTCGCGCTGCCTCTGCAATCCTTCTGAGCGTCACGTCGCACCTCGTGCCGCCCAGCTTTTCTGAGAGCTGGACGCAAACGTGGATTCGAGTTTGCGATGGAGGGTGGGCCTTGGAACCAGTCAGTTCCAGGTCCAGTGTGACCTGAGCACATCTCTCTCGTAAGGAAGGGTGAGAGGGCTCACCCCTCACTGTGAGGTCACTGCACAATGAAGAGGGAGGTCAACCGTGTCACCCCTCTGTCCCCAGGAAGGTTTAATTCATTGGGTGCTCCGATAACTCCTGCAGATGAACACCAGCTCTTGCCTTTCTTTGAAGTAATGTAGAGTTTCTCTCTCTGACCTGTCCCTGCTGCCCCTTCCCCGGCACCCGCAGGTACCGAGTGGTGGTCCAGGCTTCCAACGGGATCAGCAGTGTGACCTCGGAGCCCCACCGTGTCCAGGTGCAGACGAGAGTCGTCGCCAACCGGCTCACGTCCACCTCTTCAGCTCTGGTGAACGCCACGGTGGCCTTTGAGTGCAGAATCAACTTTGGCACCGATGTTGCTTACCTGTGGGACTTTGGGGACGGCACTGGCGGCCTGGGGAACAGCTCTGCCAGCCACGCCTATGGCAGGTGAGGCTCCAGGGTGCAGTGGCGTGCGTCCTGGCTGCTCACAGGTGGCCCTCTGAGGGCTCTGTCTCAAGCCCAGCAGTCTCTACTGCCTGGAGTTTGCAGTATTTGCATAACACACTGCACTTCCTTAGTGAACACCTGCTCGGCCAGGAACTGCCTGTCACACCCCGAAGCTGGGACCCTCTGCCCCTTCCTGGTCTGGCCTCACCTGCAGGCCATGGGGCCTGGACATAGGACACAGAGCAGAAAGAACATGTCTAGAGGTCCCCAATCACATGTCCAAGTGCCCATCACCTGGGTAGCCGGGGACGCCCCTGAGGCAGACAGAGTGGCCAGGCCATATGGCTGGGAGGGTTCCCGAGGAGGGAGGCAGCGAGTCCCCACATGGGTGCTTGTTTCTCACACTGCAGGTGCATCAGTCTGGGGTCAGGGCCCGACCTGTGCTGGGCGGGCAGCCGTGCCTCTGGGAAAGGGCTCGTGATTGTGATCACACAGACTTGGCCAGCGTGACAGTGAAGGGCTTGCTGACACGGGCCGAGTCAGCGTCTGTGTCTGTGCTCCCTCCCAGGGAAGGAGAGTTCACAGTCAAGGTCCTGGCCTTCAATGCCGTCAGCGCCGCCTCGCTCAGGAAGCACCTTTTCATCGTGCGCAGGCCCTGCCAGCCACCCCCTGTGAGGAGCACAGGGCCGGGGAAGGTGCAGGTGAGGCCTGCGGTCACTGACCACACGCAGCCGCTCTCCCAGGTGGAGCCCACTAGGGCGCTCATCCAGGTCAGCCCCAGAACCGAGGACCCCAGGGAGGGACACGCCTGTCCCTGGCCTTTGAGCCCATCCTTCGGTGTCCTCTACTCTGAGTGCAGCTCAGTCCCCTCGAGGAGCTTTGCATACATGGTGTGTGCCGAGAACGGGGTTCCAGCAGCACAAACAGCAGGCACGGCGGCCTGCACACGTGTCTCCCGAGGCCTGTGGCATGTCCATGGGGCAAGCCCTCCAATTCCTGAACCAACGCTTCCTCAGGCCACGAGAAGCCTTCACACGTGTTTCCGCATCTCAGGACCAACTCTCACCGCAGGCGTTTCGTAGTTCTGTCTGTCTGTTATTGTTGATGGGCCAAGAATCAGCATCTCAGTGTTACAGTGTGCTCATAAATCTGGGCAGTTCAGATAAATGTTACAATGCTTTCATATGCAGAGTAGAAACAAGAAAAATAATTGTGAAAGAATTTAAATCATGACTAAAGTCACTTAAAGAAAGCCAAAAGCAAAATTTGTTTGTAACATACCAGTGTATTTTAAAATCTTTTTTTCCAGCTCGTCGAGGGTTTCCCTTTCCAATGTTTACCAAAGATCTTCATTAAAAATCCTCCAGGGGGCCCTGGCCGGTGTGGCTCAGCGGTTAGAGCGTCGGCCTGCGGTCCGGAGGGACCCGGGTTCGGTTCCCGCTAAGGGCACGTACTTCGGTTGCAGTTTGTCCCCGGCCCTGGTTGGTCGTGGGGGTGGCAGCCACTTCACGTCGGTGTTTCTCTCTCTCTTCCTCTCTCTCCCTCCCACTCTGTACAAAAGATGGAAGAATGTCCTCGGGTGAGGATTAAAAAAACATCCTCCAGGGGGCGCCCTGCACCTGTGGTGGGCTGGCTTGGCAGTGGGTCTGAATAATCTAGAATGTTACACTGTTCCCTGGGCTGTAACTATCTTTCAATGCTCTGCTGCCCCTTTGGGGCTCTGGGCTGTTTGGGGCTGCTTGGGGCTGCTCTGAGGGGTGCTCCGGGGGGGCGACTCCGGGGGCACCTGGGGGGGCCGCTCTGGGGATGGCTCAGGGGCGGCTCTGGGGGCTGCTGGGGGTGCAGCTTTGGGGACGGCTCAGGGGCTGCTCTGAGGGTGGTTCAGGGGCTTCTCTGGGGGTTGCTGGGGGGCAGCTCTGGGGGTGGCTCTGGGGGCAGCTCTGGGGCTCTGCCCCAGCCTTGGTTTCAGAAAGCTCCCGCCCACCTGCTGACAGCATTTCAGCTCTGCAACTGTTTATCAGCATTTCTCCAATAAATACTAAAGTGCTTTCAGAGTGACAATACCAACATGACAACGAGAAGTAAACCTTAGTGAGCTTTCAGGTTTCTCTGATGTTCTCGTTGCCCTCAGACTAGATCCTCAAAACACTTGTATTAAGGTCCCTAGAAATGCATCTTTATTCTATGTTACATGTTCAAAATGCAGTTATGTTTTTTGTTTCCAATGATCAGAAACTGTTTTTTCTTTTTGCTTCAACTGGAGTTTCGAGTGTATAAAATATTGACATGATTTCATAGTCAACACCATGCAGTGAAGTAAGAATTTATATTGTTGGCTTGCCGATCCACGTCTCCTTGCTTTTCTGGTGGAGACTGAAATTTTCTATCTATTTTAAATGCTGTTCACTCCCATATATTTAAAGATGATTCTCCTTTTTCTCTGATTGCTTTTTCAAATTATATTTTTTATATTCAGAACTTTAACATTTTTTAATGTAATCAAATCTATTAACCTTTTCCTTTAATATTTTCCCATTAATTTATGCTTAGACGGGTTTTTCTCCTATGAGTGTATGAGTATAAGTCTTTATTCTTTCTTCTCATTGGTTTTATAGTTCACCATTTTACTTTTCTCTGCGATGCAGACAGTCTGCTTCAGTGCCTCGGGTCTAGTGGAAGACCCGCCTGTGCTCACACACCTGTGACGAGCTCTAGGCAAGCACAGGTCTCACACTCCCTCGGGAACAGGCTGGCTCTGTCCTGAAGGAGACCTCTTGCTCTCGCTGCGCAGGTGTGGCGGTCTCAGCCCGTGACCCTGGGAGTGACCTTCGAGGGCCCCATTCTCTGTGACATCTCACAAGGCCTTTCCTACGCCTGGAGCCTCACAGACTCCGCGGGGTCCCAGGTGCCCCTGCCGCCGGCCGTCAGCACTCACAGGCAGACCGTCACCATCCCCAGCTACTTTCTGGAGCCTGGGAACTACACTGCACTGGCCAAGGTGGGCAGGGACCTGCGATGACAAACTGCTCCTTCCCACCGGCTTCCGAGACACCCCACCTGTTCTCACCCAGAGGGGTGTTATCTGCTGACATTTGTTTAAGTCCATTCTATGTTTGGGTTTAGGAAGGGAGCTGAGCCCAAGGTGAGCTAAACAAAATTCGAGACCACGGGAAATGTGCTCTCAACAGAGCGGGTTACAAACCAGGGAATAGTTGGGGTGCTTTATGTCCACAGACCCAGAACCCCAGCTTCGTGCAAACAGAGACCTGGGTAGGAAAATGCTCCCGCTCCCAGGGACTCCCGCTACTCTGTCTCCTGTGGGCACACAGGAGGGCGCTTATTTTGACGAAGGTGCCTGGCTGGTTGAAAGAACAAGTCTTCCTGTGTAGCACCTGAAGCCTCTGGCGGGAGCTGCAGACACATGTGGACTCACGAGTGTCCAGCTCCAGTGAGCACCGTCTGCCCCCCGACGCCCCCTTATCCACCGGGCCCCCGACGCCCCCTGTCCGCCTTCCAGGTGCAGGTGGAAGGCAGCCCTGTGCACAGTGACTACGGCGTGGGGGTGGAGGTGCGAGCCCGGGCGCCCGTCAGTGTGATCTCCGAGGGCACACACCTGTTCGTCCCCAGGACACCCTCGTCCACCGTCGTCCTCAGGGGGTCCCTGTCCTACGACCCCGACAGGCCTGGGGCCATTCTCAGGTGAGCACCCAGGCCGTGCAGCCCCCCCCCCCCCAGCCTTTCTCTGCCTTAGCCGCCCTATCCGGACTCAGCTTGGGGGCGTCCGGTCAAACTTCAAACAACTTTAAGTACCTCAACTTTTATTAATCAAAATAACGTTTCATTTAGGATTGAAATGTAGGGGAACTTAAGAAAGAGGTGGAGTCTGGCTGGTGTGGCTCAGTGGTTGAGCGTCTACCCTTGCACCAAGAGGTTGCTGGTTCAATTCCTGGTCAGGACACATGCCCAGGTTGTGGGCCTGATCCCCAGTGGGGGGCATGCAGAGGGCGGCCAATCGATGTTCTCTCTCATGAATGTTTCTATATCTCTCTCCCTCTCACTTCATCTCTCTCTAAGAATCAATAAAGAAAAAAATATATTTAAAAAAAGAGAGAGAGATGGAAATAAACACGGAAGCTTTATACTTCGGTATTTAAAGTGCGACAGACGAGGTTGTGGAGATGAGGGTTACCAGTGCTCTAGCTGTTGGCGCGGCCATAACAGATGACCACAGACAGAGGACTGATGTCCACAGAGCAGGACTGGGTCCCTCACGTCTCAGGCCGGAAGGGCAGGGTCAGGTTCACAGACCCGACTTCTCACGGTGTCCTTGTATCACGGAAGGGCCGACTTGGTGGGGCTCTATATCAGGACACGAACCCCATTCCCGACGCCTGCACCATCACAATCCACTCACCTCCCAAGGCCTGCCTCCTCACAGCACCCCCAGGGTTAGGACTTCACACAGGAATTGGGGGGATACACATCCAGTCCACAGCAAGCATGTTATTTTTCTATTAAAATGCCTGGTCTGTGATCGTTTGGTGTGGAGGCTGGATTCCTGAGTGCAGGCATCTCTATAGGGTGGGTCTCTTGATGTTGGATCCCCGGCTCAGGCCTTGATCCTCCTCTCCACCCACTACCCTCTCTGGGTGGCCTGACCCAGTGTCCTGATGTGGACACTATCTACATTCCATTATCCTAGAGCACAGACCCTCCACGGACAATGTCCACACCAGTGACCTGGAACACGGGCTCCCGGGCTCCTGACCAGCCCTCAGGAAGGCCCCTAGGTGACACCATGGCTGCCGACTGAGCAGAGCAGACACATCAGCCCTTCCAACACTTCCCTGCAGGTACCACTGGACGTGCACCCCAGCCAGCACCCCTGGGGGCCTCTGCTTCCCTGGGCTCTCTGCACAAAGCCTGAACACGGGCGCCCCCACCCTGTCCTTCGCGGCAGACTCTCTCAGCAGCAGCTACGACCAGTTTCTTGTGACGCTGACCGTGTCCAGCCACGGCCAGAACTCTTCAGAGGCACAGGTGTTCCTGTCCACCCTCCCCGACTCAGCGCTCAGGTACCACCTGCCCTGCTGTCCCCACAGTGCCTATCGGTGGGTTTTCCTGGGTGCTCCATGCCTGGCTGGGGTTGGGAGCCTCCAGAGACCTGCATGCGGGAGATGGGCTGAGACACCGACTGGGCGGTGCCCCTCATATCTGCTGCTGCCTGAGGGGGGCCAGCTCCAGGGCCAGGGCCAGGGCCAGGGCCGGGGCTGAGGAGGCCGAGTGCTTCAGGGCCTCTGCTCACAGCCTCCCAGCGCCACTGGGCAGCATGGCCCACAGGTGGGAGGGACCTGCCAGCTGAGTGTGACGGAGGAACTGCAGGGCACAGGGGCTCAGGATCTCTGTGAGCACAGACCAGTGTCCCGAAGCAGGGAGGCCCCAGCAGCACCTGAGGGCCTGCCCCAGCCCCAGCCCCTGCCCAATTCTTGTCCCAGTTCCAGTCCCAGTCCTTGACTGTAGCTGCTCTGGCCTCCCTGTGGGTGGGGGTTGTTGCCACCCAATGCCCATAGCTCCTCAGGACACCTGGCAGGCCCGGGCAGGCAGGGCTGCCCCCATCATTGGACCCTGCAAAGGGTCTGGGCGGTTACCGTCATCTTGTGTAAAAACAGCTCGTGGTTGCAACCTGGGCTGGGCGAGCTCCAGAAGGTCCCTGGAGGAAGCCGCACAGCCTCTGAGCTTGGAGGGGTGTGGTGGGACGTCTGTCTCGGGACTGGGTGCTGGGTTGAGTCAGTGCAGGCTGGGCTACCCACAGGTGCTTGGTCATGTGGGTTGTGATTCTGCTGTTGATTCACATAATGAAGGCTCAACGGAGAGCGATTTGAACAGCCCTGACCTGGAAAATGCAGCCAGAGAGCCTCATGCTGTTCCCCTGAACCCCGAAACCCGGTTTGCACCTTGCAGACTGGTGCGCATCTCCTGGGTCACCTTCAGGGGCGTCCCCGTGAACTGGAACGAGGGGCTTTCGCTCCGGGCGGCCTGTGAGGACTGCGGGGAGGCTGTGCTCTCTTACTCCTGGGACCTCTTTTTGGTCAACGCGACAGGAAAGGACAGAGAGGAAGGTACAGACCACGTTGCTTCATTTGGTTGGATGAGCAAACAGTTATTTTGAGATTGCTATAAATTTGCGAAGTTGAACTGTTTGACCGTTGTGCATGGTCGTGCCCATGAGCTATCACGTCCCCAGGCCCTCCTGAGCTCACCTCGGGTGAGGGTGACGCGTTGACGTCAGAGAGCCGAGGCTCAGATGTTGCACCTCAGCCTGGGGCTGCCTGGGGCTGCACCGTGCCTCCAGGCGGCCTCCTGGCTTAGAAACAAGCGAGAGCTTTGACATAACATGTGAGCGGCTCCTCTCTGGAGCCCCGTCCCTCCAAGGTCTCCTGTCTTTGGGGTCTGTAGGTGGCCGTGGAGGGTGGTCCTCACTCCGCACCACTGGCTGTGATTGGAGCACTGTTCTAAGACTCCATATCCATGGGTGGAAAATGTAGGTCCTAAGACTTCGCAGGGAGGTGATGTCCAGTGAAATCCCGTGTGGGACACGCAGGCCCTGGTGGCGGGCGCTGCCTGCGGGTGGTGGGCTTCTGGGTTTGGGCCTGGGGTAGGGGAGTCCTCACCGGCATGTGCCCGGCCACTCTGACCAGACAACAGGGGCTTTATTCTGAGCGGCCTGTGCACACCCTCAGCAGGGCTGTGCCTCCGACACTCCCTGAGTGTCTGTCTTTCCTCCACTGCACGGCCCACGGGAGGCTTCCACACGGGGATTGGCCTCCGTGCTGAAGGGACAGAAGCACACAGCGGGCCATGTGCTTTCTGGCCGGTGACCGCGTGGGTTTGATGCAAAACCTGGGCTCAGGGTCACAGGGCTGCGGCGGTCACATGGTGGCCACACTCTCCACAGGGCAGTGCGACCCACCGGGTGCATCCCAGCCCTGTTCTCAGGGCCTCTGCCTCGCGCTCGGACAGGGAGAGCCGACATCCCCGCGAGCTGCTCTCACGTCCTTGCAAAGCCCTTCCTTGTCCTCTGCCCTCTTCAGTCCTGTGGCACTGTGCCCGGGCACGGACCGTCAGCTGGGGGAGGGCGGGAGAGGCTCCGGGTGCAGTTCTAGAGTCCAGGTGAACAGCCGGGGGTGCAGAGAGTGCTGGCGGGGCCCTCCCGGTGGCCCGGCCCTGAGGGAGGTAAGCTCCGGGGAGACGGATTCGTCCCGGCAGCCGTCTGCCCGGGGCGCTGGTCTCCCGAGTGCAGTCTTCACGCTGACATTGGCTTGTTTAGGACAGGACGCGCGTGTGTGCTCTGGATACTTGAGGACCAAGTGTGTTTGTCTAGGCTTTAACGCGGTGAACTGTGTTTAAGTTCCCTTCTGTAGGACCGCGGGGCTGCTGGGTGCCTCGGGGTTTGAGGCCTTGTTGGAGTCGTCAGAGTCCTACCCACTGTCCCCAAGGCCACGCAGGGCAGAGCCCCACGCCCCGCCTGCGCCGTCCTCAAGGGAGCCGTGGCCACGGACCCCGGGCCGGCCTGACCTTCCAGTCACGGGGAGAGGCTCCACGGAGACCATGGTCTCAGGACACCATGTTCCTGCTGCAGGTGACACGGTGGCCCCCAGAGGGGACCCCGGGGACGAGGGGTCCCTGGGGAGTCCACCTCACACCCCGGGTAAGTGAAGGCATCCACGCGGCTCTCTCCTGACCCCTGCCCCTGCTGTGGGGCACTCCCCTGCCAGGTCCGCTCTGACCCGGGGCGGCGGGCGGCGGGCTCTGTGCTCCAGGCGTGCACCTTCCTCACCGTCCTTCCTGATGGCCCAGGCTCCCTGTGTCGGTTTTCAGGTCGGACAGAACACATGTCTGGGCCTAAAAGCTGGGGACCTTCGCTGTCAGTGGTCAGGCTCTGGCCAGCACCCCTCCCCCGGCCCTCCCTGTGACGCCGTTTGACTGCCACTCAGGGTCACAGTGAGGTGATGGTGCCTGCAAAGCTCGCTGCACCCCGGAGCCCCAGCCTCGGGGTTGCTGGCGGGAGGGCCCCCATGAATCCCTCTAACACAGGCAGGGACGTGCTCTGGGGACAGAGTGGCAGCCAGACACTCCTGTCAGTTTCTCCTGAGAGACAAGAGAGAGGCCTGTCCCCAGGAGGACAGTCCCGGGCCTCAGTGTCCCCCAGCTCACCACGTGGAGCCCCAGCCACCTGGGGGTCGGGGGACAGTGACTGCCCCCCGATGTCGCGATGTGCAGAGCACGGCCTCTGAGGGGTTTGGTGCCCTCAGAGCAAGGCTTGGGCCCTGGTTGGACCGGGATAACACGGTGCTCCCTCCGGACCCCAGTCCCGTGCGCTCAGGGGTCCGAGTCACACGGAGGCTCTCACTGTCCTTCCACAGACTTCGAAGCCTCTTACAGTGACATCCAGGAAGCGGTGCCGTCGAGAGGCAGGCCAGGTGACTGAGCTCTGCGGGTCCCACCTCGTCCTGCAGCCCATGTCCTGTCCTCACTTCGGTCCGCCCTCCACCCCATCCTCTGAAACCCAGGCCCACATGCCCTCCCTGCGCCCCGAGGCCGTGGGGGAGTCTATGCTCCTTTGGGTGGCCCTGTGTCTCGTCCACCTGCTGCACCGCAGGCCCCCTGCTTCCGGCACCCAGCGGAGCGGCATACAGCTCTCTTGTCCTCCAGCGCGCTCCCCAGACGGCCCCATGCAGGGCTCGCTTGGCCGGGCGCTGTGTTTCAACAGAATGGCAGCCGGCCCGCGCCCAAGCACATGTGCGCTGAGTGAGCAGACCCACCCCGCTGGCTGTGGTGACGCCGCCATCTTGCTGGGTGTGGTGCAGACAGACAGCAGGGTCCAGAGGCCTGGAAGCAGCACTGGGCTTGACGCTGAGCTCTTCCCTTTGAGAGGAGTGACCAGTCTTCACATCGCTGGCTTGATGTGTCCTCCCAGGGCCCAGCCTCCACCGTCCAGGGCCAGGACCAAGTGCCGGTGCCGACAAGAGCCACAGGGACGGGGACAACCTACTGGGCCCCTTCTTCCCCACCAGGGCAGCCGGGCCTGCGCTCCTGGTCGACTGGCCCAAGGCCCCCGTGAGCAGGGCTGTGTTCCGCAGCTACACCGCATCGGGTATGAGCGCCCCCTCGTCCTGGGCCCCCTGCTGTTTCGGAAGGTTTGACCAGCCCCTGCATTTCTCCCGCACCTTCTCCTTGGAAGAGAGAAGGACTGGGATCATGATGCCTTTTCTAGTTGTATGTCCCTCTGTGGCCTAGTGGCAGAGGCTCCAAGCCTCCAGGAGGCCCCGTGTGCAGAGCAAGGGGAAGAGGCTGCTGAGCGGACACAGCACAGAGGACGGGCCGACCCCTTTGTGCACACATCCTGTGTGCCTGCCGGGTGTGGGCGCCGTCCACAGACAGCACAGATGCGGCCCTGGGAGCAAGGTGGCAGCTGAGTGAGCCTCTGCCTTGTGAGGGTCAGGCCCGGTGGTCAGTGGTCAGCCCACAGGCAGTGCCCTGCAGACCCCCAGCTGCTGCCTGAGAGCATGAGCTCAGTTCCCGGCCTGCAGGCAGATACGTGGGCTGTGTCCCCCAGACGGCCCCCGTCTCAGTTCCCGGCCTGCGGGCGGACGTGTGGGTCTTGTCCCCAGACGGCCCCCGTCTCAGTTTCCGGCCTGCGGGTGGACGTGTGGGTCTTGTCCCCAGACGGCCCCCGTCTCAGTTTCCGGCCTGCGGGCGGACGTGTGGGCTGTGTCCCTCAGACGGCCCCCGTCTCAGTTTCCGGCCTGCGGGTGGACGTGTGGGTCTTGTCCCCAGACGGCCCCCATCTCAGTTCCCGGCCTGCAGGCAGACATGTGGGCTGTCTCCCTCAGACTGCCCTGTCTGTGAGGCCACATCCTTTCTGACCGTCAGGTTGAGCTGCTTGGCCCCTGTTGGGTGGGGGAGGCTGGAGATGAGCTTTGAGCTGCATAACAAGAGGGGTGTCGGGCAAACTGTGGGGTTTCCGGATAGAGACGGCAGGAGTAACCGGTACCTGCTTTGCCGCCAGCTCAGGCCTGCGGTGGCACCACATGAGGGGTGTGTCTGACCTGCTGTCCTTCAGCGGCCCTGACACGCGTGTCCCCGACACCCTCCTCTTCTGTAGGGATCACGGGACAGACGGTGACAGTAAAGCCGTACTCGCTGAGCCCTGGAGAGACGTACGTCCTGCAAGCCGCGGTGGGTAGGTGGACCTGCTGCAGGGAGCCAGAGGCTCTGTTCGAGTCAGAGTGGTCCCTGAAAGAGCCGTGCTGGGCCCTGGGTCCTGGCCGCCCTCATGGCCCGTCACCTGCCTGCTCCATATCACTTCCTGTGACAGCAGCTGGGGAAGGAGGCGCTGTGCCCACGGTCGCTGTTCCCATGGGTCAGGCAGGTGCTCCCCTTGGAAGCCTGCAGCAGCCACCTTCGCTGTAACTGCACCTGTGTGCTTGTCCTGGGCCCTCCCCCTCCCTGTGCCTGGTCGGCAGCTCTTAGTGCATTTCAAAGCTGCAGCATGCGGTTTCTGTTGTGTGTGGGCCACTGTGGTTCAACGTGCCGCGTGCTGACCTGACCCATGCTCCCCTGCATTTACAGGACTTGGGGTAATATCCCCCTCTTAGGTAGTTTCTGGATCTTTCCCTCTTTTCTGGGGTGCTCGGTTCTGAGGAGCAGCACAGAGGGTGGGGTTGGTGTCCCCGTCCTGCACTAGCTTGGCCCAGCGTGCATCTCCACTGCCGCGTCAGTGCTCACTGTCGGCTCATCCTGTGGGAGACACAAGGCCAACTTCCGGGGGACCATGGGCCCCAGCCAGGCCACATGGTGTGACCCTCACTGGCTGTGTTGACACCTCTGTCAGCACCTTCCTGTCACCGTGATGCACTCAGACCCGGACCCTGGGTGGCTTTCCACAAATGCCTTTTGCCCTTTGGCAAGTTTCGTCTCTGAGATGTGTCCAGGGATGAGCGTGAAGCCTGCTCTCATCTGGGCCACTGTCGGAACCAGAAGACACTGAGGATGGTCCCAGCGCCCATGCTCTACCCCTCGCGGCCTCTGCGCTGTCCCTGGCGCTCTGGCACCCCTCTCCCTGCACGCCACTCAGTCTCCCCTGCGGCTGTTTCAGGGGTGCCCGTCCCTTCCCCAAGTGCCTCTCCCGAGCTCAGTGTGCCATCCCCGGGGTTGGTGTGAGGGTGGGGTGGTGAGGTGGGGACGGGTGGAGCAGGCCTGGCGGGAGCTCAGCAACATGCCTGCTGCCAGGGTGAGGACCACCGTCCTCCAGGTCCTGCTGCAGGGTGAGGACCACCGTCCTCCGGGTTCTGCTGCAGGGTGAGGACCACCGTCCTCCGGGTCCTGCTGCAGGGTGAGGACCACCGTCCTCCGGGTCCTGCTGCAGGGTGAGGACCACCGTCCTCCGGGTCCTGCTGCAGGGTGAGGACCACCGTCCTCCGGGTCCTGCTGCAGGGTGAGGACCACCGTCCTCCGGGTCCTGCTGCAGGGTGAGGACCACCGTCCTCCGGGTCCTGAACAACGTATGCCTGTAACTCCCCACAACAGAAGGACATGGAAGTGCAAAACCAGTTCTTGTATGAGCATAATCGTTCAGGGTGATTAACCATAGCGGACAACGGACAATAATGTTTAGCTGTCGGGACCATACTGTGCATGTTAGAGAAGGTTTGTTTATGCACCGACTTTGAGTGCTGTGCAGCATCACAGAATGTGTACAGTATCACCGCGCTGATAAGAGCCAAATACAGAACCTGTCAGTGCTGTGGGGTCAACCCAGCGATGCTCGTGCGTTTCCAAATAGGGATCCGCGCGCACCGGAGAGGTTTGCTTTGCCGGGTGTGGGTTCCGCTTGCCATTCTGACCCCCGACCCAGGGTCCCTGGAGAAGGAGCTGATGCGGATCGCTGACCCCCTTGGTGTCTGACCCCGCAGGTCTGGGTGGGCCCAGGAACCCCAGTTCTAGCTGTTCACAGGGACACCGATGGCACAGGTCTGGAACCCCACAGGCTGTGCTTAAGAACTTCAGGGTCTGCTCTTATTCTCCAATGTTGGCGTCGCCCCATCTCTTATCTGCAGCTCTGGGGCACAGCTTTCTGGGGAAAGCCCAGCTGTACCTGCCTGTCAGCCGGGCTCCACAGGACATGGCCTGCCAGGTGCAGCCCCACCAGGGCCTGGAGGCAGACACCGTCTTCAGCATCTTCTGCATGTCAGGGAGACCGGTGAGGACGGCAGCCCCACGTCTGTCCTGAAAGGGGAGGTCTTGGCCTGCTCTCTGAAGCACTGGGGGTGCAAAGTGTCTGGGGGCCAGTGCTAGGCCTGTCGCTCTGAACAGCCCACTAGCTCTTGTACCCTGTCCTGTCTGCTGCTCCCCCAGAACCCGCCCTGCATCCTCAGGAGGTCCTGTCCCGCTGCCCTGAGGCCCAGACTGGTCCCCACAGTGCCCCGTCCTACCTGCTGTGTCCCCTATTGGGAAGTGAGGTGCTGCCTCACCCCCTTCACTCCAGGAAGCTCCACCCTGCTGCCCTGCAGACCAGTTCACAGGCCCTGCTCTGAGGCTCAGACTGGTCCCCACAGTGCCCTATCCCACCTGCTGTGTCCCCTTGTCCCCCAGTGGGAAGGTGCAGCCTCACCCCCTTCACCCCAGGGGGCCCCATGCTCTGCAGCTGTGACCGTCACAGGTCCCAGCCAGGAGAGCTACCACCCCAAGTCAGACCCACCTGTGTGTGGTGTCCTCAGGCTTTGTGGACAATGGGGCCTGGAGGCAGGAGGTCATCCCCTGCGTGTGCACCAGGGACACTGTTGCACCTGCCCCAAGCCTGTCTGTGACTAGCCCTTAGGTGGAGTGAGGATGGGGTAGGAGTGGTTATTGGGGTGTAACTAAATGGTTCTCCATGCTCTTGTTCTCTCTGTGGAACGGATCGCAGGACTTCCGCTACGAATTCAGTTACCGGGTAGGAAGCGCCTCCGAGCGCACCCTGTACCGTGGGACAGATGCCCAGCACTACTTTGCGCTCCCCGCTGGGGAGCCCGGGGATGGTTATCAAGGTGAGTCACCATTGGCCATCTGGGCACAGGCTGTGCTTCCAAACCTTTCCCTTGGTTTCCCAGAACTAAAAAGATGAAAGTCTTATTTGTTCATCGGGATAAGTTTGGTGCTTTTAATTTTAGGTTGATTGCCTACTTTTCAGTGCAGAAAGGACATTAGTGATGTAAATAAATTCTGATATCTGATATATGATGTAAATGATAAAATGCTGGGGAGCATCCTGCATCTGAACTCAGTACCTGAGACCCAGCTGCCTCTTGCTTACTGATGAAATAGCGGTCCCTGGAGGGCCTGGCGTGTCGACGAAGCCGAGTCACGGTCTCTCGCTGAGAGGATGCCTCTCCTCTGACCTGGTCCCTCCAGGTCGAGCCCCCCCGGGACCCACTTCACCTGAGTGTGTTAGAGACACAGCCACTGTGGGAGCATCTCAGCCTGCAGGACCCAGAGTGGTTAAATGAGGCTCTCTGGGGACAGTGTGTATGAGCTTCCAGATGGTTCTGACGGGGAGGCAAGGTTGGGTCTCTGACCCAGGATCCTAGATGGGGCTGCTCAGATGATTTCCGCGAGCCTGAGCTGGTTCCTCCACCTGATTTATGTGAATCTCTCTCCTGCGGAGGCCTGGCCTGGCCCCAGTCAGAAGCTCTGCTCAGGCAGGGTGCCGTGACCTCAGGGTGGCCCAGTGAGACAAGTGTGGCTGGGAGAGGGAGGGACTTTTCAGGGCCGCCTGGGAGCGCGCAGACTGGACGCCCCACTGTCCTCCGGACCACCTCAGCATGGATGCTCACCGTTCTTGCTGTGGGCCTGCCGCCTTCCCAGCAGCTGGGTCAGACCAGGGCTGCCTCAGACAGGGCTTCCCCTCCCCAGACCTCCGCCTCCACAGGGTCCGCAGACTGCAGGTCGGGACAGACAGAGGATGATGGGGCAGGACTTGGCTCCCCTCACCTGCAGGACCCCACCACTAACCCTGGGCCCTGTGCAGAAAGGAGATCCCAAGTCCCCGTAAAGCCCCCTCCCGCATGCCCCGTGTCTGCAGGAACTCCTGAGCAGTGGGCGCTCCCTCGCCATCCTCAGCACCTGCTGTGTTCCTGCGCCCACTCAGGGCTGGTGCAAGGAGTGCAGCCTGGACCCTGCTCCCCGAGCCCCGAGCCTCGAGCCTCGATCCTCTCCCTGGCTCAGCACCCCGCACCTTTGTAACCTGACTACTCCGGAGCAGGCAGGGTCATTCCCTGGCCTCCACACGGTGGCGCCTGCCGCTCCCTGCTCCACACTCACTGCCCTGTCCTGTCCTGTCCCCTGTGGCGTGTGGTCTCCCCAGAGGGATGGGAGCGGCACCATCAGCTCAGCACCCTGCAGGTCCATCTCCAGCCAGGCACAGAGCAAGGCAGCAGAGGTCTGAGACTGGTCCCTGGTCTCTGTCTGTGGCCCTGGCGCTCACGCTGGGCGAGGAGCTCTGCTGACACACGACCCTCCTCTGCCCGCCTAGTCCTGCTGACCACTGTGATCTCCGACGGCGAGGGCTCCCGGACGCAGCCCTGCACCGTGGCCGTGACTGTGCTGCCCCGTCTCCATGGGGACCGCTGCCCCGGCGAGGACGTGTGAGTGAGACTCCTGTGTGCCCAGCCAGTCTAGTCAGAGACCCTGACATCACTCCCCAAAATCCTGGTTCTCAGTGGCGGTCACGTCCCTGCCCCACCCAACTTCCTCCCTCCAGCCCGTCCTGGATCTAATCCACGAGCCCACTCCCGTCTCCGGACATGCTGACTCTGGACATTTTATGCGGATGGCGTGGTGCCCACGTGGCCTTCTGTGACGCTTCCTAAACGCACTTCATGTTACGTGTCTGTTGTGGCCGGAATCATTCCTCTTGACTGACAACATCATGTATGCGCCACGGCTGGTTTACCCATCGTCAGTGGATGGCACAGTTGGACTTGGCCGTGAAGAGCAGTGCCACTGTGGACACGGTGTGGGCATGCTTCCCTTTCCCTCGCCGGGCTCCCGGGAGTGGAGCCGTGGGCCTCACAGCAATGCTGTGTCAGCACCTTGAGGCCCTGCCGGACCACGGAGCAGCTGCTCCGCTTCCATGCAGTCCAGCCCCTCTGAGCTAGCACAGGTGCTGCACCGTCCGTGCTCGCACCCCAGCCCGCGTGGTGGTGAAGGTGCTGCACCGTCCCTGCTCGCACCCCAGCCCGCGTGGTGGCGAAGGTGCTGCACCGTCCCTGCTCGCACCCCAGCCCGCGTGGTGGCGAAGGTGCTGCATCGTCCCTGCTCGCACCCCAGCCCGCGTGGTGGCGAAGGTGCTGCACCGTCCCTGCTCCCACCCCAGCCCGCGTGGTGGCGAAGGTGCTGCACCGTCCCTGCTCGCACCCCAGCCCGCGCGGTGGCGAAGGTGCTGCATCGTCCCTGCTCACACCCCAGCCCGCGCGGTGCTGAAGGTGCTGCACCGTCCCTGCTCACACCCCAGCCCGCGTGGTGGTGAAGGTGCTGCATCGTCCCTGCTCACACCCCAGCCCGCGCGGTGCTGAAGGTGCTGCACCGTCCCTGCTCACACCCCAGCCCGCGTGGTGGTGAAGGTGCTGCATCGTCCCTGCTCACACCCCAGCCCGCGCGGTGCTGAAGGTGCTGCACCGTCCCTGCTCACACCCCAGCCCGCGCGGTGGTGAAGGTGCTGCATCGTCCCTGCTCGCACCCCAGCCCGCGCGGTGCTGAAGGTGCTGCATCGTCCCTGCTCGCACCCCAGCCCGCACGGTGGTGAAGGTGCTGCATCGTCCCTGTGCTTTCCATCTCCTGGCTGAGGGGTCTGCTCTCACACTGTCTTCAGTAGTACGGTCCTCTAGTGACTGCGCTGTCCAGGTTCCTCCCGTGTGCCTGGTGCCTGTCCCTCGTGGGTGTGATTCTCACACGTGCTCCCAGTCCCGGGTTGTGTTTTCTTCCGGGCGGTGTCCCTGAGGCACAGACGTGTTGGTTTCGTGAAGTCCGACCTGTTTCTTCCCCTGCCTGTGCTGTTGGTGTGTCTAAGAAACTGTCACCTGACCCAGACCAGGAAGATCATCCTTCTTTCTCCTCGGACAGTCAGGGTCCGACTCACGGAGCCCGGAGACCGACCGGTGTGTGTGCTGAGGTTCAGCCCCGGGCTGTCCTGCATGTGGCTGCCCCGTATCCCCGCACCACAGGCTGAGATGAGCCTCCCCCTGAGCTGTCCAGTCACTTTGTCAGAACCAGCTGACACCAATGTCAGTCTCATCTCTGGGCCGTCACCGCTCTCCCATCAGCCTGTGCGTGCGCTCTGTACCAGCACCGCCAGCCCAAAGCCCTGTGGCTCCGCAGTCACTCTGACACGGGGAAGCACCATCCACCAACTCTGTCCTTCCTTCTCGAGGTCGCCTCGGTTATTCTGAATCTCCCGGGTAGTATTCGGTCAATATCTGCGCACGAGCCGCCGGGGTGTTGGTGGGGATCCCACTGGGTCCGTGGGTCACCGTGGGGACGTTGCCGTCCTCACAATACGAGTCTTCTGATCCGTGCAGGGTTTCCCCTGGTCAGATCTCCCCTTTCTTCCAGCTGCGTTTTATTGTTTCTATGCACAAGCGTTGGACTTCTTGTTAAATCCATCACAAGCATCTTATGCTTTCTGGTGCGGCTGTGGGCGGATGTGTGTTCGTGAGGACCTGGAGTTTTCGCGGGGTACCGTTGGCTTTCCCAGGCTGGCCCTGCCGAGGCGTCCTGCAGGGTGCTCTGGGTGTTCTGTGCAGATCACTCACCGCGAAGAGTGCTGCTTCTTCCTCTCCGACCTGCACACTCTCACCTCCATTTCTTACTGGACAGAAGTCACACGTGCAGATCCTGGTCTGGCTCCCGCCCCTCCTCCGGCAGGGAAGTGCTCAGCCCTCTGCCTTTGTGTGGCGTGCGCTGTGGGCTCCTCATGGGTGTCCTGTGTCGGCCTGAGGTTCCCTTGCGTCCGTAGTTTGTGGGTGTTTTCATCACGCAACGGTGTTGGTTTTGTCAGTGCTTTTGCTCAGCCCACCGAGGTGACCGTGGGGCTGTCCTTTGGCCTGTTGGCGTGCGGGTCAACAGTGGGACTCAGACTCGAATCCCTCTCACATCCCTGGGACAAGCCGCGCCTGGTCCTGGTGTCACCCACGGGGAGGGCCGGTGCCCCTGCTTGTTGGTCTGGGTGCTCCCCACCACGTCCACCTACTGGAGTCCTCAGGCCCCAGCCGCTGTCGCTGCCGTGGTCTCTGCCTAGCTCTGCCCACCCTCCGTCATCCGCCTGCGTCCTGCTCGGCTTCTGTACCTGTTCAGTTCTGACAAAGGCGTCTCATGGACTCTTCTATTGCTGCTCACTGTGTCTTTTCAGAGTTTCCCCCACAGACCCACCTTCCCCGGGGCGTTCTCTTCCTGCCCTGCCAAGAGGTGTTTCTGCGCCGAACCACCCTCGGCGGGGCGACTGAGACGCCGGGAGCATGTCAGAGCATGTTGGAGCATGTCGGAGCGATCGTGGACACGCTTCTGCTTCCTGCAGGTACCGCTCCAGCCTGGACACCCTCTCCACCCTCCAGCTGGCCGGCAGGGATGCCGAGATCAGGCACTACGTCGCCATGGCCACCAGGGTCCTGAGCCGCTGGGCTGAGGAGGCCGGAAGCCCCTCGTGTGCCCAGTGGCCACGCATTCAGGACGTGTTCATTTCTGCAGTGTGCAGATTGGCTCCCCAAGACCAGGTACGGCCCAGAGTGGTGTGGGCGCCATCTGTCTGTGCTGCAGGGACTAGGACCGGCCGGCTCCCCAGCGAGCAGCCGTGCTTGGGAGACATGATCAGTAGAGCAGGTGGGCCGGCCCGTGCATGGGCGAGACGCGTGGCTGTGGCCTGTGCTGCTCCTGGGTCTCCCAGACCAGAGCGGCTGGTTCAGTCAGAGAGACAGACATCAGCCCCGTCCTTGCGGATATGCCCATGTTGCTGCAGGGGAAAACTGTGTAAACCCAACCTGATCTCACCTCGGGGACGACAGTGTGGTCGAGTTAGGTCTATGGTTCCACGCAGCAGCCCAGGCAGCAGCCGCGAACTGTGGTGTGGCTGTCCTTGCCCCAGCATGTCTGCGCCTCCGTCCTGCCACCACTGAGGGGACAGCTCCATCCGAGAGCACCCTGCCCCAGGCCGCTGTGGCCAAGGCTGCCTCCCCTCCACTGCCCCACTCCCTTCCGGCTGCCACCTCCTGTTGGGGCTGGGAGCTGGCCAGCGGGCCCAGGGCAGGGCTGCCTCCCACGTGGGAGAACGTGGGGCCGAGGTCTCTCCAGACACTGTTGGTGTCCCGTGGTCTCTGAGCCCAAAAGCATGGGATCTGCTCCGTCCCTGCACAGCGAGCTGAATCGCGCCATGGTTAGCTGGACCGGCTGACCCTCCTCTGCCCCTTTCCCCTGCTCAGGAGGAGGTGGCCGACTCCGTCCTCTTGCTGAGGGACCTCCTGCGCTTCCTGCCCAAGGTGAGTGCCCTGTGCAGTTCCCTGCCCTCTGCGCCCACGGCCTCTGTCCGCTCTGGGGGAAGGAGCTATGTGTGCGGAGCAGCCCGGACGGGGGCTGGAAACAGGCCTTTTCCTAAGAAGGGGCTTGCATGGCATCGCCCCTCGTCATCGTGAGGGGCCTTTCCTGAGGTGGCCACTGGAAAACCCGCAGTGGGTCTAGTTTAGACAGAAGGTCGCTCTTTCGATTCTTAGTCTGTTTCGGTGGCAAGTCACCTCGTGCCTGGGTGTTTCCTGCAGTCTTAGCGAGTCCAGACCGGGCCGGCTGTGCTGCTGGGAAGGTTCGGAGCCGGGAGGGTCTTTGAGCCGCGTCAGCAGTCAGAGAGCAGAGTGTCTCTCCTCGAGGTTACCAGAAGCTGCTGAGGTGCAGGGAAGTGGGGTTCAGCGCAGCAGCTCGCCGGGTCCTGGCAGCAGGACAGTCACAGGTCTGCAGGACCAGGGCAAGCACAGCACCCGTGTGGGTGTCCTCTCTGCTGGGCGCCGTGCCCCGTGTGGGTGTCTAGAACAAGCCTTACCCATCAGCAGCACAGCCCTCGGCAGGGTGTGCCCGAGCTCGCTGTTCACGCTCCCAGTGGCTAAGTAGGGAGTAGGGGCAGACCCCCAGAGAGGACAGCCGAGGGGCATGTCCTGCCATATGCTGTTCTCTGCTCTGTGTCCGCTTGAAACGGCCCAGTGGGGGCTCAGAGACAGACGGGGAGAGTGGGCTTTCCTGGGCAGAGCCAGGACGGAATCACAGGGGGCACTGTGGGTACAGGTGACCGTCTGTCACTTGGGAGCAGGAAGAGGGTCTGTGTGGCTGGAGGACAGAATGGCCATGCGGGGGAGAAAGTTCTAGAAGGGAGCCCTTCAGGACAGGGTTGTGAGGGGGCTGTGGGTTCAAAGCAAGTTGCCTCTAGGCACAGAGGGCTTCTGAGGCTGGTCATTCTGCTCTGAGTAAGGGAAGGCTTATGATGGGGAGCATTGTCTCCCCATCAGTGCGGGGGTGAGGTGCTGAGCTCAGCTCCGGAGGGTGGGCGTGCGTCCCGCTCTGGTCTCAGTTGATGGTGGACCAGCATCGCCAGGAACAGCCAGCCGTTCCTCGACCCGCAGAAGGACCAAACAGAACAGTTGTTGGCCTCGGCCAAGTTCACTGAAACGAGATTATTTTGCAGAGACCATTCATTCTCTTTTGGTCATTTTGTGGGTGGGAACACTGTCAGGAGTGAATGGTCACCTGTGAAGTTGTGTGGACCCGACTCTGACCCACCCCTGGAGCCTGGGCTCATCGTGGTACTTCCCTGAGATGAGACAAGACGAGGACGAGGCGGCAGTGTGTGTGCCTGTCTGAGCCTGTGCTCTGTCCCTGCCTCGTGTCCCTGCAGCTGAGCGTCCGGAGTGCACGTCTCGTCCTCAGACACGCCCGCTCGCTGCTGGCCCCTGGCCGGCCCCCCTCAGGCTGCACGGCTGACGAGGCCGGGCTGCAGGGGCTCGTCCTTCTTGTGTCCAGGGTCCTGGAGCTCACAGGCCACCTGCTCGAGGAAGGTGCTCAGGTCATCTCGGACGCGCTGTGGGTATGTCGTCCTCTCTCTCTGGGCGATGCGCTGCCCTGCCCTCCCCAGGGCGCAGCTCAGTAACTGCTCTCAGATCCAGAATGCAGTGGGTTCCTGGGGTGCACTGTGGGCGATGCCGGGGCAGTTTGATCTCTGTGAATTTTCCCTGTGAGCCTATGTTGCGTGGGATAGTGAAACGCCGCTCCTGTCCCGTCCCCGGGTGGGGGGCCCTGGGGCCCTGGGATGTGGGATGTAGGAGCTGTCCTCTTCACGTGTTTCTGCTGCAGTAACCACAGGGAAGGGTTTCAGGGGTTGACTGGCTACCTTCCAGAGGCTTCCGAGCCTCCTCTGTCCCATTCACCCTCCCTCCTACCAGTCCCGCTGGTCATTTAACTGATGCTCTGTGTGATGTTGGGGACATGAGAAGGTAGGCGGGTGCCCGACCTGGTTCAGTCACAGGTTGTCCCCACGCTGAGAAGCAGCTGCACCCTGGCCCCTGCCTGTGCTCAGGCCGCCAGGCCCGCAGGCTCCCTGGCTGGGCTCAGATCCCCGAAGCACAGCATTTGTCACAAGTGGATGATGTCACAGAAGGAGGCACCTAAACGAAGTGGCTTGTGTCCCTGCCACTTGGCCTCCCTGTCCCTGTGACAGTCTCGGCTCAGGCCCAAGCCCCCAGATGGCCTGTCCAGTTGCTCCCGCCTTCCTGGTTTCATCAGGACACGGACCCCACCCATCAGCGTCCACCCCCCGTGCTGTTCCAGGGCTGCCTGTCCTCGCGCGGCGGGGAGCACCAGCTCCATGTGAGCGCCGGGCGGACGGAGGCCCACACGCAGCTCCACCGGCCCCCGAGGAGCACCTCGCAGAGCCTGGGCCCCGTCCAGGTGCACCTCCCTGCAGACCTGGCTGGGCCGGAGAGGCAGAGCTCCTGCTACGTCAGCCAGCTCCTGCTCCTCAAGAGGAGCGCCTCTCCGTGGAGCCGCGCTCCTGACCAGGTACAACGAACGTGCAGGCAGCTGGTCGTCCTGGCGACCTCACACGCACAGCGACTGTGCTCTGGTGATGAAGCGAGGGGCCAGGTGGCGCCTGTGTGCCCTGTGTTCAGTCCCGAGAGTGGCCCCCAGACGTACTGCTATCTGTTACCTTGCAAGAAAATCTCAGCAGCCCTCGGGATCCCTGTATCCGGGAAATGGGCCCCTCGGTACTTCCTGTGGGGTTGCTTCGACCCACCATCAGGGCCAGAGGCCAGAGGGGTCCAAGGGAGCATCCCAGCAGGGCTGGCCGCTGGGCCCCCAGGAGGTTGGGCAGAAGAGGGACCAGATCAGAGGGTGTGTAACAATGGGGATGTCGGGAGGGTGGTGCGGGTTTTGAGGTTGTATGGACACAGGCTCACATCTGCTTGCATTCCAGGTCGTAGGGCTGGGGGTCTAGCCAGAGCACCATGTTCTTATATTTTCTATGCCCCGGACTCGCTTGAGGGCCTGGCTCCCTGGGCCCCCAATAATGTCTGACGAAAGAGAGTACATATGACTGACAAACTCATTATTTTGTTCGAAAAATGCTAATTTTAGAAAGCATTCGCACCCCCTCTTTTGAGGAGCATAGACATGGCTAAGCAGCACATGAAAATGATTCCAACGAACAAGCAATAAAGAAATAGAGGTTAGAGTGGGTTTTCAGCTTGACGAGTGCAGCTGTGGAAAGGCTGACCTCTGTGGGGTGGAGCGGGCAGGTGTCTGAGGTCTGAGAAGCAGACCCAGGCCCACTACCCCACACTCAGGAATGTCCCCCCAGGGGAACAAGAAAAGTTCTTCAAACAAGGTGTTTTATGTATTTATTCAAAACAGCATCAGTTCTGATAACCTGAATGTTCATCAGAGGGTCAGTCTACTTTTTATTTGAACGAATTAGGAGAATCCATATATAGCCAATTAAATTATGTCAATCAGGGCGTTGTGACTTTGGAGATCGCATACAGGAGGAAATGTAGAACACGCACTGTTTGCCCCGCGTGTCCCCGGCACCAGGAAGGCCTCCGACACGACCCCGGCAGGTGTGCTCCAGTGACGCACCGGCCAGCGGCTCGGTGGGCCCTCGGCTGTGTCTTCTACAGGAGCATTTAAAGGGAAAAACAAGATGCTTTCACAGACTAAGGATGATGAATTTAATGAGAGTGATGCAAATGAAGCCTCACCCCCGAGTCCTGCCGCTCTAACCAGTGAGCCGCTGCGTTCCCTGTGAACGGTTGGCAGCAGCCTGGCTGGCGTCACCACAGTGGGCGTGCTGTGTCCCCAGGTCGGCACTGTGCTCACCCTGTCCCTGTCCAACTGCTCCAGCAGAAGGCCTCTCCACAGACAGAGGCTGAGGACACCTGTGACCATGGAGTTTGGGGAGGAAGATGACCCAGTAAGGACGGTGCAGCCTCAGGGACTTGGTGCCTTTTCACTTCCAAAGCCCACCTGCGTGCTGTCCTGTGCTGGCAGGGTGCCGGGAGGGGCGGCACGGCCTGGGTGCTGCGCCGGGGCAGAGTGAACGTGCACCGCTTCACCGGGTTCCCTGCGGCGCCCTCAGAGTCTCTGCAGATCCGGGTGGACTTTTCCCAGCCGGCCACGAGAGCTTTCCCGGTCCTGCTGCTGGTGAGGTGCGCGGGGCAGGGCTGCGGGGTCAAGGGTCAGACGTCTTGTGAACGAAGCTGCTTGGAGGCAGCATAAGGCTGGCTGAGTGAGGAAATGCAGTGGAAGCGCCCACCTTCCGGGCAGAGGCGTCCGCTCCGTCTTGAGAGGGGCTCTGCCTGTGGGTGTGCCGGGCGAGGACTGCATTGTTGTGACATTGCACTGTCCTGTTGAGGACGCCCACGCTCTCAGGGCACACCTGGCCAGGCTCTCTTAATCTTCCTTGTGGAAACAAAGACATGGAAGCTGTGTCCCAAGTGACCGTTGAGGAGCGTGGTGAACGCAGTCTCCCCCAGTGATCTGGTGTCTGAGACGGGCACCCCATGTGACGGCGGCACCCGGGACACTGAGTGGCTGGGCACTGGGCCAGGCACAGGAGGGCAGGTGGTCTGCAGGGCCAGGTGCTTGGGCCGTGTGTCCTCGACCATGTCCCTTCTCTCAGCTCGGGCCACCCATGTGACGGGTTTCAGCCACTCTTGTCCAGGCCGGGGTTGCCCAGGGGTGTGTCAGCAGGGCGATGTCCACGCCGTGCCCTGCGTGGGCTCCGCATGCACTGGGCTCACTCGCGCCTGCTGGGTGAGCTCAGCCGTCCAGCCTCTGAAGCCTGCCTGTTAGTGGAGGGGCCTGGGCTCTGACTCAGCCCTTCACACAAGGCTCTGAGCAGCTTCTCCCTGCGCCCTTGCTGCTGTCCTCAGGCTGCCACTTCCAGGGAGGGAGGGAGGGAGGGAGAGGGAGGGAGGGGGAGAGGGGGAGGGAGGGAGAGGGAGGGAGGGAGAGAGGGGGAGGGAGGGGGAGAGGGGGGAGGGAGAGGGGGGAGGGAGGGAGGAGGAGGGAGAGGGAGAGGGAGAGGGGGAGGGAGGGAGAGAGGGAGGAAGGACCTCTGCCTCCTGCGCGCCCCCACTGGGGATCGAGCTGCAACCGGGCCTGTGCCCTGACCAGGGACCTCTCAGTCCATGGATGACGCTCTGCCCACTGAGCCCCACGTCTGGGCTAGTGTCAGTCCTTTAATGAAGGGGAGGGTGAGTGTCCCTCATCTCCTGGTGAACAATGTAGGGGGATCGGGTGCAGCCTGCCTCCTTGTCGTGAGAACGGCTCTGCACAGCGTGGTATGGCAGGGTCTTTGGGAGGAAAAACCCAAAGCAGACTGGACGCCATGGCTTGCTGCCCGTCCCCAGGTTCTCCGAGAGGCCGACTCCTGCTGACTTCCTGCTGAAGCAGGTGCACTTCTGGCCAGGGCTCACGGCACAGGTCTTCGTCCCAGCCGCTCTGCTGCAAGGTCGGTGGGCCGGACGCTCGCCCTCAGTTCCCTGCACAGGAGAAGCCTCTGCTGTGCGTGTGTCTGCGTCGAGGTGCCCTGCTGTGCCAGTCCCTGTCCCTGCTGTCCCGTGGGAATGGGCTGGGCCTTTTTGCAAACTTCAGGTTGTGATTCTTAATTCACCTTTTCTCTCTCAGGCCCCGCCTTGGGGTACCTGTCCCTGTTGGATGCGGACTATGACAGGGACCCTCCGAACAGATACTTGGCCGAGGCTGTGAACTACACCGTGCGCCTGCAGGGGGCCCGCTGCCTGCTGTGGGATGGGAGGCGGCGGGAGTCTGAGAGCTTCTCCCCACAGCCTGGCGCCTCTGCAGGGAAAGTGAGCTGCAGGTGAGCACAGGCACTTGGGGGGACAGGAGACTGTAGCGACCACGTTCTCCCTGTGTTCCACCCAGCCCTGGGCCTGACTCGTCCCAGTGAAACCAGTCTGTGTGCCCGGCATGCATCCTTCCCGCTATGCATCCTTCCCGCTGGGTAGCAGCCTCCAGGGTGCAGCTCGGGGTTCAAGTCCCTGTCACCGCCCTCCCGGGGTGCGTGGGTTGTGTGCAGCCCACGTCCACTGGACGGTCAGCAAGCTGGTGGTGGGTGCTGGGCCTGCGGTGGGCACTCCGTGCTCCTGCACTGCTGATGTCTCCCACCCTGTGACCGTGCGCCCCTCCTGCCAGCGTGGCTGTGAGGGTGAATTCCTGGCGCCAGACGCCTGCACCTACCGTGGCGGCCACCCAGGGAGAGCTCTCTGGCATCTAGACGCAGGCTGACCGCGCTGTGAGGCTGTGGTTTCATCGTCTTCAGAATGGAGAGCAAGAGCTCTTAGGCATGGAAGTCATCCTTCCCTTCTTAAAGCTCAGGCGCGGAGACTGCGTCTGCTGCCTGTGAGGAGGCAGCGGTCTGGGTCACACCACGTGGGTGCCGTCGCCACCCCGGCTTCTCACGTCCCACTCCCGACTCTGAGGTGCCATCGCTGGGAGCACTGTCAGGCTGGTCGTGGCTCCGGGTTTCGTGCGCAGCGATTCATTTGCTTCCGTGTTAATGCGTCATCTGTCCTCCATTGCGTGCGTTCTCTGCCGACACCTCTGCCAGGCACAGATCCCAGCAGCAGGCCTGTTCACAGGACAGGGAGCAGAGACAGGCTGACTTCTGAAAAGTCAGTCTTCTGGAAGTTGCCATGGCAGCAGTTATTGGTGATGGTCACCTGCACTGCCAGGACCACAGGCACAGTGCACAGTGTGACTGGTTGTCAAGTCTTCAGTCTCAGGGCCAAGGCTGGGCTGTGGAGGGGCTGTCGCCATGGAGACGTCAGCACTATGGTCCCCTGTCGTCACGGAGATTTCTGGGATGTGCTCCCAGGTCCGCAGAACAGACAGCAGTGCTGGGCGGCCTCGGGACCCGCGGGCACAGACGCAGATGTGAGGGTAGCGGCTGCACCCCACATTTCTACCTTGTTAGCCAAGCACGTTTAACTGAGTCAGAACCTCAGCTGTAACTGGTGGACCTCGTCACCCCTCACCTTCCCGGCCCCACACAGGTGCCCCAGGCACACAGAGGGACTAACTGTGCCTTCCTTCCAGCTACAGCCGCCTCGCCACCTTCACCGCCTTCGCCATCGCAAGAAGAAGCCTGAACACCAGCTTTGAGACGGGGGACACTGCCGAGTTCCAGGGGTGAGTCCCCCTTTCCACAGCCAGGGAGCACTTTGTTTGACCTACCACCCGCTCCGGCTGCCCACACTTAACTTAGCAGATGCTCAGACCTGTGTTACTGGTGATCATTTTGCTTTCAGAACACACGTCTTAGTAGGTAATTGTCATTCACTGTTACGCAGTTATCCTCGTCTATCTGTCTGTCCTCACACTCGCTGCCAGGAGAAGGGTGAACACACGGAGTCACCCTATCTTAGCCGGAGTGCAGCATGAATGTGGGCGACTAGGACCGACTGGCTGGGTCGGCGGCAGCAGTGACGACAGCCTGACCCACGGGTCCTTTGTCTCGTTGCCACAGCCCCGTTCTCAGCAGTGCCCCATTCAGGTGACGGATGTAAAACACCTCGACCTGTCGCCTTGTGTAGACAGAACAAGTATATTCAGGTCTGAAATGTAAGCAGAGCGTGAGCTGGAGTGGCAGGAGCTCGGCTGCCTCATCTGTCCATCCGTCCGTCCCCCACACATGGCTCCGGGCCGCCCGTGGCTGTATGGGGTCACTGCCTGTGTGCGTCGGTCAGAGTGTGCATTCTCGGTGTGCTGGGTCCCGTCTCCCCCTCATGTTTATGTCACCGGGAACTCCACCTTGACTGCTTAACCAGTCATCAGGGCTGACGCCTTCGTGGGCTAGGAAGTGGACACGATAGTTAGTAATTAGTCATTACTGAGGGTCAGCAGGCGTCCAGGGACTGGGACTCAGAGGGCAGCAGGTTCTACTGTGCTTTCAGACATCACCGGGGTTAGGGGCGCCCTCCTGCAGGTGTGTGCCTGTGTGTTAGCCCTGTGTGCATGTGCCTGTGTGTTAGCCCTGTGTGCATGTGTGTGTGCCTGTGTGTTAGCCCTGTATGTGCATGTGTGTGTGTGTGCCTGTGTGTTAGCCCTGTATGTGCATGTGTGTGTGTGTGTGCCTGTGTGTTAGCCCTGTATGAGCATGTGTGTGTGTCTGTGCTTATGTGTTAGCCCTGTGTGCATGTGTGTATGTGCCTGTGTGTTAGCCCTGTGCGTATGTGCTAGTGTGTTAGCCCTGTGTGCATGTGTGTGTGTGCTCGTGTGTTAGCCCTGTGCATATGTGCTAGTGTGTTAGCCTTGTATGTGCATGTGCCTGTTAGTCCTGTGTGCATATGCATGTGTGTGTGCTCACGTGTTAGCCATGTGTGTGTGTACATGTGGGTGTGCACCTGTGCGTTAGCCCTGTGTGTGCATGTGTGTGTTTATGTATTAGCCCTGTACATGGGCATCTGTCGGTCTCTGACTACATGTTTATTTTCGTGGCTAATTCACTCTTTATTCCTCCCCTTTATTCACAGACACCCGGAAAACCTGCTTCCCAGTATCGTTATTGTGGTTTTTACAATTCTTTATGCACTTTTGGTCACTAAAAGCAAACGCATAGATCTTCGTGAGAAAAAGAAAACTGGCTACATTTTTCTGCAAGGAAACGCCCCGCCCGGTCACCAGCTGTACGCGGTTGTCGTGGACACAGGCTTCCGGGCTCCGGCCCGCTTTACCGCAAAGGTGACCGGGCGCCCTGGGAGACACGTGTGGGCGTGGACGGGCGTGTGCGAGGGTTTGAATGCGTGGTTTGGAGATTTGGCCGCCTGTCTGTCCCTGTCGCCGTTGGTCCCATCTTTCCCGGGCTGCCCCACCCCCACCCCCGGCAGAAAGCAGCCAGCCCGGTTGATGGTCTCTGAGTGGAACCCCGAGACTGAGAAGCGGGTTGTGCTTCTAGTTAGTGTGAACCCGTCACCCGCCACCAGAGGGAGACCTGGAGAGAAGGCCTGAGGACGGCCCACACCAACTCTGAGGACAGGCAGGGACATGGCTGGCAGGGAGTTTGGGCTGACAGTGGTTCCCCAGAGTTCCTGGTGGGGGGCAGCATGGAGGGTGGACGGGGCAGCATGAAGAGACGGGGTGGGAGGTGGGCCACAGGCAGGTGGAGGCCACGGGCGGGTGGGTCTATGGAGCTGAGGCCACAGGGAACCTGGAGCCTGTCCCACCTGGCCCCCTGAGAGGTGTGAGCTTGCACGGACCCCCTGGGAGGGTGGCTCCCTGTGGTTGGAACTGACCCTCTTTCTCAGGAAAGCCTGGGCTGCTTCCAGGCCCCACAGTAGGAGCGAGCAGGGCCAGGTAGGGGCAGGGGGGCGGCTGCAGGGTGAGATCGGAGCAGAAGGGAGCACGGTGCCTGCTGGAGGGCAGTCGTCCTCCTCCGGGGCGACCTGTCAGACAGGCACCCCACGGACAGGCTCATGGCACGGAGGTCCTGGCCTCGTGAAGGCCTCCCCAGAGCACACACTGGCCTGGAGGTGAAACCTGACGGCCTCTCAGGGTGTCTGCCGTCACCCGTGTTCATGGTCCTGAAACCAGTGAGACAACAGGACCAGAACCAAACAAGAGCCCGAGGTTTGGAAGGAAAGAGGAATTCAGCCGAGGGCAGGCACCGAGTCTCCAGGGAGCCCAGCGGTCTACAGTCAGACCATCAGAATGAATAGGAGCGCTCAGCAGAATCGCTGGGTCTCGGTTCAGGAGACCCCGAGGCCCCTGCACAGGGACCACACAGGACACGTGACAGGCCACGCACCCTGGTCACAGCCACACCAGACACGTGGCCGTCGTGAGAAGTCTGCGTGTGCACCAGGATGTGCCCAGCACATCCATCCCGGGAGGAAGAGCTTCCTCGTCGCTTCTCCCCGTTGGCCAGCAGCACTGGTGATGGTGGTGATGGTGGTGCCAGCCCATGGAGTCAGGACTTTCCTGTGTCACTTACCACCCCCTCCCCCCCAAGCCCCAAGCACTCTTTGGAAAGAGTTCCGTTAATACTCCCATTCACAGATGGAAAACCAAGACAGAAAGAGGTTCTGGTCAATGAAATCCAACCAGAATTCCAGGAAGGATTTTGTGGAACCTGAAAAACTGATTCTGAAATGTATGTGGAGGAAAATGCAAGACTGGCAGAAGGTTGTGGGGACCGTCACGCCCACTGCGGAGAAAGAAGAGTGGGGCAGGGCCTGAGGGCACCAGGGACCCCGAGGGGCTGAGACTGTGCCACGTGGCTGGAGGTGGACAGACAGGTGCACCAGGCAGACTCCAGGCTCTAGACCCGGCGTGTGGGGGTCGTGCACACCAGTGGGGAGCACAGGCCACCAAAGGAATAGTTGGGGACGATGGCTTTCCTTGTGGAAAAATTTATATTAAATCTTTACTTCCCGTTATGCCCAAAAATGAACTCCTGAGGACTAGGGACTTGAAAGTGGAAAAAAACATAGAAATCACTCAAAGGAAACAAGCTTTATGACAGGGAAGGATGTAAAAGAACAGGAATGAGAAGTCGGCCCATCTACTCATCAGAATCACACACATCTGTGCCACAGGAGCCACCGATGCAGAGCAGAACAGCCACGGGACGGGCGTCTGTGCGGCCCCTCACCTGCCCCTGGCCCATCCAGTCCCCGACGTCCCCAGGGTCCCCTGAGTGGAGGGAAGAGGACGGGCCCACAGGGAGACAGCCATGTGCCCTAGACATCGAGGTTGGATCTGGCCTTTCCTGACCCATCCTGCAGGGTCTGTCCCAGGACGGGCCTCAGGGTCGACGTGGGGCTCGGCTTCCAGGCTGGAGGTGCTGGGAAGAGGGCACAGGGTTAACTGACTGGCGCTGGTCAGGGTCCCGCGTCCCATCCTTGAACTCAGCCCCGTGTCTCTGTCTGGAGGTCTGCATTGTTCTGTGTGGTGAAAGAGGACTTTCCGAGCCCAGAGAGCTCTGCTGTCCAGAGAAGCCCCTGTTTGAGCGGAATTCCAGACACACCTTCGTCCTGAGGTACGGGGCTCCCATCCGCAGCACGGGAGGCAGGTGGGTGAAGGCTGGGTGGTCGAGCCGGGCCCGCGATTTCACGCGGTTGGCAAAGTACCCTCATGGTTTACCTGAAGTCAACTCAGGTTAGAGTGGCTGGATTTGGGAGGAGCTCCGGGGGTCATTGCTTCGTGCAGCCGGGCCTCTGTGTCCTGTGACTTGGGGGACCTGTGAGACCCACCATGCACACTCTCGTGTTCCCGAGGGGCCTCCTGTGTCCCTCTATTTGTTGAAGGACGAGGGGGGCACTGTGCCCATAGCTGACGAAACGCTGTGTGTCCTCAGCACTCCGGCTCCCCTGGGCCGGCTCCGGAAGATCCGCCTGTGGCATGATGGCCGAGGGGCTTTTCCTGCCTGGTACGTCAGCCACGTGATGGTGAGGGAGCTGCCCTCGGGATCCGGACGCTGGTTCTTCCCCGCCGAGTGCTGGCTGGCCGCAGGCAGGCGGGACGGCCGTGTGGAGCGAGAACTGGCCTGCCTGCACCGGGGCCTCGGCTTCCAGAAGGCAGGTGACGTCCGTGTGCCCAAGGGCACCCAGCCACGGATAGGGGCCCAGAGCTCCAGGGCCCAGTGGCATGATGGTGGGGCTGGGCATGTCCAGCAGGCTGAGAGCATGGCGGACTGCGGGGCTGCGGATGGGCTGGGCCGGAGAAGCACGAAACCGGGTCTCCGCTCTGGTCACTGGTGGTCAGCCTGGGTGCCCTGCTGTTGGTTTAAGTGCCCGGTGCCAAAGAGCATCTCTCACGGTCATTTCAGCTTCTGTACTCCAAGTTCACGGAGCTCCTGGAGGACCTCCACGTGTGGGCCTCTGTGCACAGCCGGCCGTCGGGCAGGGGCCTCCTGCACACGCCGCGCCTCGGTGTGGCCTTCACCTTGCTCTGCGCCTACGCCTGCCTGGCAGCCCTGGTCACGGCTGCAGGACACGAGCAGGTACGACACCCCTCCTGCAAATGGTTCCCACGTGCCAGACCTCAGGGTGACCCTCTGGAGGAAGGTCACAGCCGGGGAGGGTCCGGGTGCTCAAGGCTGTTGGAGATGTGGGCCTGGCGGGGGCCAGGGACCCGAGGGTCAGCCAGCTCTGCCTCTGCTGACTACACCGTGTGGGAGCCGCCGCAGAGCATGGTGCCCCGGGGCAGCCGCCTGGAGTCCTGGGGGGCTCCTGACTTCTCTGAAGGTCGGCAGTTAGTTCGAGTTTTCTAAATTCTCCGATGAAGAAACAGCAGTCCTGGTGGCCACCTGCCTGCAGATGTGGATTTGCAGTGGGCAGCTCTGCTCTCGGTGTCCCCGTGAGACAGACGGAGCCCAAGTCAGGGCACACAGTCAGAATAGAGACCCTGCCTCTCCTGAGGGCAACTGCAGCACCCCTTGTGGGCGAGGAGAGGGAGGCACGTTTGCTTCTATGGCAACCGCGAGCCCATCCATAGCCCCTACAGCTGAGGATGGGTGTGCAGCCATCTCCCAGGTGGGCTTGGCCGTGTGCCTACCGAGGGCACCAGAGTTCAGAGCTCACGGTCACAGTGGTGGGTCGGCAGATCCCTTTTAAAAAGAACAAGTGTGTAGAATTCGTAAAAAGATGGGAGAGAAGTCTCATTGAGTAGCAGGAAGGGGACGACTGTGTCCACCAGGGGACGAGACCTGACTCCCTGAGGCCACGGTCACAGTCACGAAACCTAAGGTGGGCCTCGCTTCCAAGGTCAACCAGTTGTCCGATCTCTGCCTCTCCCTGCATTGGGGATGTCAATGGCTCTTTCTCGGGTTGTGGCGAGGCTTGAACCGGCTTTGCTCGCAGGATGCTTGGCTTCAAGCAGGCGCTCGGCAAACACTTGTTTGCTCCAGAGGAATCTGTGCAGGAGAAAAGCAGAGGATTCCTGGGAGCTTTCTCATTTTCACCCCTGAGATGGGGGCCCGAGGGTCAGGCAGAGAGCTTGGGGGGAGCAGATGTGGTATTCACGTGGGCAGCACGCGTGGGCACCAGTGGCCGTGCCTTCTGAGCCGCACTGACTTGGGTGGCATGGCTGTTGTCACCGCAGCTCCCGCCGGGTGTCGGCCCTGCTGCTGTCCCTCTGGGGTCCTTCGGGACGGGCTTCCTGTGCACCCTCCTGGCTTCTCCGGGTGCTCAGCTCTTGTCGCTGCTCTTCAGGCTCAGCCAGGTACCTGTGTCCCGTCTGTGCGTTTCTGTCCCCAGCGGGTCCCAGGACACCCTCCCTGAGCCCTGTCCTCGCCCTCAGGAAGTCCACGGATGCCCCTCAGCACAGCCACGCCCGTCCCTGAGAGCCATGCCGGCCCCAGCTGCCGAGGGTAAGCCCGCACCGGAGGAGCTGGAGAGGTGTTTGCTGTTAGAATCACAGCAACAGGAGAGCGGGGACGTCTGAGCAGGAGGGTCGGACAGTCCCACCCACCGGGGGAGGCGGCATGGCATCTGCTGCTCCCACCCTCTGTTCGTTGCGGGGGATGTTCAGCCTCAGTTCACATGTTCACAAGACGTTTTAAGGGTGTCCAGGCCCCCACCTGGGTGGCAGCCACCCTGCGTCTCAGGAAGGCCCACCCGTGGAGTCGAGGGGCGGAGGGTGTTTCCTGAGGGGAGCGCTCCGGGAGCCTGTCCTCCCTGCCTCCACGCATATCTGCCTTGTTTTCCCACCAGACCCCGACTCCCGGAGGATGGCAGGAGCGCAGACACGCAAGGTGAATGGTTCGGCGACTACTTCTGAAAACTCTCTCCCTGAGGTTTCCTGGCGTTTTCTTTTGGCTGTGGTCTGGCCACGATGGTCAGGTCCAGGGCGGATGGAGACGAGGAGCCCCGTGCTGGCCGCAGCCTGGGAGTGCATGAGGGTCCTGTGGAGACAGAAGGCCGACCCCCAGGACATGGGCGATCTCTGTGAGGCCAGGGATCTCTGTGAGGCCAGAGGAAAGGGGTGACATTCTGGAAGCTGGGCCTGAGGGGAGGGCGTGGGGGCAGGAGACGCTGCCCATGCGGGTGCCCGTCACCCCAGCCTCGGCCACACTCTAGCCCAGCGGACGCTTGCCTGTGCAGCGTGCCGTCACACGAGGTCCCTTGCGTTCTGGTCAGGGCCCGTTCCTGGGGGGCACGCGTCCCAGTCAGCTCTTACCTCTGCTGCCCTGTCCAGAGCCATCCTGCCCCCTGTTCTTTGGCCTGAGCCTCGTCCCTTTGCCCCAGTCTGCCTTGAGCCCCCCCAGAATCCATCCTCAGCCTAAGCATGGCGAGTTGGCTGGGCCATGCTGTCCCGAGCGGCTCACAAGGGCGCTGCTATGGAGAGCACCCTATTCCATGGGGCACGACCTCATCCTGACCTTGTCTTTTCTAGCAAAACACAGCAACCGTTTCCTCTGGGGGTTCCCAGGCCCAGAGCGCGGCCAGCGGCAGTGGGGCCAGCCGTCCGCCCTGTGAGCTGGAAGCCTGCGGGGCTGAGCTTGGCCAGCAGGCTCCGAGGGAGAAGAGTGACCACTGCGTTCTCGGTTTACGAGGTGACGTGGGTGGTGGGGTGCCACACCTGGAGTGGAGCAGGCTGTGACTGAGGGTCCTGGTCCCGTGTCAACCAGGCCTGTCTGAACTGAAGCATCCCCGAGGCCCGGTGATTCCGGCGTGAACTTGCGTGGCTTGTCATGTCTTTCTAAACAGTCAGTGCTAGGTGCTCTGCTTTCCCTGAGCAGCCAGAGTCCGAGGCTTCACGTTGTTGCTGCAGATTAGTGCCGTCCCCAGCTCAGACTGTGCAAGCGCAGCAGGAACCCCGGAGCTGAGTCCCAGGGGCTGGTCTTCTGCACACTGGGTCCTGGGGACAGCCAACTAGCATTTAGTATGTCCGAGGGCGCCGTCTCAGGCCTGGCCTAGGGAGGCCCGTGGCCTAAGGACCCAGAGGTGGTGTGGACACAAGCAAGGTGCTCTCACAGCTCCAGGCCCCCAGGCCTTTGAGCAACAGGTTCTGGCACTGGCCGGGGTCACTGCTCTGTGGACAGTCATCAGCAAGGCCTGTGCTGGTGGCCCAAAGAAGAAACCCAGGTTTTAGTTTATGTCCAAAGACGAAAAAAGTTGATGTCTTAATTCAAATGCCACCGAGCAAGAGGAATTCTCTCTTACTGGGGGAAGGCCGGCCTTTGTTCTGGTCAGACCTTCACCTGGTTGGATGAGGCCCACCCACTTCACCTGATTGGTTGGGGCCCACCCACTCTGGGGAGGGCAATCTGCTTTACTCCGTGCACTGATTCACATGTTCAGCTCACTCAGAAACACTCTCCAGAATAATATTCACTCAGTGTCTGGTCCCTGTGACCCAGGCAAGGGGACATACAAGTCAGTGACCACACGGGGTATGGTTACATTTGGAAATGATGAGGTCTATTCATACCCTGGACTCTGTCTGCTCCTCCCTAGCCCCCTGCCGTGCGTTTGAAGGACTCGCCACATCCCAGCGGCCAAGTGCGCCACGACCGTGGTTGCGCTCTGCAGCGTGGGTCATTTGTGGGATGGTCTCCATGGCCTGTGGCTTGGGGACAGGATTTCTAGGATACAGGTAGGCCACAGAACACCCTCAGGTCTTTGGACAGCAAGTCTACTGTTTATAAGGAAACCCTTCCGTTTCTGGGGACTTGTGAGGTGTGGCCCCGGCATAGCTCTTACTGTCTCAGCCCTTCCTGTTCCCCCATCGCTGGGGCAAGGGATGTCCTGTGCACGTCCTACAGGGTGGCTGGGCCTGGCCACTTGGAGACTGTCCCCAGACTGACGGGATCCCCAGTGTTATGGGAGGTCGCAGGAGGGAACCCAGCTGCTGAGCTCCCGGGGAGGCGAAGGGCATGTCTTGACTCACCTGTCATCTGAGAAGGTGCACACCTGTGAGACAGGAGGGTTGAGCCTGTCCTCAGCTGTGATTCTGTCCTACCACACACCTGCCTCGGCCTGGTCCCGGGACAACTTGAGTCCATCATCAGCAACCCCAGATCATGCAGCGTGGTTCCCAGGGCCCAGGTTACCCTCACCCATGACGAGAGTTCTGGCTGGTGGCGCCTCGTCCGCAGGGTTTCAGGAGGAGCAGGTGCTGGCCACCCTGTGCGCTGGCTGGGTCTGCTCGCTCGCGGTCCACTGTTCTCCTGGTGGTGTGACCCCGCCCTCCTCTCTGTCTGTGGGTTTTCCTTTCTCTTTCCACTGAGCAGCTTCAGGGGGCTGATGCCCCTCTGAGCAGAAAGACCTGCCGCCCCTCCCCCATCTACATTCACAGTCCCTGCCCCAGGGTGGATGGACCCCCGGGGCCCTGAGCTTGGACAGTGGGTGACGGCAGGTCTCCGGGCAGGTTCAGCCCCACGCAGTGCGCACAGTGGCTGTGCCTGCTGACCGTCTCTGTGGCCTGCTGCGTCTTCGTCACCCAGCCACTCCTGGTGAGCAGCCCCAGGGGGCTCAGGAGGGAGGGGGTGCCTCCGTCTGGGAGCGTGTGAGACGGGAGGCAGGGCTGCTGTGGTGGCCGCCAGCCTCCCGCGGTCCTCGGTGCCCATTGTCCTGTCGAGGACACTGCGCCCAGGAGATGCCACGCTAAGGAGCAGGCGGGCCGGGAACTGAGGGCAAGTGGCACGGGGCATTGACGCTGGGCAGCGGGGTCCTGACAGGGAGCAGGGCCAGCTCCAAGGCGCACGGCCAGGGTGCGGTGACTGCGTGGCCCGTGTCTCTCTGCAGGTGGGCCTGCTGGCTCTGGGCTTTGCCTGGAAAAGGAGAGACGACGAGAACTTTTTCACTGAGTCGTTATGGGAGGCCACTGAGCACCTGGACACCCTGGAGGGACTCCCCAGCACCCACGCGCCCCGCTGCAGCAGTCCCTGCCGCGCAGGCACAGTTGAGAGAGTGAGGACGGCTCTGGGGTCCTGACTGAACTTAGCGTGCTGTGGCTTGGCCTGCGTGGGCCTTGTGGCTCACATGGAGGCAGCTCTGGCCACGGAAAACAAAGGTCATTTCTTGCTGAGACCACACTTTAAAATGTCTTTCCACACTTTGAGGGTCTCGAGGAAAACTGCCCTGTAGCTGGCTGGTGGCCAGGAGTGTGTGAGGGCCAAGTGGTCCCTTGCAGCGAGGCCATGGGGACAGGACAGAGTGGTAACAGTCTCCTCCCCTCCCTGGTCAGCTGCCCAACAAGCTGGTGTGTGGGACCCGCAAGAGTGACTGCGTGACTTTCCAAACCCAGGCCGAGTGCAAAGGCCGTGACGCTGTCCTCTTAGGCTTAACAGTCGCCGAAGCCTTGCTCTCTGCTCTGGAGCCCTGGCTATGGCTCTCTTGTCCCCGCAGGCTGTAGCTGAACGACAGCGAACGCGGCGCCTGCGTTGGGCACGTCCTCCGTCTGCAGCCCGGCTCAGGGCTGCCCGGGGAAGGATGAGAAGACAGACACACACATGGGCGGTGCTGAGGTCAGTGGAGGCCTCACGCTCTGGTCCACCTGTCCTTTTAAAGCAGCAGGCCAGCATCTTGGGGGGGCAGGGGGGACACCTTGTTGGTCCCAAAGCCACCCCCATGCACCCCAGTTAATGGGATGCCCAGACACTGACTGGGGTCACCTGGGTTCTGCAAGGACCAGTGGCGAGAAGGGGGGAGACTGTTCCCACCTGGCCAGGGCTCCAGGGTCAGGACAGACAGTCTGCCCCCAGGGCATCTGCACCAGCCTCTGCTCCTCCATGCAGCACCCATGGTGCTGGAGCTGTAAGATGGACGCCCTGCCTGGGGCGTGGGGGAGCCTGGGGTCAGCACTTGCGAACCGCACTGTTGAACACGCACAGAAGGCTGCGGACTCTGCAAAGCGGACATCTTTTGTTGACTCACAAGCACTATGTGTGCTGTGTGCAGGGCAGCCCTCCCCAGCGTGGCCTCGGACACCTTGCCTGGGGTGGGCTGACGGCTGTAGGAGACTCGTGCAGTTAGCAGCTGACCTGTCTCTAGTCCCGGGGTCATCAGCTCCCTCACAGCTGGCTGATGCCACATGTCGAGCGTTCGGGGATCCCTGCACGTCTTCCCACACAGTGCTGCTGGCGTGGCAGCCAGGAGGCGCCCGAGCCACCCACGGGGGACCAGCGGTAGCGAGCTGGCAGTGAAGGTCGGCTGTCTTCCCCAGCCTCCGCGCCCGGGGAGTGGCGGGAGACGAGGGGGCATGTCTCCCTGTGGAGCTGCTGCAGCCCCGAAGGGACTGGCAGGACCCCCGACCCCCCGGCCATGGCCACCTGCAGCATTCATCCCACTCACACGTCCAGGCATCAACTGTACAGCAGCCAACATAAAGGAAGGGAAAGAGAAAGAACCAGATGACAAGTGTTTCCTGATGGAAAACGTGTCCCCTGTGGGGTGACCAACCCCACTCAGCTGGGTTCCACCAGGACCAGACTGTGCCAGCCTGCTGCCCCCAGTGACAGTGCCCGCGGCCCCCGGGAGGCGGGAGAGGCTGCGGCACAGAGAAGCCAGTGGAGACAGGTGTTGCCACCTGCAGTCTGGACACACAGAAGAAAGTGCTCACCGAGTCTCTGCGTGAACAGACCAGCAAGACAGATCATACGAGCCTCTCAGAGATGCACGAGAAGCATTTAACGCAACATTCCGGCACGAAAACAAAGAAACCTCGGCAAACGGAACAGAGGGGAATGTCCCCAAGCTCACAAAGGACGTCTGTGGCCCTGAGCCCGGCTCAACGGAGAACATCCGGATTCGGAGGGAGAGACGGAACAGGCTGCTGGCAGGTGGCATGAACCGTCTGGAAGGACATCCCGAGTGGTCGATGAGAAAGGCCCTGGAACCGGCAGGTGGGTGTGGTGCAGGATCCGTCGACACAAACCCAGGCGTGTTCCTGCCAGTCTCAGGTGGGGAAGTGGAAATCGAACAGCGATGCCACGCACTGCAGCGCCAGACAGGAGGCCCTCAGATGCAAATCAGAGAACTCGCAGAGTTTCCCGCGAAACCACGAAGCACTGAGGGAGGAGATCAAAACTCGACGAGATGCAGAGACGCTGCTCGACTGGCGACCCCGCATCACCCAGTGTCAGTTCCAACCAAACCCCACAAGATTTTCCACAGATACTGAGAAACCAGCTCCAAAACCCACGTGCACAGCAAGGAGCTGGACCAGCCACAGCAGTTCTCAACACGGAACACGTGTCAGCCCTGCCTGCCCGGCCTCAGGATGCGCCACGAAGCCCTGTGACCAGGACACCGCGGGCTTGGTGATAGGCAGTTGTGCAGACCAGGACACAGCAGAGAGCCCAGAAACAGACCCACACAGATGCACCCCACTGATTGTTTGACCAAAGCACTAAGGCCGTTCACTTCAAAAACGGTGCTAGAAAAAGTAGATGTCGCTGTGCAGATAAAGGGACCTCACCCCTTGCACACATGTCCACCCAGGGTTGTGAAAACCACTTCTGCTAGACATGGCTGCCGGTCTGCACAGGCGGGTCTGAGAGACGCTCACGTTAATGTCTTTCCCACAGAGACACGGGCATGCACCTGCTCATGCTGCTGCTGCACCTGTTTGTGGTCCATGGGACACGCTCCCGGGACGAGCACTCTCTCAACAGGGCCCTGCGGGACACGTTCACCAGGTAGGACGTGGGGGCCAGCTCTCTGGGCCGGGGCCACTGCCCTAGGACGCCCACGGAGGGAGAGGAAGGGGCGTAGCAGAACCCCTGACCCACCTCCCAGTGAGGTTTCCCCGGGGAGGCTCTTCTCCACGCCCCTCGGAGGAAGTGCGGAGATGGTGCCTGGGACACATGCCCCACCGGCCCGAGGACACATGCCCCACCGGTCGGAGGAGGCCTCCTTCCCCAGACTGGTGCCCCACAGGGTCTTGTTCGGTAAATAGTGAAGCAAGGGCATTTCAAAGCACTGGGAGCTGAGAGGCGGTGGCAAGACGGTGTCACAGTCCCGTCTTAGGGAAAACAGCTGAGCTCTTCCATCACAAGCTGTCAATTCACAGTAAGTGACACCAGCCTCAAGCAGCCGTCAGGCCCCCGCCAGCCCCTGGCCCCTCAGGGTCCACCTGTTTCCTCCTGCTAAAGGAGTGACGTCCATGTGTGCAGACACTGAAGAACCGACAGACCGGAGCAGAGTCTCCGCGCTTCCCACAGGACCCTGGTTCCCCCGGGCTCCTCTCCATACTCAGTGTTTCTGAGACCAGGCACGCCGGTCAGTGTGTCCTTGTCGTGGCACCCCCTTCCTGAGCACTGTCTCAAGATCAGGGTGCACCCCAGTGTCACTGCTAGGCGTGTAGTCCGGCTGGTCTGTGACGCAGCTTGGCTTCGGGTTCTGAAGGGCACAACACGCCTTCCTGCTGGTTCTCCCCTGCGGCTTCAGTGGCGGGAAATAGCATGCTGCAGGGCTTACTTTTTCTGGAGCAGATTCAAAAACACATTCCTGCAGCTCCTCTGTGAATAGGCTGCCTTTGACTTGGTAGTTTATTTTGATGTAAAGTATTTTTGTTGAATTTTTTGGCTTAGGAGGTGGCTGGCAAATCCATTTACAATCGTCCCTCATTTATCGTGGTTAATCGGTTCCAGACTCTAGTGGTTGCACCTGGCGTTGAAGGATTCCTGGGGTGCTCCAATACATAGGCCTACAGTCCATACACACAGTAATTGTAATTGTAATTGTAATGCAGGGGTGTATAATTGACTCAGACAGCCGAGCGTGTGCTGTATCATTTCCACTGTTTCGATCAACTTTTTAATGTATTTGAAAAAACCACGAAAGAGCCACGAAAGTCGAAGCGCGAAGTGGCGAGGGATGACTGTAATCATGTCTGTTATTTAAGGTCATTTGTTTTTATCTTCTGTGAGAAAGAGTGATTGACACCCACCCAGATGGTGGGAGTGAGTGCAGATTGCAGACCCACCAGGGGGCAGGACCTAGAGGCCAGCAGTCAGCCTGCGTCCCCACAGCTCTGCAGCACCCTCTCCTGGCGGGAAGTGGTGTTCTCTGCCCCCCCCCCCCCCCAAGAAGCAGTGCTTCTGTCAATGACCCGCCTTTCAGCCCCGCCCTGTGCAGGGCAGTTCCTGCTGGCAGGTGACGCTGTGTGCGCAAGGTGACCCTTTGGGAGGTTCCCTCTGGACTTGGGAATCTCACCCTTAGAAAATTCTGCCTCTGCTAGTTTACGTTCTATGTCTCATTCTGGAGGCCAGCAAGACCCGACGCATTTGTCGTGTGAAGGTGACGTTGGCAGTGTGGCAGTAGAGTTCATGCCTGTGCCACAGCCCCTCTGCAGAGCTGGGCGCTCACCTGTGCCACGACCCCTGTGCAGAGCTGGGGTGTTTACCTGTGCCATGACCCCTGTGCAGAGCTGGGGTGTTTACCTGTGCCATGACCCCTGTGCAGAGCTGGGGTGTTTACCTGTGCCATGACCCCTGTGCAGAGCTGGGGTGTTTACCTGTGCCATGACCCCTGTGCGGGGCTGGGGTGTTTACCTGTGCCACGGTAGCTGTGCAGAGCTGGGTGCTTGCACTGAAGGCACAGGCTGCTCCCTGGTGGGCATAGACCATGTTTCCCACAAAGATGCAAAACCTTACTATAGACCCTCCCCCACCCTCCTCAGGACCTAATCCTGGATGTCAGCAGCTCCGCAGGGTTTAGCATTTGCCAGAATCCCCAGGTAGGAGTACCGGGAGGGGTGGATTCTGCAGGGTCGGGCCCTGGACTTGCAGCCCTCCATTGGCAACCAGGTGACTGGACAAATCCTTTGACCCTGAGTCTTAATAGACTCATCTGTGAAGTGAGCCGTTGGGCTGCTTGGTTCCTGTGCCTTAACGGAAAACATCATGTTACTGGATTCTTACATATTTAACTTTTCTTTGAAGTCTTTCTGAACTCTTCATGAGATTCCAAGCTGAGTGAACCACAGGCCCCGTGTCTTCCCACGCACCAAAGGGCCGCTGGTCCTATTCCCGTCAGGACACGTGCCTGGGTTTCGAGTTCAGTCCCCTTGGGGTGCGTCCAGGAGGCATCTGATGGGTGATATTTCTCTCTCACATCGATATTGCTCTCTCTCCCTCTCCCTTCCTCTCTCTCTAAAACCAATGAAAACATTTAAAAAGTGAGCCACAAATAGAGCAGCGACACGTGAATAGTATTGGGTGCCTACAGGAGGGCCTGCGGGTTCCATCTGTGCCTGGCTCTGCGGCCTCGTGGGCCCACCTTACTCAACTGCTGCCGGCCCGCGAGGTGCCCGCGGCTTGTCTGGCTCAGCACCTGCTCTCAGTGTGTGCACCGTGCTGCCTCTGTCGGCCCCTCAGCGGGCGCTCCTGCGCTCTGCCTGTACTGCAGACCTGAAATCCACGCCGGAGAGTAACTTTGGTTTCTGCTCTTGTTAAGAGGTGCCAGGAGCTCCTTGGGCGGCCTGAGCAGCGTGGACGCCTGGTGGGACTGGAGCCTGACCACGCTGCTGGACGGCCTGTACCAGGACGGCTCGCCCGCAGCCGGCATGCCGAGCGCTCAGGTGGGCGTGGTTCTGCTCCTGCCCACTCACTGTGGGCGAAACCGTCCAAGTGCCCCCTCAGCACGGCGTAGGTTAGGAGCGATGGCTGGACTGAAGGCCATTGCCTCTGTGCCCAGCACGCCCCCTTCACTACAGGGGCTTCCCCAGAGCCTTGCATTTGCCAGACGGGGGCTGGAGGCAGGACGTTGCCGGTCCACAGAGCCCGTGGGCCGGTGGGTGGAAGGCGGCTTCAGAATGTCACGTGCTGTGACCAAGGGATGCAGGTGCCTGGGGACAGGGGGAGCACAGCTAAGACGGGAGCACCAGGAACCTTCTAGAAGGAGGCGGGGCTTGTCCCGAGTCCTGAAGAAAAGGTTCCCAGTGAACATGGTTTTGTGTAATGACCAGTTCCTGCTTATGTTTTAGTTTCTACCTTTTAAGAAAACTGGCACAGTCCCGCATTCTCCAACCCAGGGGTTCTCACTGTGCCCTACACAGGGGAAGCCTGGGAGAGAGAGATGGTTCAGATCTGGTCCAAAGCCCGGGGAGGCAGCCTCTCTTTCTGAGGATGTTGGTTGACTCTAGAAGGTTGTGAAAGGAAGTAGGCCTGGCCTCTGATCTCTCACCGGTGGCCGTGCCCACCGGGCGGCCGGCGAGGGTGCCCCGGGGTCAGTGTGGTCTCTCTCCGTGCAGCCCGGGGCCCTGGGAGGACAGTGCTACCTGATCGGCCCACCGATCGTTAAGCAGCAAACACTTCCTCCTGGCAGTTCGTGTGAGGTAAGAAGCGCTTTCTTTTTACTTCTTAAAACTGACTGAAAGTCTGGGTGGCCCGTGGGCAGGGAACCGCAGGCCCTGGGCACCATCGCTGGCTATGATGGGTGAATCATGGGTGCTGGGCTCAGGAGGGCTGACGGCCTTTGCCTCCGCCTCCCCCGTCCCGGCTCTGTGCGCATCCAGGGCACTTCATGTTCAACGAGAAAGGCCCTGACTCCTGACGGGAGGGTGTGAGTGCAGGCAGCTCGTCCCCTGTGCGTCTGGCAGGAACCCCGATGACCCAGCTCAGACGGGGGTCGCCGCAGGTGCAGCCTTTATGTGGGGGGTGGGGGATCTGGTCCTGGAGCTCAAGCTGGGCCCTGGGGCCACATGGAGGCTTTGCAGGGCCAGGGCCGGGTCTCAGGTGGGTGCATGTTCCCGTGCGGCCCAGACGCAGGGTGGATGTTGACACGCGTGTCTGAACCCCTGCATTGGTTCTGCTTGCTCCACAGCTGCCAGGGCCACTCGCGGGGCTCATCAGAGACTCTCTGCCTACCTGTCACCCCGAAGTTGAAGCCCCCAAGGCCCCCTGCTTTACAGACACAGAGATACAAAGAGTGCCCCCAAGGGACCCCTCTGCCCACAGGGAGGACTGTGAGCTCAGCCTGGGCAGGACAAGGTCAGTGTGACTGGGGGTTGGGGTGATGGGGGGTTGGCATGGCGAAGGGGTCAGCGTGACAGGGGTCAGAGTGATGGGGGGTCGGCATGACAAGGGGGGTCGGCGTGACGGGGGGGGTCGGTGTGATGGGGGGTCGGTGTGACCAGGGTCAGTGTGACGGGGGGTCGGTGTGACCGGGGTCAGTGTGATGGGGGGTTGGTGTGACGGGGGGTTGGTGGACGGGGGGTCAGTGTGACGGGGTTGGTGTTGTCCGTGCCTGCTCACCTATGGCTCTCACACGGCCACCGGACATGAGGGTCACACCACGCCCGGAGACCACGCCCATCACTCCTGTGCAACCACAGAGCCGTGGGTCAGCCTGCAGGCGGGAGGCACAGCAGGCCTGTCTCCTGTGCGAAGGACAAGCCGGCCCTGCAGAATTTGCTGGGAGGTCTAGAGCGCTATTCCCAGCCTTTCGCATCTCACGGCGCGTAGACTGATTGCTGCAAAGTATATTCTTGTCAGTCTGACAAAATAGGTATAATTTTGATAGATTTACAAAAAATAACAATGGTAATTACCTATCCTTTGGGCTCCAAAGCGACTTGTTAAAAAATCAGGTGCCTACACTCATATGTAAGGATTTCTGATGCCAAGAGCTGAGCAGTCAGACACGCCTCACTGTGCGACATGACATGGATGGAGCTCAGCCCTGCAGCCTGTGTGCTGTGCCCCCGACGGGCATTCGCGCCAGACGGCTGTCGCGCTGGCTGCTGTCCTCCTTCACTTGGCCGTCTACGGAGAAGAGGCCGGTGCCCCCACCCGAGGGTCAGGTCCTGCGTGTTTTGGAAATTCTGTGGCACTGGTTGAAATCACTGCCCTAGGGGCCCAGAACCTAGTGGGCCTCTGTGTGAGCTCAGGGGCGAGGTCGGCCACGGTGGATCCCCCTTGACTACAGCTGGGGACAGCCCGGCAGATCAGCACTCACGTGGCAGCCGCAGCCGTGCTCAGCCTGCCGGCCTGCACCTCCCCGTCGGCCTGAGTGCCGACACCCCAGAGCTGTGTGGTGACAGTGACGGTGCCTTTGAGTCAGGCCAACGCCAAGCAGGGGAAGTGGTCAATTACTGACACAGATGGCAGAGGTGGCTGCTCTCCAAGGATGGGGTCCACAGCAGAGAGACAGCAAGTGTCCTGGGGTCCTGCGGCGAGATGGTGTGCCCTGGGGGACAAGGCTGCCTTTCTCCAGGGCTCCCTCAGGCTGGGCTCTGCCCGGGAAGGGGAGGGCACCATGGACAGTTAGGGGTTGGGGTACACACACGGCCACCTGTGCAGTTCCATGGACCAGGAGCCATGGCAGGAGATGCAGGGCCTGGGCCGGACACGTCCCCGCCTGGCCTTCCCGCCCTCTGACGCCCACACTCTGCAGGCCTGCGGCCCGAGAAGCCCTGACCAGCCTCAGGGCCCGCCGGTGGGTCGGCCGCCACACCGGGGTCCTGTCCGTGCACTTCACCCTCTACAACCCGCCAGCCCGCCTCTTCTCCAGCGTGTCCCTGAGCGCCCAGGTGCTCCCGGCCGGGGGCCTTGTCCTCTCCCCCCTTGTGGAGTCGGTCACCATCTTCCACAGTGACTCAGCCCCCAGGTACCACCTCGTGCTTCCCCAGGTGAGTTCCCAGCCCTGTGGCTGCTCTCGGGCACAGGGCTCCCCCACTCTCGGGCACAGGGCTCCCCACTCTCGGGGCACAGGGCTCCCCACTCTTGGGCACAGGGCTCCCCCACTCTCGGGCACAGGGCTCCCCACTCTTGGGCACAGGGCTCCCCACTCTCGGGGCACAGGGCTCCCCCATTCTCGGGCACAGGGCTCCCCACTCTCGGGGCACAGGGCTCCCCCACTCTCGGGGCACAGGGCTCCCCACTCTCGGGGCACAGGGCTCCCCACTCTCGGGCACAGGGCTCCTCACACTCCATCAGCACACTTGTCTGTTGTTCGCGGCCCCTCAGCTGGCCTTCCTGGCACTGGCCCTGACCCACCTGTGCCTCCAGCTCTACCGCCTGGCGGAGAAGGGCGTCCGCGGCTACTGGCGAGAACCTGGGAACTGGCTGGAGGTAGCCGCTCTGTTGTGTTCGTCACAAAATTCTAACAAAACCCGGTGTTGAAGGAAACTGATCATGCCCCTCGAGTCCCACTCTAGTGCCATTCCCGCCCTGTTAGTGCCTGCAGGGCACCAAGAGCCCAGTCGCTCCCGCTGCACGGGCCCCGGGCACAGTCGCCCTGCGGCCAGCCCGTCTGACGGCCTTCTCTCTGCACCTGGCAGCTGCCCATCGCCGGGACGGGCCTCACCTGGTGCGCAGCCTCCGGCCACCTGCTCTCCCTGGCAGGGGAGGCGGCCGACCAGCTGCAGCAGGGGTTTCTGCAGGAGCCTGTGGACCTCAGTCACATGGCGGCGTGGAGCCAGGTATGACAGGCACTCCGGCCTCCCAGACAGGGCCTGCTCTGTGATGCGGCCCAAAGGAACAGCTCAGACATGTTCCAGAAGTTTCCAGACCAGGGGCTCATCCCACACTGAGAGACAGTGCTCTGAGCTGTCAGGCAAGGGTGGCCTGCACAGTGGACGGCCTGGGTCTGTAGGACAAGTGTCACCAGCTGGGGCTGCCTGTGATGTGGGTGGAGCCCTGTGACATGGGTGGAGCCCTGTGACGTGGGTGGAGCCCTGTGACATGGGTGGAGCCCTGTGATGTGGGTGGAGCCCTGTGGCGTGGGTGGAGCCCTGTGATGTGGGTGGAGCCCAGCTGGAGAGCGTGGGCCCTGCCCTGGCAGCATGACCCTCGGGCAGAGGGAAGGAGGCTTTTCTATTGAGCATATGTTGACGTGATAACATTTTAGACATAATTGGCTGAAGAAAATCTATCATGAAATACATGTCCCCTGTGACAGCGAGAAGATCCTCTGCTCACCTGCAGAGCGGCTGGTATTTGTCTCGGCCAGAGCTGGCCGGTGCCCGGTTTCCCCAGGCTGGCCAAGCGGGGATAGCCCGTCTGGGTTCGGTTGTCCAAGGTTGGGGCTGACCTTCACCAGTGAGTGAGGAACAGACACAGAGGCCTGGTCCTCTGTTCGTGTGGCCTTTAAACACCAGCTGCATTTTCCTCTCTGACCAGTAATCATGGTGAGAATAGAAGGGAGCACACGCTTGTCATGCTGTCCCCTGAACCGCCTGTGGGGAGTGCGCATGCCGGCGTGGACTCGGGAGGTCAGGCCACCCACCTGCTCTTTCTCCAGCCAGGTGGCTTTTGCTGGGCCATCTCATTGACCTGAACTGCGGGTTCTATCAGTAGAAAACGGGAGTGCTTCTAGTTTTCACGGAGGTTAAGTGTTAAAATGTGCGTGAGAAATGTCGTCGATCTGGAGCCCAGCCCCTGCACACAGAGCCGGAGGGCCCACAGCCTGCATGGTCGTGGCCTGTCACTGCTCCGTCACCTGAGGCTGTGACGCAGAAGTGCCGGGCTGAGCGGCCTGAGCTCTGCAGAGCCAGCAAGGTCAGAGCTCGGAGCCGGCCCTCTGAAAGCATCTTCGCTCCACCTGCTCTGCCCGGACTCCTCGGCCCTGAGCACTCCTGCCGTGCACTGTCCCTCCTGCATCGGAGGCTGTGGCCTCCCGCACACCTGGGGCATGCTTCCTTAGTGCCCGCCTGCGGGTGTGCCACTTGGGACTCCTGTTCTTTGCCGCAGAGAGTGCGGTGGCTCCAGGGAACCCTGTCATTCCTCCTGACCCTGAGGTGCATCCATCTGCTCGGCTGGCAAAGCAGGACAGTGCCCTGTGCCGTCAGGACGCACCGCTCACTCTCGGGAGTCTGCGCGCCAGGGGTGAGAATTCTCTTCCTCAAGCCGTCTCCCTGTGGGATCCGTGTTCTCTCCGGGGAGCCCTTTCCTGGGGAGCACCGTCCAGCATGCAGAGCCTCTCGCTCTCAGCTCTCCCGCCATAGTCACATGATAAGTTAAAGCGCGGACCCTGCTCTGCACTCTACACGGCGAGCTGTTGTTATTGCCACTGTGCGTGGTCATTGTCGCCTCGAGATCCTCCTCAGTGCCGGAACCGTGCCCGGGCCTCTGCCTCCCTCACATCCTGCCGGTGTGGGTGGATGGAGGGCTCATCTGTCCTGGGCTGTGATGCTGCCTGACGCGCCCAGGCCAGGTTGCTGGTTTGTTACCACCACCAGACAACGGGACTCCCCTGAGCTGACCTCCGTGAAGGAGTGTGCATCCCCGTCCTCTCCTGGGGGGTGGTTTTCTGGAGCCATTGCAGGTGCCAGGAGCAGAGATGATGAGACAGGTGCCCCTGGCAGCAGGCACGGCCTCTGGCAGCTGGGTCAGAGGGCCGGGAGGCGCGGGCTGGCAGGGAAGGACCAAGAGAGAAGGGCGCTGGGCTAGGTCCCACCGGGTGATGGGATCAACAATCCAGAAACGGCTTCTCCCAGTTTCTCCGTATTTTAAAGATTAGAGGCCCCCACCTGAGTCTGGGTTCCTGTGACCCAGGGCTCAGGAGGTCAGTGTGGCCGGTTTCCTCCCGGCAGCTGGCGGGGGTCCTGATGCTGGCTGCCCACAGCCACCTGCGTGGGATTCCGCTCTCCAACCCCGCTCCTCCATCTGGCACCTTCACCGATACCTTCCACCGGCTGTTCTTCTGTCTTCCTGGAAACAGCCTCTCCCCGTCTGGCTGGCCAGCCGCAGCTGCGTGCTACCTGGGCCTTCTTGCAGCAGCGGCCGCTCTGTGGTGTGCAATGGTACGTGTCCCACCCTGGATGTGAGTCCAGGTCTGCAAACATCTCATCCGCTGGGAGTGAAACTCCTGGGTCCACGTGCTTCCACCAGCCGGCCGAACTTTGTGGGCATGATGGCCGAGACCCCTCTCCTGCGCTGGGCGGTGCTGAAACCAGTCCAGTTGGCTCGCCAGTTCCAGCAAGATGGCCCATCACTCCAGGGTGCCGCCGCCTCCAGGGAGCCTCCCACCCCTCTCTCCTCTGATTCCACAGCCTCTCATGGCTGCTCTGCAGGCTGTCTCCTGTCCTGGCTTCTCACTCTTCCTGTCTTCCAAGGTGTCACTCCATCGGCCTGCCTGCCTGCGGTGTGCTCTCTGGGTTCGGGCTGAGCTGGGAATGGGGCTCCCTGTGTCCCACCCTCCTGCTGATCAGCCTCTTGCAAACCTGCCATTTCACACACACCACACAACCACACAGAGCCACTGGCTCCAGCTCCCCGGCGGCTCCGACCTTCCCTGCCACCCTGCTTGGAGCTCGCACTCAGATGGAGATACAGGGCATCAGAAACAGTTACGTGTCAGTAAGCAGCAGGCCATTTTTTGTGTGGTTTTTTTTTTTAATCCTTACCTGAGGACATTTTTCCATTTTTTGTTCAGATAGAGTGGGAGGGAGAGAGAGAGAGACACATCGAGTGGTTGCCACCTGCACGACCAACCAGGGCAGGGGACAAACTGCAACCGAGGTTACATGCCGTTAGCAGAAACCGAACCCAGGTCTCTCTGGACTGCAGGCCGATGCTATAACTGTTGACCCAAACCGGCCAGGGCCAGCGGGCCATTATTAGTGTTACTGTGTCCCTGCAGGAGTTCAGACACACCTGTATGTAGCCATGTCTCGTCGCCCACCTGAAATCACAGTGTAGGAGCCTCCTGTGCTCCTGCCACCCCGCCCACCTTGCCGCCCCGCACCAGCACTCTGGTCTGAGCGTTCAGCGGGCCTTCCCCAGCTCCTCCAGGTTAGCTGCGTCCTCTTTCAGGGCGGGGCCCGGCACCCCAGTTTTCTGCAAACTCCCCAGGTGTCCCTGTGAAGACGCAGTGTTGGAGCCCTGCTCTGCTGGCCAGCACACTTACAGCTGCTCGCTCCATGTCACTGCCTCCCCTGGGGTCCCTCCCCTCCGCCCACCCAGTCTGAAAGGTCCTCAGAAGACAGCATTCAGTGTAGGGTCCCCCTAGGAGCTTCCCTGCTCCACCAGCCTACATCCCAGTGGCTGCCCCACCCAACCCCCACAGATGCAGCTTTCCGTGGGCGCCACGAGACCGGCCAGAGGCTGTGTGTAGGGGGAAGGGGAGGGGTGTCGTGGGGGGGGGGGGGTGGCACCCGGTGACACACAACCTGTCTGGGGTCAGAGAGCTCCCGAGGGCAGCAGCATTTGGGGCTCACACCTGCAGAGCCCTTCTTCACAGAGGTGACAGCTGTCTGGCGAGGTTTTGCGGGACACAAAGCAGGCTTCAAAGGACAGCGCTTGTTTTGTCTGGCCTCTTCTTAAAACACGCAGCTCACAGGTCTCAGCCTGTGGCAGGACACGCAGCCCGGACCGATTGGCTGGGCCTTTGTGGGCTGTTCCAGGAGCTTGGGGCTCAGGGCAAACTGGCCTTTCTCACAAGCACGTGGTGGGGCCCACACACTGCCTGCGGGGCCCACCAGGGGGCGCCAGAACAGAGCTGAGGATTTTGCAAAGGAAACGCAGGCCCAGCTCAGCCTGGGTCTTCCAGGTGGTGTTGAGAACATCCTAGGGCGGCGGATTCCCACTGCGGGCTCCACTTTGCTGCGGTTCTGCCTCTGAGCGAGAGCTTCCTGACAGTGTTCTTGCCTTTTTCCCAGCTGAGAGGTTCCCTCATGGCTTTTACCCCAAAAAGAAAATGTTTCCGAAACCAATCTCTTGTGAGGCTTGGAGATGTGACGGCCGCCATGTGGGGGACAGCCCGCTCTGCGCTGGGGCTGGAGAGGTGGACGCCAGAGGAGACCGAACCCGCCGCCTGCCCTGTAAGCCTGGGGCTTGACCAGTGAGCGCATCCGAGATGAGGCTTCGCTGCAGAATTTTGCTTTCGGTTTTCAGAGCATGACTGACTGTGCGCTCGCATCGCCAAGCTACAGGGCTTCTCACAGCTCTGAGCAGGTCACAGCTGCCAAGCCACGCTCCCTGCTGACTCCTTTGGCCTCAGAGTGGCCCTGGAGGGTCAGCAAGGGGGCGTTAGTACTCACCCCAATGCACACAGCACCTGTCCCCTAGTCACTGAGTGCCGCACCAGGGCCTGAGTCAGACAAACCAACACAGGTGTGTGCACACTGGTGCCAGCTGCTGCCATGGCTGGTAGTCAGGCGTCACCCTGGGCAGCTCTGAGCCAGCCAATGTCACCGTGACATTGGGCGTTTTTATAGGGCTTCACTGCTTGTCATGTACCTTCTCATAGATTCCTGCCTTCAGATCCATCTAATAGTCTTCCACGTGGGCATCTGAGCCATAACGCAGGTGCACACCTGTGTTTGCCGTGGCGCCTGAGGGACAGGCATGCACACCTGTGTTTGCTGTGGCGCCTGAGGGACAGGCGTGCACACCTGTGTGTGCTGTGGCGCCTGAGGGACAGGCGTGCATACCTGTGTGTGCTGTGGCGCCTGAGGGACAGGCGTGCACACCTGTGTTTGCCGTG